CTTGTAGGTTGAAGTTTAGACCGGTTTGGAGGCCGGTGACACGCTAGTTGCAAATGGATGTTGTCCGTCTCAAAATAAGGTCGGCTGATGGAAAAAAGAGCGGCAAGCGGTCTAAACGGTAATATCGACCCAGAAAAGCATGTGTTGGCGTCCGATCGGCTGTCCAACCGCTGTAAAGCGCGCTATGTGACGCTGGGTAGGACCAGAGGCTTAACTAAATATCAACTAAGTTGGGAAACTTTGTTAACTGGTTGGTGGGAAAATGAAAGCATAAAAAAGTACTTCGAGTTTTGGAAACACGAAGGAATATTATTTTAAAAAAAATACCAGGCAGAAGAAGCAGATGCCTCACATCTCCTAGTCAAGTCCGTTTTTCTCCATCCACTCTACTCGTAAAGTTGAGGACAATTCTATTTCGTCTCCATGCGGTCCCTTCTCTAGGAGCTTCCACCGACCCAAAAACCAGCCTGTACCTGGCTATCAGTCTAAATAGCCCATAAATGGGTCCTATAGATGGCATTATTGTTCATGTTAGTTCATGCCAGTTCCTGCGACCCCTCCGACGGGCTTATCACCCCAGATGGTAGAGTTTGGACAATGACAGACAATGAACGACTATGACGGACAATGAACGACTATGAACGATAATGACCGGAATAATCCGTCTTTGTCTCTTGTGACGATTGTATTTTCATAGAATTTACCATTTCTTTTTTCACTCCTCCGCCGCTGTCCACTCTTTGTGTTTTCCAGCTGAGTTGCGCGCGACTCAATACGACTCACCCCAAAGGCAGGAGTTGGCTGGGTTGAGGTGAGTTGAGTTGGTTGGAGTTGCTTTTTGTCGTTTAAAACGTGTCATGAAGATGTCAGTGTTGACAGTCACATGACTAGTCACGTGGTTGGTCCAGTGACAGTCCATACTAACTCCTTTACTCATCGACGAGTACAGTAGTCGCATAGTACGAACTCGCACTTTCTCAGGATTCTAGTGGTCACACAAATCACCCTACTTGTAGTAGTCACTAGAAAGTCCGTCCGACTCATTCCAACAATCACATGACCTCCTAGAGTTCCGGAAACTCCGTGGAACTTTTTCCATTCGACTCCAGCAAAAAGAAACGACCATGACCGTGGGGAATGAGACGGTTGTGAAGAAACGAGGAGCGTCTAGCCGAGAAGGTCAGAGACAGAAATAAAACTACATTGTGTCAGTAGAGTTGATCACGTGAGGGGGAGCTGAGGCGCAAAGTCAGTACAGGTTATGACTGTGACGAGGGGGAGCAGTGCGGGACATGGTGCCGTTCGGGCATTGTTTGGCAATATCACGTGATAAAAAATTAGTACAAATGTCCACTCCACAGAGCTTGTTCCACAAATAATTAGATCACGTGACAGAACTGAACACAGCACTCCTTGCTGTTCTGGTCGGGTCGAATCACTACGTACATACTCGTCTTGCTCAGCGTGGATTGACAAGGCAGGACTTCAACGGGGAGTCGGGTCACGTGACCAATAGGATTAGCCGTTGGAGGTTCCTTTTTTTTTTGTTTTCTTATATTTTTATAATAACATAATACGTTTTCTATATATTTTTATAATAACAATACTTTTTTATTAGACAATCAAATATATGTTTATTAAATTATTTGAAAGTTAGTTGAACTTTTGTGAAGACGGAGGCCACTTAAAGTGGTATTGTTTTGTAATACTCAACAAAGTCTAAGCAGATTTGAGAAGTCGGAATTCGGAGAACGTAAATAGCTGTGGACATTGTGTAAAATGAATAGCCAGAAGTTATCTGGTTTCAAATGTTTTTTTCGTGATGAACAGTTCAATATACTTTTTAAATTTCTGGCAGCTCTAGATCACTTGTTGAGTTGTTCAGTGGGCGTTTTGTTCTAACTAATTCCAAGTAATTGGAAGAGAGTTTAACTAAGAGATAAATAAGAGATAAACAGGAGAATTAAAAAAAATTAAAAAAAAAGAAAAGAGTGATAAAAGAGTAAAAAAATAAAAAACAAAACAAAAACAAATAGAAACACCACATTTACAAGGGTTAACGACGCCTGTCTCATCTCTAGACACGTTTCCAACGAGCTCACGTGACCCAAGTGGTTGAGACGGAAAACGCACATTCCTCGAAGGAGCTGCTGATAGACCTTTTTCGCTCCTCTTCATCTCTTTCTCTTACACGACACTTTCACAGGATACTTTCACAGATACGAGCACGTTGTTCGAGTGTTTCACCATCAAATACTCCACGCCGACCGTGGCAGTGCCGGTGACGTAGCTAATGGCTGACACAACTGTTGCCCTGTTACATCTCTGACACAAGATTCCCTGTTACAAGATTCGTCTCAGAACGTCTCAGGAGCTTCTCACTCACCCTGCGCATGCCCCACTCTCTTGCCTTTGCGTAACACAAACACAGATACCCCAATGCCCACTAACACAGATTTCGTGTGATATACATAACCGGTGTGATACCCATACCCAGTGAGACACATATCCAGTGAAGCCCTTCCCACTATAGATCTTGACAACAACTCCGTCACACACCCCGATAAAGCCACTCGTTGCACCTCGCTTCTCGGCACCACACCTACCAGCCGCGCCCAGTTCTCCCAAACGACACAGACACCATCGCCTCAAAAGGCCCAATCATTTTCCGTCGAGTTGCACCGCTGGTAAGGCCGAAGATGGAATTATTCGCCGGGACATGTCACATGGGCCGTCTTGCTCTGGCATTGTCTGCTCGCCGTAACCAAGTCTAGTCGCTTGGGTCGATTCTGCTTTTGCCAGGTTATATGTCCGTTGTTGAAGGATGTTCACTTTGATAACTTCCTCATTCAACCTTCCTCTCCAGTCGTCCAGCCAATGGTCTCCGTACGATGGCCCAGAGCCCGGAGTTGTCTGTGGAAGGTGGTTGAGTGGTGGGGGACGTGGAAAACGACTCTCAGATACTCAAGACAGATTTATAACGACTCAGACTAAAAAGACTAAGTAATCAGCACACCCACATTCTCGCTCAAGCAGAGATGCGCTTCCCAAATCCTTACCCTCATTATCGCACACTCACAGTCACACTACGGTATCTCTACTTGTGATTGGTACGATTGCCACCCACTGGCACTTTCTCCTGAAACACTCTGGCATGTTGTCTCAACGGTTTTTTTGAAACACTCTGACGTACAGTTCATGGACACTTGGGAGGTCTTTTTGAAACAGGACGATTACAGCGGTGTACGCATTGTCGACGTTAGCGGAATTGGTCTATTGGAACTTTTTACACTATATTGAAATTCTCACTCTGGAGCTTCGCAAACAGACTCATTGTTTGTTCCACTAGTACAGCTACGGATTATATCCAGTTTTGATTCATTCCATGCAATTGAGAACAGTATGGACCTACTTGTATAAGTAGGTACCGCATAATGAAAGTGTTAGGTGCGATTTATCAAATTCACACCTGTCAGGGGATATTGGCATTGATATCGAGTTTGAGGTTGAACCATCTCTGCGCGGTGCATGCCAAGATGCAAGAAGTTACTCTCCTCGGTCTAGAAAGATCCAAAAAAAAAATCAAGAGTTGAACATTACATTTGTCGGACCACAGGGGCACTGAATGGACTTGTTCTAGCTTCATCTCCAGTCAACGATTTTTCACCTACCACTGAAAGTGAAGACTCAGTACTGCCAAGATGACCCCCAACTCTCGCGGAGACGATCTTATGAGCTGACCAGATGGACATTAAAATGATGGATTTTTTCTGTATATATTTCGGTATACAGTTCATCTTCCTATCTCCTCCCTACAGAATCAGCAATACGCACATGCTGGAGACAGGGAAACACAAGTATCGTCATAACTTTTTCAGAAGTGATCCAATGGAATTCCAGAGTTCACTAAAAAGTTGTTAGAGTGGGAGGAACCATACACTATTTATCTTCCTCTTCCTTTTGCTGTTCCATCATTTATTGTCAGTCGGCGGTCTGACCATGACTTCGGAAATGTTCTCAGGAGCAATAAGAGTTCTCCAGGCAGTTTTTTGGACGCGGAGAGTAATATTTGATGCCATTCATTGTCGTGGTCTTTTTTCTGTAAAACTCGGGACATAGAATTGGTCTGGAGGTTTCAAAAATGAACCTGTCAGCTTCCCTACTTCACCACTGTTTTTCAAAACGCACAGACATATTGTAGACTCAATTCAGCTCACTCAATTCAGACATTAATCTGTATCTACATGTTCGTTCAGCTTCCTTAGTAATCATTCAGCATCCCCTCCCACACAGCACACACATAGCTGAGGTGACTCCTCCAGAAATAATCCTGTGAACCTCTGCGATTTACCAAATTGCTCCTCTGAGTACAAGGATTCTTGTGGTATAAATTGTATCTCTATGTCTTCTGGTATTGATGATATCTCTGTCTTTTCTCCATGAGATTAGCGCACTACTTTTTTTACAGTGGACTCGTTTGTCAACTCCTCATAAATCTCCCGGAAATGACTTTATCAAATCCTGGAGTTCGCCAAATTGTTCCCCCATCTACAAGAATTCTGCTCATATAATTATTGTACATATCTATATCTCCTTTCGATACAACCCCACAATATTTTCCCAAACTAAACTTCGTGATACGAGACGCCTCAACTCCCCCGGAAAGGGCCGTGTGAACTCACAGAGTTGATCATTGCCTTCGTAGAGTCCCCAGGATTCTTCTAATATCTCTGCTTTTCCGGTGTCATTTTCGTTGTTGTACTAGACTAAATATTGGTAGTATAGTGGTACATAGTAAAGCATTATACAACTAATACTACGCTTGCTGTCCGAGGTCTCAGACGACGTACTCGGAAGTCCATTCTCAGCTCGTACTACATATCTCGGACAACGTACTCAATAAGTCCATTCGCAGCTCGGACTACGTCCTTGTCGCGCCGACAAGTTCACTCGCAGACTACATCTTCGTTACTCATTCAGTTTGTTAAAAATGCAATAAATTAAATAGCCCGAACATTGACCCCCGAGAACTGAGCAAATCGTTTCTGCTGATGAATGCCACACTCAGTCTTCTGTTTACCCTTCCATCGTCCGGCTCGCTCATTTTCGCCCTCCTTGACCGGCACAGTTGAGTGAAAATCGCCCACAGATCGGTACCCCTTATCCAACAAGGAGTTGTAAGGCACGTCGTTGGAATCGATATAATTCTTGACCTGGGCAAACGACCAGTTGGCAAGAGGGTTGATTTTGATGAGATTGGTCTCGGCTTCAATCTCCACAATCTTTAGAGAGTCACGTGCGTCTCCCTGGGACTTGCGACGCCCGGTCAGAACAGCAACAACATCCAGCTCCTTGTAGGCCCGCTGAGAAGGCTCTACCTTGACCAGATAATCATAGAGATCGTCGTTTGTGTCGAAAAGGGAATCGCCATACACCTTTTCAAACTCCGCACGCGACTCGAAGCCCTCGGGTCGGAATCTGTGGATTTTCGCCGATGGGTACTTGGCCTGGACCCGGTCGACCAGCTGCAGCGTTTCGTCGAAATGGTACAGGGTGTCGAGAAAAATAAGATCGACAGCGTGGCCGCCACGTGACTGCTCCAGCTTGCTGATCATGTCAGTGCTGACTAATCCCGTGAGTCCAAACGCCGTGGTCTGGAACAAGTTGGGGAAGGTGAGCACCGCCCATTGAATGATCTGTTGCGGCTCCAGCTGACTCAGCAGCGCGTTGTAGTGGTCCAGTTGCGACGTCGACACAGAGATAGACATGACTAATGGCCTGGCAGATGGTTGGTTGGTTGCTGGAACTCCCGGGGGGCGCCCTCCGCACTACTTATACCTCTTTTTGTGGCTTACAAATTCGCAATCTGGAGGAAGGTGCAAGATTGGTCATGGTGGCGCAAATATGGGTGCAAATAGGCTTTATGATATGTCAATCAACTCGTTGGGAGATTCCGAGTCCATTGATGTAGTCTATTTTCCGGTGGTATTAAAATCCGCCGAGAAAAATGCCACTCAAAAAACCGGTCTAAAATCCCAGAACCGAGTTTATCGGAGGTTTTCAAAGCCAATTTTGAGGAGCCAAAAGTGGCCTAAAGGAGACAAAAAATATATCGCCAGAACCGCGTGAACCTGCAGGTCACGTGGATATCTTCGGTGATCACATGACAGCCCTCGAGGGGTCCGCTAAAGTCACCATAATCCGGGCTCGAACCCGGGTCAACTTTATTTGAAATATATTTCGCAACCCACCCGGCGATTTGAATCATTTCACGTGACGGCGGTTTTGGGACGTTTGGAAAAAAAAATAAAAAAACATAAAAAATTGACAGCTGTTCGGGAATAAATGCACGGGAAAAATCAGGAGAAATCAGGGGGAAATCGCTACAAATTCTGCTCACGTGACCCAGATTTATGCGTATTTTTCCCTTATTAAAAACACGTGACCGCGTTAAGTGGCGAGCCCCCCTCCCCCGCAACAAAGTTCAATTAAACACATGCTTGAACAATAGTCGAGACTGGTGAGGTTAATTTCGATTACGATTTTGTGGCGTCGATGGCGTAATTCTTTTTGACAAGGATTTTTTGGGAGGCATAATTTTTTTCTAAATATTGGGGAAAGGGTCGCAGAAAATAGTCACGTGAGTTGGAATTTGCGGTGATTTTATCTGATTTTTACCGTCAATTTTGAGGAATCTCATGGAAGTATTTCGTTCTGTCTCATTTTCGTGAAATAAGAAAGTCGAGGCAATTTGTGTTGAGCTAATGGTGGGGTCACGGGGTTCGATTTGCGGTTGTGTATATGGAAAGGGGGAATATTATCGGGTCATAAGGGGTGGGTCACGTGAGTGCAGGAAATAGAAATGGAGAAGATAAAAGTTCAAAAGAGGTTTCTGGCTTGATATTGACCAACTTGGAGATACTGTTGGGGAGCTGAATGGTCAAGTGGATGTCTATCTAAACTCTGAACGTCCAAGTAATGTCAACTAAACAGAGGAGATGATCAGAGTCTTTGGAATCATCATTAGACATGCAGACTCGAAAGAAGTTGGAGATTAGTCATCCAACTTTGGGGAAAAACTCCGGACAACATTAATCAGTCGAAAACTGCCCAAACATAATATAGATGAATCCTATTGTGAAATCCCTAAACATTTCCAAACACTTCCAAACACTTCCAAACACTTCCAAACACTTCCAAACACTTCCAAACACTTCCAAACACCTCCAAACACCTCCAAACACCTCCAGATGTCAACTGGTGAGTAAATCGAAGGCTCTAAATGTGATGCAGAGATCAAATCCTGTAGAAATCGCACCCTTCGCTGGTATTCATCCACATTCACATCAAGTAATATCAACCCCAAATTCAACCATCTCTCCAATTATACTTGACAGTTTAGTTGTCAGGAAGAGATCAGATTGAAAAGTCGACTAAGTCGACTATTAAGAACGAAGTGAACATTTAGTCGAGACAAGGATACTACCAATCGACTCCCTGACTCCGGTTTATAGATCCAAAATTGCAGCGTCATCTCAACAGTTCAGCCGATTCAGTTGAAGTCGTGGTGACAGATGTTGTAGCAACAGTTCATGCTGTGGAACAACACACTTCGTTATGTACATACATCACGGTTGCCATGCCACACACCCGACATCCACACTACCCCCTGTCACATGACATATCACGTGGCCTCTTTTCCATGACCCGCGCCTTCTATCAATATCACCCCATATTCCCCTGCATGATAATCACCCCATTAATATCCCCCTGATCCGTCTCCGGCCGGAATAACTTGACAATATTATATACCAATCTGTAGCGCCTCACGTGACGGACTCAATTGACTAGACCACATGACTCTCAGACAATTAGTCATCGAGAAAATTACAAAAAAAAATATCGAAGGAGTTCAAACCTAGCCCTAACGAAGACCAAATAAAACCACCACAATTCCCTAACCCTTCTGAATACTCCCACCCATCTCCTCTCCTTCGCTGACGACTATTTCCGAGTGTTTCCTTGACAAACTTTATTTCAAAACCCCCATTAATTACACTGTATCCCCATACTACAGCACGTGACGCGTGTAATTGCGTGTATCCGCCTATCCGAGTGGTCACGTGATTAGTCGAGGACAACCCGGCGTCAGATTGTTGCTCGGGAGCAAGGTTAGGTCGCGATTATGCCACGTTGAAGCTCAAGGGACATGATAGGATTAGGGTAGGGATCTCAATATATCCATTAGGACTAGGGTTAGTTTCTTCATCCTAATAATGGATAAGGGTTTCACATTCCAGGGCCAATCACAACAAATAGGGTAACTTTATTGCTCCCTTCCAACATGCAATATAAACAAATGACTGAACCGACTTTTCTTCCCACGACAATTGCACGGTAACAACAAATAATAACCATTGCGCGATATTATCGACCTGCCCTAACCCGAGCCCGAACTGATTGCAACCCTTGCCCTGATTCATCCAACCCTACCTGGAGTTCCAACCAACTTCCTATCACAACCCACAACCCTCATCACCACAATGCTACGAATCGCCCGAACCCTTAACCGGAGTCCCCTGGCCTCTCCCCTGGCCCGGGGCATCCACCAATCGACCCCCAAAACCAACCCTAGCCCTCTGCTGTCCTCAACCCCTACCCAGTATTCGTCCATGAAAGTTGCTTCTCTCAAGGACGAGTGCCGACGACGGGGACTGCGATTGGGTGGCCGAAAGGCTGACCTAATCGAACGACTCGCGTCACATGACTTTTCCACTGTTAGTAAGCGGGCCGTTGTCTCGACTCCTAACCCCGTCGCTGCCCCCGCCCAGACCGCAACCGCTGCCGGCGCCACAGCTACCCTAACCCGTGTCCGGCTGATTACATCTTCGGCCCCTACCCTGGCCCAGGGAGATACCTCCACCATCGACTTTTGCAAGCTGCCTCACACCGGTATGCCCGCCGATGCGCCCCGAATCAAGATTCCTACTTCGCCCGATGCTTACGGCGAGGTGGCCCGATACGGATCCCACGCGATTACTAATGACCGAAAGGTTGCTGAGTCAGTGGCCGAGGACGAGCTGCACAGTAAGCAGCCCCAGGAGATCCACTACGCGTCCGGTCACGTGGTCCGGTCGTTTGCCGGCGACCACTCGTCCGAGACTGGTGACCACGACTTTTCCACCAACGACAAGCTTGTTTTGGGTGGCATTGTCGGCGCTGTCGGTTTCTGGTGGTTTCTGGGACTCGAGGGAAAGGTGGAGTAGTCACGTGATTTCTTAATCCGTCAGATTAGTCAGATTAATCAAATTACTCAGATTTGTCACCTCCCTTCTCTCTACCCAGTTTCCGCCAATCAACTCCGTGTCACATGACTTCTCACGTGACCCGCCCTTTTCATATGTTATGTTTTTCCCCCAATCCCCCACAAACCAACTTTCCGCCCGTCGTTTTTCCTTGTGTGTGTTACTCACGTGGCCAATATCGTCAGTCACGTGATTTTTCCCCTGTGTTTGACTTCTTCTCGATTGTCAGCGTGCGCACCCACGTGATCTGCCCCTCCCCCTCTGATCACGGCACGGTGAAATATTTATAATGAACCGATTCGTTACCCTGTAACTCTCCGCCTAGCTTATGCTACTCCCGGTTCCGTCAAGTACATTGTGTGAATTTATTGTTGAAATTTTAGTAAGCGACCAGTAACATTGATTAGTCAGGACCTTTTTCCCCAAGTCCCCGACACTGTAGAGTTGTACGGTCTTTGCATAGGCATTAGCGAGGTACACGGGGGATGTGAGATTGGGTGTGTGCAATTGTGGGGTTAGGGTAGGGTTCACGTGACCTCATGGACCGGTTTGATTCCATTAATTAAATTATTTCAAGCTCAGCCTCCCCTCGGTGCCAGGTGGTGCATTTAAAGTCGCGGGTTCGATTCCGGGTTTTCTCTATTGTTTGTAAGAAATTGAAGGCTTCAATGGTATTATTAATTGCATCAACTTTTGTTTCAATCAAGATTTATTATTTATTGCCCCATTTTTGTCCATTTTCCATCTTTTCTGATTCAACAGAAATCCCAACCCATATTTTTTGTTCTAGTTGTATTTTATTATAATAATTACTAAAAAAAAAAGCGCTAACGGATATTGGACATATTCAGCGACTTGCTCTCATACTAATAAAAGTCGAATTATATCTTCCCCCAAGCTGTTTCCAATTGACCTGCTTACGGATTTTTGCCCTTTATTTTATCGTCCATTTTTTTTATTTTTATTAATCCATTTTCTCAAATTTTCATCTGCATAATCTCCCAAATAACCTTTTAACCACAAACTCTAAATAGTAAACTTCACAACGTGCATCTGCGTCGTCCCTCTTGCGTCTCCGACTTGACCAGGGACATTATCGACATCTTCTGCAACAACTCCTTTGCTGCAAAACGCACATATTACGAGCCGCCCGCCAAAAATAAAAAATAAAAAGCAACTCCGAAATTACAGAGCGAGCTAGTCACGTGATTCACCCTTGACGCTGCTGACTCACCCGCCGTCGTCGCCACACCCTCGCCCTCGCCCTCGTCCGCCCCTTTTCTTCGTGTTTGTGTTTTTCGGCCACCAAAGCTCGTGACACAAACAGACTCACTGGGCCACAAAAGCAAGTAAATACGACGATTCGACATTCGACAATTCGACAATTTGACAATTTGACGGCTCGGCAATACGACGACTCGACAATCGACAATCGATAAAGGACATCGACAACACGTTGATCTGGTGAGTACAGTACCATTGGTGTTGTAGACAGATCGAGGAGTTTGGTACTTTCGCCGTCCCTGGGTTGGAGTACTTTGATTCGGTCATACTAACGTAGCTAGTGATAAGCACACAACAAGAGGATAAGCAGTGATATATTTGCCGACCTCGACATTGCCATTGTAACCCGCAACTTCACTCTGTTATACCAACCACTTCATTTTTGTCACATACAACCACAACATGCTACTCATATCATCCCCACTCAGCATGCTGCTGCCACTGCTGTCGCTCCTCACCCTCGCGCTCGGCCAAATCCCCCCCGAAAGCCGCACCATCGTCGATGTGCTGGCGGAGACGGGCCAGTTCTCCATCCTCCTGCGTCACCTCCAGCGCCACCAACTGATTCCGTTTCTCAACACCCAGCGAAACATCACCCTAGTGGCGCCCGACAATGGCGCCTTTGCCCAGTTTGGTGGCCAGGTCACACGCGAGCTGCTGCTCTACCACATTTTGAACGGCTCCGCCACGTTCGAAAACTCCACTGACGGCTCCCACGTCTACCTCACTGCCCTGGACCACGTGCCCGTAGACGTAGTCGTCTCCCACAAGAAGGAGACCATGGCCGTCAACGGCGTCGCCGTCGTTGAAACGGATCTCCTCGCAGGGCGCCAGCGTGGCATAGTCCAGGTGCTCGATAGCGTGCTGGAGCTGCCCTCCACTTGGCAGAAGGAGATTGGCAAAATCCCCCGACTGTCGCACTTTGCCAAGCTCGCCAACAAGGCCCGACTCGGCGATCTCAGCAACATGACATTGTTAGCGCCATCAAATGCCGCCATGCGCATGTTTACGCCGCTCATGGACGCGTATCTCACGTGCACCGACGGTAGAAAGGACCTCGAGCATATCGTGAACCACTTTATCGTCGACGAGCTCGTCTACGGGTCACGTGATGGCAAACCCATCCCACTCCCGAGCCGCGAGTACACCGCACGTGACGGCACGGTGTACTCGTTTTCTGATCTGCTCACCGTCAACAGCACATGGGCGCCGCTTCAAAGCAATATTCCGTGCCAGAACGGTCTCATCCATGTTTACGACAGCTTGCTGTCACGCGACGAGCTGCTGGTGTTCACACCCCGCATGGCGCTCCAGGGGCTGGGGCTGGACCGGTTTGTGGCGTTGTTACGGCTGGCAGGGCTGGGGGAGTTGATAGAGGGCAAGGGGGGCGAGCAGACGGTGTTTGCTCCGATGGAGAAGCCGAGCGCGATGGGTGAATCACGTGAGTTCCCCCGTGACTCCGACTCCCGGTCCCGGTCACGCGATCTCTCCTACCTCCTCTCTCACCACCAAGCATCCCTCTCCCGCGACGAACAAACCGCCTTGGTGCCCTCCCTTCTCGCCTCCCTCGAATCTGATCTGCGACCCTCGTCCAGCGGACTCTACTCCGAAGGTGGCGCCTACCACTTTACCCAGTCGGAACTCATCCTCTCACGTGATCTGTTTAAGCACAAGGCACATCTTCTGGTTGACACGAAAATGAAGTCCAAGAAGATTGGCTACCGGTCGCAGCGGATCAAGCTGTCGTACGACGAGGTTGCCGACGAGTATGTCATCAACGATCGGCGGATCGTATCATCGCCAAAGTACGACACTAATCTCTTTGTCGTCGGCAACTCGTCCATCTACCTGATTGACGAGGAGATGGAACCTCCCAGCGGGTTGGCATCGTCGGTGGCGCCCATTTTCCACACTTCGCGGTCGCTCTTTTATCTGAACGAGCTTGGGCGGTTGAAGTTGCCGCTCAACTACGCCGGCTGGACAGTGATTCTGCCAACAACCACGGCGTGGGACGATCTGGGCATCACGACGGAGTATCTGTCCAGCAACAAGACGGCCCTGACGCTGCTTTTTGACTCGCTGATTTTCCACAACCCGTTTTATTCCGATTCGCCCCAGACCAAGCTCCCGACTTACGACAAGTCACAGAATGTGTCCTTGTCGTGGGTCCATGACGGCAAGAACGATTTTGTGTCCGTCGGCGGCGATCTCTACCGCGTCAACACCCTCGAGTACGACGTTCTGTTCAATTCTGGCGTCGTGCACACAGTCGAGAATGTCTTTATCCCCTCGGCGTTGGACGTGACCGTTTCGAATCTCATTGAGACCACCAACTCGGACTTTTTGGAGCTCCTGCAAGTCTCCAACCTGTCCTACACCCTGGATCCCGCCTTGGGGTACTCGTTTTTGGTTCCGTCAGAGGACTCCATGGCTGCCGAGAACATTTCTGTCCACTCTCCGGACTTGAGCGACTACATGAAACTGCACGTGATCCAGAACAACACACTGTCATCAGGAGGCAGTGCCTCGACGCTCAAGAATGGCGTTTCTCTGGTCGCGAAAAAATTTTCCGAGAAGCTGCTCATGGTGTCGATTTTCCAGGGCATTGACCGAGAGGCCCGAATCCTGAACCGCGGCATTGCGTCTAACAATGCCACTGTCTTCGCCATCGACCGGCCGCTATCGCCGTCGTGGATCATTCCCGACAACCCGTGGTTCCCGTCACACGACCATCTGAGGACCCCCGTGGCGATTTTCATCGGAATCATTATCGGGCTCGTGGCGTTTTTTGCCATTCTCAGTTGTTTGCTGTGGGTGTTTCTTGGCAAGTCTCGAGAGCCCGACGAGGAGCGCGCCGCCAGCACTCCCGTCGTGGTCACCAAGCCGAAACCAAAGAGCAGGACTGATGTGCTCCGACAGGAGGCAGGGGTGAACACTCCCTTGTTAGCGGGCGGCTCTGGCAAGACGTACGCCACTGCCCCAATGAGTGTCAACCAGCCGAGGAAAAATGGCCGGGGTTTGAAGATTGGGCCGCAGCATTGATCACGAGCGCAGTGAGGGCGTGATCACGAGCGAAGAGAGAGATTGCGAGCTCAGTTAGGTGAGGCTAATGATTGATCATCAGCACCATACCACGGGCTCCGTATTGCAACCTCCGTAAACGACGTCGTACAGACTTGCAATTGTTGCGACACAGCTATAGTTGTGTCTGTGCTGGGTCTGGAGTGACGAGCAACTCCTCTGCGCTCAAGTCATTTGGAACAGTTCGCATCACTCGAAAACACATAATTAAGGATATAGACGGAGTTAATACTATTGTTAGTTGATTGTAACGCACGGGATGTGTCACACCAAACTGTTTTGGACTCTGGTTGGGACAATGAACTTTCAGGTGGCCAGGAAATGGTCCAGTCAGAATTCCACCCCATCTGGAATCGAACCGCCGTGCCACCCGGAATCGAACACCGGATCTCCAACTTCCCAAACGTTATCCTTCAAATCCACTTACTTTTCTTCTACCCCCACCCGAATCGAACTCACAACCGCTGCACATTTGAAATTTTCAAATCACAACTCACAAACTCACCACAGATCTCTCCATCACCACACACCATGCTGTCTCTGACAAACCACCTGGCCCAGCTCAGCGTGTCTGGCTCGCGGGCGTTCTCTACCACCTCGGCGTGCGCCACCCGATCGTTCAAACATGTGACCCGACGAAAGGCCTTCAACCAGGACCTGTACCTGAACCCCCGAAACCAGCCTGCTGTCGGCGACAAGAAGAGCGACTTCAAGGTCGTTATCCCCAACAGAAAGTCCAAGTACCCTCCTTACCCTTACGGCGTGTCTTTCGTATTCAAGCGAGGTGACCGGGCGCTGTTTGGCGGCCGAACACTCGGTAACGGCTACCGGTCGTCCGAGTTCCGAAACAAGACGCTCCGAAAGTGGAAGCCCAACGCCCAGAAGACGACGCTGCCCAGCGAGGCGCTCGGCAAGAATGTGCGTATCACAACCGTGCCCCGAGTCCTCTCCACCATCCGACGCGAGGGCGGTCTCGATGCATACCTCACCAAGGACACTCCTCTGCGAATCAAGGAGATTGGCGTGTTTGGCTGGAACCTGCGACACAAGATTCTCTCCGCCAGAAACTACTACCAGGACAAGGAGTTCCAGCCCGTGCAGACCCCCCAGGGCGTATGGAAGCACTCGTGGGGTATGGTGAAGCTGGACGGCAAGCAGGGCGACCTCATTGCCAAAAAGGCCACTCTCGCTGATCACCTGTACGCTGTGCAATGCTACCAGCAGATGAAGGAGGGCCACCAGCCCATGGCCCGGGGCTTCTTCAACCAGAAGACTGCCGGATGGAGTGCTGTCAAGTTTTTCAACTCCCTCAGAGACGCTAAGGTGGACGTTTCCGAGTACGTGCTGTTTGGCGGCGTGCTGCGAAACAAAAACTCGGCCGTTGACATGTTCAAGCAGGCCCGACAGACCGGCCAGACTCTGTCAAAGTAAGATGTACATAGGGCGCATGGGTCATGAGCCACGCGAATGACCTGTAAGCAGCTGAAACTGAACCAAGCAGCTAGCCACATACCAAAATGGGAATCCGTGAAATAAGAAAGACCAGCCAGAGATGGCCAATTGCAACAGATGATACTATTGGCTGTAATGATTAGTAGTGCCCATGTGTAACCGTCAGAAAGGACGTGGCCACTGGCAGCTAAGACCAGGTAGACCCGCGCCCTTTTCCAAGGTCAATTTGGACCCGCCTCCAAGGCAAGTTCGCGTAAAGGAGAGAGTAGGTCTTACAACACCGCAATTATTGCAATGGGACAGTGATTTACAGCACAAACGTAGAGCAGGAGCTGAAGTAGCGCTTGGTCCAGCGAGCTAATCTCACCTGCTAGATAAGGGGATCACGTGACCTAATGGACTCTTCTGACACTGATGACAAACCAGCTGCCACCCTGGGAGCCTTTCTCTTTCACGTTCGACGCTGTGAGTTGGGGATCGTACGGAACCCACGACATGGGGTTGTGTTTCGGATCCGTGTGACTGAGTAGAGGTATGAGGGATGCGAGGCATGCGCGATGCGGAACACAAAGACGTAGTTCGAGTGTCCGATCGTAGAACGGCTGGTAATTGATAGTCAATAGCAGCCGTGGCGCGACTCTACAACTCATGGTAGCCACTCTCACGACAACATCAGGGCCAGCTTCACAGCCATCGCAGCCAGTGTAACACCATTAAGTTAGACCAGGGTCTGAGTGGTGCTTGTGTCTGTGTCTGGTGAGGGTGACTACAGAACTCGTGTAAGGCTTCAGTTAGTAATGTAATGGCATTTAATCGAGTACGTACAGTTGGGGTTTATGAATTTTTTTGTGACTGTGAAGACGACATAGAAAATCAGGGAAGGGGAGTTGTCATGGATGAGATGTCGTACGGGTGGTATGTGTCGGTGTCGGTGTCGGTGTCGGTGTCGGTGTCGGTGTCGGTGTCGGTGTCGGTGTCGGTGTCTCGTTTATGTATGAGTAAGGGTCACAAGAACGAGTCTTTTTTTTATATATACTCCGTCTGGATGTCTGTGTCTGTGTCACTTATGCACCTGCACGTTACATGCACCGATATGCACACCATCTGCAGACCAATACGATGATTTGTGACGTTAAAGTCAATTGTAAGGGCGGAAAAAGCGGAAAAAGGTAGGAGGAGGCGGTAACGTATACACAGCCACAGAGTACTTTCTCTCAAAGTTCACCGTTCTCGAGCAGCCAGTGTCTCACCCTTTTCTCCACCCGCTTAGAGTTTAGACTCCCTTTCAGCCGCCTGGTATGGTGGAGATGGATCTAATATGAGAGTGCACTAGTGTTTGATGACTCCAGAAACGCTCCCAATTGTCTCTACAGACTCAATTAAAAGTGGCAGGTTTCGTTCTATTGTCTGGACCAAATCACCTCTCCCGGAAATGCCACTAATCACTTCTTGCGTCGTTGACCCCAAAAAGATCGTACAAGGAGCCTTTCTTCCCCAAAATTAACATAACCTTTTCACCACCACTTTTGAGACATCTGCTTCAGGAAACTCTGCAAGTATAAAAGCCGCGCCATGGACACCTCCCCGTCGTAGTCGCCATCATGTCAACCATTCTCGTCACCGGAGCCACCGGGTTTATTGCTGGTCAGGTCATTGCAGATCTCCTGAATCACGGGCACAAGGTCTTGGGCACCGTGCGCCAGCTCAGCAAGGCCTCCAAGCTCCAGGAGGCGTTTCCTGAAGCCCACAAGTCCGGCAAGCTGACTTTTGCCACGCTTTCCGATGTTCGAAGCCAGGACGAGCTCAAGGCGATTTTTGCCTCACACCCCGAAATTGCGGTTGTGATGCACACGGCATCGCCGTTTTTCTACAACTCCGAGGACGTGGTCAAAGACCTGCTGGAGCCGGCGCTCGAGGGCACCCGTTCGGTGCTCCAGGTAACCCAAGACGCCGGCCACAACGTGCACAAGGTGGTGCTGACATCCTCGGTGGCCTCCATGCTCGACCCGTTCAGAAACAAGGACCCCAGCTACGTGGCAACGGAGGCTACATGGAACCCCGTCACGTGGGACCAGGCTGCTGAGTCAAACAACGCCGAACTGGCCTACGTAGCCTCCAAGACATTTGCCGAGCAGGAGGCGTGGAAGTTCGTCGAGAGCACCAAGCCGCGCTTTTCGCTGACTACAGTCAACCCTGCGGCGGTGTTTGGACCCCATGCGACCAAAATCGACCCCAAGGCGCTCAACACGTCCAGCGACGTCATCAACAGCCTGGCTCTGGACACCAAGCCTGGAGACACGCCGGGAGACTTTGCGTTTTTGTGGGTTGACGTGCGAAACGTGGCCCGGGCCCATACGTTGGCTATCGACTCCAAGCTCGACGACAAGCGGCTGCTCCTGTGCAACGGCAAGTTTGCGGCCCAGGACTTGGTTGATATTCTCAACAAGAACTTTTCCGACATTCGAGGCACAATTGCGGAAGGTACTCCCGGGAACGGACCCCGAGTCGCCGCCCAGTACTTTAACTACGACAACTCCAATACCCGCCAGTTGCTGGATTTGCAGTGGATTGGGCTCGAGCAGTCGATTGTGGACTTTACCAAGCAGTACGAGGCTGCGAAATCGGAATCACGAGCTGATTGAAGAAGTGTTTGGAGCTGAATGAAAGGGATTGAATGAGGCTAAATGGAGCTGTCATCTGTGCCAATTCTTGATAGCCTTATGAATAGTTGTAAGTTCTAGCGGTAGTTTGTCACGTTTCTTGAAAGATATCCACTTATCAGGATTCATTTGTTTTAAAGACCATTTTGCAGAATTGCCTAGACGAGTTCCACGTGTTTGTTTGTTTGTTCTGAAATCCACGTGGTCGATTCAATGGAGTTGTCGTATTCGCTTCGCAAGCAGAGTTTGAAAGGCGTGCTCGTATTCGCTTAAATGGGGTCTCGTATTCGTTTACTGAAGCTCTCGTGTTCGCTAACCGTCGCATTCGTTTACCCTTGTAATTATTTGCTATTCGAGAACGAGACAGATCAGACCAGACAAGCGCAGGTGCTATGTTGGAAAGCCTTCAAAAATCGCCAAGTTGGGGCGATAACACCTTTCTCTGAATGCAAACTCCTCCTTCTTGCCGGCCAGTTATTTTCCAGCGCAGGTACAACCGAAATGTCTAGAAAAATCACAGAAAACAAACACTCTTCAGAAACAGGCGAACCTCCGTCCTTTGACCAGCAAGGTTCTTCCGTTATTGTGGAATTCGATGTTTGGTTTGATTGTTTTTTTTGCCAAAAAACAAAAAAATGCTTTCCACATCCTCTCCCTATTCAACTCACATATCCTATATTATACATTTTGAAGTAGGACAACAGGATAGACAAAGAAATGACCGGATAACAGCAACAAAGACCGACCGATAAGCACCGTATTCTTATCCGTACTAGCTCCTATTTTCAACAAGCAACACCCATGTCCCATGTCCCATGTCCTCCACCTGTAGGTCTCTTTTCGGCTCCGTCCTTACTGCATCGGCATTGTTCGCTGCGCCTACACCTTTCAAGCACCTCCATGCAAGTCCACGCATCTTGGTGACCTATTTTATTATTTATTTCACTAGTTTTCACTGTATTATTCCGGAGACCCAATGGAGTTAAGACATTCGGCGAACTATCATAGCGGCTTTGTTCCAGGCCTGACCATATGCACATGCACAAGAGGCCTCGATAAGTGAAGAAAAATTAATAAAACATAAAGAAACAAATAAAACAAATAAAACAAATAAAATAAAATAGATAAAACAAATAGAACAAATAGAACAAATAGAACAAATAAAACGAGTCCTTGTTACCTGGCCTGACAATAGCTGCCCACGAATAATATAAGGCGTGCTTCGGGCTATAGTAGTTGCCCATCTGACCAGGCTAAGATCGGTGACGGTGTAAGGAGTAGAAACCAATTGCATGTATCCAGTACATACGCAGTATCAAATGGCGGTATCAATAGTCACTACTGTAGTACAGTACTAGTGTTGGTACCGTAAACGTCCGTGCATTAACACGTGTTGCAACAAGATCTCAATGCAACATTGTCCCTCATAGCAAGATCTAATCGCCGACAACCGCCCGGTTCGCGGGAATGCAACACTCGGCAGCGTTACAATGCATAACTCATACCGGAAGTTGCACTGATATATCATACAACGGTGACAGGATGCCGCCGAAGTCTTTCCGAGGAGGTGCTGGTAGTGCAACATGGTCACTTGATATCAAGGGTACTGTGCTGGCTCTCAAATGCAGTTCTTGGGGCACCAGATTGATTCAGATGTCGTTTGAAGACCCAACTAACACAGATGTTGTTCTCTGGTGCTATCGTTTCAAACACAGGCACAGAGCGGGATACAGACACGACAACGGTCAGGTCTCTTGTGTGACTACATTGGTGGGCGTGAGCTGTAGGTGTTGGTGTTTACGCGAAGACAGACTCTGAGTCCTTCTCATGATTGTGTCTTTGTCTCTGCTAGTAGCAAATCAGTGCATATATCTGTTGTTCTCACGACTGTGTCCTCGTCTCTGATCGTGGCGACTTGGAGACATACACCCACTCTCATCTGCCATGGCGACACTGAAACAGACTCCCGTCTTCGTCTGCGATACATGGCTTCGAGAGTCGCATTTCCACACTCAGCGGTAGATGCACCTGCGACGGCAAGGCTTCAGTCCGACTCACATTCCCGCGTCTGATCTCCCAGAGAACTCCGGAGTGGTCTACACAATGTTATCGATACCCCCGGCAAATGACTCCATTCTGCCCACAAAACTTTGACAAATTCCACCCCCAGTCCCCGAATAAGATATCACGGGACTCAAGCAATCGCTCTCTAGCATGTTTCAGTTCTTTGAATTCATATTCTGACTATCGCCCAAAAAGTCACGTTACGGACCAAACGAAATCACATGACCCATGAAACGAAATCACATGACCAGCAGCCATTTAGATCGTCGTTTTGGTCACATGACATATCGCTTTCACCCCTCCGAAATGTCTCCGGAACCTGCCTCTAGTACCCTAACCCTGTTCAGATGCATCGGTTTTAACGGTTTTTCGGCCGACTTTATTTGTGTGGGGTAAGGATGAGCCGAGGTTGTGAATTGCGGTTTAGGATCAAGTATTTCAGGGTTAGGCAAGTAAATGGAGTGGGCAAAGGGGTTGGGGTTGATATGAGGAAAAAAATTGGTCTCCACAAGTCTCCGTTGTTCCAGCAGAGATCGAGTCTGTATTTTTCACATTTGTTTCTAATTTTGATTACTAACAAACATTAAATATATCGGTTATAGAAATATACATAAATGGCGTCATTATGAGTGAGTTGTAGTTGATATATACAAGAAAATCGGCGAAAAAAGTCAATATGAAAACGAGCAAGAACTCCCCGACGTAATCTGATCATTATTGGACGAGTTACAGGGAGTAGGATGTGGTTGAGGTCTATGGTTGGAGTAATTGTAGTATGGAAGAAGTTACAGAGGTTGAAGAGCCTCGCTGGAACTTGGAATGTGTTAATTGGGGTGGTATATTTCTACTGAAGTAAATTCATCAAAATCCGATGGGAATTGGGGTGATTGCCGATATGCGATTTTCGACGCATGTCTTGTGGTCTTTGCTATCGCTTGATAGGAAGACGATAAAGACTGGAAATAGGTCCAATGACACATTATACTACGAGAAAATTGGATTGAGACCAATAACGGGCACTTTTGAGTATTCTTTATTCCATGAGAGGAGATTTACATGTTGGAAACAGAACAGGGGTTTTAAGAGTCTAAGTACTTCAGAATCGTCATTTTTGACGCTGAAAACTGTGAAAAAAACGTTAGCTATAATTGCTGCCGTTGTGGAGACATATCTGATCAACTTCAAACCCCAGAATGTCTCTCATTTACGTCATCTGAATCGGATCTCATTTTTCTCCATGAAATCTCCAACTTTAATGATTAGCCGAGAGATTGCGGTCAGACGGACGCAAGTTGCCGAAAAACGGTCCTATAGCGGATATTAAAGTGGGATTCAATTCTCCTAGTTCCAAGGAGTCCACTGAACCTCTCTCATCTCCTACATTTCCCCCCAAAACCCTTCAAAATGGAGCATCTATTTCACCCCCGATTCCACATGCACCCCACACGCATGCATGCATGCAGCTGCATAAACCGAAAAACGCACCGAAATAAAAGATAGAGAAAGAAGTTGACTTCCTCTCCATTTTTTGTGACGAGTTAAACAAATACCACGCGCGCGAAAACGGCCCAGAAACAACTCGAATCGACTTGCAATCCGCCCAGCGAGTCTCACAGACGCAAACCAATAGACACACCAATCGACACCACACCAAACGACACTACCCCAATAGACGGTCTTTCCCCAGTCGCCATGCCTCTCGAACTCCCCTCGCTCAACGCCTCGATTGTCGGCAACACCGTTCAGAACGGCGCTGTTGAGCAGTTTCTCAACATCCGATACGCCGACATTCCTGGCAAGTTTGAGAAGCCCGTGCTCAAGAACGATTGGAACGGCGCGGAGATCGACGCCACCAAGGTCGGTCCCGTGTGCCCCCAACCCCGCACCCCATTCAACTTCTTCTCCGTGCCAGACGACCTCTGGGAGAAAGTCAATGTGGACACGTACCAGGACGGTCTGCTGTGCGACAACCTGATTGTGACGCGACCGAAGGGCGTGTCTGCCAACGCCCGGCTGCCCACTGTTGTGTGGATCCACGGCGGCTCCAATATTGAGGGCAGTATCTACAACCTCATCTATGAGCCCCAGTTCCTGGTGGCAGAGTCGGTGCGAGTAGGCAAGCCGATTGTGCACGTGTGTATCGAGTACCGACTGGGTCTCGCGGGCTTCCTCACCAAGAACGGCAAGGGCAACTGGGGCACGTGGGATCAGTACACGGGCTGCCAGTGGGTCAACCGCCACATTCAGGACTTTGGAGGCGATCCTTTGAACGTGACATTGACCGGTGAGTCTGCCGGCTCTGTAGCAGTCCATAACATGCTCATCAAGGACTCCATGAACGGCCGAAAGTTGTTCCGAAATGCCGTCATGATGAGTGGCACTCTCGAGACCATCACTCCTCAGCCTCCCAAGTGGCATGCTCGTTTGGAGGAGAAGGTGGCCAAGGTCACTGGCAAGGAAGTGGCCGACCTTGCTTCTCTGTCCGATAAGGAGCTGCTCGACGCCCAGATCAAGCTCAATGTGGCTGTGTGCATGACTTGCGACGACGGCGACTTTTTCGAGCCCGGATGGAAGCAGCATCTGACTCCTGACTGGCTCGACAAGCTCATCATCTCCGATTGCAAGGACGAGGGCATGCTGTATTTCCTGCCAGTCAACGCGCAGGACGACGAGGAGCTGTTGGCAAAGGTGGCCAAGTCGCCCGTGGGTAAGGAGATTTCCGAGCTTTACGGCATCAAGGAGGGTGGCGATATCAAGTCTGCGTGTCTCGATCTCAAGACTGACGCCACCTTCAATTACTTTAACCATCTGCTGTTCAAGAAGATGGAGGAGGCCCGAAACAACGGCTCCACTTCTCGAGTTTACCGTCTGGCCGTCGATGAGCCCAACCCCCACAACCCCGACCAGCGGGCCCACCACGCCGTCGACGTGCTGTACATGTTCAACTCGACCAAGTTCAACGAGCACGGCGACAAGCTGTCTCGGCTGTTCCAGAGCCACTTTTTGCGGCTGGCGTATGGCCTGGAGCCCTGGGACCATCGAAACTTTGGAGTGTACAGAAACGGCGGCTACCAGCAGCTGCCGCTGAGTGAGTTGAACAAGGTCCGACCCGTCGAGCGGTACGAGGCGCTGTCCAAGATGGACTTTGGCCAGGTTGGGCGTTTGTCCAATGCGCTTTCGCGCCTATGAATCGCGGATGAATATCTGGACACGTATCACTATGAAATTGCCATTGATGAAATCGGGCTTAGTGAATGTGAGCCAGGGGATGAGATGGTAGATGTTGATGTGCGTTCAAGTGATTCGGTTGATGTTGGAGGACAGGCCGAGCCGCGAAGATAGATAGATTTGTAAATGAGTGTTTTGTTGATCTTATCGAATATCTCCCATTCTCTACTGTACGTACTGCAGCGCAATGTAGTTGCTGGAGGTGGTTGGGCGACTTGTTGAGCATCAGGACCAGCTGATCGGGATATACAATACATGGTTGTGGTCGGCTTGACGGCAGTTTTCCCATGGTGTTTTTCAAATGACCATATGAGCAGTTTTAGCATGCCGAGTCCAGGATCTAGGTCACATGTATACCGGCGGCTCTGATTTACTGCGCAGTTCTAGAGATAGATTCACTATGTCAGACGGCTAGGCTAGTCCAGCAGTCGGTTAAAGTAGAAGGGGGGCATGAACATCTGGGTTAGTATAGTCAGGGGGGGAGGTTGCTTGAGTACGGTGGGTGGTGGTGGAAGGGTAATGGTTGTAGGCGGTGGTGAAGGGTAATGGTCCACGAGGATCTTTTTGATCTTTCAAGATTCCATCTCAGTTTCAATCTGGGTGTCTGGTATCTGGGTCAATCAAGTCAATCAACCAACCAATCACAACCAGTCAATTGCTATCAAGAGATGACAGAGTGTGGTCACCAGCCCAACGTTCGACCAGGATCTACCGCACAGTGCCAGATCCGCACTAGCCACGCCGCAAGTGACAGCACATCGCTGAACATCACCATCACCATCACCACCGACGTAGCAGTCCCAGCAGCTGCGCCACTTGGCCATAGGACTGTCAGACTACCTCGACAGTCCCCTTGCTGAACGCTCATACTCACGGCCTGAATCTTGACATTGGTCAAATCCCAAACGCCCTCCTTGGCGTACACGTCTCCCTTGAGCTTCTCCACAATGCTGTCACGGTCGTCAGTCTGCACAATCAGCGTGGACCCAGTCACCTGGGGGGTTTCGCCGGCGCCAGGATGCTTGTCGGCAACGCCTCCGCCGCAAATGATGAAGTTGTTGCCGGCAGACTTGTTCTGCAGAGCCTCCAGATGGGCGGGTCGCAGAGACATTCGCTTTTCGAGCATACCGGGCTTGTCGGCGACCTGGACGAGAAAGAATTGCATGGCGGGCGAGGAGGTGGAGAAGGGACGGAGTTGTCGGGCGACAGAGTTGAGTCGGAGCATGTGAGGTGATGCTGTGGAGTCTGGATCTGAATTGCGGGGTCCTCTGAACTTAAATGGTCAGTGGCTGGGTTTAGTTAGATATAACTAGGTCATAGTTAGGTTTAGTTGGATCCCACTTCCTGATAGTTGGGTTTAGTTGACTCTTGCGGGTGCTTGAAGTATGGTGATTTGGGTGTGTCCATCTCTGTACAGGCTACTTGGAGTTGATTACAATAACACATTGTGATTACTAAGAATAATTACCAGGACCAGGACCGAAGTACCCGACATCCGGAAGAGGAGGTGGAGGAATGGTGGAGCCGTCCCTTCCGGCGGTGGAAACGTTGTTGCCCACCAGCTGAGGGGTCTGTCGTGGTACTGGACTGCAAAAAAGATGATGATGGCGCTGAGAGCGACTCCTGTGTCCATGCCTGCGGAGAAAACGTAGGCGTACTTTCTCACCAAGCCAGGAACCGCTTCATGATGAACCAGTTGAACCCCAGGGCCACGTATACCGTGATGACCATTTGGTCAGGTTGTAGGGAGTCCAGCCCAAAAACCCGTTGACGATGATCAGAGGATGGGCCTTGGTCACGATTCGCTGGTACCTGAGAATCTGCTTCGTCTTGTGGGGGTACCTGTTCAGCAGCAGCAGTTGCGGAATTGCAAATTGGACTGCCCAAAAGACAAACCCGACCCCAGCTCCCCGCAGAAACATCCACTTGAGAACCGGGTATTGGTGGTCAAAGATTCGCTTGGGTCCAACCAGCCCCCAAATGATGGAGGCGGAGAACAGAGTGGTTTCGTTGGGACAGGAGAACTTCATGGCGTTGTGTTTGGTGCAAATGTCGTTGATGGAGAACTGGAATTGCATGACTCCGAGACAAACCAGCCCATTGACCAGCGTGGCCCACAGTTGGATCAGACAAATGCTCCGGGGAGGCAGGATGTGCGCGTAGTGGGTGGTTTTCTGGTCGGTGGTGTAGATCATGGCCTGGTCTGCCACCTGAACAACCAGAGCCTTGGTGGCGCCGAGGGCCTGGAATGAGCCTGGAAGAGCGTATCCAATGCTCGACCACAGCCATGGAAACCCCAAAGGTGGCGAGTAGAATGCAGTAGAACCACCAGTCGGGCACCTCCTTGTGTTTCTTTTGCATTCGAGAGAAGGGACCTCCCAGGCCCTCATGGTTGGACCGGTGGAGATATCTCAGGGCCAGCGCCGTGTCTTTAAGTGCCGTCCACATGGTTTTCCCGGCAGGTGTAAACAAACACCATGGGGTAGCTGGGGAAGTGCTCCGTAAAGAAGGAGGTTGGCGGCGGTCTATTCAGGAGGGGAGTAGTTTTGGTATTTCTGCTCGTCAAACAGATAGTTGGTGAGGATTTTGGTCACGTCGTAGACGTTTCCCGAGTTGTCATACAGTCTGTTATCGTTGATGGGCAGCCACGTGGTGTAGTTGTTGGTGTAGAACACCGCCAGAGTCGGCAGAATGGTTGGGCACATTGACATGACCGGGTAGACTGCAACTCGACGGAGAATTCCCCCCAGTCCAAACCCCATGAATTGGGTCACCAGCATGAGCAAAAAGCCGTAGCCGAACCCTCCCGACCATTTCGGGTTGTAGAAAAGAGACAAATGAAATGTTGCATTAAAAAATGTTCTCAGCGGAATATAGGGCCTCAATTGGCGCAATTGACCATGACGGTGGCCAGCAGTTGTTCTTTCTGGGACCATTTTCCGGAGTTCAGTGTGAACCTGTGGCCTGTAATGGAGAATCCCCAGTCCGGCAGACAGTATTGCAACAGTAGTCCAGCGTAATATAGCAATACCTGACACACGGAGGGAGTCAGAGTGATACCCGGGTATCGGACGTCGAAAAAACATGTTGACAAACGAAGTCACCCCGACCCAGATGATTCCCAGAAGAACGGCTCGCCAGGTAAGTGCACACTGGTTTTCGTCGTCAAAAGGATCGGTCACAGCACGAACCTCGGGGTACGGAGACCACCAGTGCAACAGAGTGGCCCAATATCGCAATTGCTTCGACCGTTGGGCAGGATCCGCCCCCAAGTCTTCTTCGTTTTCTTCGTCATTCTTCTCGCTCTCTTCACCAGAGTCCAAGAGCCCCTTGAGCGTGTCCATGAAACAGGCGTTGAATTTGGGGTCGTGGCTGTGGTACTAAACTCCTCTGGTGCAAATGATAACGGCCTCTTCTTGGGTCATCTGGGCGAACTTGTCGGCCATAAACACAACTTCGGCCGAGTACGTACCATCAATGATGTTTGGAGGAGTCCCGTGTTCCTTGGCAACGTAGTCGAACTCCTCAGCAGTTGCCTCAGTGTCGCTACTTGTAGCATCGGTAACCTCTCCGATCTCGGTTTCGGCTCCAACCGCTCCAAACTCCGGCTGCTTCTTTTCAAAGGGAGCGTCTCTGTAGACATTTCCGGTGCGATAATCGAATGGTAATCGAATGGAGGCAAATACAACCCCCATATATATGTGATGACAATCTCTATGATGGTCATTCTCACGGCGCCCTGGGGAGCCCGTATCCCTTCTGCATATTTGGAGATAAACAAATTAAAGTTAATCTACATGCACATGGCATGTTCCATGCACATCGCTAAAGCATAGTACGCATGTGATATGCGAGTACGGCCCCGCTAAAATCGATGAGAGTTGGCACGGCTCGAGACCATGTTGTTTAGGAAGGACTTTCGCGTTTCCTGGTTAATTTGCGAATCACAGATAAGTATAGGGTGTTCTTGGACGATTCTAAATCATCAATTTCGAAAAAACGAGTTTGTCGATCACCGATTTAGCGACTTTGGCGATTTAGCGACTTAGTATCATGGGCTGCTCGGACTAGGAACCTTGCGTGCCGTTCCTCAGGAATGAAGAACTCGATAATGCATATCGGAGCGCTCTTGCCTGGTGCCGTGCTCAAACATGGAGCTACATGTACCTACAGTATGTACTGTACATATTCTATTGATGAGATTTCGAAATTGTGGCTAACATGGATCGTTAATGAGACGGTATACAATTGTCGCTCTCTCTCGCAGGTAAGCTACTTTAAAACATCTTGTATATGTTTGTCATATTTGTTCTTGTAGACATTCTGTAGATGGTGTCGTGGAGAGAGAAGGGAAAGGTTACTGGAGCGAAGAGCCCCGAATCGCCTGGTATTACTTTCACCTCCGTGCAAATATTGCTTCAAGGCTAACAATTGCTGTTACCAAATGATAGAAAAGACATGTGATTGGGAAAGGCGTCTATTTGAATGTTACTACTTCTGCTGTCTCTCTTCCAGTTTGACGTGCTTGTGAAATGCTTACCATCATCCCCAGTCCTCCATCAGTTGTACGAATCGGTTTTTGTCCATATTTTACAACACGTGTTTGGGAACCAGTGTCGCTAGTTGGGAATGGTAGCCTTCCCATGTACATGGTGCTTCGTCACGTTCATCGTCGAACCCCACAAACCTCTTAATAGAGTCCTGGTTGGCTAGTTGTCGAACCTCGTGTACTGGTGGGTCGATAAGATGCACGTCCCGTTCGCAAGAATTCCACATTGATTGTTAGATGGCGTCTCAACTCGGGAAGAAGCGCGCAGTCTTGAATGCCTTGTCTCCGACTTGTTCTTCTAGCCGGTAGGGTCCGAAATACACGTCTTGGAATCTTCGCCCTTGTTGCAGTAAGTCTTACGATGGGATACTACCAGGTGTCCCTTCTTCACTTTGACTTTGCTGCTGTGTTTGTTGACCCTGGATTCTTGTAACCGCTGCAATTCCACCACTCTGTCCTGGATTTCGCCTTGGATCATCTCCATTTTATCCATCCAGTCGTCCATCTGATGGTGGGGATTATCCATCACCGAGTCGACTCGTATGAGGGTTCATGTGACCCTAAAAGAGTTAAAGTGACACCGTATCTGCTCTAGGACTCTTCTGGTCGCTTTTTTATCTTTTTTATCTGAAAATATCCCCCACATCTTCAAACCGCTTGCGTTTTCCAAACTCCAAGTTGGCTTTGGAGATAACGTATCAATGCCATTATATGGATGACAGGGAATTAAAAGATGGCGGGTGAGTTTGTCCCAAAGAGACAGCAGTTAGACAGCTATTCTGAGACGTTGCAAATAATACCATGAGCAGTTTACATTGAATGATAACTCATCCCCGTATGTAGGCCGATCAAGGTCTCTGTAGAGATGTGAATGTTCGCTAGAGAAAGAGTTGTTTCATTTGAAGCATGTTGGCGCTCTTTGTTGGCTTTGTCGGTAGTGCTAGATCGACTACCTATCTTCACATTTTCCACTTTGGCCCCAGAGGACTCTGGTAAATTTCAGGTTTTAACACCACTTGGGTCCACGAAGACATACCAGGGAGATAGAAAGTCGTCAGTAGATATTTGTTCTTGAAATGGTCTGATTTTGCCAAAAATAGTGCCCAAATAGTGCCTAGAGCACTTCAAACTGACCACTCGTTGTACTGCCAAGTATTGTGCCTGTCCACTTTTTTAGTTGAGATGTTTGTTGGAACTTGTTGAAAAAAAAGTCTGCTGAGGGTTCAATATCTATGATGCGAAAGGGGGAAGACACCAAAACTAACTGATATATGGCCTGTTCACAATTCTTTTATATAACTTGCAATTATATCTGATTATCTGCATATTAGTCGCAATCCGTCATTCTAATTAGTTGGTCTAATACTTAAAGCTACAGTAATACAGGTAAAGCGGCTCAAGTAAGACTAACTAGAACCGAAAAAAAAAAAGAACCGGATCGATTGCAGTCAAGTCGATCAAAGTCATTAAACACAAAAATATCCAAAGACTTTGGTGTTTAAAGAATTTAGTTATATTTAGACAGATTAATCCTCGCTGAACGGAGACTTGGTTCCGTTTGTGATGGTAAATCCACCTACGAGACCGATACCGCCTGATGCGAGAGCTCAGTGCAAATATATCAGCATATTGTTATGACATGTGGTAAATATTAGTATATAGATGGAATAAAGACGATATAGGGAGTAGATTGGTGTACTTCTTATAGTATTTTTCACTGTATAATAGTTCTAAACTGAATGGATCCAGTCACACCATGTCCAAACAAGATAGAAACATCTGGGTGTTTTTGTATGATACGAGGTGATTAATAAAACAATATAATAATCAGTGGAATCCTTGATAATAATGGAGACAATTGATGAAGTTTTTGTATTTATTTGTAGTGAATTGGCCATCTGGTTGTCTTCCGCTGAGATCAAAGAGCCATTGGACTAGTGAGTAACTGTTGACTGGAAAAACCTCGACGAGAGTGACAAACCACTAGTTTCCATTCTGAGGCCCAAAAACTACTCAGCTGAAGTCGGTCCAGGGTGCGGAGACTCCTCTGATGAGTCTCTCTGATAAAGAAGAGTCTGGTTTATCGGTGTCGCGGCATACAAACTTGCACTTACTCTCCCCAGCATGCGTTTGAGAGTGTGTCAGCTGAACTGATTGGATAGCCATGTGAGTAGCTACAAGTACATACTGTAGTCCGCCATCTTCAGAAGAACATGACCTGCAAGTTCAGATCTCAATCTTGGACGACTCCTGCGTCAGCAACGGGTTCTACCTGCCTATGCTGTACCTGTCTACAGTCGATACATTTACGGGAGAGAAGCGAAATGACGAAATGTTGCAAGTGGTACGACTTGGAGGTTCCGCGGCCCCCGGAACGACAAGACCCGTATTCAGGACTCTGCTACGGGACTCCGTTACTTGATGGAGTTACGATAGATACATGCTCGTCTCATGAAGAGCAGAGTACACAATTGAGCTGGTTACAGCAGTTATTGAGCATTTTAGAGTCTTTGAATGAGCTATGGTAGCAGTGGGTCATTTTGGTGTGTATGAGAGGTCAGGGAATTCCATTTGCCCGGTAGTTTCGTGTGTCGGAGGTCAGAGTGATTCAGAAATCAATTCACGAGTTCAGGAGTCATCATGTTCACATATTTATCACGTATGAATCACCAAGTCGAGGCTTGATTTCTAGAGGCTCCAGTTGGTCAACTTGTAGATGTAGGAGTCATTGCTACTGCTGATATTGAAGTCATGTACTGATAATAGCTGTCTATACAGTACGGTACATACTAAGAAGAAATACAATAACTAGATAAACACAGAATGTCTCACGGATAATGATCCGGACCAGGACCAAAATAGCCAACATCCGGCAGTGGAGGAATGGGAATACCCTGGCCATCGACTCCGGCACTGGAGACATTGTTGCCCCACCAACTCAGACCATAGTCGTTGTACTCCACGGCAAAAAAGATGACGATGGCGCTGAGAGCCACTCCGGTGTCCATTCCCGACGAGAAAACATAGGCGTACTTTCTCCACCACTCCAGGTAGCGGGTTTTCAGGTACCAGTTGAAGAGAATGGCGAGATAGAAGCCTCCAGTCATATAACTGAGGTTGTAAGGGGCCCAGCTGAGCATGGCGCTGCACAGAATGAGCGGATGGGCCTTGGAGACGATTCGCTGATACCGGAGGATCTTTTTGATGCTGGCGGGGTATCTCTTGACCAACACCATGGGAAGACCGTACTGGAAGGCCCAGAAAAGCAGCCCGACTCCTGCCCCCAGCAGAAACATCCATTTGAGCACCGGATACTGGTGGTCGAAGATTCGCTTGGGGCCAATGACTCCCCAGATGACCGAGGCGGAGAACAGGGTGTTTTCGTTAGGGCAGGAGAACTTCATGGAGTTGTGTTTGGTGCAAATCTCCTTGACGCTGAACATTTGGAACTGCAAAACCCCCAGGCAGACCAGTCCGTTGACCAGAGTGGCCCACAGCTGGATCATAAAGATGCTGCGGGGAGGCAGGTGGGCGTAATGGGTCGTTTTCTGGTCGGTGGTGTAGTTCATGGCCTGGTCGGCAATCTGGACCATGAGGGCCTTGGTGGTATTGAGGGCCTGAAACTTGCCCGGCAGAGCATAGCCGATGATCAGTTCACCCAGCACGTTGAGGGTCAGAAGAACTCCGGAAATGGAGTAGAAAATCGTGAAGGGCAGCAGGAAAACAAGACACATTCCCAGACACAGCACAATGACCCACACCGGCGTGTCTGTGGGCCAATGTTCGACCAGTGCAATGGACAGTCCAAACATGATGAGCAGAATGGCATAGAACCACCAATCGGGCACTTCCTTGTGTTTTTTCTGGATCCGCGAAAAGGCGTCGTCCAAACCCTCATAGTTGGACCGGTGGATGTACCGCAGCGACAGCCACGTGTCTCTCAGAGCGATGCCCATCTGTTTCCAGTAGCACAGAACCGAGTAGACAAACGCCATGGGGTAGAGGGCGAAGAAGGCGCCGTAAAGCACCAGGTTAGCCGCCGAGTAGTACGGCGGAGAGTATTTTTTGTACTTGGATTCATCGAAAATGAAGTTGGTCAGAATCTTGGTCACGTCGAACGGGTTTCCCGTGTTGTCGTACAGGGTGTTATCGTTGATGGGCAGCCATTTGGTGTAGTTGTTGTTGGTGTAGAACACCGCCAGAATGAAGAGTCCGGACACGAACATGCCCACATACTGGTTCATGGAGGAGTAGAGCGGGGTGAGAATGGGCGAAATGAGCATGTTCATCATATTCCAGTCAAAGGTGGGGATTGGGTTGTATCCCATTCCGCTGATGGAGCCCGTGACGATGGCCAGATCGGCGTTATTGGGCGCGATCCAGGTCATCCAGTTCCAGGTGGAAATGGCGGTCCACAGGTAGTTGGGGATCCAAAAGTAAAGGAAGGAGGCTAGAAAAACGAGAAAGAAGAAATGGTATCGGGTGATGGTCCATCCGTTGATTGATTCTTTTCGATTGGGGGCCAGTAAAGCCTTGTTGACCGCCAGAGTCGGCAGAATGCTGGGCCACATTGCCATCACCGGGTACACTCCCACTCTTCTGAGCAGTCCAGCGAGTCCAAATCCCATGAACTGGGTCACCAGCATGAGCAAAAAGCCGTAGCCGAACCCTCCAGCCCATTTCTGGTTGTAGAACATGGGCATGTATTGAATGAAGATGTTTTCAGCAACGTAGGGGGTTCCGTTGGCGCAATTGACCATTACCGTGGCCAGAAGTTGCTCCTTTTGCGACCATTCGCCAGGGTTCAGTGTGAACCTGTGGCCCCGAATGGAAAACCCCCAGTCCGGCAGACAGTATTGCAACAATCGTCCGGAGGGATAGAGCAGTAGTTGGCAAACGGAAGCCGATAGGGTGATTGCAGGCAGTCGGGGATCGAAAAACTGGTTGACAAACGCGCCAACTCCGACCCAGATGGTGCCCAGCAGCAACACCCGCCAGGTCAAACACGTCTGGCTGTCGTCGTCAAACGGGTCTGTCACCGCGCGAACTTCGGGGTACGGAGACCACCAGTGGAACAAAGTAGCCCAGAAACGAAGCAACATGGATTTTTGAATCGGGTCCAGGTCGTCTTTCTCGTCTTTCTCGTCTTTCTCGTCTGAGGCGGCCTCATCGGGATCGCCGGAACCGTTGAACGACTTCAACAACTCCGCCAACAAGTCCTTATGCGAGTCGCGGAAGTTGGGGTCAAACTCATGATACTTGAGGTTGCGGGTGCAAATTTCAATCGCCTCATTCTCGGACATGAGCAGAAATTTCTCCGCCATAAACAGAACGTCTGCGGGATATGAGCCGTCCACGTCGTTTGGAGGAGTACCCAGCTGCTGAGCAACGTACTCAGTTACATCGGGGGGGATTTCAGAGATCTCCGGCACGTCCGAGACGTCCAAAACCTCACCAATCTCCGTCTCCACCTCCTCCTCGGACGATTTTTCTTTTCCAAACAGTTTTAATCGGAGCATGGTAGGGGGGTGTGATGAATGAGTGCAGTCAACCGGAGAAATGGATATATATATACACACGAAGAAGCCCAAATCAGACGAAGAATCAGCCAGATAAAGACCAATATCAACCTCTCCACTCATGCATGCTGAAAACGCTCCGAGAAACACTATCATGAAACCCACACCCCCTTTCACTTTGCTTATCGCCATCGTTTGAAAGTTCACAGATAAGTCGACTTGAGGGAGTGCGGGATGGGGAAAGAAGTCCTTTGTACATACGGTTGACGTTCCTCATTTTGTATCTATCGTTCCACCTCCCCCACCAGTCCAAATCGCCAAGAACGCCAAGTGCCAAGCCCATCAACCGTTTTTCTCGCTAAACCTTTTTTTTTTTTTTGTTGTGTTTTTGCGTTGACCTTTGGACCTTTGTGAACGCTTACAGATACCATCTGGCTTTGGTGCCGTACCGATAGGAAAATACGAGCACTCGTACAAAGGTAGTAGTACGATGTTGGTCAATACAGATCCATTTGTCTATTCCGCCCTCCATAGATGGCCTACACAATCACATCAAAGTCAATACACGAATAACTCTGGTCAGTTCTGGAGTTTGTGGGCAGATGGTACAAAGGAGACGGTTGGGGGATATGAAAACCGTACATTGAGGTGACGTTATGTCAGACATGTTGATTGGACATGTTTGTTGGACAGAAGAGACGAAGAGACGAAGAGACTGCACGTACAGTACCATGGACATAACAGACTTTTCTCTTATCTAAGCGTTATCTTTGGGCCCATCTCTTGTGGGGTATTTGGGTTAATCCGCTAGTTGCCTGTGGGTGGTGGTGGCCGTTTTGTGGTGTGTTCTGGAAGGCGATGGGGGAGTTCTATGGGGTGTAGCGAGTCGTCTTGTGGAGATGGTCGACTTGTGTGGCTGTTCAGTGGTTAAAAAGGGCGGTCGTAGTCAATACTATTCACTTCAGTACTATACCATTACTCACCCGCAATAGCCTAGCAAACTATTTAGCAGCCATACACGGCACCAGATAGCAGAGATAGGAGCAAGGGCTGGCGCGCGGCTGACCAAGTGGGCTGTTAGAGGGAAGATAGTGACGCAGTGGGAGATTACGAGTGTTGAGGGGTGAGCTATCGATCTGACCACATGTTGTACAGAGCAGCTCCAAACTACTGACGACTCTAGAGCTGATAATGACGACAAGAGCTGACAATGACGACAAGAGCTGACAATGACGACTCTAGAGCTGAAAATGACGACTCTAGAGCTGAAAATGACGACTCTAGAGCAGAAAATGACGACTCTAGAGCTGAAAATGACGACTCTAGAGCTCCAAATTCTCCAGCTTAGAAGTACAACTAGTCTGGGGTTGTCTGGAACTCCCAATTTTACGTCAGAGATGTGTATCTGACTGAGGAATCAAGTGAACGAGTCCGCAGCCCGTCCATGTCCATGTTTCCAGCAGAATCTGGACTTCGTCAGTGTCCCTGGGCTTTATGTAGAGTGACTCCCATTAAAATCGTAATGTCTAATATAGCAGAGACGGTCCCCTTGTCCGCCTACTTCAACACCATGGTCCTGTTATTCCATACTCACTCGCACTCCCCGCAAACGGCGCTGTTGGCTAACAAGTCAAGTCCATCCAGTCGATGAAAACAAGAATCCACACTTCCACATGACATTCCATGACACTCTACGACATTCCACGACATTCCACGGCCTAGTGACTCTTGTACTGTTCCCTAATACTCTCTGCAACGGAATTCTACAGCTTGATGATGGCTTTTGTGACAAAAACGGCCAAATAAAACTGACAGATGATCCGAAACACTACCAATTCTATGACAAATCCACACGTGACTTATACACCTGTTCGAATGGCTTAGTCATCGACATACCCCAAATCTCAAGAATGGGTCCATCCACGTCAGTTTCGAGACGCAGACGGAATCGGACCGGGATAGCCGATTTCGAGAAAGTTGACTTCGAATATACTCACGTGAAGGGGGGCCTGTCACGTGGTTTCTGCTACGAGTAGCTCAACAACCGCGCCAGTGGGTGGGTGTTTCAGGCAAATTACAGGTGGATTTCTAGAGACTGACATGCTCAAGACACTGTTCACAGTTGTAAGATTTCACGTGAATGGACTCGAAACGAGGTCCATCTGTGTGCTACAAGACCATTGTTCTTGTTTCTGTTACTCAGGTTGATTGGAGTATCCCCAGTAAGCATGTTGAGGACGTTTGTCAGTTCGTTTATCAGGTTACTTATCATCACTTGAAGGGAGACCAAAATCCAGTCACGTGACTCTACCTAAGCGTGAATCTACCAAACATGTACTTGAAAAGATTTGATTGCTGATTATTTAACTGAAAGTGGGCTACAAGTATCACGTACCACCAGTGTACCAGTGATGCACAGTATGTAGCTGGCTTTGGAGTACTGTACCACTGAACTTCACTCATGCAACCATTGAAGAATATAAAAGAAAAAATGTACTTGAGAATTGATAAAGCAAGCTGTGTGAAGAAAACCTATGCAATTAGTTTTCCTTTTCACTTCTCCCTGGGGTAGTAATGGCGGTCGAGTCGAATGATGCTTGCAGTTAGATTTTTGTCAACATACCAACTAATGATCAAGTGCGGTACTATTGGGTAATTCAAGTACAATAGTATAGGGTAATACAAGTATTGTATAAGTTTTTTGTGTCGTTTACTACGTCATCACCGAGACTGAAGCCTTGCCCTCACTTTGCAGGTTGTCAGTGTTCCTATATATCGGAAAAGAAAAAAAAAAAAAAAAAAAAAAAAAAGTAACACCGAAAACTCTAAATCATTTCCGAGCCGCACGGCTGGGGGTGGTGTTTTGGGGGGTCTTCAAATGGAGCAAGAAGGAAGATTTTCTAGAAAAAAAAGTGAAAACCCATTGAAATGGACTGGAGAAGTAGGATCATGCCTTTTTATTTTAAATATAATCTTTTTTGACCGAATTGTGATGCTTTGATTGTACCACATACTTTGTTGAAGTTTGTTGAAATTTGAATATATTTGTGAGAAAAATACTTGACAAAAAATGATCCAGTAGCACCATGGAGGTTGGTTAAAAGTATCTCCCGCGTCTCTGGAACTTGTCCATGAAGTTATCATGACATTCACGACAGTTTTATGGACCATTGTCAGCGCTGATTTACGAGGTACTAAGGCCGCGTAGCTGAAGTGCAGGGCGGTGTAGTCAGTGAGTGGTGATGGTCACTGTCGGATCAGCTGGAGGTGATTACCACTGAATTGTCGTTATCGCTTGGGCGTGTCCGATTCAGCCTTCATTGCTATTTTACCACTTTATACACAATTCTGAAGACGCTTCTCTAAGGACATCCCTACTCCAGTATGTACAAGAACAACCCACTGAACAGCCGAGATATGTGAAGGTCACGTGAGTCTAGTACTTTTACCACAAGTAAGATACATCTCATGGACTCGTTTCGCGTGAGTGAATTACGTGACTCGAAGAAGATCATCACACGACGACCACAGTAGTGTTCGAGAGCACTTTGATGTAGATTACAAGTTTCAAGGATCCGAATTACTCTATTGCCGAAGAAATGAAGGGTGGCTAGTATGATAAAAGTTGTTTGTAGGAGTTTTAATAGCGGAATCAAAAGAGTCGATTGTGATTAGACCATTATTGGCGGAGTTAGGTTGGTGTCCTGAGGGCAGAAGGGCGTGGGGCAGAAGGGTGTCAATTTGAGAATATTGGAGGCATCTAACGACGGGAATCAGTTCATGGTATTATTTATAGATATTGTAATATCTGTTACCAGTTTGAATCATTCCAATCCTGTCATTACTGCAAAAGTTGAAGTCATTCTGAGAAGATTCGAAAGAATACAAAACAAATAAAACAAAACAAAAAACACGCAAATTTGAGACACAAGTAGTCTGGAATGTATAAGAAAGGGTTTAAAATACTTTTTCAGTTGATTCCAACTTATTGGGCACCATTTGAAACTCACTGAACTTGACTGTTTACTACGAGCGAGTACTTAAAGGAGCATGAAGATGTCAATACCAGAGCACTCAAGATAGCTTTGGACTTTGGAGAGTTGCTACTTTTCATGAACTAAACGAACATATTGTTTTGGTCAACTCTTTGAAAGTCTCTGTTGTTTCAGCCCCCAGTGGAGAAGTATTTTTCCGTATCTGTCAAAAACCCAGGTCGGGTCGTTGGTGGGACTAAACCAGGTCATGTGATTAGTTCTATAAAGTCACTTGGTCACGTGATTAGTTGTATGATATCATTTGACCACGTGACTTGTTGTGTAATATCATTAAACCACGTGACTTGCGTATTGCAGTCTACATATACTCGAGCGAATATGAAACTGGGATCGATGGACCGGAAAAGAGTATTCAGTTGGGTGGCAGGCAGATAGGTTGATCACGTGATGTGCTTGAACTCTTGACGTTGATCATATGATGAGATGTTGACGAACACTCTTGTTTTATCACGTGACTCAGGACATTACTCCACTTACTGTACTGTACTCGGACAAATATTACCTTGTACAAAAGTTCACTATTGGCTATGGAAACTGACCAGGACCAGGACCAAAATAGCCATTCTCGGGCAACTGTGGAGTTGAGACTCCCTGACCGTCCATTCCGGCGTACGACACGGAGTTGCCCCACCAATTGAGCGCGTGGTCGTTGTATTGGACCGTAAAGAATATGACGATGCCGCTGAGAGCGACTCCGGTGTCCATTCATGCCGTTGTATTTTCTCCACCAGGTCTGGAATCGGGTCAGCAAGTACTAATTGAATATGGCGGCAATGTATACCATCCCCATGAAGTAGGAGAGGTTTCTGGGGGACCTGAAGAGCATTCCCGAGCAGAAAGTCAGGGGGTTTGCTTGAGTAGCGATTCGTTGTTATTTGAGGATTTGTTTGGCATTTTGGGGGTGTTTTTTGAGCAGGTATGTCGGAATTCCAAACTGTAGAGTCCAGAAGACCACTGCCCGCCCAGCTCCGAGCAGAAACATCCATTTGAGTACCGGATATTGGTGGTTGAAGATTTGTGGGGGGCCTATGACTCCTCAGATGACCGAGGCGGAGAACAGCGAGGTCTCATTTGGACAGGAGAACTTCATGGGGTTCTCTTTTGTGCAGATATCGCGAGTGTGGTGCATCTGGAACTGAAGGACCCCCAGACAGACCAGTACGTTGACCAGAGTGGCCCCCACAGTTGGATCCCGAAGATGCTTCGAGGGGGCAGATGGGCGTAGTGGGTCTGCTTCTGGTCCTGGGCGAAGTTCATAGCCTGTTCGGCAATCGTCATCATCAGCGCCTTGGCTGTGCTGAGGGCCTGGAGCTTGCCCGGCAGAGCGTAGCCCACGAAGAGCTCGCCTAGCACGTTGAGATTCAGCATGACTCCAGACATGGAGTAGAAGATGCAAAAGAGCAGTAGAAACGCGCAGCACATGCCCAGGCACAGAAAAATGATCCACACCGGCGTGTCTGTGGGCCAGTGTTCAACCAGAGCGATTGAGAGGTCAATTATGATGAGCAGAATGGAGTAATACCCCACCAGTCTGGCACGTCGGGGTGTTTTTTCTGGATTCGACAGAACGGATCGTCCAGCCCCTCGTAGTTGGATGGATGCGGGGGTCGAAATGTGTCCCAGGTTTCTCCAATTGCGGTCCCCATTTCCCGCCAGTGGCATAGAATTGAGTAGACGAAGGCCATGGGGTAGAGGGCAAAGTTGGCGCCGTAGAGGACCAGACTGGCGGCGGAGAAGTACGGCGGAGAGTACTGTCTGTATTTTGTATCGTCAAACTGGTAGTTGGTGAGGATGAGCTTCACGTCAAATGGTCTGCCGGTGTTGTCGAACAGCGAGTTGTCGTTGATGGGGATCCATCGGGTCCATTTGGAGTTGCAGTCGTAGACGGCTAGGGTGACCAGCCCGGAGAGAAACATTCCCAGATACTGGTTAAGCGCGGAGTGGAACGAGATCAAAATCGGCTCGATAATGCCAGTGATCACGTTCCAGTCAAATGTCGGCACCGGGTTGAATCCCATTCCAGAGATTGAGCCCGTGACTAGGCCAAATGGGCGTTTTGGGGGGCTACCCACGTGAGCCAATTCCACGTCGAGGTCGCTGTCCACAGGTAATTGGGAATCGAAAAGTAGACAAAAGAGGCTAGGAAAACGACGAAATAGAAATTTTATCTCGAAATGGTCCACCCGTTGATGTTTTCGCCCTTTCTGCCAGGAGCTAGAAGCACCTTGTTGACGGCAAGAGTAGGGAGAACAGTGGGCCACATGGCAGTCACAGGATACGCTCCGACGCGCCGAAGCAGTCCCGAGAAGCCAAATCCCATGAATTGGGTCACCAGAATCACCAGAAACCCGTATCCAAAGCCCCCAGCCCACCTCTGGTTGTAAAACATGGGCATGTACTGGACGAGGATGTTTTGGGCCACGTAGGGCGTTCCGCCGGCGCAATTGAGCATGATGGTGGCCAGCAGTTGTTCTTGGTCGACCATTCGCCTGGATTCAACGTGTATCTGTGTCCTCGAAAGCTGAATCCCCAATCCGGCAGACAGTACTGTACTAGACGTCCTGAGGAGTACATGAGCAGTTGGCACACTGGGGCTCCCAGAACGATGGCAGCTCGAAGAACTGGGTCACAAACGCCCCCAGACCGACCCATATCGTGCCCAGGACCCACACTCGCCACGTTAGACACAATTTGGTGTCGTCGTCATAGGGGTCTGTCACCGCTCGAACATCGGGGTAGGGGCTCCACCAGTGGAAGATTGTTGCCCCATATCGGAGTAGGAGTGAGTTTTGGTGGGTGGGGTCAAGATTCGGGCCACCAGTCGGGTTAAGGGAGCTTTTTGTGTCTCACAAGTCTGGGGGTGCGATATCCGAGGTGGTAGATGCGTTATCGGAGGTATATGCATAATCTGATGTGGTACATGCATTATCGGGGGTGGGAGATGCATTATCAGAGAGGGTAGATGCATTATCGGATGCCCCATAACAGCCCGACAAAACCTTCAAAACTTCGCCGTCTGAGTCCTTGAAAAGAATCTCCGGATCGAGCCCACTGGCGTCAGAGATCTCGACAAAGTCATCGTCAGTGTCACTTGCCGTCGTGTGTGCGGTCTAGTTGGGCATCGAGATGGGCATCAAGTTGGGCATCAATTTTGAGGTCATTTTTGGGGCCATTAGGGGCATTTTTGGGGTCATTAGGGTCATTTTTGGGGTCAACTTCAACACTATCTGACTCTGAAGTTGTGGACATGTTGATGGTAGCGAGAATACTGCTCATCTCCCTCTCTTTATCTCCGTTTCTGGTTCATTTCGACGACCAACTACAACCACCATTTGTCGATACTGCAAACTCTCATGGACAATTGAGTCGACCCGAGAGTGTAACCTACTTGTGGACGACTCATTGGGGTCAATATCACCTCGAGAAAGGGTCCAAGGTTTTGTGAGAGTGCCCCTTGAGCTCGGCGGAATACCAGCCATATACGTGTTATCCTAGTAACCTTCTTATATATACATTATGTCGACTGATGAACTTGATCCAAACATATACTCACCGTGTACTCCGCACACTCTTACATGGTGACATGTAAGCCCTTTTGACTAACGCTAACCCCCTCGAGACCACTCGCGCCGTACGCGACGCTCGCCAGCTTCCGTATCTCCCCCCTGTCTCTACTGCCACCCACTCTCAACCCTCTTCAACTATGGATGACGTGGAACGTTTCAATGCGTTTCATACGGCTGTACCCGAGCGTGACTCGACCGTGACCCTCACTGATGTCATTCCGTCAGTTCAATGTGAGCACCGGCGTGGTTTCCGCTCCTGCCGTCACCCCTGTTGTTCCACCGACCGTCCCACCGACTATCACGAAGGCCCTCAACAAGACCCTACTCGAGGACCCTCCCCTCCAAGCCCGACGCCGTACTCATGCCCGCTAGCGTGTTTTTCGGTCGGTTCAAGCACCTGGCTACCCGCGAACTTGGTAATGAGGACGAAACCAATCAGGCCCGCTACTCCGTCTCTACACTCTGTAAGCTGGTCCCACCTGTCATGCGTCCCGCCCTGGGTAGCCTGCGCCCCAACTCCTGGAACGAGTTGCGCACCGAGTTCTATAATCTTGCTCGTGCCCTCCTCTTTGTTCACGTGGATCACGAGGAGATTTCCCGTTACTTCTTCTCGTGGAGCCCTCCCCCCTATGATTCAGCTAACCTCAAGGACGTGTATCGAATCCTGCTTCTCGACATCGAGTCGGCTGCAGGCCCCGTCTACGAGTCAAGCTTCCGTGTCGCCCTCGCCCGTATCCATCGGACCTTCCCCAATCTGTCGTTAACCTCCTCGGCCCTGTACACTCTCGATGCTCCAATCCGTGACACCTTCGCCCTGGCTGACACTGGTGCTGCGGCCCCTGTCGCTGATCTGTCGTTTCTTGTCCCCGCGCCCGTCACCTCTAATGTCCACCATCGTCACCTTTTTTAATGAGAGGCTCCTGTCGGGCTCTTATGATGTCGAGCGGCCCAAGAAAACCTCTTCGGGGAAGTTCCAGTAACAACAATGCTGGCAATACCGCAGCGAAAAAGTCTGGTAAGGACAAGCCCCCGCTTAAAGGTGCTGACGCACATATTTTAACAGATAACCAGAGTGCTTCCGCCTCTGGCAACTACCTCGGTGCCCTCGTAGTCGACCCTCGTAGTCGACCCTCGTAGTCGACCCTCTTCCCGCTCCACTACTTTCCATTCGTTTAAATGGTCTCTCCCATCTTATGAAGACACGCTCCGAAACCATTGGTACTGCAGATCAGTCCGGCTCTCTCACAGTTGTCGGCTCTGTCGGCCTCTCGGTCACTGTCGGTCGCCAGGTCCTTCAGGACTGGGAATTTAATGTGGTCCGCGAGTCCACGAATCATGTGTTTCTCGGAATTGAGGCTACCACCAGTAAGGGCATTTGTATCGCCCTCTTGTCTACTGATATCCATGTCGTGGATATTCAGGAAGGTCCGGTGCGCCCCCTAGCGCCGAACAGGACGTCCAGAACCTACTCAATGAGTTCTCTGACGTTTTCATGCTTGGCGGACGCAAGTACCCTAAGCCCGTGAAGCAGCCCCCCTTTGATCTTGTGCCACTCGATGGTGCAGAGCACTTGAAAAAGGTTCGTGGTTACCATTTAGAAGGCGTGGCCCGGCGACGGAGAAGGCTCTTGTCGACTCTCTTGTTGAGGACGGTCTCCTTGAGCCTACTACCATCATTGAGACTTCCCGAGCCTTCTCAGCGACCAAACCGCTGGACCCTACTGGGCGGCGCCTACTGGTGGTCTACCACCCCATTACCACTCACTTTTCCAACCACGCCTGGAACTGCATGCCCCAGGGCATCGCCCAGGCCCCTGCTCACCTCCAGAAATGCATGGACTCTGTTCTTGAAGAGTATCTTGATGAATTCGTCATGGTCTATCTCGATGACATCATCGTATACTCCAATACTTGGGAAGAACACATGGACCATATTCGTCGTGTCCTGTCCAAGCTACGTGAGTACGGCCTCCAGGCAAAAGGTCCAAGGCCAACGTTGCCCGTGAGGAGCCTCGTATTCTGAGATTCCATAAAACCCCTCGCGGTATCGAGTTCGACCCCTCCTGGGTCGAAACGTACCCACACCCAAGTGTGATTCCGACTGTCGTCGGTTCCTTGGCCTCACCAACTATCTTAGTGCCCATATTCCCAATTATGCGGCCACTTGTGCTTCCATCAAAGAACATACCAAGAAGGACGTGCCCTTTGTCTGTTCCGACGCCTGCGAGAAAGCTTTCCGCGCTCTCAAGGACGCTATCAAGGCTAATCTGTCTCTGGCGGCCTTTGACCCTGATCTCGAGACCATCCTCTACATTGATGCCTCCTTCGAAGGTCTCGGCGCTGCTCTCATTCAGATTCAGCGGGATAGCTCCGAGCGGACCCGTGAACTGAAAGGCGCACACCCTTACCGTTTCGTCAACAGAGTTGAACTGCTCCTAATGAACATTCTGTCCAATCTCAGTCTCTGTCAGATGGTTAGATGATTGAACTTGCTCTACTGTAACCACCCAGGTGCTACCCCGGTCACCAAACTAATCCTTAGTTGATTCTGTCATACTTGTCGTTAGTGCTTTCTTCGTCCCCGACCCTAACTATACCTCCGACATCAGCGGCTGGATGCCTCGTCTTGGATGACTCTCGGCAAACCTGAATGTCCGTATCCGTGTCGATCGTCACTGGACCACGAGTCATTTGAATCATTTGAGTCATTTGAAGACGCTACTGGTGGGCGGACTGAGACATTGGACCAAATACGAGCCTGGACAAAAAGTTCCACGGAGAAAGGAGACAACGGTATAACCAGCTGCAAGAAAACTTACCGAACATCAACTCCAAACATCGCCGGATGGAGTCAATCGACTCAATTGAGTCATCCAAACCCTCCTAAAACAAGAAACCAAAAAAAGCAACTTCTCACGGCGCTCCAGATAACCTCCAAACCATCTCCAACCACTCCCTGTCGCAACCTTGCCCAACCCCAAGGAGCTAACTCCTGATCAGCAAGACCTTGTAAAATCGACACAAAGTTGACTTGGCAGTGGTATAAAGTCTGTGTGGACTTTTTAATTGAGGTCACGTGATGCCTATGATGCTCCCCTGGCCTCCAGACAGTTATTTCTATGTGATTTCATTGTCCAGCTCCTCTGTTATGCCCTATCAACTATTATCTCTCTTTTTACTTCTCATTTTACTTGAACTTTACTTGAAAATGGCGGATACTCAACCAAAAATCCATCTATCTTTGATGGCACCAAAAGGATCTCTCAGATCTCCCGAATCCATAAAGTCACGTGATATTCCCACACACGTGACACTGATATCAAACTGTTCTCTTCAGTATAGTACCACTACGATAGCATATTTTAGATACGCTGAACGACTCACTCATCACTCGGTTCAATCAAAACTTTTATCTATATCTATGTAATTCTGGCCAGCAGAAGTAGGTCATGAGGTTGTGAGCCTGAGGTTATATACCACAAGCGTCACTCAATACATGGCTAGTGTCCAACTCAACCACTCGTAGGTTACAGCTTCGCCACCTTGGCCAACCCCCACACCCTATCATCTCTCCGCTGTCTCAACAATCTTCGCAAAATCTTGCCACTGGCATTCTTGGGCACAGTATCAATGACCACAATGCCGCCATACAGCCGCTTGTAACTCGGCACCTGCTGGTCCATCCAGTGCTTTATGGTGGTGGGATCACATGCGTCGCCCGGTTGAAGCACTACAAACGCCCGCGCAGACTCTGTGCCATTATCGTCGTTGTGAACGCCAACCACAGCCACATCGTTCACCGAAGGATGGTTCAGAAGAAGAGCCTCGAGCTCAGCCGGAGCCACCTGTCGAGACATGGACTTGATGAGCTCCTTGGTTCGATCCACAACCATGACACGGCCAAAGGTGTCAATGACAGCCACGTCTCCAGTCCGCAGCCACCGGTCCTGGAAGTGCTGCAGACCGTACGTCTCGGTGCTGGGCTCCAGCGACTCACGTGACGACTCGGGGTTCTTGTGGTATCCGTCCATGATCTGGGGACCTCGAATCCATAGTTCTCCGGAGGGAATCTTTTCGCCCCGCTTCACAGCGGCGCCAATACCTCGGGTGTCGGTCACGTGGACCGCGGGCTGATCATTTCCTTCTTCGTCCACGATTCGGGCCTCAGTGTTGGGCATGAGACAGCCCACGGTCATGACATCAATGTGGTCAGACAGGGGGTCGAGCATGCCGACGATCGGGGACGACTCGGTCAAGCCATAGGCCTGGTGAATGACCAGCTTGTCTCCGTTGGGCAGAATGCCTTCCTTGTTGCCTGTAAGACGAACAGAGACCTGATCCACGACATTTCCACCCAGAGGAGCGGCTCCAGACACAATGCACCGCACATGGGCTCTAATAGAGTCCAGGTACTCGTCAACCATGGGGTTTTTGGCGAGCTGGACGATGACGGGCGGCACCAGAATCCACAGGCTCACCTTGTATGTTTTTTGCGCCTCCAGCAGATCTCTCAAGTTGAATTGCTTGTGATGGATCACCACCGAGCCGTTGTAGGGAAGCACCGACAGAAACATGGTGAGGCCGTAGATGTGGGTGGTGGGGATGACGGCGCTGGCGACCACGTTCTGGGCGAGGTTGGGGGCGGCGGCGGAGACCTGGAGACAGTTGGAGGTGACGTTGAAGTGGGTCAGACGGACCGCCTTGGGCAGTCCGCCGGACGTGCCTGAAGACATTCCCAGGTAGGCGATTTTGGCCCGCGCCTGGTCCCGGGACAGGGACACGTGCGGGGCTGAGTCAATGTCGTTTTGCGCAACGGTGGGCGCATTGTTGATGAGGTCTTCCATGACCACGACCCTCACGTCTCTGCCCGATAGCTGGACCGCCTCGCGGGCAATTTCGCTTTTTTCGGCCGCAGCCACCACCACGACCGCGTCGGTGGTGACAATCTGGTGGCATATGTCCTTCACGTCGTACGAGGTGCTGGCGGGCGAAATGGTGGCGCCCAGATCGTGAAGAGCCAGGTGGTAGGGCAACGAGCTGTAAGTGTTGGGCGTGTAGAAGATGACCACGTCGCCGAGAGAGGGGTCGTTGTGGAACGGGGCCAGAGCGCCGGGCTTACCGATGCCGTACTTGTGGTACAGCTGGGCCCGGAGCCGCGCACTCAGCTGCCACACCTGTTTCCACGTCAGCTGCTGCTTGGTGTCAAAGTCGAACACCACCGGTTTGGAGTCGTTGTGGGCGTGTGGCGACGTTCGCATCAGATCCGGCCACGAGCCGTAGAACAGTTGCACGTCCGGCACCGGCGATTTGTGAATGATTGACATGGTGTGCGGGGGAGGGAGAGAGAGAGAGAGAGAGAGTGAGTGAAAGTGAGATGTTTACTGTGTGTCTACTACACTATATTGGGACCATCAAATTATATATAGATATAAACGATACTCCCCTTTTTTTTGGCTATCTCCATCCCTTCAATTCACACTCTAGCACGTCATGGACGGTGCATATGGCGTGCAGAACCGAGTCAGCCACCAGCTTGCCGACAATGGGCGTCTTGGTGGTTTTTGCACGTCGGGGGGGGACGTTTGTAATTCTTGGCTGTTTTTTTTTTCCCCGCAAAAAACATGAACCCCCCTCCATGTTTCGCCACTTTTTAGCGTATTTTCGCTGCTCGTACCCCCGGAAAATGATTTAAACTACCCTCCACTAATTACTTAGGGACGACGGTTGAACTGTATTTTGAGTTGCTGAAAAAAGGTTCTTCAACTTGCACATGTCTGGCAACTATCGGCCAGTTATCGGTGCTAAAACGGCCCAGAAACACATTGCAAACGTGTAATCGGGATCTCCAGCCGATTCCGAGTCGTCTGGTCCAAAAATGAAACCCACAGCTCGTCGGCACCAAAAGTTGTACTTCAAGTAAAACGTAGATCTGAGTAAGATGAAGAGTGAGAGTGAAGAGTGAGTGAGAGATCGACGGAGTGAGGTTTGAAAGACTGACGGATTTTCAACGGTTCCCAAGATTCGACGGTTCCCAGGATTTGACGGTTACTAAGCACCTATCGACGGTTCCAAGGTTTTTTTTCTTCTTGTTTTTGTTCTTTGTTTTTCCTTTTTTTTTTTTTTTTGCGCCAACCAGTCACTGTAGCTTAGCTAAATAGACTTTGCTTATCGCAGCTTACCCCGGTTTTCAGTCAGCAAAAAAAAAACAAAAAAAAACAGTGACTCACATAATCTCATCTCACGTGAAAATAAGCCACACGGAAGAGGCGGAACAAGAGGAACTTGGGGGGTTCAAGAGCAAGCAGGTCACGTGAAAAAAACTACAACCGGCGAATTGGAAGGGAAGGGAATCACGTCTACATGTTGTGACAGATGTTCATGAAAGTGTATTTTTTTATATTTTATTTGTATTTTTATATTTTATTTGTATTTTTTATATTTTTTTTGTATTTTTTTAATTTTTTTTATATATTTTTCACAATTTACAACGGTTATAAAAACCCCTTGCACAATTCAGTGGGTTTTTCTTCCTCGGATATGCCAATGAACAGAAAATGTCACCAAATTCCAGATTGGAAAATTCTCTTAGTCAGCGTTAGTCAGCGTTATTCTTTGTCCTCTTTCATTCCAGATATATACCTACAAGCAGTAAGCCCGGTTCGCGTCATCTTGCTCTTGTCGCGGTCGTGGATCGATTATTAGTAAAGTGACCGAGAAGTAAATTAATCAATCATATCCAAACTCGAGCTTGGTTCAGTGTTCGTCAGGGTGTCGTTAAAGCGGGTAAATAAGTATCATGAGTAGTTGCGTGGGGGGTTGTCGTCGGAGTATGGGTGTTGGTGTCGAAGTATGGGTGTTGGTGTCGATGGGTGATAGACCCGCCCGATTGATACTGCTGGTACAAGTACAAGGATCTTCGCAACCTGCTGCGACGACTGTTCATGAGTCCAGTATGACTATTGATGATCAAGAAGACATGACCAAGAAAACTTATATCACGGATAACTCCAGTATATTTGAGTGATACAGTGAAGGTCGAGCTTGACGGTGAGACTGAACCGATATAGTCATTTTTCAGCGCCTACAATCGATATTGCCATTCTATATACACCCTCCTACTTGGCGCATAATCGTGCCTCGCGTATGCATCCTCCTGCACTACATCATATCGGGGATATGTTTCGAACCAGTGGCTGTCTACACTACAGTTAGCAGTGTTCCGACGCTTGTCTCGGGGTCGTCTCATCAGGACAGCTAGGGGGCAAGTTCAGGTCGGGGTTGGTGTTTATAGAGAGCTCTGTATGAGGATTTACAGGAGACCTGCTGCATACCAGCGCTGTCTGGGCATTAGAAATCACCTCTCTCGCCCAGAGTGGACCCGCATTTGCTGTCACAACCACCAACGCCGTCGTCATTTAGAAGGAGCTTGGTTACAGGTAGCGACGACAAAGGGGGTTGAGTAGAAAAAGTCCAGAGAGATGCGACCAACGACTTCTGAAAAGTACATGCCGAGCCTAGGAGGTAGTGTAGTTGCCTGGTAAAACTCAGATATGAGACCTTTGTGGCCTCGAAGCTCGATGATCCGACGGTAATCAACCAGGAGGACTGGAGCAGTGGAGCAATTTGGTACAAAATGACCCGACGATGCCCCAGACATCAACACAGCTATTGCAACTGCAACAGGCGCTGGAGGAGTTTGAATTCGGCATGCCACATGTCGGAGACGGAGGACTTGCAACAGACGGTATTGCGGCAGAAAGTGCACCTCAAGACACTGGAACGGAATGCCCAGATGCGTTCTAGCGTCGTCGCAGAGTCTCGGTACTAAGCTACGAACGGAGTTAACGGAGCATAACGAGGCGACGACGAGAAATCTGGGAGCTGAAAACGCCCAGTTGCGGGCTGAGAACGAAAAACTCAACATTCAAATATTAAAATGAAATCCAGGTGGGACTCTCTTGTTCTGAATGCCTTGAACAAGCGTAAGAAGTAGGAAGAGGGTAGAGGACGATGATGGGGGATGGACTCTGCTACAGTATCTGTACAACTATATTAATGATATTTATATATTCAAAACTACGGTCCGGGTACCGACTGTTGGAATCATTTGCAGGACTCTTACGTCTTGCCAACATTGGCCATCACTTACCATCATCCTTGATAAATCCTTTACTCGACAAGATTAGGAGATGGTTAATACTTGATAGTACAGATGACTGAGTTCTGTCTGTAATCAGGTGTCTCTCCACATGGAGGAGGTCCGTACATTCGTACATACTGAATAGTACATATTGTTTTTTCTTACTGTGCTTTGACTAAAAATGTCTAAACTAATTAGTTTAGTAGAGTTCAAGTAAACCCAACCAACCAAACAAACGTCCAGACACATCTTCCACAGTTATATATCGGAGTATCTCCAGTCATCAAAGTCTCCGCCAACCTACTATCACAGCTCTGGAGCTCAAAAACAGGCTCATGGCTCGACCTAGTCCAAGGTATGGTTAGCCATCTGATGATTGAGAGTATTACTCGTCAATCTGATAGTTAAGAGACTCGTATTAGCATACCTGGTAGCTACAGTACATTCTCGTACCGCTAATGTCTCATTCGCAATCCATTAGTACTCAAAGTCACGACTAGTGGCTGCCTACACCCCGGAGTGTTTCGACCTAGTCGCATTTCGTCTCTTCAGGACAGCCAATTCGTTCTTGTTTCAACTCGTTTGTTTCAACTCGTTTGTTCCAACTCGAGCGCCAACTCGTTCGCTCCAACTCGAGCGCCGACTCGTTTGTTCCAACTCGAGCGCCAACTCGTTCGCTCCAACTCATTTTCTCCAACTCATTCACTCCAACTCGCTTGTTCCAACTCGTAGTCACGTTAGGTAGAGATACTGCGGCTGCTGACACAGCCCGTAGTAAAGAAAAGCGCTGTACAGAGACTGCGATAGCCGAGGACTCGCAGAGCTCTGTGCAGGGACCTCGAGGGAGAAAAGAACATGACTATCCGATCCACCCCTAGAGGTGGCGAGACGAGTGGATGTGGCCCCGTTTAAGTACACTTGATTAGCGTCATTGTTAGTGTTAGTGTGATAGTTTGCGGCAATTGAGTTGAATGTATTGTTTGAGATCAAGCCGGAAAGCCAGTAAAATCGTTCTCATCACTGGTAGAAGGCTTCTCCATGTCAAGATACTCCTCATTTTCTGAGTCATGGTCAACAGAGAAAATAGGTACCGGATCAGCGGCTTGAGAAGCTCTGTCTCGTGGCTCTTTCCTGCGTGGCTCTTTCCAGCAGAAACAGAAGGTTCGTGGAATATGTCGGGCGACGAGTTTCGGTGACACGGGTCGGCAACGGAATCTGGGACCCTCTGCACCGGGCAGCTGGGTCCCGTGGCCAATGGTAAAGGAAGAGTTGCCCTTGTACTCAACTCCACCAAGTGTCAGCAGATGGACACAAACCACCACGAGATGATCGACGAAATCCAGACGTGGTTCGACTCCAAGTCCGTCTCGTCTTTGGGAACCTGTTAACCCCCATGTGTTTGTATTGTGAGGCTCGTCTTGTTGAGACTGAGAAGTAGGCGTGGGGACGAGACAAGATGGCTCCTCAAGTGATGTGATGTTCACTTGGATGCTGTTAACGGCAGCACTCAAGGACTGGGGCTCAGATAGACGGATTCCGACCTTGTCATGCTACCTGAAGGTCAGATGGGGGAGCCAGGAGACGACAAGGGGGACGCAGAAGACGACAAGGGGGACGCAGAAGACGAGTCCGGAGCGGGGTTTTTTTCGCACCAAATGCACCTGGATTCATCAGATGGGCGATAATCCAAGTTTACATATGGCGATTATTTGTATGAGTGCAACCGGAAGGTGTGAGTGCAACTGGAGGGGTTTGGATGTTGACTACAACTACAGTTCAAGTACCTGTCAACTAATTTGTCAACTGAAATAATCATCTTATGGAGACAAAATCAGTTTCAACAATAATCCAAGTAAAATCCCAGTAAAAGAACATCTCTTAACTAAAACACCAAATTTTCAACAGGGGATTCCTCCTCTCCCTCCCTACACTGATCCAGACTGCCACTCTTCAGTCCTCCACGGCGAATTCCTACCCAGCCTGGAATCGAACCCCCAATACCAACCTTAACCTTGATAACATGTTTACTCTGTCCGTATCGGGTAATACCCAATCTGATTTAATTAAATCACTACAGCTCCGTTCCACACTTCTCAATCATTTCTGACACTTCCACAACCCCATGGCAACCCCGTCGCGACCATATTACCCACAATTGGGGCGCCATGCGACGCTCGGAACGCCCCATAGACTCGAACCGAAGGGCCTGGGCTCTCCACAACGACAATCTCCCTCCAGATCAGCCACCAGAGTAGTCCAACCACCCCCAGCGACTCCAAGAGCGGCCATCAGTGTCAACAGACTGGGAAGCAACCGCCGAACACGTGGTGCAGCGGGATTCACGCCCTCAACCAGCACCAGCGCCCAAAGAGTCAACAGTCAGATGAACACACTGCATGAGATCATGGCCAGAGACGGCGGAAGAACAGCCTACAGTACACGTGACACCACACGCGACTCGGCCCTGTCACGTGACCCGTCCACAGCCTCGACGTTGACGTGTCGTGACGCCCCCTCCAGCGCCTTCAAGTTCCGCTCGGGGATGCCGCTGGATATGCCCATGGGAGGATACAGGGACGGAGGGGGGTACGAGGAGGACGATACGATTACTAAGCGACGGAGGGTGACGAGTCACGTTGGAAGTGGCGCTGCCAAGGCCAAGAATGTCACGTGGGAGGAAGATTCTCGTGAGGATGGGCCTTCTCACATGATTCAACAGTTGCTGTTACAGAATCAGCGTATGGAAGAAAAGTTGAGTCAGTTTGAGCGACTTGAAGAAAAGTTGGACAGAATGGACCGAGTTGAAAGTCGTCTTCTAAGGATCGAGAGCAAGATGGACGAGATTCTGAGGCTTTGCAGATAGCCAGAACCCAAGTGGACTGAGAGCATTGGATACCTCACATGGCAGGTCTGTGTAATGAGAAGAATGTATTTATTATGACTAGAGAAGTGGGTTGTGTGTTGTTATAGGTGATTCGGCCGCGTGTGGCCATCACGTGACTTATCATGTGACATTGCTCAATTAGATGAGCACTCCGAAATAGGTTATGGCTAATATCGGGCTAATACTCATATGATCATATCTCTATTTTATGAGTAATTGAAGACTTTTGATGGTCTCGCGCTTCCGTTTGAGATAGATGGCGACTAAACACTCTAGGGAATTATGAGCACGGCTATTGAAGTTTCTCGGTCAGACCAGTTTCTCGATCAGATAGCTGTAGGACTGTTATCGATAGCATCATTGAGATTCTGCGTTCATGTTTGTTTGGTGCCACTGGAGGAACACAACATTTGCAAGAGAAGAGCTGTGAGGAGTGGGTTAGATGGCTGTACTGGGCACATTCCATCGCTCTCTCTCTCTCTCTCTCTCTCTCTCTCTCTCTCTCTCGGCTCTACCCGTCCGGCAAGTCAACTCCTGGTCAGCCCTTCAAGTGACACTTGACCACATCCAGAGCAGCTAGAGCGTCCTCCATGGAGTCATGCTCGCCGGTCTGAATGGTTCTCTTGAGATATTTCAGAGCCAACGTCTTCAGGGCGGTCTTATACCTGGGATTGAAATCAGGGTAAAGAATAGATGTATCGATAATTCTGTCGTGAATAAGACGCATGGCAATTAGATCATTTTCCAATCCGTGACCAACCAGAATCGTCTGCTTATTGATCAGCTTGAGAATCAGTCTATGCGCCTCTTCAAACGAAATACTGTCTCCTTTCTCGCCGCTTTCCGTGATGATAGGTTCGTTGATATCGGAAATACCGGAAAATCGCGTGTTGTAGTCAAGAATGCGTCCTGTCGGTCTAACTACTCGGTCAAGTGTCTTCTTGCCATGGTAGTCGATGCACGTGACCCGACAAAGCTCCATTCCAAGAGAAGTATACAGCATTTCGCAGTCGACAGCCACGACAGAGGTCTGCAGAGAGCCGGCTTGGTCACATGACCCAGAAGGCTGCTCACGTACCCTAGCAGAGCGCTCACGTGGCTCAGAAGAACGTTCCTGAGAATCAGCTTGGCCACGGGACTCGCCGATCCCTCTCTTCATGGTCTCCAGAGTAATGTCTGGCTCTCGTTGATTTACAGCAGGGCCGTTGAAGATGGTTCTTGGTCGACGGGCCTTATTGAAGGGTTGTCTAGACTTTTCCAGGTCTAGCGACGATGTGAGACTTTTGGTTGGGGTGCTAGCGGGTCTCGATGCTGTTTTCGTGCTTTTAGCAGAAGGAGCTGAGGTAGTTGCAGAGGTAGATGTGGATGTAGATGTAGATGTATCTAATGACTCGCTGGTAGACACCGTTCTGAAGGGAATCACAAAGGCCAAATCATTCAAATCATGAAGTTTGTAAACATGTCGAGGAGCCTCCTCGCAACCCTCAGACATCCCCACCGGCTGATTACAGCAAGGGTAAAACTTTTCAGGCATGGTTGAGTTGCCTCCCATGCGCGCACGTGCCCAATGATACTTGCAACTGCCATAGTTGTCTACTTTGGGCACATCGAACGCCTTGTCGCACCGGTCACAGTGCTGGATACCAATGTTGGAAGGCAGACCTGATTTCAGGGGGTCAGGATTCACGGGATATCCATTTTGAGCCAACAGAGGTTTTGTTTTGGAAGCAAGCATGTCCAGTTGATTGCTGATCGAACTGGTAATGTGGCCTGAAGTCTTACTGTCCGTCTTTGTACCACCTGCTTTTCCGCCCCTCCAAGAGCCGTCTTTGATGCTCTTCACCAGCACACGGCACTCGTTGGTATAGACCATATAGTTGCCTGCGCTGCGTTTAGCCGCAGCCAACTCCTCCAATATCGCAGCTCGTTTCGGAAACTTGAGTTTTCGCTTGTCTGTAAGAGCAGAATGAATCGCCTTGAGATACGCAATTCGCTGAGGAACCGTGGCAGGACAGGGGAAGATGGTGGTGGGCATGAGATGCTCGGCGTCACGGGACGAGGACGGAGATGCAGATGTGTTCCTAGATCCATCCCGCGACTGAGAGGGAGATGCAGATGTAGTCATGACCGCCTCCAGAGCACTTTTTGGGCTGGACGACGTACGTGTGTCAATTGACGATACAGGGGGCTCACGTGATGAAGACGGTTGATATATGTCGCGTGATCCGGGCTGTTTCACCGAGCTTTTTTCCGACTTTGATGTAATTCCGTTCTTCCCCTGTTTCAGAACATCCTCGGATACTGATGACGAAACATGTTGAGGTGGAGCTGAGGTTTGGGGTGAAACACTGGCTTGAGGTGTAGCACTGGCGTGAGGTGTCTCTTGTTGTTCCTTTTGACTTGACTGCGATGAAGCAAACTCCTTCTTCTCAGCTCCTTCTGCTCGGCCTCCCTCAGTTTTTGGACTCGCTCCAACTCCCTCAATTTCGGGCCGATCTCGCTGGTTCAAAGCTTGCCGGGCTCCTGGAAGCTCCAGCTTTCCACCGCTCGAATCTCCAGCCACCCGAGCCACCCCTTGGCCGACTTCTAGCTTCCTTCTCTTCACCATCTCGGCCGAATCAGAGCCATTTTCGGACTCCCTCTTGACACGCTCCGGATGGTCAAATGGACAGCACAAAAGACGACAAAACTGGCCTGCGGCTATCGACGGACATGGGTGGCCCCTAAACAGCCCTTTGCTCGATGAAAACATGTGTTTTTTGGGCGAATTAAACGGCGAGTGGAAAAAAAGACCCTCTCCCGAGAACTGCATGTTGGAACTTAATCGTGCTTGTACAGTGTAGCCGAAAAAAAGTACATCCACAAATGTGGCAATTTTTCGTTCCAAAAAAAAAGAGACAAAATGAAAGAAAGACAGTAATCGAGTCTCTACAAGTAGAGTATCTGCAAAGTCATCTGGAACTGTCCTCATCTTCTCTGGCTCCACTACCACCCGTCATCCACTGCTCTTCTTAAGGATCATAATTAAACTTCAAAATACGCGCTAGACTTTCCCCCAGACTGCAAACGGAGTGTCTCCCATCTTCAAACCGTCCCCGATACACAATATATACATGGCTATTTACATTAGATTACATCCGGATCCTACCATCCGGGTAGCGCCACATCCGCCGCTGTTTACCCCCTGGCGTTTTTGACAAACAGCCTGATTTTGTCGAGATCCTTTTCCCCGTCGGTCTCCACGCCTCCAGAGACGTCCACTCCAATGACACCCTTGACCTGGACGGCCTGCGCCACATTTTCCGGAGTCAGCCCGCCGGCCAAAATAAACCGCACGTGGTTGTCGTACCACTTTTCCGCACTGGTCCAGTCCACCAGCTGTCCTTCTCCACCCACCTCGCTGTCCAGAAGCGAAAACGACTGGTATCCGGCCACCAGCGACTGTCGGAAGTCCCGCTTTCCAGGAGACACACGCTTGATTACAGACACAGGAATCTGTCTGCACCAGTCGAGCGGCTCGTCGCCATGCAGCTGCACAATGTCGAGATTGAGGTCCGCAACACATGACAGAATGTATGGTAACGGCTGGTTGCGGAATACGCCGACCAATAACGGCCGCTTACCACTATGTGCGTTTCTATACTTGCCTGAACGCACCACAGCGGCAATCTCCCGTGCAACGTCAAAATTGACTGTCCGGGCTCGTCCAGGAACGAGAATCATACCCAACATGTCGGCACCGCTTTCCATGGCCACGACAGCAGCCTCAAGGGTGCGCAGGCCGCAGATCTTAACGACGGGGCCGGCAGTCTCGGGACTGGCGATATTGGCGTTAGTAGGATGCGCCGGCGGAGCCACAGGGGCCGTGGGACTGCTATGGGTGGGACACGTGCTAGGGTTGGGGCACGTCTCCGGAGTCGGGCTTGTCTTTTCGGAGTGGCCGGTGTTTTTGTCCGTTACCAGGTTGACACTTACCTTCTCGCCTTCGTAGGAGAACCCGTCTCTGAGAATATGGAGACCCGAGTCTCGGACCTCGTCGGCCAGGTCGGAGATATTTGCAGAGTGTGGAAATACCAACCCGTCGCATCCCATGACGCGAGACTTTTGTATTTGGGCCACCTCGATGGCGTCCTGATCCAGTCGTCGGATGATCATGGGTCGCGGGTCAAACTGCCGGTACAGATCCCGCACCAGTCGACCCTGCTCCACGCCAATCGACGAGTCTGTGTAGATGAGGGCCTGGGCGTCCTTGTTGGCCATGATCCACCGGTACCACTCCTCGGCGTCCGCTTCAGTGTACTTGGGCACCATTAGTCCGTTGAGTTGGCCCTTGAACTCTCCCACGGGATGTAGACATGTCGAAGAGTAGAGAAAGTCCATGATGACAGTGGCGAGAGTTGAGTCGAGTTGAGTTGACGAAATGAAGACTTTTTGTTTCTGTCTCGGTATGTGTTTGTGCACTGTCTGTGACTGTCCGTGTCGGTCCGTGTCTGTGTCCGTGTCTGTGTCCGTGTCTGTGTCGTTGGTTTTGTGTCACTTGTGTTTGTGCCACAACAGCTTTTTTGTTCTGTGTGTGTCTGTGTCTGTGTCGTATTATGCAACTACTCCGTCTGTGTAACTGCCGCAATATAAATACCGGTGCTTGCCCTGATTTGTATCGCTTTTTTTCCTGTGTGGTGCAGCTCGGTCACTTTTGGGTGTGTCTGTGTCTGCTGCAACTGCGAGATCCTTGTGTGGATAAAACAAGGTTTCATTACCACACCAAAACAAGGTGGGCTGTACACCCACATGGCGGGGTGCCAGGAGCTACCATACCATTAAGGAGACCCTTTGGAACAGAACCCCCGTTTTCCCTGAAACAGGAAGAAAATATCCGGTCACGTGGCATCCTCCTCCTCGGTCATGGATGGGGACGGCCACGACACTCGCAGAATAGGCTCATCAGATGAAACAAAATTAGCTCTGAGACACAAAAAAAGAAACGTCTTGTGCGGGTGTACGATTGTCTGTTGGTGTGCTTGTGTGAGTTGTGTGAGTTGTGTGCTTGTGTGCTTGGCTTGGGTCAGCGCTGGTTTTTGGGGCGAAAACGGGCCATTGAGGTGGATTTTTTGGTCACGTGATTGACGAGTCTGCCTATGTGAGTTGATTTTTTCCTGTTTTCGGACCTCATTGCGGGTCTGGAGATGGTTTTATCCTGGTCTTGTTGTGTGTGGGGGCGCTCATGGTTTTTTTCTTGCTTTTGTTTTCTGTTTTTTTTTTCCGTGAAATTTTCGTGAAATTTCGGTTGAAATTCAGCAGCACAGGAAACTCTGCATTTCAGATAATTGACGCGAAATGGCTCCAATCGGGACTCCGGAACAACCGCTGGAATGAGCGAGCCCAGCCATTCAACTTTCATCCCTCCAGCTCCCCCAGAATCCACGGCGATGTCGACCTCTTGGCAGCTCGTTAATCGTCGTAAATCTACTAACATGCTTCCGAGACATGAACCTCGACCAGAACAAGAGGTGTGGTAAACTGAAAAACAGCTTATGCCCGTGGACATTTGACGATACATTAACAGTCTGAGACTTTATTGCCACTCCTTATTCCACTGCTTAAGTAAAGAATGTGGAAACAGGCACCAGAGCAACTGGGGAGCGTCTTGACCTATATGATTGTGTCCGTCTGTTGATTGCAATCCTTTTGGTACTGTGCATACCCATATCGACAGCTCTTCTTTCTACCATTGGGCTCTGTCGATCCGCACGGGTTTTTGCACGTAGGTTTTCCAGGGGATTTACGTTGATCAGAAATGAACGTCTGTGTTTGATTCGGTTTTAGTTTCAATGTTATCAGATGGACCAACGTTGCTGGTTGGATGGATCTGGTTTCTGGGGTCTTTGCTTTTTGCTGCTGATGGTGACGGTGATTCATGGTGGTTCTGCCGTCTGGCGGACGTGCGCCTGTGTTGCGTTACACAACAGGTGTGTTGATCGGGTTAATGGATATACAAAGTCCAGCGGTCTCGCCGTTGTGTCTCTCTTCTTCTCAGGCTACTCTGTTGTATTCTGTTCTGTGTTGTCTGCAAGAACTCATCCTATTACCACTCACTCTTCCCACAGCACAGCATCAATGACAAGACGAGCAAAACATAGACGAGAAGACACTGCTACGAGAGCTATAGCAGAGATACCCCACTGATATCCCACTGACGTGACCGAGATACCCACTGATACATTCAACTTGTTTCTTCCAGTGCCCTAATTCAGTGTGTGGGGCTATAAGATACCCACCTGGAGATACATTTGACACCATGTGATACGGAAAAAGCACACCTGATGACTTGGGTGTGATAGCTACGTGTGAGTACGTCCTACCAGGATTGATACAGTGATGATACGTTTGAGGGAGCATTGTAGACAGTGTTTGGTCACGTCAAAGATTGAGAATTATTACTTGTTACTAATACAGGAGGCTCTACACGAGAAGGGCAGCAATGGCGGCGATTCCAGCGGCAGTGGAAACGGCCCAAGTGTTGCCTCCGTTGGCCTGAGCGGGGGTAGGAGAAGCCTGGGCAGGCTTGGACTGAGCAGGCTTGGGAGCAACAGCAGGAGCAGGAGCGGCCTTGGGAGCGGGAGAAGCAGCGGCCTTGGGAGCGGGAGAAGCAGCGGGCTTCTCGGACTTGGGAGCAGGGGCGGGAGCGGGCTTGGCGGAGGGGGAAGCAGCCTTGGGAGCAGGGGAAACAGCAGGCTTCTCGGACTTGGGAGCAGGGGAAGCAGCGGGCTTCTCGGACTTGGGAGCGGGCTTCTCATCGGGCTTGGGGGCGGGAGCGGGGGCAGGCTTGGGAGAGGGCTTCTCGTCAGGCTTGGGGGCAGGCGCGGGAGCAGGCTTGGGGGCGGGGGTCTCTTCATCTTCACAGGGGACGGTGATGGTGACGGTTCGGCCCTCGCACTTGGGGCAGACAGTCTTGATGACGGTCGACTTGGCGTTCTCGGGGACGCAAGTGGTGACGGTGATAGTGGCAGTGATGCAGTCGCCGTTGATACAGTTGGTGGCGGTCTGAGTGACGGTGGAGGTCACGTAGGGAGCGGTGGAGTTGGTGAAGGCGACCGAAGTGGCGTTGCCAGCGACGGAAACAGAGCCAGACGACACGGGGGCGGCACCAGAAGAGATGGGGGCGGGAGCAGACGACACGGGGGCAGCGCCGGAAGAGACGGGAGCGGGAGCAGACGACACGGGGGCAGCGCCGGAAGAGACGGGGGCGGCACCGGAAGAGACGGGGGCGGCACCGGAAGAGACTGGAGCGGCGGAAGACTCGGCAGCAGCCTCGGTGCTGACAGGCTCAGCTGCGGAAGTGGCGGAGGCCTCGGAAGAGGACTCTACGGGGGTCTCAGCAGCAGAGGTCTGGATCTGCTCGGAAGCATAGGGGTCGCAGACGGAGCCGTCAGTGAGCTGCAGCTGGCAAATGAGCCGGGTGACGGCAAAAAGACCCTCGACAATGGCCTTGGAGGGGCCAGGCTCGCCAGTGATGGGCAGAATGGCGCCCTTGAGCAGGTTGTAATAACCGTCCATGGAGGCCGAGGCGAGTTGGACAGCCTTGTGGTAGTCGTAATGGGTTCGGACGAGCGAGAGCAGAGAGGTGGCTGACGAGAAAGCGGGCGACTTTTCGTAATCTGCAAGAGCTTGCTCCACGTGGGAGATGAAGGGGGGGAAGTTCTCGGCGGTGAAGGCCTCGCCGAGCACGTGGTCAACAGCCTCGTCGAAGATGGGCAGCAGAATGTCGTCCATCAGCAGGGGCACGAAGGAGGCGATTTCGGCGGAGGCCTGGTCCTTACCAATGCCGGAGCTTCGAGCCTCAACCACACCATTGGAGATGGCGGTCTTGAGAATGTTGATGACGGCGGCATTTCGCAGCTCGTAAGCGTAGGCGCCAGACAGCTGGGTGAGTAGCAAGATGTTGGAGAGTTTCATGGTGAGCGAGTGTCGAGAGTTGGAGTTGAGGAGGGGAGAGAGTAGGGCCATATGGGGTTATATAGGACCCTACATTCCCAGCCTAGTCTTGAAACAAGGGTGGTTGCCTGGGGGTGTTTGGCTAGTGGTTTCTAGATCGGACAGACAAGGACGTGGACTTTGGGAAACGGTAGGAGGGGTATCGGCACGGGGCCAGAGGTTCCGCGACAAGTTTTGTGGAAACTACCAGTTGATGGAGGTGAGTTGATGGAGAAGAAGTTCCGTTTGGTATTGCTACACTGTACATGCTGTACTGAGTTATGTACGAGTACTGTATAATCACGCGGTGCTCCGGGTAGCTCTATCGGATGTCGATATGAGGATGACGCCAATCGGTTACTTGCGTTATTCGGCGTAAATCTCTCACATTTCAATCTGTTGAAGAAATGTATAAACACCGACTTAGACTACTAGTCTCTTTTTTTGGCCGGCTTTCAATCCCCGGCTGGTGAGTAGTATGCTGCAGTAGCCGGAGGAGAAAGAAGTACAACAGCTGGATATGAGTCGACTGAACCGGTACTGTACAGTAGATATATATATCCTGAATGACAACTGCTTAGGTATCTTTATCATAATAAAAGGGGCGGGTTTGAATTGACCTCATTCGTGAACTTTTCAGAGTAGTGTGTTTACATTAGTTTCGTCTAGCAGCCTTTTTTAGTCCATATTTTCTATCCAAGCGTTTAGTCGACCCTACACAGCCATGAGGCTTCTTAGTAGGTGTTTATTGGACCGCTATAGGGCAACTATTGGGCTATTATTGGGCCATTATTGGCGAGTACACGCTATCCACCTTAGTTCCCACTTATTTATAGTCCCTGCGCGCAGATGGACAGGTGTATTGACGGTGAGCGGAGACGAAGAACACACGAGGTAAGACAGATGTGGCAGAATGAAATAATGGACTGATTAAACCGATATTTGAACTCTACCGCTCGTATTTGTCCCGTATAATACGTCAAACCTCGTATTGCGTTTCTTGCCAGTATCTACTGCACCCCCAACATGTACTAGTAGTCGCTAGTGTGCAAGGGTGGGGAAAGGATACTCGGGGTTTCTATTAATATATTTCTGCAACTGATATTACCGCCAAATCAAAGTCCCGGAGGCGTTCGGCGTTCCCGATGTCCAGAAACATCGACATCTACTCGTGGAGGTGTTCACAGCTGATATGAGCACAACATCCTGGGGTTCCGGGGTAAAACCATCTCGGCAACGCGTGGCATGCATTCTCTCACATTAGCGTGTCTATTCTTAGCCTCTTGGTGTGGAATGCGGGGATCTCCGTCTTTGGAATAGTACACTCCATTATAGCAACTATCTGAAAGCCACCCCATATGGATACACGGCTATAAATGGACTTTTTCTGAAGCGCATGATGACAGATACTTCACCCTTGTGTTTGAAATTGCTGACTTACTCGGATTAGAATGTCTCTGTAACTTTTTGCAATACAGAATCCCCGAATATAGATATGTTGTAGTGCAAAGCGGTTGTTGGAGAACATAAAAAGTTCATTTTATTCAACAATAACGGGCCAATTGACGTATTCACAATGTATACTATTGAATGAACAGATAAATGAGTCCATTGATATTATAATCCCTCCTATTTGTAAAATAAACCCTGAGATATCATGCTTGTCCTGGAACCCGAACCAAGACACACAGCTGGAATTGAGTCTACAATGACTTATGGTGATAGCAAGAGAGGATCTAAGATACACAGATCGGTTCCAATTCTGATAAAATTCCATTGGTGCTATTTTCCTACCTCTATTCGCACAAAACATGGAGATAGGATCACTTCTCAGATACTTGATAAGCAGTCTACAAACTCCTTTCACGGTCTTGAAAAGTAACCAAAACCTCTCATCATAAAACCCCTTTCACGGTCTTGAAAAGTAACCAAAACATCTCATCATATCGCTTGGTATTAACTCCTTCACTACATTGTAGTTCCTCTTCCAGAACTTGTTTCTCTCTTCTAATCCAAAATTCTGAGATTATCACATCTCATGAATAGCGCTGGACCTACTTGTAGAACAAACAGATGTCCATAATTTGGGGAAATGTAGTGTTCATTGGGGTACAAAAGCAGGACATAATCAGAAGATATCCTAGGAGAGATAAATGTAGTTTTAATGTCATTCTCCATAGAATCAACGTCGATTAGGGACATCTTCTGAGTTCACCATGGCAGAACTATTTAACGACGATATCACTGGCAAAAATCGAGGCAAAAAGTATACCGTCCAAATCGTAATCACCAGAGGACTTTTTCCGGTATGTTGAATCTACGTTTCCCCACAATATTTGGCATGTATGTATTTTTGATTTATTTTTGATTTATTTTTGATTTATTTTTATTTTATCTATTTTCATTTATTTTCATTTATTTTCATTTATTTTCATTTATTTTCATTTATTTTCATTTATTTTCATTTATTTATTATTAATTATTCATAATTTTCTTAGTACTTGATAATTCAAAGGAACACACCACTAATATACAATCGCACAAATCACCATCTATAGTCAATCTCGGGTACATAAATAACATACATTAGAATAAAATACAAAACTCCTGGCTCATGGGCCCATAAGTCGCGTCTCTCCGCGTACCGGTACTGCTCGCCCACAATCTCGTCAACTCTTTCAGAGCCCACTTCCCTCACTGAAGCCACTCCTCTCAACATTCCACCCCTGGGCAATCTTGGCCGAGTTCTCGGCCTCCATCTTATGCTGCTGGAAAACAAGATCCGTCCACGTAATATTCTTGCCGGGCACGTGCTGCATGGCCACAGACAGAATACTGACCCACTTGGCCTTCTCGGCATCGTTTTCAGCATAAAAGTTCACAAAGGTGTTGTCGGCAAAAGTGACTCTAAACGCACCCTCAACAAGAACATAGCCCCCGACCAGCCCAGAGTGCACGTGACTGGATTTGGACGCACGTGACTTGGGATTGCCGAGCTCAACAATGTCAGTCACGTGGCTCAGATCAAACACGCACCGCTCCTTCAGGGTATCCTCATGGAAACCCCGGAGCACGTGACCGTCCAGCCGGAACCATCGTCGTCGCCAGTACGCACAATCGCCGCCCTCCTGGCTCAGGAAACCCTCCATGTGCATCTCCTGGCACTTTTTCGCTGCGGCAAGCTCGTCATGGCACGCCTGCATGCTGCTGGGGAGCCTGTCATACCGAGACACCCGGGGAATGTACATCAGAGTGATCTCAAGACACCCGATTCGGTATGGCTCCTGACGCTTCCATGTGTGGGTCTTGCGGTCACGTGAGTCGCGGCTCTCGACCTTCTCCTGGCCCCACTCGTTGTACAGTGGAATCGAGTACGTTCTGGACCGGCCAAAAATCTCGGATTCGTACTGCGACTCCACAATGTAGCAGCGCGCAAACGAGCCAGTGGAGGAGACAATGTGGTCCCAGAGATCTGGGTGGCGAATGTGCGTAGGACCGTCCTTGGACGACCCCTTTGTCGACTTCGTATCCCGCTTCTTCGGCTCAGGAGCGTGAGTCACATGCTTCTTCACCGGCTCGGCAACAGTCTCTTCTGGCTCTTCAGCCACCACCTCCACGGCTGGCTGCTGCTTTCGTTTCCGGGGAGAAAACAGGGCCTTGAACGACTTGCCCTTGGACAGCTTTTTGGTGGGAGTTGACGGAGCAGTTGTAGCAGAGGAAGACATGCCTCGGGTGGGAGAAACAGTTTCTTGCTGCTTCACCGGCGACGAGTCACGAGACTTGAGTGCGCTCTTGAGAGGCTTGCTCTTGTCCTGCTTATCGCGTGACTTGCGCTCCTTGCTCTCCTCGCGTGAATCACCCTCGTTAGTCTCGTTTTCGTCCACCTCCAGCATGGACCGCACAATCGGATCCATACCTGCCTTGAGCGTGAACACCAACTCCAAATCGTCGCCGACAATAAGCTCAAACTCCTGCTCAATCTTGGCCGACGAACGGAGGTCCATGGGCTCGGTGGTGACACATTGGATGCCGTTGTCGAGGGTAAGAGAGAACTTGGGGTGCCGAGTGTGATCGATGGGAAGACGGATGTCCTTGATACCACGAATAGCCATGAACAGGCGGCCTCTATCGTGTCTGTCGATGGGAGCTACTACTGGAGCCGCTGAGGCGCTAGCCTCCGTTGCAGACGTCTTGGAAGCTCCAGAAGTAGCAGACGTCTTTGAGGCGCTGGAAACAGCTGTGGAGGTAGTTGGTGCTGCCGCAGAGTGCGTGGAAACAGCTGTGGAAGCAGAGTCTCGAGAAATGGGTCGCTCAACTACAGCGGGAACCACAGGAGCAACTGCTGCCACTGGAGCCACTCTAGCGGTGGTCGACTCACTGGCCACATTTCCACTTAACGTGGGAGACTCCATCATGCGGTTGAACTCAGGGGTGGGCATCTGAGTAAGTTGTTGCATAATGTGCATGTCGAAGGACTCTTCGATGGGAGAAGGGGGAGTAGGAGGCGACAGCACAGCTGCTCGGGCGTTGGGGTCGAGTGTATGTGTCGAGTTCAGCGAACCCGTAGCAGCCGAATGGAAAGAGGTGGCTTCTGAGTTGCCACTGGTGACGGAAGCAGCGTCTGAAGCAGAGTCAAGGGCAGGAGTTCCGCCAACAGAACTGTCGCTCTCGAATACAGACACAGGCATAGTGGTCTGCGCAAGACGTCTCTGCTGTCGCTCCCAAGCCTGCTGCACCCTTTGCTCCTCCTGAGCCCTCCACTCACACTCCTTCTGCTCGGCTAGTCGCTTCTGCTGCTCGAGGTCGCTCTTTTTCATCGACCCAAACTTGCTGCGGGCGTTCTTGAGCTTCTTGAACGCGCCAGACGACTCGCTGGGCCGACACGATGACAACGAGCCGCCGGAAGACGTGATTGTGTTCTTCCGGGAAAGTCCGAATCCGGAAAAGTCTAGGGGATTGGAGTCGAGCTCGAGAGGGAGATGCAGGGAGTCCGCGACCGATTCATTGCCGATAACAGAGTCGTCAGCAAAGTTGTTCTTGTCGACTACCTCGACTGTAACACTCCTGGTAGTTGTGTCATCCGAGTCGACACCCTCCTCCTCACATTCATCTTCGACACTTCCCTCAAAGTCACTGCCTGAGGTCTGTGGCGTGTCACCCTCCACTCCGGCACCATCCAAGGTCTTCCCCTCCTCCACTTCCTCGTCATCAAAGAAGGCCTCTCTGGTGGGGGAGTTCGGGTCGAGAGTACGGCCTACAGGCTTGAGATGGTAAACGCGTTTGGTGAGATCAGAGAAGGGGTTGACGGAGAGGTCGCGTGATTCAAGCGAGGTGTTGGACGCAACCTTGGGCAGAACCTTGCAAGTTCCGTTGGAAATGGACAAGGAGGCGATTTCAGCGGCCATGTCTCGGGCAGCTCCAGTTCCCTCTGGCGACGGTTCTCGAGACGACTCGAGCGATCCATGGGACTCCATCATGTGCGCTTCCTGGGCTAGCAGACGTTTTTCGAACTGCGTAGCCGACACGGCCGGCTTTGTGTCTCCACCGCAGGGTTCTCCGAAGTGTCGATTTTCGGAAAACTGCGAGAACTTGGACACCAGCGAGTTGGCTTCTGCGGCGTCGAGGACCTCTGACTTGGGGCGTAGCACAGACCGGGTGGGCACGTCGGGCGTTTCGGCCACGAACTCGGCCTTTTCGGGCGCCGGCACGTTGCTTGTGGTGAGTGCGGACGTGACTGATTTCGAGACGCAGATGGCGGAAAAGGGGCGGGTGCGTTTCGAGTACGACGAGTCGAAGGTGAACGACGAGTCTGCCGAGTCCGACCCGGCGTCCGACACGGAGTCTGAGTCATTGAGATTGTTGTGGTTGTTGTGCTCGTTGTGAGGCATGGACAAGATGTCTGACAAGTCGTGGGTGGTGATGTGTGAGGACTTGTTATTGTTATTGTTGTGGTCGTGGTTGTTGCTGTTGCTGTTGCTGTGACCACTCGGTTGCTTCTGTGTCTGCTTCTGCTTCAGCTCCGGCTTCCGCTCCTGCTTCTGTGTCTGCTTCAGCTCCGGCTTCCGCTCCTGCTTCTGTGTCTGTTTCCGATCCTGCTCCTGTCTATCCGCTACTCCGTTGGTGTAACTGTCAAAAGACTCGTACAAATGCTTCCGAGGCATGACCAAATCACGGCCGTCGCCCATGACGATATTCAGCGGGTTGGTGCGGATATGATAGGCCGAATCCTGGCTGGCAGTGTGTCTGTGCATCTGTGTGTGGAGAAGAAGACGCTGCAAAAGCCCAGATACAAGTATACATATCTGTAGCACTAAAAGGACGTAAAATGATGACTTTGCCGAAACGGGAAAAGCCCCAACAAAGACACTGTATAGCGTGCAGACGCGGATGGGAACTGACCGGACCAACCCCAGAATGCGCAAAAGTCGCCCGATTTGCAATCGGGAAAAACACAAATGTTTTTGGTCACGTGATATCCTTCTTCCCCGAGTATTTCGTAATTTGGGTGGAAATTGCGTCCAGGAACTCGAATGTTATGAAAAGGCGACAAATCTAATTTCACACTAACTTTCTACACCAGCCGCGATACTGTACAGCATAGTAGCAATAAAATAAAGGCACCAAAAAAAATAAGACACGAAAAAAAAAGTAGAAAAAAAGTAGAAAAAAAAAAAAAAAAAAAAAACCAAAGAAAAAAAAACAAAGAAAAAAACACTTTTTGACTGATAAAAAAAACAACTTCCATGAGAGCAGAGGCGAATTCGAAGATTCCGACCGACTAATGTATCGCTCGTACAAGTACATGTTTATGCTTACATAATCTATTGTGGATGTTGTTTTTCCGCGCAACAAAAGTCTCCATATACAGTCAGTCCGAATCCGTCACCTCCTACTTATAGGTCCAACTGCGATCGCAGGGGCTGCAAAAGTCGTATGAGATGGTTTCTTTGGTTTGGACCGCGGTTTTAGTGTCTATTTGGGACGCGTCGACTGCCAGGGTCGTTTTGGGGACCTCCACTAATGGTATTGTTGAGTCGTACTGTTGGGTGAGATGTGCAACGTTTGTGGAACACAATAGGGAGATGATATCACTTGTTCTAGAACACTTGGGGCTTGTTTCTGATGATAGCAGAGTGCATGCGTGCGCGATGGGCCGTTGAACGTCGCTAGGCGAGTTGACAGGTTGGGTATGACAGGGAGCAACTTAGTTGGAATTAGTGAAGTTATGGGAAATTAGTTGGCTTTTTTGTTAATAAAAATAGTAGGGGTGGGATTGAGAAAAGTGGTTGAAATGGCTATTTATTGGTGTCAAATTAATTTTCCCCGTAGGATTTATCGAATGGTAAAGTCCATGTTCACATAGTATTTCTCCTGCGTATTTTAGATACTGATTAGTAACCCATCTTAGGATATGAACCAACTGTCAATAGAACACAGACAGAAATGGTGATAGATATATGAACGGTCCGGGCTTCACCTCTTTTCGCAACTTGAGTCTCTGTCACGTGAATTTTCCAATCTCAACCTGACTCCATTTACATCGTCTAATCCGTCAACGTATATGGAACCACCCAAACCAGCTTCTCTAGGAACACAGATTATGACTCGATTTGACCCTCAAAGGCACATGGTCAACATACACCCCTCCCATTGGTCAATTATAGCTCTTGATTCTTTCACCATCCTGTTTTAGACGGAATTTGCTTTTCCTGTGTGGCAGACTGAACTGATTCCAACCATTGTTCATATCAGAGTCCTCGTACACTCATCTAAGCCTCGAATGAGCCTTAACATAGCCCCAAAACACTCACAAATCCAACTTGTAGACATTAGTGGTCTACTCAGCCACTTTTTTAGTGCATATCACGAGTTTCAGGTCTCAGCCAATGTCGTAGCTAATCTAGGAGACTAACTGAGAGATACGAGGTTGCAGAAGGGTTTAGGAACTATGAATAACGATTGAGCCATGTTCTCTAATTTCATTGGTCACTCAATCCTCTTCTTCTGACTTCCTATTACTGCTCACCAATTTGTTCCGATTTTTTCCAATTTTCCGATTTTCCAGAATAATTCCCAAAATTTCCAAAATTAATTTCAAAATAATTCAAATGCGCCCAAAAACTCCAAATACTACCAACAAGGCGGAACACAGACATTCCATGCGCAATCTCATCTTCCACGCCCCCTTCCCGAAATAGAAATGCGAGGCTGAGTGGCTGGGTGGCTGAGAGGGAGGCTAACGATGAGACCTTACATTGTTCCATAAATAAACTGAGACAAGGGACTGCCGACAGGTTATGAAGGAAGAGGAGTGACAGTGACAGAAATCGCTGTGCAAAATGTTTTATAGTCACGTGATACATGAAAAATACACAAAAATTGCGAGGCTGACTAATAAACAGACACACATGGGCGTGGCTCCTGGTGTTTCATCTGGTGTATGCTTTGTTTTGTCTTAAGCAGCCGTTTGGTTGAATTTGGTTGGAATGTGGAAAAAATAAAATAAAATAAAACAACAACAACATGCAAAAAAGTGGTCAAGAAAATGTGAAATAAAGAATCACACTCCTTTTAAAAACACCATTAAAGAGCTTAAAATCTGGGCTTCATAATTATACCATTTAACCCTCTATAAAATCAATACTTATAGATGTTTATCAATTACTCGTGTTTAACCGTATTACCCTATATCTGGAGCGAGAAATTACTCCAGAAATATAGATTAAATCAGAACACTTCGGAAAGTAGTAAATCATTAGTTTTAACACTCACATATTGTTCCTTACACAATCTGAGTCTCCAAAAGAAATATTTCACGGAGATATACACATCAACGACGCCACACAACACGTTAGCGCATTACAGCATATTTTAATGGGACTATATTGGATTGGTGAGTAAGACATAGCATAATTGGAGGTGATTGGAGGTAATGTAGATGATATGAAGAGAGATTATGGCCATCCAAGAGGGAGAGACAGATCTGAGAGTCACGTGTCATGTATATCCTTTCGCTGGGTTCCTTTTTACCCCGTTTTTCTCTGGCTTTTTTCCTTCTCGAATTTGGTGAAACTTTTTTAACTCGGAATTTGAGAGATACGAATTTGAGATAAAGCCACAGTTCAGTTTGAAAGAGAACCCAAAGAAAGACGGATCAGTTGCAAGATAAACGGATTGTCACGTGGCACAATGACTCTAGCACGTGTTTCCAGACGCCCTACCACGTGACCCGGTGGTATTTTCCCGGTCATCTGAGCGGCGTTGGTCTCAGCCCCAGACACTGCCACCCGCATCGCCCCCAGTTACTGCATGTTACCGCATTGTGCGTATTGTATGCGCGTCATGCATGTAGATAAGGTTTCGCGTGGGAGAAATTTGGGGGGAGCGAGATGTGAGATTGTGGAAGGGGGAGAGGTTTTTGGGGGGGATTATGAGGGGATATGAAGAAACAATACAGTCAGGAGAGTCGTTTAATGTTTCAACATTTTGAAAGTAGCCAATTTTCGGCGTTTTTCGAACACATTTGAGACCAGATACACCAAAACTCACTGCAACTGGTGTGAAGTATGGAAAAATGTCTTCAACTTTTGATCTAGTGGGGCGATTGAAAATCTAAAGGTATGAGTATATTTTTGAAACGGCAGGGATTATTTTAGTGCATTTCATCATATCAATATCTGTTGTTTAGAGCATCCTATATCCGTTGTACGGCATTGTTTCTTTGTTTCCTAATTTGATGTTCCAAAAATAGGTCTGGTGGAAAAGCTTAAAATTTCGACTGTAGAGTTATATAGCTGGCTGGCTGTCTGTAATAAAACTACTCCAGACATCATCGACTCTGACAGTTACTCAAACGGATATTTCTGCCCAGACAAGTGACACAAACGCAAACAGCAGACACAAACCGACTTTAGTAGTGACACAGACCGACTACACAAAACAGCTACATCAACAACCTACCCAAATCAACGCGAGCCCGCTCTGTTTGACATAAACCAGTGATCGAGACACGAGCCGCACATTAACGCCAGTTCTTTTTGTGATCGAAACCACGTTTCCACAAATCGTGACACCAACCCCAATCAACACCAACACCAACATCAACACACACTCACACAATGGGAGCAGGAAGAACATGCTGCATCATGGCTATCCCAATGCTGGGGTCGCTGGCGGCACTGGTACTGGCCATCTTTGTCATGGTAGGCTCCACATCCAATTCCGCCCCCATCAACGACCTCTACTTTCTGAGAATCGACACGACAAACCTGTCTGTGTCGTCAGTGGTTCCGGACATTAACGGCGTCGACGTGTCGTCCACCGTCAACTCCATCGCCCACGAGGTCGGCATCTCCGACTTTTACACCTCGGGCCTGTGGAACTACTGCACCGCCAAGAAGCCCGACCCCAACAACGAAAACCTCATGAACTACACCTTCTGTGACAAGCCCAAAGCCATGTACTGGTTCAACCCGGAGGAGATTCTAAGCGAAAGTCTGTCCCAGGGCCCTTCGCTGACCAGCGAGCTCTCTGCCGTCATGCCCGAGGACGTGAAGAAGTATCTGGACATTCTGGCCGGCGCCTCCAAGGCCATGTTTGTGTGCTACCTCGTCGGCACGATTTTCGCCTTCCTGACGTTTGTGCTGGGCTGGTTCACCTTCTATTCCCGAGGTACCACCTGCTGCGTCGCCACTTTGGCTCTCCTGACGTTTCTGCTGCTGCTGGTGTCTTCGGGTATATCCACCGGAACGTACATGATTGTGCGAGACGCGTTCAACAACAACCTGAGCGAGTTTGGCATCCGGGGCTCGCTCAACACGAAAATGTACGGCATCACGTGGGGCGCGGCTGTGGCCGCTGCCTGGGCGTGTTTCGGCTGGTTCTTTGCCATTTGCTGCGGAAACACAGACCGAGTCAAGGTTGTGACCGAAGAGAAGCAGCCGTTCATCGGCTATGTTCCTGATCCTTACCAGCCCCATGGTCATCAGGAGGGACATAGAATCTAAGGACGCTGGGTCCTATCCAGCTGTACACTGCACAAGCTGCGGTAACGAACTGAACATTCAGATCGTTTGTACACTTTAGTGTACCCTGTACAATATCTCATTCAACATTCTCGGCATTCTGGAAATGCCATAAAGGTTATATAGGTTATTTATTCACTCGTTTGATTCAGATGGTGGAAGTAGTAGATATTTGTCAGTGGAGCGTTACTCACTAGTGGAGATTTCCAACAAAACCTCAACAAAAATAATTAAACAGTTCAACTAGCCAATTCTAAGTGTGTATGAAGGAGGAGTCTCTAAAACACTAACACGGGATTCCGGGAAACTCATTCCGAATCAAGCCATATTTGAAGCCGAGTTAAAACGACTAACACAAAAACACTCGTTTTGAATTCAACTATTAATTTGACTACTTCACGTCCTTCTTGCGCTACTATTAACCACTATCTGTGTTATCTGCTATTGTTGCCCATCGCGAGATAGTATGATTAATGTTCGGGAATGCATAATCCAGGTCTTATATATGCACACCACGCATAAAGACAAATGATGCACATTTGACACATGGTTGCATGTGCATAGAGATGGAAAATGTACATGTACATTGTACATTGATTTATGCAAGCCCATTACACCGACATATGCAGCTTTCACAGCTACTGTACGCGAACCATCATCCTTGTTCAACTAATAGTCGTTGATATATCCAGTGCTTCCTCAAGCCTTCAGGTGATATTTGCAGCTTTATAACCAACCTCGTTCTGAGAAGCCTTAGATACAGGCAGTGAAGAGATTTAGACAGTGAAGGACGACAAAGATTCTGTATTCTTTTATTCTACAAACGTCAGTCTCTCTTGGACATATCCTCATATCATTATCTTATATCATTGTTGTACATCGGCCGAGTTGATTCCCCGTACGAGACCGCCTGGATTAGCTCCAGACCGGCTGAATTACTCTCCAGACCAGGTGACGATCTACTCCAAGCCCGCAAACGTTGTCGAGATCAGGTATCCGCTCTTGCCTTACTCGTCGCCTACCAAATCACTTGTTGAACATGGTCCCATCTTTGTAAATGATCATGGAGCCTCCACAGTAGCCCTCATGGAAGGCCAGGAAATCCTTGAAAATGTACTCTTTGCAGTCTGTGCAGTAATAGAGCGTTTTAGGGTCTGTATGTGACATTTTTGACACTTTACGGACTTGTTTCCACGTATTTATGTCTCCTGGGGCTCATGATGGAATTATATTTGAGGCATAGATGAACAAGTACCAATACGCATGAAGGTGTATACAGGTGCATACAGGCGCATACAGGTGCATTTGTGGTGCAGAGATTTGAGGCTGGTCTATGATGTTATAGAAATCACATATCGATCTACCACTCAGAAAATACCACTTTATAGATGTCAAAACACTGACAAAAGCCACGAGAATACTTTGCTATCGTCTTCGTTGTCATTACGTGTGATTCTGCCAAAAATGTCCACTTCAAGGTTTAATAGTCTCATCGCTTTAAATTACTGCCCCTGAAATGTTGCACCCAACTTGTCTCATATCCACGCTAGAAACGATTACAGCTTAGAAAGACGGTTGTGTTAAGCGCCTTGCCGGGCTGGGCTCAAAGGCGGAATCGGGCTATTTATATGATAAATCGATCATACTTGTACAGTGATATGGGACTTATCATATGCGTAGCGTACATACTGTACACCTATCGTACATACTGTTCTTGTACGGACCCTGTCTAAGAACTCCTTCCTTGAGTTCCGATTGCATTAAGTCATGCATGTGAGTATGATCTGTTATCCTACCTATGGTATCGGGGAAAGACGCATGTTCAAGTTCTGGCTAGGGATCATTCATGATCTTGAACAGACTGCTTCTGCGTCTTCGCTGGGAGATCAGAATCATCTCGGGCTCTTGGTCCTTGTCTTTGTTTGGAGGTTTCAGCACATAGGGAATGCCGTTGCAGACCACTCTGTGAACCAGATGTTCAGACGCGAAAAAGACGGTTTTGCACTGGTCGCACTTCCATTCTGTTTCTGTCATTGTGAGATAAAATTGAGGTAAGGACGGTAGAGTGTTGTTCGCAACGTTCTTTGCCGGTTGTTAAATACTCTTACTCGCATTGCAATCCTCTCATCAGAGGCCCTCTCACCAGAGGCTATATTGGTGTGTAGGCACCAATGCGGCGGTCGCGAGGTCTTTTTCTGGCAAAGACGAGCCCCATCGAGCTCCATCAACCAATCATCAAGCTTGGGTCGTCCGCACACAGGTTTTGCTTGTCTATGGACAATGAAGCGCGGCATTGATTGTATTTATAGTCTTTTTTTGCCCCACCCAATGTCCAAATTCCGTCTCTAAATCGGAGGCTTCGGAATCACATGACCAATTGACTGAAAATAGAGAGCAACAAAAGAGAGCACAATGCGCAGTAGAGAATACCACAAAGCCACCGTGTCCCATATCAGAGCCAGAGCCACAGATCCAGGCACACAGCCATAGCTCAGCTGCCTCGCCAGTCAGTACGAACGTGACCCCAACCAGTCGGTGTGCTCGTACGTCTGTGTCCGATCTTTAGGCCGTGCTGATCTTTGGGTCACAAATCGCCCAGCAAATGTCCAGCCAACTTCACCGATCGACAACGTCAATTCAGTCTTGCCACACCCAACTCGCGCGCGCAATGTGACAGTCTGGAATGAGCCGCATGTCATCTTACTGTAGTTGTGAGAAGATGGTGTTGTGTATGGAGTGTTATCTGATATTTAAACTCTGGATAACGAGTCAAAATATCAGACTGCACTGATGTCACCAACACCAGCCCTATCAGAGCTTCGAGGATGCCTTCAAACAGGGCATATTACGAGTAATGGCCCATCGTCTATTACACATTGAATCCTCTCTGTCCCTAGGCTCTTTGTTTCCGGCTCCATCTCTAATTTCGAAGAGATCCTGTTCTGACACACGCATATTCGGAAAGCTGTCGGAAAGCTGTGTGTACAGCAGTTTTGACACCACCATCGGACTCGTCAAAAACCTCACAACTATGTTGGTGCCGTTTCGAGGTGGTTCGAGCACTCTATACTGTTTCAAAGGCGGTGAGAGCACCTCATGCCGTGGAGATGGTTAAACAAGTTCATGGCTTCTCTTCAACTTATATCACATCATCTCTTCAACCGACTATTCTGAAAGAGGGAATTCAACCGATACGTGAGCTTGCGGAACATTGGCGGGAGATCTTTCACGTGGGTGTCTGCCTGGGGCGGTCTGTGGGTTCGTGGCAGTTGCAGGCGTGCCATACACTCGTCCACGTGTCTCTGGAGGCGGTGTTGCGGCACTTTGGTTTTGCAGTGCACGCAAAAGTAGACGAGGGTTGGCATGTTATCGTCTGTAATGGGAGGGGTGGCCGGGTGTTTATATGTTTTTTCCGAAAACAGCCTCAAACGGTGGAAAAAATGTAGCCACAAAAGATGAGGCATCTGATCAGAATGTGTTTGATCAAGCGACAATCAGTGGTGAAGAAACAGAAGTCACATGACTGAATTGACATGATCACTGGACATATTCAGTACTGCGATGAACATGTCACCATGTGGAGAGTTTATGGCGTTCATGGAGGTCCATCTCATCGACCTCCACTTGACTTCTTCTCCACCTCTGCCTTCCGCCCCACATCAACCTTGAGATAATACCCCCTATCATCACATCCATAATCGTCCCAGTCTTGTTTTTGGGTCAGCAACCAGTCAATGAATCTCCGGCGGCCCTGGCCGGTGTACTGGGTCAAGTAGCCCGCGCATTGGTAGTAGTGCGTGCGCATGTCTTTGTCTGGAATCCGTGTCTTGCACAGAGTGCAATAGTATCGACCGAGCATAACGATAGGTGAGCGAGATGATAGTTTCGTGAGGGCATGGGTGAGAATGAGCTGGCGATTACTCAACAACCTGCAATTAACCAAACCGAAAACTAGTCAGTTACCACAGAGCGAGATGGTGATAAGTGAGTTGATGGTCTAACTTGGGTGAAGAACGATGACAACGGAGTCAGTCGGTGACTTCTGGTGGCGATTCTGGTGGCGATTCTGGTGGCGATTCTGGTCCCGTTCTGGTCCCGTTCTGGTCCCGTTCTGATCACGTTCTGATCACGTTCGGACACGCTGAGCAAAATCAGGGACACAAATAACTCTCGAAGTGGAATCGAACCCAGACGCTTCTTCAATAGCTCTGGTGACAGTTGTTGGGTGTTTTGCTGGTAAAAGTGCCAGTGATGATCTGAGATTTGGGTGCTTAGTGTTGTCGCTAATCAGGGTTTGAAAGCACAGTTTCAAACTCGCATCTCTGGGGCTTATTTGGAGGTGAATTCTGAGGATCGTACAAGTTGGTGGATATTGCCGTTAGCTAACAGCAAGGTACACCATTGCAACTTTCTAAAAAATTGAACGACAACAGTTGCGAGATTTCGAATCTCGTAACATTTGGATGTGAAGTCGGAGACAGCCATCAGTTCGGTTCCATCAGTTCCACTTGACTTTTGCTAAATGACCAGATTGAATTGGTTCAACTGTCGTCGGTGTCAACTCACAGCTAGGTTGATACTGCAGATCGGTGACTGACTGACTCCGACAGTTATCATTTGGAGATGGAGAGCTCTTCGTATGAAGGAACAGTCTTCAACCTGCTGCCCCAGGCACTTGTCATGGCATAGACGGCTCTCTTGAGATGTCATTTCTTGAGCCCAAAATTGACGACCAGAAGGACATGCGCGAGGGTCCCTTATTCCGATATCCACGGGCTGAGAAGCGGTTACAAGTCACTAGATCCACAGCGATTTCCAGCGACTTTTCAGATCTGAAAGTCGGCAAAGTCTTGGAAAGTCCGCGAAAAATCCTGAGCCGCAATATGACTCAGTGGAACCATTCCTCACATGAGGGAAATGAATTGAATCACGTGACACTACCAGGACCCTCCCCCCCCATGACGTTCCAGGCGAGTTGAAACCATGTTGTCACCGAAACGTGTTTACGGAGTCGCGGAGTCGTCCTTCCTCTGTCCTTTCAGGTATCACCGGTGAATCCGACTGCTGAACAAGATGAGTTTCCGAATGACATCTAGGCAGTCAATACTGATCGAGAGCTCCATGTCTGTGTCGGAACTCGGTCTGGTTGAGAACTCGGTCTCGGTATCTGCTTCCTCATGATTTCTCCCCTTTTTTGGGTGAAAATCGTCAGAAAAGGGGAGAAATATTGCTGTGTTTGATAACGGAAGTGTCGCACTAGATGAACCTTTCTCGTAGACCTGGACGAATGGACTGACTTAACGGACTTGCTCAATGGGCTCCAGAAGCAACTCTTTAACTGGACAAGATTTCATCGTCAGGAGATCTTGCAGTCCAACTAAAACCTAAGTAAATGTGTCATTACAAATCTGAGAAAAACCTCGATTACTTCAAATCATGATATGAAATGGCACATTCTAGTCACTCAATTGTCCAACAGGCTCCTTTCCACTCCACTTGATCTACTTGTCTTCCATCTACCATTTCTGGAAACCCGAATTGGCACTCCAGTGGTGTTTTCCTTCAACTAAACTTGTGCAAACAGAATCAGACTCCACAGAACAGGAGAATTCCAAAGTACAACGTGAACAAACGGAGTGCTTCACTGAACCCATCCCTCCGATTAGGACAAAGTCTTGTGCGAAACAATTCATGAATGACGACGAAACAACACCGCACTTGTTGACAATTTTTGTATAAAAATGTTCACGAGACGCCTCCTACATGGATATATGATTCTTGTATGATCAAGAGCAGACCGAGACCTGCTGTCACAGGTTTTGTAAGACGGGTACTGTGTAGATGTAGAGATGTAGATGTAGAGACATGTTGAAGTTCACACCCACTTTGCTACATCTATTGCCTACTCCGACTCACATCTCAGCGACTCAGAGACAAGTGTGAGAGAATCAAGGAAGACAACAAGAACTTGTACAGGATAGTAACGTAATCAACATATCATACCCATTCAGCTCTGGTGCTTGTGTACACTGAAAAACGGACACTCAGCCAAATAAAGATCCACTCAGTCCGATGTTAACCAAACACCCATTCACCGCCAGAAGGATAAGTAACCGATACAACACTTATAAAACGTTCAAGATGATGGTTCCAGTTGGTTGTTTGCTCACATATCTACTCCAAAGAGGCCGCTCTTGACCCCTCTTGACCCGTTTGACAAGTATGGCTACAACATGGCTACACAGGACACTCTTCTGACATAACGCCATCAACATGTCATTTCCATTCAGCACAAGCACATCAGAATATACCAAGATGGATCGAGTCCGCTCTTAACTATCATACACTTAATCTACATTACTAATACAGTTACTTGTCCTCGGATTTTTCCTCCTTGGCCTCATTCTTCTTGTCGTCATCCTTGGACTCAGCTGGAGCCGGAGCAGCAGCAGCAGACGGAGCCGGAGCAGCAGCAGCAGCAGCAGCGGGAGCGGCGGACTCAGTAGCGGTCTCGACCTTGGCGTCCTCCTTTTTAGGCTCGTCGTCGTCATCGTCGTAGTCCTCCTCCTCTACCACCTTTCGCAGGGGCGCTTCCGGCGGAGGAGAGGAGGGGGCGGGAGCAGGAGTAGGAGCAGGAGCAGGTGCTGGAGCAGCGGAGGCAGCGGGGGCAGCGGGGGCACCAGAACCAGGAGCAGAACCAGAACCGGGAGCACCGTTGTTGGCAGTGGCGCCACTGTTAGCAACGTTAGCATTGTTAGCATTGCTTCCGGTGCTACCAGCGCTATTGCCACTACTCGCAACGGCTGGGCCAGGAGCAGGAGCAATGCTGGGCGTAGATGCGGCCGAAACAGGAGCCGTCACTGGTTGAACCGGCTTCACGTCGCTAACCTCGTTCGCGTCAGACTTAACGTCAGATTGAACGTCGGGCTTCTCTGGCTCCTGAGCCTGCGCAAGTGCACTAGGAGGCGCGGCAGGAGGCACGGCGGCAGCGGCGGCGGCAGTGGGCGCCGCAACGGGCGCAGAAACAGGCGCGGAAATAGGCACCGCAACGGGCACGTCCGGCTCCTCCTTCTTGGGCTCAACCGCTGCGGGAGTCGGCGTGTCCTGCACTGGTGGCAGCTCTTGGGTCGTCGGCACGTGCTGGGGCGCGGGCGGCGGCACCGTGGGTGGGGGCGGAGGCAGAGGCGTGGTTCCAGCGGCATTGGCGGCGTTGGCAACAGCCGGAGGAGCGGCCGGAGGCGCACCGGGAGCACCGGGAGCTCCAGGAACACCCGAACCAGCGCCCGAAGAGCCGATATCACGCTCAACGGCATTAGCCTGGCCACCCGGAGCAAGATTGGGGGTGTTATTGCCGCTGGCGGGCGTGGCGGCGCCATTAACATCCACGCGCTTGAAACGGCGCTCGTCCTCCCATTCGCCGGGTCGCTTCTCGCCTCCCTGGTGACCGTGGCCGTTTTCGGCGTAGTCAATCTGTGGCAAGACGCGCTGCTGGATCTCGGAGATTCCGGCGAGCTGTGGGAGAGCGGCAGCGGGTTGCGGAGGCGTGGGAGCGGCGGTCTGGGCGGTGTTGGGCGCAGTCTGAGCAGCCGGAAGACCGTTAGGAGGAGGCAGCGGCGCAGAAGAGGCTGCCAGAGGAGGAGGAGCCCCAGATCCAAGACCAGAGGCGTTGGAAAGCCCGCCGGGAGGCCCGCCGGGAGCCAGTCCTGGAGGTCCAAGTCCAGGAGGAGCCTGAGGAGTTCCGGCAGCTCCTCCGGCAGCTCCTCCGGCAGCAGCGTTGGCTCCAGCGGCTCCTCCAGCGGCATCGTCCCAGCCAGGAGGACCGTGATGGCTGTAGCTCTGGGGATTGACGTCCTGGGGTCGAGGAGGACCGGCGGGGGCGGCGCCATTGTGGCCCTGGCCCGATCGCAACTGCAACAACCGCTCTTGGATGTGGGGATTGTGGGGGTCCAGCTCGGCGGCCTTCTGATAGGCGTCGATGGCGTCGTTGACTTGGTTGTTGCAGCTCTCGTAGAGCGTGCCGAGATCGTACCAAACCTCGGAAATGTAGGGATTGAGGCGGATGGCGCGGGAGTAGGCGTCCAGAGCGTCGCGGTACTGGTTGATCTGGTAATAGAGCACGCCAATGGAGCACCAAAAGGTGGGGTTGCGCCCGTCGCGGTAAACGGCCCGTTGATAGGCCTCGTACGCCTTGTTGTACTTTTGCTGCGCCATGTAGCACCGGCCCAGTAGATACCACGACTGGGCCTCCAGGGGATCTGCGTCCAGCGACTTGAGCAGATAGTTGATAGCCACATCCTGGTTGGCAAAGGTGGACGATTGCTGGTGGTGGAGCCAGCCGAGTTGCTGTAGAACCTTAGCGTGGTTGGGGTTTTCCACCAGCACGCGGTCGTAAGCTTCTCGCGCCAACTGGAAGTCCTTCTGCTGCTCATGGACATGGCCAATCTGGAACCAAATGTCGATTTCGGTCAGCGGTCGAGGCGGGTTGTGCAGAATGTACCGGAAGCAGTCGAGGCTCTGCGAGTACTTGGCCTGCTGCTTGTAGATGATGCCAAGCCGGAAGTAGATTTCGTTGGCCTTCTCAAAGTGCGGGTCCATTTCCATCACCTGCGAAAACGCCTCTTCGGCGTACTCCAGCGAGCCGTACCGGTCGTACAGAATGCCGATGCCGTACCACAGCTTGGGGTCCTTGGGGTCCCGCAGATGGTACAGGGCCTGCTGGTAGGCGGAGTAGGCCTTGTGCAGGTCGTCCATCATCAGATAACAGTGGCCCAGCGAGCCGTGGGTCTCGCCCGAGTCCGAGCTCAGCGAGATGATGTTCTGGTAGTACTCCACCGCCTTGGGGAAGTGTTCCATCGACCGGTACAGGTTGGCGATGGCGGTCAGAGCGGGAATGGAGCAGGGGTTGTAGGAGAGCGCTGCCTCGTAGGCGTTGATGGCGCGTTCCGACTCGTTGAGCAGCTCTGCCAGCGAGCCCACCGCCAGCCAGGTGTCGATCGACGCCGTTTGTAGTTTTTGTAGTTGGGTCATGGTCAGAGTAATGAGTAGTCGGAGTAGTCAGCAATACCGTAATAGTAGTCAGCAATCACAATCAACAATCTCGTCAATATCAATCGTCAACGAGAAATGTCCTTGCCAAAAAGTAAGCCCTTGTCGAAGTCGTCAAAAGTAGTAACAAGTCGTCAACCAAAAATTGTCGAAAATCGGTCAGCCAAAAAATCACCAAAATCAACCAATCACGTGACAGAGGCGAGCGATATCCAGACTCGAAAATCACGTGTGTGCGTGTGTGTGTGTCTCGTTTGTGGCGGTCGTTTGAATTCGGCGTCCGAAAAAATGCCTTGTGTTTTTGTGTCTCTTGCGCCGTTTGTGTCGCAGGCTTTTATGTCCGTTGTTCGCTGTCTGTGTCACGAGGTCGAATCGAGAGCCGGAAAAATCGGGGGTGGCGCTAAGGCGGCAGCTAGCAGCAATTTACCGTCAAAACAATCACTTTCGCACCAACAAAGGGTTCGGGCAGAATTGGGATGTCGTAAAAAGTCGCCCAAAACAAGTGGTGATGTTTGAATGCAGCAGGGCAGGGAGGAGGTGGAGTAGGGTTAGAATTAGGGTTAGGGCTAGGTTTTGGATTGGTCGGTCGGGGGGGGTGGTGGTTGAGGCTTTTTAGACTTCGGGCTCGGAAAAACCTTATTTGAGTTGGGGGAACGGGGAAAACAGGGTGTGCCTGGGAGGGTTAGGGTTGTGGGAAATGAGTAGGATAGTGAAGATTATGTAATACATAACACTTATCCTAACGACCCCTGGCCCGATAATTTTATTCCGCTCGAGTTGGGTCACGTGACCAGCCACATTGGTCTTATCTTATTACCCTCTACGCAACTATCGTCCTGCCCCTGCCCTGGTGGTCAAACTCAATTTTTATTTCCACTGCAACGGCCCCCCGGGTAACTAGGCAATCTTATTTTGCGCTTACGTGGCGTATTGCCCCATTACTCATGTGCGGCGCGTCGTATCCACCCACGTGCATAATGGTGAACTGGGTACGAGTTAATCTGGTGAACGGCGGTGTGGAGGTGTTGTTGCTTGAAAAAGGGATAAAAGATGGAGCAGATGATGTGTTGATAGAGAATGGATGGCTTAATTTCCTGTATTTAATGGTGAAATGTTTTTACTGTTGGGTTGTCGGTGATATTTATTGTAGTGTCGTCGGGTGGATTTTTTAAATAAATAAATAAATAAAATTTTTATTAAAATAGAAAATGAAAAATGAGAAAAGGAATAAAATAATAATAAAATAATATTGATAATACTTATTTGAAGTAATATTTAAATATAGAATAATAATAATAATAATAATAATAATAATAATAAATATAGGAGAAAACCCTCGCACATAAGAAATGGAAATCGTGGCCAGTTGGAGGGAAATTCGGCCGCACGAATACGGGTGGAATAAGAAGGGTTAATTGAAAGACTGGGGTCGGGATATCTTGGGCCGTCTCTGGCATTTGGATAATGTGGTCTGAGTCATCAGACATGGCTGCTCTGAGCCCTATTTGCAGTAGGGTCTGGCGCCGCACTCCACGGAACTTTGGCTGAGGGAAGATCCACTCAGGCTCTATTCTGTCAGCGACTGTCCCAGCTCTCCATTGTGCACCTCAAGTTTTTCACCACGTTTAGAGTCGGTGAGAGACCAGAGTGACTACTACTTGTAGAGTTAGAGCAGGGCCAGTCCCGGGCCACCCGGAGACTCTAGAACGGGTCTAGACAACTGCAGAATGTCCAATGACGACTTCAGGAGACTTGCATCATTTTGAACAACCCAGAAGGAGTGCCAAATGCTCCAGAACAAGTTAGATCACTCAATAATGAATTGAAACCTCCCAGAAAGACTCCACGACGACCTGAGAGCACCACGAAGATCATAGCAGTCAAAGTCTGCTCCACTCGCATCTCTCCCGTGTTAGAAATGCCAAACTTTAGAGTAACAGGCTCAATGTGAAGGTCTGGAGGGGCTGGCGGTTCATTCAGACGACTCATTCGGGCTGTACAAAGGTTGGCACGGCGCGAGTATGGTCTATGACTTATATTAGCCACACCAGTTGTGTTTTGAAACGCTCCGAGATTGAACCAATGGATCCAATTCCGCTCTGTCAGAAAATTGGAATCTGCCGTTGCCTCGAGGCATGAATTGGTCAGCCTGCCGTTCTGACGAGTCCCTGAAAAAGAGTCTGGCTCAGATGGCCTCATAGTGGGTGACTGGGTAAGTCGACAATCACTACTTGTAGACATGATCCCAACAAAGACTGCTGCTCTTCATCTCCACCTCCGCTCTCTCCACCTCCGCTCTTTCCACCTCCGCTCTCTCCACCTCCGCACCTCCACCTCCGCACCTCCACCTCCTTACTTCGGCCTCATCTCCCCAGAAATACTCACTCTCGTGTATTTGACTCGGCCTGTCGTTCGCACTCAGTACTCCCGTACATACTGTACAGCATCTTCGACATTCACTGCCCTACAGATGCTGCTAGGTGAATCATTCAATTATCTATATATTGTATCTTGCTGGAGTCTCAAGTGGATCGGACTGGATCGGACTGAATCGGACTTGATCGGATTAGTTGTAGTGTATCAAATGAGGCAGATCAGTCTGTTCTGCCCAATGCTGCAAACTCCAGGAGAACTAGACTTAGTAGGTGAAGAGAACCAGACTTGATACAACACGCATGGAATATGACACTCCTGGCATGACCCAATATCGGACTTGGTAGACCTGCTCAACAAGACTGGCGCCTTGCTAACTTGTCCCGCTAATCTAATCCTCCTCATCCTCATCCAAATCCTCTCCAATCTGAATCTTCTCCACCTGACTAGTGTCCACCGGGTTCCTCGCCACCTTGACCACACTGCCAAATCCAATTGTCTTTCCATCTCGTCGCAAAACAAACCGCGACAGATGCTTGTTCTCCTTTTCGAGCTCCAGAGCAATATTGTCCGACAAGATGAGCTCCACAAACGCCGTCTGGCCCTTGTCCACAAACCGAGGTTTCTCCTTGATGGTGTTACCCTGCTTATCCAATAAGGAATACAGCTTGGAAAACACAGCCACAGAAGAGACTCGAGACCGGTAGAAATCGCACTGAGTACCCTTCAGAACAGGAAGGTCCACGTCAAACAGAGTCACCCGTGCTCGGAACTTGTTTCCACGCCTCACAGGGTCGGAATACTGTGCCAAAATGTCGCCCGCTTTGATCAGCTCCAAATCACAGCCGTCAACAGCTTCCAGCGAAAGATTCACATTTTCACCAGCCTTGGCGAAGTTTCTAGAGCCCAGATCCACGCCGATATTACGCACAATCGCAACCTGGTTTCCGGGAGAAATAACCACTGGCTGGTCAATCTGAACCATGCCAGCAAAAAGTCGTCCCGACACCGTCACTCCTCCAAACGACGACTTGACGTTGAAAATGTCCAGTTTCAGGGCATTTTCGTCACTGCTGACAGCACTGGGGATGCCCTGAAGCGTCGCCATGATCGTCTTATCATGATACCAGGAAATGTCCTGTTTTTTTACAATGTTGGCACCGGTAAATCCAGAGCAAGGAACAAACTGGACATCCGAGTACCCAATCTTTGACAGAAACAAGCCCATCTGATCGGAAATCTCGTCGAATCGCGTCTGATCAAATTTAAGCTGGTCCATCTTGTTCACAGCAATAATCACATGATTAACGCCCATGGCCCTGCACAAGAGAGCATGCTCCTTGGTCTGACCGTCGGCGAAAAACCCACGTTCAAACGCGTCGGCCAGGGAGTCCAGCACCACGATGGCGACGTCGGCCTGAGACGCGCCAGCAATCATGTTGGGAACAAAGTTGTAATGGCCTGGCGCGTCCAGAATAAAGTATTCACGAGACTCGTAGGAAAACTCCCGAACAGAAATATCCACCGTGACTCCGTTTTCTCGCTCCTCGTCGGTCTGGTCCATGAGCCACGCGTACGAAAAGGACTTTTTGCCGATTTCAGACGCGGATTTCGCCAGCTTTTCAACCTGGTGGCTCGAAACAACGCCCGTGTCGTGCAGTAGACGGCCGAGAAGCGTGGACTTGCCGGCATCCACGTGACCAACCGCCACGGCGTTGAGAGATGGGGTGATTGCCGTCACGGCGGAGTCCTGGGGCTGAATCTTGGGCTTCCATTTGGAAAAGTCTGTCTTGGCGGCGGGAGTCTGGGCAATGTTAAGATTGCCGAGATTCGATGTCAGGGCACCGATTTTGGCCTGCTGCTGTTTAGCTAGAACAATGTCATCGGGTGACGGGCCCGCAAAGCTCTTTGCGCTGGCTTTGGCGCTCTCGGCGGCCTTGGCGCGCACTGTGGGGTTAGCGGGGCGGTGCGTGAAGGGAATGGGGGATGTGAGAAGATTGCCAAAGGGGGTCGCCACGGCAGCACGGCTAGGAAAGGTGTAATCGACCAGCGGGGCGGGTTTGGGGGTCGTGTTGTTCACTCGTTCCTTCACGTGATCCGCCGAGTCCTTGGTGGTTGCCGCCGCTCCTGCGTTCTCTAAAGCTGCGACTGATGCCGCCTCAGTTCGTCTACCCATCCTTGCCAGCTTACTAGCTCCTCGATCTCGGCTCTTCAGGGCCTCCAGAGCAGAAGACTCGGACGACGAGCCACTCTTGAGGTTGTTGAGACGAGACTGGCGGAGTTTGGCGAGTTTGGAGAGCGGTGGGGAGGCAGTGGACTCCGCAGATCCGGGGGATTCGGGTTCTGGTGACACGCTTTTCTTCAGAGAATCCAAAGAAGACGACTTGTTCCCTCTCAAAGAAGCCAGTTTGGACGAGCCTCTGAGGGCTGACAATTTGCCGGCGCCCTTGGCCGCTCCGGTCGGTCTCTCTGCGGCAATCGCATCTTCATCTGTCTTAGTTTGGGTTCTGGAAGCAGACTACAACTAAGACAGACAGACGGATAGGCCGGGTCGGAGATCCAGTTGTAGTCGTCGCTGGTGGGGTGGCGGTGGGAAGACTATAGACCTACTGTCATAGAAGCTGACTTCAAGGATAAAGTCATTTGAATCGTTGCTGTCTGTGTGGTCTCATAGTAGGGTGATGTGCCAAGTAACATGATCAGTGTAGTTAAGCAAAACTGCAACCTCCACATGTCACCACAAGATCACCATCAGGCCACGTCACAGCTTGGATACGCTGATCACACTCCCCAACGACCCCTTCCCCCCAACATGCCATGGCCGATAGACGACAGAACATTAGACATCACACCCACTTCTGAACTGACGAGCAGATTGATAGATCCAGTGACCAGTAATAAACCAGCCCATTCACCAAATCCCTGTCCTCCCATATATAACACATGTCATCCAATGTTGGTAGTCACGCCTAGTGGCAACACATCTGCAGTTTCTGGCACTCTCAAAAAGTCCGTAGATAGCCCATACTCACTCTTCTTGTCAATCTGCTCCTTCTTCATCTGTTCCACCTTCTGCGCCTTGGCAGTCTTATCAACACAGTAGGCAATGGCAGCGTCCACGTCATAGTACGAGTCCCACAACATGTCCTTGATGGTCTGCTTGTCGACCGAACACCCCGGCACCGACTGCAGCACCTCCTTGAGCGCGTCGTCCAGCTTCTCCTCCTCTTCGGGATCCATGTCAGATCCTATATCCATATCATCGTCGTAGTGTACCATTTTTAGGGACGTTTGGGGTACTTCTCGTTGTGGTGATGGTAGTATGGCAAAAGGAAGGTGACAAGTAAATCAAATCAAATGGTAAGATGCACCTGAAAGTTTAAATCGAGGGCATCGGCGGGAGCTGGGGGATGATGGAGAGGAGATATGGGAATGATTATGATATCGTTGGAATCATCCCAGTCACGTGATATGTTTCCTTCTTTCTCCTTTTTGATATTTTGTTCCTGGTCCATTTTGGGTCGGTTTTCGTGGTTGGTGGATTAAACATGATCCAAGGCAGCAAGGAACTAAAATTAATTATAAATATAAATAAATATAAATAAATATAAATATAATTTAAAAAATAGAATAAAATATATAAAATATATAAAATATATAAATATAAATATAAAAAAATAAAAAATAAAAAATAAAAAATAAAAAATAAAAAAATAAAAAAAACAAACAGAAAAAAACAAATATAGCAAAGAGAAAAAAATGAAAAATAACGATAGTGTTATACTTACTCAACCAGTCGGTTCAGGGCAGTTCCAGTAGTACGTCTTCAATCGATATTTTCGATTAAATGACCCTGACTAATCCACACCAATTTTAAAGATATATCACTATAAATACGTCCAGGAGATAGAGCTCATCAGGAGGTTTAGTTTGATATATTGTAATTGCTGTTTTAAGTGTAGATATGTACACTAAATTGGAGAATTGCAAGTTGGACGACTTCTAACTCGAGTTGTAAAAGTCATAATTGAGCGGAAAAAGTTCTCGAAAGTATTTCCGTAGTCGCCAAGCACCGCTACAAGCATTAAATCATCCTCAAACCTCCATCTCTCCAACTAACTCGAATTCTGGGGTTCGATACTTGGACTACAAACAAGGTTACTTGAAGATGATGAACAAAAAAACGGTGGCGATCAATACGGTTTAAAATGACAGAAAAGAGACAAATAGTCCGGAAATTTAGTACTGGCGGTACAACACGTCCAACAAAGCCACTCCCGTTTTCCGATTTTCTTTCCCGTCAACCTTGCACTTTCTGGAGCCTCCCTCTGTCAAACTGCTCCGTCCGGTCACATGACAAAAATTTAATTTCCATTGTCAAAAAAATTACCCCAGAGTCTCGCCTTTTTTCCTGTTAGCCGCATTTGCCCAATAAGGCTGAAATTGGGGTGGAGAAGGTGGAGAAGAGGGGATGAAACCGGTATCAAAATGTAGCTCTGGGCGAGACGAGTCTAATGGCACTGTCGGATCGTCTATATCTGCAATATTGGGGCTGTTCTGGTCGAATCGGATTCACCCAACCCGCCATTCCCGCCGGGTGTAGAAGTGGCTAAAACTTAGCCACGGCCTTCATACCGCCTTCATACCGCCTTGTCCAGACTTGTACATCTCTTTCTGCGTAGAGCTGGCTCTCTCTCCCCGCCTCCTTTCACGTCACGTCATGTCGACCCATCATGTGGTTCAACGTTTCAACCGTCCAACGTCTTTCAACGTCACATTTCTGGGCGCTAATATATAGACGAGCTAATTGTGTGGGACGAGTTAGGGGAAGGGGGAGGATTTGGGGGGAGGTTAAAACGGCCAATTCGGGCCGTAAAGAGACACCGACAAGGGTAATCTGATCATGTGACTCGTCCGATTCTCCCGGTGTTTTCAGATCCAAGCAATTTTCTCTCCTTTCTACTTTTATCTGCGTCTCGTTTTTTTGACCCCCCCCACCCTTCATATCTCAACTCAAATATAAACTTCGTTGGGAGCCATCTCGGTTCACCACATTGCATGATTCTGGGGGTCCACATCTTGACCTTTGTTATCACACATATTTGTGGGACACAGACGTCGAACCCCGCTAACACTGGCAAACATCCGTCACAAACACTTGTTACGCAGACACTTGGTACACAGACACTTGTTACACAAAGACAGACTCAGTTACACCGACGCAAACACAGCCAAGCGACTCACTCGGACTAGTTTAGACAACCTCCACACACAACAACACCATGTCGTATTCGTTGGTGCCGACGGTTCTGGCCAGATTGAGCCACGTGGTGAGTATAGAGAGAGCGAAACGAGCCCGAGCATGGTCGTCGAGGAAATGATGACATGATGGGCGGGACCGGGGGGAACCACTATTGCACTAGAGCACTATTGCACTATTGGGTTGTCTCGTGTGGGGTGGTCGACATGTGTGGCAGATGGGTCGACACGGATACATCGAACAGCTTACAGCTCAATTGCGTCTTTTTCATGGCTTTTGGGGGGTGTTGTGGCGTCACAATTTCACCGTTTCCGTTTTGTCGGTGCCGTTTGTAAATCGCCATCAGGACCTGCGTTGAGGTGCTCGGCGAGGTGCTCGGTGAAGTGCTCGGTGGGGTGCTCGGTGGGGTGCTCAGTGAGGTGCTCGGTGAAGAGTTCTCAATGGCGGTTCCCACGTCTGTGCAGACAGATCCAATGTTCATAACGTCCACACTGCTCCTGTTGCAATACTCCGTCAGCTGCCCACTCTCCCATCCAACCCCATCTGTTATCAGCTCATCTCCGTCGACAGTTTTATGGTTGTCGGCTCAGACAGCCTTCCCCGTTGACGCCCAGACCCATGGCCTGCGTTTCCACCTTCGTTACTAACACAGCTCCCCCACACAACCAACGCGACCATCATCGAAACCGAATCCAACGACGTCTTCCAATGCATCCGCAAAACCATGATGTCTGCCTGCCGCTACGGCCCCTTCAGCGAAAATCTCTTTGGCTTTTTACAGCTCCTGGATGGAGTCATTTGTGTGAGTATCAGGAATCAGGAACCAGGAGGTACGAATGAAGCAATTGGTCATCACCTCGACTTTTCTCATGTCATATCCGATGCCACCGACTTATCCTGACTGCAGTGTGAGTCTTTGGCAAACACCTCTAGTTACCGTCCGTTGCATCCACTCAGACCTATGATCTGCACAACCCACTGCCTGGCCCCGTACTAACTCAGAACGACCGAAATACGCCGGTCGAGGCCCGTTCACCGGCCCAGCTCCGCTCCCTTGTCGTCATTCTCCGTCTCCTGACCGACTTTATCGACGCTCATTGGGAAGCTGTGGAATATGGCGTCTCCGAGATGAAACAGGTCGGCGTCGCCCCCGCGGCCGAGCCGTTCACAACCACCGACGACGACGAAACCAACGCGAGTCTCTACGCCGAGTCGGCTGACCAGTCTGGCGGCTACACCCCATCGGACAAGGAGCGGTACTTTTCCACACGCCCTCCCAAAATCAACCCCAACCTCGTCAAGCGCACGCTGGGGCTCATCATCACCATCAAGCCCAAGATCCAGAACATTGACGAGTTGATTAGCGCGAAAAACATTCGAAACCCGTCGTTGCTAACCGAAATCGAGTACAACTGTAACCGGGCAATTCGGTTCCTCTGTGCCACAAACTGGGACGAGGTGTATGCTCTGACACGTTCGAAACTGGCACTTCTCAAACTGCCAGGAGAGGACGACAATACAGACTACGAGCTCACCGAGCTGGCCTCGCTGCTTTTTCTCGACCGCGACACGCTACTGCCCGTTCTCAAGGACTTTTGGAGTTTGATCCCACACATCCGGCGCCCCAAGTGCCAGCAACTGGCCCTCGGCTTTTTGCGCAAGTCCATCAAACACTGGATGGTGACACATGCACGTGACTTGGCTCGGATCGACGAGATTGACCACCTCGCGTCCATCGAGGCCCAGGGCTTCTTCAATTACATCTACACGCTTAGCAACCAGCAGAACCAAGGCAACATGCGGCCCTCGACTTACAAGTTTCTGACCACCTTGATACTACTGGTGCCCTCGTCGTTCCAATCCTATAACTACAAAAAGGGGTTGGATAGCGGGACCACTGAGATGGCGTTCCTGCGGCATCTCAAAAATAGCCTCAACTCAACTGGGAAGGCCTTCTCGATAGCCGTCACGTGTGTGTCCGAGATTGTGTCGTGTGCCCAGCTCATCTGGCAGTACAATCGAGAGTCGCCAGTGATTTCCTTTGCACAAAAGGTGTACCCGGACCTTTACAATGTGCTGTTTTCCAGCGGGCATAAGATTTCGTTTGTGCAAGACTTCGACGATGTGCAGAGCGGGTTTGTGGCGTCGTACCTGCATTTGAACCAGGGCGCCATCTCTCGTGACGTGCTCCCCATGATCACCGCCAAGAATGCGCACCCTCGGTACCTTCAAAATGTCGTCCATGGTATTTCCAAGTCTTGTTCTGGAGTCCATGGATCGCCACTCGACACTCCTGCTTTCCAGGATGCTTACGAGCAGCTCGTTCAGATGGTGACCCAAAAGAGTATCCGACATGCTGTTCTGGAGACTTCACCAACTCCTACGCCTGACCAGGAGCGTGAGCGGCTCAGCCTGGCGTCTATTCTTCGTGACTCGTTCACCTTTTTTGACCAGTCGTTTGAGTCGCACGATCCAGGCCTCCAGCAGTCGTACCTCTTCCAGCAAGGCTCCAACATTATTCTTCCGATTGTGAATGCCATGTTGAGCGAGGACCTGACGCTGTCACGTGACGCATCCGCCTTTGCATCCAAACTGCTGGACCCTCGGAACCTCGAGTCTACGCAGTCGGACGACGTGGTCAAAATGTACCGCTCTATTGGTATGATGATCCGGGTACTATGTGAGAAGATTGTAAACCCGAACGTACGGGTCGAGTCGCTGACTCTCATCAAGCGGCGCATTCTCTTCTCTAAGCTGGAGGGCTACCTCGACGCTCGATGCTACATGGCCGAGCAGTACGAGTATCTCAAGAGCGAGAACTCGGAAGGCATCACGATCGAGTCGCCTGAGTCTCGATTGGCAACCTCTCGAGCCGCAGAGGTGGTCATTCTCATGGCACTGGCGTCTCCAGACATGAAGCTCAATGTAATGGCGCTACGGTGTCTATGCATCGTTGTCAAGGAGACGTCTCTGACCGAAAACGTCAACTTTTTCCTGGCAAACCCGGACGCGACGAGTTTCACCATTGCCAAGAACTTCACCGTCTACTCTGACCTCTGCCAGCAGATTTACGCGCTCACTGGCCCTGCTGCACTCCAGAAACGGCTCAGAAAGTACCTCCAGCGAATCGACTACCCTTCTGAGTCGATTACGTCGGTTTGGAAAGAGATTGAAAAGCGGTGGAGCCGGCTGAACACCATTTTTGGCCATCTTTCCGACGCAGAAATCACCCGAGATGGACTCATCAACCAATGGAGAAACTACTCGGGCTTTCTGGCATCGCTGTCGGGCTGTTTTGTGCGATCCACAAGCTCCCAGTTTGCAGACAACCCTGCCGTGCAAATCATCCGAGACCATGTGTACGAGTTTCTGCAGACCATGGTGGGATTCATGGTGTCACCGAGCGCCTTGATCAGAGAGACTGCGTGTGAAGTACTGGCGATTGATGCGTCGCCCCTCGCCTACCATCACGTGTTCTCCGAGCTCGACCATCTCATCAACGACCACGTGACGCGCAAATCCGACAATCTGCTGCTGCCCGAGCAGGTTGCAGCCTTTGTGAAGTCGGTGCTCTCCCGAGTCAATGCCGAGGAATTTTATATCAACGTTGATCTTGGAGCACTGACGCTTCGTATCGCCAAACACCTCGAGTCTTACTCGGACTCTGACAGTCACGTGATCAAACTGAAGCTGCGGGTGTCCATGTTAGCCCAGACAATTGCCAAGCTGCAGGAGGGCTTGAATATTCGACACAATGCCGTCTATCGAACCTCCATGGTGACAATTCTGTCGCAATGGTTCCGGTCGGTGGCTCTGGAAACTGTAGAGCCGTCTTCAGAGCACATCAAGACGCCCACCACCCATCTCCATCGTCAGAAGATTGACCTTGCGGTCGCTTCCATCACCGCCATGGCTCTTTCTCTGGATTCTCTCGAGTTGGAAACATCTGAAGAGTCCGTAGAAGCCGACGGGGGCGTATCGTCTAAGATTGCAGCCTTTGCGATGCACTTCAACATGCTGCTCAAGACGATCGACAAGTTCTCGCCCGACCATACAGTCTACATGAGCCCTGGAGTAGCCTTTTCCAAGGACAAGGTGAGTGCGATTCGCGAGAAGACAATTCTGGCCCTGTCCAACTTGATTTCTTCCAACGCTGACGTGGGACTCAAGTTTGCATTGCCTCTGGGCTTGCACAAGGACACACGTCTTCGGCTGGCATTCCTGGAGGTGTTCACCAAGATGGTGGGCAGCAAGATCCAGGTTCCGGAGGTGCTGTCTGACGAGCAGCAGTATGAAAAATTGGTGGCTTTTGTCATGACTAACATGGACATTACGTATCTCATTTGTGAGGGATGTCCGGGCACAGAGACTGATAATCTTAGTGAGCTTCTACTGGACTTGGCAGGTCCCAGAAGTCTGGAGCTGGTGCAGCAGGTGATTTCTCGCGAGATTCAGGCTGCCCCTAGTGCCCCAGAGGTGCTGAGACGGAACTGTGTGGCGACGAGAATGCTCAGCAAGTACGCCAAAAGGGTGGGAGAGGGTTACCTGCGCGAGACTCTGCGAGGAGTGTTGTCACGTGACGTCTCTGACCTCTCTCGTGACGTGAGTGGCATGTCTGTGACTGACTCGGCGAGTGTGGCATCTATGGGCTCTGTGGGCTCTCGTTTGTCAGCTGGATCACGTGTTCCTGATGATAACTTCTCGCCTCGAGGGTCCGTCGACTCTGCACGTGACATGAGTACCTCGTTCGGGCAGGCCATTTCTCTGCTTGTGTCTTCATTTCCCAAAACTCTCTCTCTCGTCCCCCCTCAACTGAAGTCTATCTGTCACACTATCTGGACGGTTTTTGAGGCCAGGTTCAAATCTTCTCCTACCAGTGCAGTTGGTGCCTTCATCTTTCTCCGATTCTTTTGCCCTGCAATTGTATCACCAGAAAGTGAAGGTTTAGTCACTGCCAAGCTCACTGGTGAGACTCGGAAGGAATGTCTGCAGCTCGCCAAGCTGCTCCAAAACATGGCGAACGGCACGTGTGCCCGTGTGCAGATGGACGGTATTTCACGTGACTTCCTGGATTCCCAGACGGGCATTGTGAGCGGCTTTCTGCGTGACATTTCATCGTCACCGGGTGTCATTCTCGCCCGCGACGAGACCCCTGACCCCGTTGTCTCAGCCGACCTGTACACCTCCCAGCTCGGGCTGCACAAGTTTCTGTACAACCACTGGGAAGACATTTACCACCGGATTGCGTTGGACAAGCGTTACAAGAAGCTGCTCCGGTCTCATCTGCAAACCGATCACGTGACTGACGACGACAGTGTAGCCCAGAAGAGTAAGAACCTGACTATCCTGCTCAGCACCATGAAGAAACCCAAGGCATTCTACTCGGTGACTGCAGCCTCTGATGATGAGGCTCCTATCCGGCAGTTCATCCATAAGAACATGCACAGAGACGTCTCTGTGGCCACCCAAAAGTCCCAGGTGGTGCACATGGCTGTGCGGAAGGACGGTATTCCTGTGATTGTGGTCAACTGCCGCATGCATGACCCCAACACCATGGACACGGAGTACCTGCTTTATCGATTCTATCAAGTGGCGCTCAAGCTGTGGGAGCAAAAGTTTGCTGTGGTTGTGGACGCCACGTTTTATACCGACAAGAACTACTTTGACCACACCGTGTTCCGGTCAATTGCCAAGATGGCGCCTGCCAAGATGCTCAGCAACTGCATTGCTCTGTACTTTCTCAACTGCTCTGTAGGCTTTGGAGACAGATTCAGACACACCAAGGAGGTGTTTCGAGCAGTGGAGTTTCTCAACCCCGACAAGATCCCCTGGAGGTTCCTAGACCCCAGCAACATTGAGGACACGTTCGACATTACCTCCTTGTCGCTGTTGCCGTACACCGTAGCGCAGCTCAAGGAGGGAGGGTACGAATACCGTGTGCGGCAAGTGATGCCTGCAGGCATGGAGGGCGCCGAGAGCCAGCTAGTGGTGACTGTGCCTGGCCAGCCCCCATTCCGCAACGTTGATTTCAAGGTCGGCGAGGATTTCATCCGGATTATGGCTGCCGACCTTGCGTACCCTTTCCCCGATGCCCCCTTGAGAACGGTGGACAGTATTCTGATCTCTACAGTGTCCGTCGTCATTGAGACCGAGGAAGGCTTCGTCGTCGTATACAGCGGTGGCGAGCTGCGGTTCCTATCTCCTCGAAAGAGCGAGATCGTGAGAACTATCAACGAAGTCCGCGCTAGAGAACATGTTGCCGCAGAGCCTGAAACAGACTTCAACAAGTTGATTGTCCGACCGGAGGATGTCATCCCAGCTCTGCTGAACATTGGTCTGCGATCGCTGGTGTCTGACGACAACAGCATTCGAACAACGGCCTACCGTCTTCTGTGTCTCCTTCAATCGTCGTTTGCCCTCGATTTTGGTCAGAATCTCATGCCATGCGAAGGTCTTGGAGTTCCTCATCTCTCGCTGCAACTGGCAGCGTTCTTATCCGAGGAAATCTCCATCACCCGTCCGGAAATGACGTATGACTTTCTGAGCGACTTTTTCACGGCGTTTGAGTCCGTGTCCGACTCAAAGCGCCAGGAGGTGATTGCGTACGCGAGCCCCTGGATCAGAAATATCTACGAGTACGTGTTTCTGACCGAGCACAATGGCTACGAGAAGACGGCGCGTCTCATTGGCCAGTTCTGCGACATCACATACCGCAACCCGTCCAACTACCATTGTTTTGTGCACCAGGTCTGGAAGGTGCTGTGCTCAGAGGACGAGCTGGCTGGAGTGCTCGTTAGCGAGATTGTGTCTCGTGTTACCTTTTGGCAGGGCCAGGGCCACTCGGCTGACAAGAGCAAGATTGAAAACATGGTTTCACTATTGACCACGTTCCCGTCAATCTCGCTGTGTGGCAGGATTGTCGTGGCCACACGTGCCATTGCCGAGGTGGCTCTGTCAGCATCACATAAGAAGCTGTCCAAGCATCCCAACTGGGACGAGCTGGGTATTCTTCTGCGAGTGTGCCGGGAAATTTTCTTTAACGCTCCCATGCTTGCCACTGAGTATCTGGCCGACGTGTGTTTCATCGTTTCCATCTTCGTTGACTCAGGCTCGCTGCAATTCCGCCAGTCACTGTACCATCTCATGGTGAACACGGCGCACTCGTTCGGTGAGAGCCCCAAGCTGCAGGCGCTGCTGAGTCAGATCAACGAGCCCAAGACGCGTCTGCTGTTTGGCCTGCACGCCGACAACTACTCGGCGTCGTCATCCACGGACATGGATAACTCTATCGTTGCCAACGTCGACTATCTCGAGTCATGCTGCTCGATTCTGCTCGATCTGTTGGATACGGTTGGCGACAAGGACCAGGCGAATATGTGGCGAACGCGGTGGATAACCTTTGTCGCCCGTGCAGCCTTCAACGACTCGCCGGCTGTCCAGGGCCGGGCCCTGGTTTTGCTGGGATGTCTGGCCAAGACGGAGGTTGAGGACGACATGGTGAGACGAGTGGTGGAGCTGTTGGTAAAGCAGATGACCATCGAGGATCCAGAGCTGGCCAGAGACATGGCCGTGTGTGCCATCTCGTGTCTCACCAAGATGGTCAGCGGCCTCGACCCTCGCTCATCCATCTATGTGGACCGGCTCTTCTGGATCGCCATTGCCTGTGTGCGATCCAGCGAGACCACTGAGGTGTTCAACGCTGCCATGGGTCTGTTGGATGCTGTTGTCAAGAGCTTGGACAAATATGGTGACTTTCTGAACGGCTCTCTGGCTGATCTGCTCATGCCGGCGATCGAGAATGACACCTCGTGGGCCGAGTTTGACGCGCTATGTGGCATCAAGATGAGCCGCGAGTTCTTTGAGACCGCCGTGTGTGCCACGATTCTGCGAGGCATGCAGAAGAGTGTGACACGGCCGAGAACGCTGACAGTGCTCGAGACTCTACTCGAGGTGTCTGCCAAAACGTACGCCAAGACGCCGCGGTCCGAGTTTGACTTCCAGGACGACGATTACATGGCCACTACGCCGCCGCACTTGTGCTACCTCTTCTTCTTGCATCTGTGTTCGCGATCTCGATCCAAGTTGCGGTCGTACTACTGGTTGGCTGGATACAGCGACACTGAACCGACCATGACGTCGTACAAATGCCCCGATGCGCTGTGGACGTACATTCGGTCCCCACACCCGTCCACAGTATTCGTTCTGGCTCTTGGAGCTCAGTTGTTCAAGACCTGTGAGGACGACGAGGTGATGGAGATGCGGTACCTTGGTGTGTTGAGTACCGCCGCCTCAGATGCGCCCACGAAGTTCATCCAGGTGTACTCAGACGTGCGACCAAAGCTGGCGTCGCACTGCTCGGCCACGCTCAACGTGGCGCTGTTGACGGTGGTAACGGAGGTGGTGTGCAAGGTGTTTTCGATTCCTGACATTTCCGAGCAGGTGGCGCGAGGACGCGAGACGTTGGAGGCGGGCCTCCGGGAGGCCGAGCTGGATTGCGTCACGGCATGTGCGGAGTTCAATCCCAAGGACAAGGATTACCGCACTTTCCGTCACGTGGCGGCAAAGAGCGTCAAATCGCTGCAACCCCACAAGTATTATTGATGGAATTGTATTTTTATGGTAGCTGAGCTGGACGTAGCGTGTGTGGATGTAGGTGATAGACTGGGGTTAGTATATGAACTCGAATGACGATATGTGTCGTGAGAGGAGTCGTGGTGGTTATCATGAGTGCATACTCACTGTGATGGAGGGGGAATTGAGGTTGTCGATGAAACGAAGTGTCATTTTATAGTCAATATGGTGGAGCTACGGAGAGGCTGATTGTTGACAGCCACAAATGGCGCGACAGATAGACAGAACCATTTCGGTGGCACAATGCAACACCACACCACCCACAGTCTTGCGGCTCGTGATGACTAATACAGCTTCGCATGGTACACGTCGACTCCGCCAGTGCGGTTCTCCCTTCCACATCGACACTTGAGTCAGAGTCCGTACAGAGCCCTCGTCGTGGTATCCTGCTTCCGTTTTGTGTAAAATGCAAAGTGTAGCCGGCACGGTCGTGATCCGGGTGTGCGGTGCGCCGCGTGTGTCCACCTGTTTGTGGTGTAGGTTTATCTGTGTGTTAGTGGTCGTGTATTGTGTTTTTTTCTTCTGTTTTCTTTGATTTTGGTGGTTTGTGTAAGAGAAGAAGAAGGTGGCACAAAATCAAGTCATTCTTCAAGTAGCTACAGTACTTGCAGTTAGATGTTGCTGCATGATACGTACATGCTTGTACATTTAACGTGCTCGCAGATGCAACACACATGCACGACTTTGGCATTTCGGATGTAGACAACGGGGTGCTTGTCAAGATGTGAGGAGGAACGCTGTCGAGGGAAACGCTGTCGAGGAAAACGCTGTCGAGGAAAACGCTGTCGAGGAAAACAATGTCTTGGGTTATGCTGAGCGTCCGTCAGATGTCTGCTCAAGACCTTTCCTCAGTCAACAGACCTCTCAGTGTGCAACCATCATCTACGACAGATCATTATGAGAAGATCATATCTTATATCAAACAGTTTGAACCAAGATAAATAGACCATGCTATAAAGGATTCGCTGAACAGTCAAAAGGGGATATTAATAAGTATATTCATCATTCCGTCACTTGTTTAAGTACGAGTACCGCATATCCGTAACAGTCTCAGATACAAGTGCGTCATTGAGTCGTTATATTTCACTATTTCAACTCCGTAAACCTGATTCTGCTTGTCTCAATTGGCCAAGAAACTTCGCCGTTTGCTTCTTCCTATCGTCCCATCTTCCTATACCCAGACTAGATGACTTTCCCTTGCCAGACCCCAAACAGAGACGTGATTGTCTACTGACTGCTTGGACATTTTCCAGTTGAAAAACAAGTAGGATACGGTTCCTACTTGTAGGATTCTATGTTTTGATGAAAGAAACATAGGATACGGGTCCTACTCGTAGAATTCTATGTTTTGATGTACTCAACCAGAATCACCCTTTTTATTCATTGGTTTCTGCCTATCTACAAGACAACTGAATACGGGAGATTAGTTGAGGAAATCCGCTAGAATGCGTTGTAGATATAAATGAATCCAAATAGAATGTTGACTCACTGTACTACAATGCTCAGGTTTGAATTATTCCATCTCTCCAAGGTGCTAGATTTACTTAGATATAGTTAAGGATAGTTTAGGGGTCATGTAATGTCGTTCTAATATCAACCTCATTTACTTAGAATTAGTTGGTGAGTGTGGCAAAGGTGGAATATCAATTAACATGGCAAACTGCACCACAAATCATGTTGTATACATCGGAGAGGAAATCTGAGAGGAATCGGAAAAGTTCAAAATACTTCTCATAACTGGATGACGTTTTACACACAAATCTGTGACAATTTTCTGTTCCAAATGAGGCTCAATTTCAGTTCAGTGCCCATACGTACATACAGACACAACTGTACGTTCTGATGGAATGAAAATGAGGACGATGGAGGCAAGATACCAAGAATTTTGTATGGAATAACCTGTTTTGAGCCCGTTGGAGAAGTCATTGACTCTTTTATATTTCTAATGTGACCGATATTGGTGTTTTTGGAGCGTTTTTGTAAGGTGTTTTGCTTGGGTTTAGGGGTCACGGTTTCGTGCCGTTTAAAAACTACTATTTGACGACTTACGTAAATCCTTGTACAACCAAGTTTTGTTGAATCACGTTCACAGTCCGTTTTCATCGCTAACATCACAGTAATCACGCAAAATCGCGTCCGTCGCGTCCGTCGCGTCCCCCGCGTCCCACGCGTCTGTTAATTTACCCAAACCTTGCGCGTCAAATATGTATCCTGATCCACACAACACTCTCTACTTCTCCACCGTTGCCACCCAACTACAAAATGAGACGAAACAAGGCTCCCAGTCAGATTCGCGAGCACGGATTGCCGGCAGAACGCCCCAGGGACCCCATGGATGTATTACATAAGCCGTTCAAGCGCCCGGCGCCGTCGTCTGGCTCCAGCTACAACTCCAACTGGCAGCCGTCCAGACGCGCCAGAACGGCCGTCAACTACACGGAAGGCGATCCGGATGCGCCAGTGTACCGATCTGACGACCCCGAGAAACGTGGCGGAGGTGCTGTCGTTCGCCGTGATCCATTGGCGGTCCTGAACCAAAACTTCCGAGTGCCGTTCAAAAACCGAAATGACGACTTTGTGGAATCTTTTCCGGCGCTGGGGATGCGCAAACCGGTGGATTTTGTGCCCCGACCGCTGCACGACCCCGCGGGAGAGTTTGCTATTGTTCTGTACGACCCTACCGTCGACGGAGTAAAAGATGCCGTCACCGAAGAGGATATCCAGACCGCCACCGAAATGACCCTGTCGCAGTCGGAGACAGATGTGGAGACGGTGGAGGAGATGAGAACAATACCCAAGAAACTCACGCTCGCAGAAATCCTCGGAATCTCCCCCAGAGATAAACAAAAGCCCAAAGAGTATCCGGAAGTGCCAGTTGTAATTGATCCCAAGCTCGCCAAAATCCTCAGACCACACCAGGTCGAAGGAGTCAAATTTCTGTACCGCGCCACCACCGGCCTCATCAACCCCAAGGCCCATGGGTGCATCATGGCTGACGAAATGGGTCTGGGCAAGACTCTTCAGTGCATTGCGCTGTTGTGGACGTTGCTGAAACAGAGTCCCCAGGGCAAGGGCACGATTTCCAAGGCCATTGTAGTTTGCCCCAGTTCTCTGGTGCGAAACTGGGCCGCCGAGTTTGTCAAGTGGCTCGGGGAGGGAGTCGTTGTTCCTTATGCCGTGGATGGGTCTCAGAAACCGGCTGAGTTGACGGCTGGTCTGAGACAGTGGGCCGAGGCTGAGGGCCGCAAAGTCACACGACCGGTGCTCATCATCTCATATGATACACTACGACGCCAGGTGGGTGCCATTGCCGACTCTGAGGTGGGTCTTTTACTTGCTGACGAGGGTCATAAACTGAAAAATGGCGATTCTCAGACATTTACCGCGCTCAATCAGCTCAATGTGAAGCGTCGAGTCATTCTCTCAGGTACTCCGATCCAGAACGATCTTTTGGAGTACTTTTCGCTGCTGAACTTTTCCAATCCTGGCCTGCTAGGCACCAAAGGCGAGTTTCGAAAGAACTACGAGATTCCCATTCTCAAGGGCAGAGATGCCGATGGTACGGATAAAGATGTGGAGAAGGCCGAGGCGAAACTGCTGGAAATGGCCTCTATTGTCTCTCCTCTTATCATCAGACGTACCAACGACATTCTGAGCAAGTATCTGCCAGTCAAATACGAACATGTTGTCTTCTGCAATCTCGCACCGTTCCAAAAGTCGCTCTATGTGCAATTTCGAACGTCCAAGGAGGCCAGATCTTTGTTGAAGGGTGAAAAGAGCAGTGAAGGAACCACCACTTTGAATGCCATTGGTATCCTCAAAAAGCTGTGCAATCATCCAGATCTGCTGAAGCTGCCGGACGAAATTGAGGGATGCAGAAAGGTGTTTCCAGACGATTATGCGCCGCCAGACGAACGAGGGTCGCGTGATCGCGACATTTATCCGCATTTCTCCGCCAAGTTTCTCATTCTCGAGCGGATGTTGCGGTCAATCAATGCTGAAACCAACGACAAGATTGTCATCATTTCAAATTACACGGCCACTCTCGATTTGATTGAAAAAATGTGTCGTCAGAGACGGTATGGGTGTCTTCGTCTTGATGGAACCATGAACATCAACAAACGAGCCAAGTTGGTGACTCAATTCAACGACCCCGAGGGCCAAGAGTTCATTTTCCTGCTCTCTTCCAAGGCCGGAGGTTGCGGTTTGAATCTAATTGGAGCTAACCGTCTGATTTTGATGGATCCAGATTGGAACCCTGCCGCAGATCAGCAGGCTCTCGCTCGAGTATGGAGAGATGGCCAGAAGAAGGACTGTTTCGTCTACCGTCTGATTGCTACTGGCACGATTGAGGAGAAGATTTTCCAGCGGCAGTCCATGAAGCAGTCCCTGTCGACCTGTGTGGTTGACGAGGTGCAGGACGTGGAGCGGCACTATTCCATGTCCAACTTGCGGGAGCTGTTTTCGTACGATGACGCCACCCCTTGCAACACCCACGATATGTATGAGTGTAAACGATGCCGTGGAGGGAAGCAGTACCAGAGGGCTCCTGCCATGCTGTATGGAGACGCCACCACGTGGAACCATTACTACAAGGGAACCATGGGGAAGATTGAGGATCTGTTGCTGCGGCAGGAGGAGGAGTTTGACGAGGTGAGTTTTGTGTTCCAATACATTTCTCACTAGCGTGCGCGAAGGAGATGGGCACGAGTTACTGGCGCGAGTGAGAGAAACGTGCGCGAGCGTGGGTTCGCGAATGTGAATTCGAGGTTGTTCGAAGCACGAGCATGTTACCGTGCACGTCCTGGGAGACATGGACAAGCTGTAGTAGTTGAGTCGTCAAGGCTCTCCTATGACAAGAAGAATATCACACCTCAACAATAGTACTGTTTTTGAAGGAGGGGGTGAGGATGGTGGGTCTGTTGGTACGTAAATACTCGTGAAGTATTGCAACCGGTACTGTAACCAGGGAGAACTGAAGCATATCATATATATTAGAATAGATACCGTTATGAATAATCATTGTGAAGTGTTTCAAGTCGCTGGGTACGAACAATCTCTCTACAAAGCTCTAGTGTGGTTCTCGTGAAGCGTGGTCTCTATATCACTATTTATCACCAGAGATGTTTCGGATTCTGATTCTGTATCCAACTCCATCAATATTGCTCAGACCATGTTGATCTCTTCTCAAATCGACTTAGTAAGCGTCATCAAGTTAGTAAATCAAGTTAGTAAAATCAATCGGTTGGTTTTGCAATGTCGATATCCTCCCCAACTGGTGATCCGATGTAGATACCCAGAGCACGGAACAAAACGCCACTAGTTCAGTCAATATATATCTGATCAAAGAGATTCTTTCATAAAAAGATATTTAACCTGCTTTAGTCATCATTTCTTGAGTGATAGCGGTTCTGTCGCCAGTAATGAGGACTAATATATACCATACGGTACATTTCAGTACTGTCGTATACCGATGTTCAAATGAGATTAGTTTGAACCTCTTCAAGTCAGCACATGACAGATTCGAAGATACTCAAGGAAATTGATCATAAGTACCCAGCTCCACGGATCATTCCTTCCAAGTTCCTCCCCAACTCTCCCGCAATCGTCCACAATTTCACACTCCCTGTTCGCCAGAAATGTATACAAAAGAAGGAATATCCAAGTTATTGGAAACATTGAAACGGTGTTGTGTTCCTTGCGACTCTTATAAAATGTCTGTCGTATATCTTTTCAACTTCTCTTCAGATTCAACAGAATATTTGCCGTTATCTTAGTAACATAAACGCATTGATACCAACCAGACGGAGAGAGAGACGACAGACGAAAACAAAAAAGAGAACTCGGGGTTCTGCCATCACCCAGAATCGAACTGAGGTTTCCACGGTCTTGTTGTGATGACACAATCTCCACAACGTGGTGTACTAACCACTATACTATGATGGCTGTAGACGTCAGAGGGTGAGATAGTATATAAGAGGGTGAAAGAGAGATTCTTCACCAGAAAAACTTACAAAAAAATATTCATATCTGATGAGATGTTCCGTTATTTATTCATTCCCCACTTTATGTATCCTCACAGCTCCCCTTTGCGTTCGGACATTGGCATTTACTATATGAACTCTGGCAGATAATAAACCAGAGCTAAATGGTTGAAAAACAGCCCGATTTTGAAATTTAATTATTAAAATAACACTCGCCAGTCATTTACATCTTTCTACAAACTCCTCCATTTCAACTGAACAAATAATCGTCATTCTAGACACATTTTCTATAGTTTTCCGTCAATGTTCATTAACGTGCACAACTTTTACAAATCACGTGATTTCAAAAGATATATTTCCACAATTATAATATGAAACTAATCATTGTGAGGTTTTCAACTCTCCATTTATCCATCGTTTCTCAATCTCGAGTTAGCCACGTTCACATTGAGCCGTATGTATACCTTTAATGGGCTGTAGAAATACTCCAAAGTTTCTAAATGTAGATAATACCCCATTTATTGATGCTTCTGAAACACTCTAATTCTTTTTTAAACCCCCCAGATCTCTCTTTCGTATTCTGGCGACATTTTACGCCAAATGACAGCATTTGTCACTATATCTCAAGCTACTCAACAACTAGGGAGTTTCAACATGTTGTGATTGTCCAGAAATACTCTCCACCCGTGTCTGTATCCGTTTATCAAGTCTCTCCAATAGCTACTACAGTTCTAAACGATCCTGGAAAGTGTCCGTCAACTATGTACCTATACCAACATCGGAAACATTCAATTAGGAGTTTGCTTTTTGACAAAACTAGAGTGGCTGGCTAAAAAAAGCAAACACAATGTGGCTTCCACTTCGGCTACAATACGACTGCTGCCCTTCCTCCCCTCTCCCTCCTGCTATTACATTCCCACCCGGGTTCTGTAGGTAAGCGAGATTGTGTCTTAGCTGCGGAAAAGTGACGAAAACAGAAGAATGGCCGATCTCACTGACATTTAGAGGAATCCGGGGATCAACGAGAGGGGTTATGATTTTCATATTCCCCGTATATTACTCCTTTTGTACTGACCTGGCTTTACATTTGCTAAAGTAGAATTTTACTTGTAATCGAGCCAATATCTACGCTGCATGCTTGATACTTGTGTCGTTGGATTTTTCGTGAATTTCTCGTCATTTCTATTCCAACTAATTCATATTTGCACCAGACTTGCGTTCAGTTTCCACACTTGTTGTTTGCCCAAGGTGAAGTGCTTTGTGAAGCATCTCTAAGACGCGTTTGGAAGGATTCACACGTCCCGAAAGTTGATAGATTCAATAGTATGTGTGGCTCCATTATTTCAATGGTCTTTGTTTGTTTGTCAACGGCTTGTTCGTGTCGGTAAGTTGCGTTTCGAGAACATTCATAGCGAGCTCGTGTTTTGTCCGTACTTTCAACAATGGGAGGTCAACCTAGTCCATTTTGTTGGACAAAGTTCCGCTCGGGACAATGGATTCATCTTCCGCACAGCTCCTTTTATCACGGGCTTCTTCCGTCACGTCTACTCTCAGGGACGGTGGGTAATAGGAACGAGGTTATGATAGCGACGATTTATGAAGCAGCCTTGCAAGGGTGGGGGTTGGGAGGAGATTTGGGGGATGGGGAGTGGAAAATTGGATTGTATCGGAAGAATCTCGACGACTGCCGTTCTTCAACAGCTCATTTTGGAGAGTCAAGGGTGCATCAACAAATCATGGTGAGAACCCATCAAAGTACAGTGTCAAAAAGCATCAAAAAAAACCCCAAAAAACTCTTGTTGGACTCGTAGAGTCCCCGATAGACTTTAATAGGCCTAAAGGGTCAGTTGTCTAACTCATTTAGCTCTATCTGGTCCAAATAGGTATCTTTGTGGGATGAACAATGGACAACAATGCATGAACAATTCACAACGGATGAACAATGGATGAACAACGGACGACAATGGACAAACAATGGACGACAATGACACAAAAAAGACAACAACTCCAATGTTCTAGACCAGTACACGTGTTCTTTGTATGTCTAAAACAAGCAGTGCAGTGATGGTTGACGATGACCCCCACTTTTGGTATTGTGGGGGTCACTATTGATTCCAGAGTCCCCCGGTGGTAGATTAACAAATGTTTTTCGCTCAAATATTTTACTAATCACACGTCTTTTGCTCTCCAACTACCTCTCCTCGGCCATGGAACAGATCTCCCGTGGTTATCGTCGTCAAACAGCCCATTCTAGAAGCTTCACCACGCACTAGCGGAACTTTGTACTCCTTATCACATGCCTTCGCGATGCCCTACCATTCATGTAGATCTTATAGCGAGAAACTTGCGCCTGATTCGTCTCTTGAAACCTACATCTCCGAGACCCGGGTGGGGCAATGCTAGTGGGCTATCTGGGAGCATTACGGTGCATCTGACTGTGCCGAAAGTTGTGTCTATTATACTTATTGGTGGGTCTGTAGATTGTCGATCGGAGGCAGTGCATTGAGCCGAGCTACAGAGGCTTTTGGGGGGGTTTGGGGGCGGTTTTCGGGTACCAACTTGTTGCGATTGGTTGTCCGAAGGGACTAGTCCTGTTTCTGTCTTTTTTCCGAATTAATTGGGGTTTTCTGTCACCACTGCCCGTCCAACTGATGACCAGGAACAAAACCTACGCTTAACACACCGAACAATAGTCGTTTAAATTGAATCTAAACAGTAATCATCCAGACAATAGCTCGTCATGAGCTGACCAAAGCGACAGAGTTGGTGTTTATGCGCTCAATCTGGAAAGTAGCAAACATTTTATATCTTTTTACTGGATCGTCAGATTCTCACGAGGGAAATTTCAAAATGTTTATCTGAATCTCACCAATATTATCCCCACTTTTCGCGCTCTCAGCTCCCCTTCCGCATTTTCTACACCTCCCCAAAAATCCGTGCCCGAAAATTCCCAGACCATAATCTAAGCTCCGAGTGCATAACAATGGAGGTAGAACAATATCATGTATGCAGAAACGTGCATACATGTGCATGGACATGCAGCCACGTGCCAGATTAGACGCATCGACCCGCTCATTGGAGGACATGCAACTTTTTTTTGCAACTTTTTTTTGCAACTTTTTTTTGCAACTTTTTTTTGCAACTTTTGCAAGGGGCGCTGTGAAGCGCGAAGAGGAAAAGTTTTTTCGCACGGGAGCCGACCGCGTGGATCGAACCTTTCACAAACCATACAGCCCCGTTGGTGCAGATTGGGCAGATTGTGCAGTCTCCGGTCCCCCTCCGACTCACCAGAGGGTCTAATAGACGGGACTATGCTATATTGTTGAGATATTGTCATGTATAGAATGTCAGATTTGGGGTATAGACAGGAACAATGATTATATATTTATACCAAGAGCCAAGATCCCGACCAACTCCAGGGTCAAATCCAGATTAATAGCTCCTCTACCGGTATCGCTAAAGTACAAGTACACTTGTCATTCAGCCTCTCGTGAGAGAAGCCCTACAAACACTGTAGAATTACGGCTACTCGCGCTTGTACTCTCACTCGTGATACTCGTACTGTAAACTTATGCGAAAGTTCACTCCAACGAGGTATTGTCTGTGTAGTAGTAAGGGGCTAGTCAATATACATCTTGTGCCTGATCGTAAACAGAAACTGTTAACTCCGATATGTATGTATTGTAGTCCCTGAACCTCGGGACATGTGCTGAAATCAAACATACTGGTGGACACTACCCCATCTCCAAAACATGGTCCCATATTCAACCTGTCTCACATTCTTTTGCTCAGACGATTCCTTTCGATTAAGAATACGATTTCGAGGGTTTAGTAGAGGACTATCATCTTACGATGCAAATGGGACGATGCAGAAAGGACGTTGAGGGGTGCCTCTGAGAAGTGCAGGTTTACGACTCCCGTGGTATTATTTAGCACTTGTGAATTACCGGAGTTAGCAACAGATAATCAGAACCAAGAGATCTCACATAGCGGTACCCGAATCCACGCCGCCGGGGAAAGGTTCATGTCACGTGACTGCTTATATCGATCCGTTTCTTCCGCTCATTATATGGGCCCATATAAGTAGACGATCCGTCTCAGGTTGGTACATGTCGTCATTTTTCTCTTTTCCCCAAATGGAACTTTGATGAGCTCGACGGTGACTTGATGAGAAATAGAACAAGGTATTATCTGAGCCGCTGCTACGACCGGAAAAATGGCATCTCCCTGGCTCCCCCGCGTGGCAGCTCGTATGGGACAAGCACTCGTGTGCCCCTTACTTGACTATGTGTGTGGAGTAAGACATTGTCGGATATAGGTGGGATGAAACTTTGAGGTTGGAGAAAAGGTGTTTTTACAGCGGAACCGGTACAGCTGTGGAGCTAGAATTTGGTTTGTATAACGATGTGTGTATCTTCGACAATTTGGTCAACTCCCGGTGTTGATATCTCCCTTGTGACTCCTTCTGGGTCCACGCTACAACTAGTCTCGCGTATGCAGCTACGGTTAACCTAGACCGTGATAACCACACAAAGAGAGGGTTTCTCGGACTTGAGTCGACTGTGTCAAATGGAGAAGCCCCGGAGGGAGGTTTCAGGCGGTCTCACGCGTTTCTCGAGGGTTTGCGTGTTGAACAAGGAGTTGTTGGTGCAGTTGGATGACATGTATGCAGTATCGAAAAAAATAACTGCACCATGTCGGAGAAGCGTTGATGTTTCTGGCCAGCGTGCATTGGGTGCCTTTTCCGGGAATATCTACCAGGCCTTTCGGAGTCACCATCACACTTCTTTTCTTCCCCATACTTGCACGGCTCGAGCTACTCCACCATTGTCTACAGTAGTCGCACACTAGGCTGTCTAGTCTTTACATAGTGGGACTACTCCAGGTGACACTAACCCCGCTTTACGGGAGCCCAAAAAGGTAGTCCAACAGCTCTGAGTCTCGAGGTGGCTGTATAGGGTCAAGATTTGAGTCTGGGTCAGTGTTGGATCGGTAGCAATTCAGCCTGTGCCTGAGCATCATCAAACGAATACGGAATTGTCAGGTTTGAAGGTGTTGCAATAATATCTATATGAAAATGATGCTCTCGGCCAGTAGAATCCGTTTCTCAAGTCCCCGGGTTCCCACCTTTTCTGTAGCATTTCTCAACCGACATTTCCCGGTAAGACATCTACAGTCTAAAACCTGGGGAACAAAGTCAACTTTGAGCTACGTAGACAGTGATCATGAGATGACTGAGACACGCAAGCTCACCAGATCAGCCATACAGGGCTGTAGTCACACTGAGCTCAAGGTTACGCAGGTCACCTGGCGAGATTATTCATCGTCTGGAACCGTTGTGTTCAATTCAGTCCATCCGTGAAGTGGACAATACTTGGACAGTTTGGAATCAACACACAGAACGTTAGCACTTGTATTTCCAACACTTCCCAGCCATTTTGTATACTGTAATCAACTGGTACTCCCTCAGTTTGACTCAGATCAAAGTCTGAGATGTCGTATGAGCTGCACCCCACTTTTTTTTTGAAAAGATATGACACAGTTAAAAGTGCAACAAAGACGAGAGACACGCTCTGAAAATCTACTGTACGTCTAAATATCCACCTGAGGGGCTTCTATATCAAGGTTGTTGCCTTGGAACTCCCCCACGGACACTTCCAAGAGGGTTAGACTGGCTGATAGATGGGGCGAGAGTTAAGAGACTGTATGAGGCGGTAGAACTAGAGCTGTAGTGGTGAGACGTGGTTTATCGAAGACCCCGTGACTGTCTTATTACTCTTGGAAATAATAGTCCAGAAAATCCCACTCGTTGATGACTAACAAGTCTTCATGGTTTTCTGCTTAACTAAACCCAAGTAAATTCAAGTAGAAATTAGTAAGTCATACGGTGCTTTCTGATTCACCAGATTGAAAAAAAAACCTGAATAAAGAAAAATCTGAATAAAGCAACTCTTGTTACCACGTGATCCCCTTCAATTATCCAGGTTCCAGCTCCTTGTCATCTCAATAATCAATTATGCTACATTAAATAATTTTTCTACTCGCTTTCGAGGTGGAGTTGCGATCCGCCCAGACTCAGACTGGGAATCGACAACGGTTCATGTCAAAGCCAAATCGCTTCCAGCTTATTTCTTGTAGGACTCGCTAATGGCGTTCATGGCAGACAGAATAGCATGAATAGAAGCCTGGGAAACATCCTCGTCAATACCAACACCCCATCGCTTGGAAGTCTTGCCGTCCTCCTCATAGGCCAGCTCAATGTAAGTAGCAGCCTTGGTCTTGGAACCCTTACCAATGGAGTGCTCGTGGTAGTTGAGAACCTCGAGGTTGTAGCCAAAGGCGTTCTTGATGGCATCCAGGAAGGACGAAATGGGACCGTTACCGGTACCCTTGAGCTCGACTCGCTTGCCCTCGACGGTCAGAGCTCCGGTCAGCTCTCGCTCCTCCTTGGACTTGTTGGTCACCTCAAAGTCGTCCAGCTGGTACTTGCCCTGCTGCTCCTCAAACACGCCGTACTCTCGCTCAAAGAGATCCACCAACTGCTGGGCAGACAGCTCCTGTCCAACCACCTCGGCCTCCTTCTGGACCACCTTGGAGAAGGCAACCTGCAGGCCTCGGGGCAGATCGAGCTCCAGAGATCGCAGAATGATCCAGGCGGCTCCTCCCTTGCCGGACTGCGAATTGACTCGAATGACTGCCTCGTAGGTTCGGCCAATGTCCTTGGGGTCAAGAGGCAGGTAGGGGATCTGCCACTGTCGCTTGCCCTCGGCCACCTCATCCTTGACGTCTTCGATTCGAGCAAAGCCCTTCTTGATGGCGTCCTGGTGAGAGCCGGAGAAGGCACACACCACCAGCTGGCCGCCGTAGGGAGCTCGGGGGTGCACGGGGATCTTGTTGCATCGCTCCACAATGTCGATGATCGAGGTGATGTCGGAGAAGTCAATCTTGGGATGCACGCCCTGGGTGTACAAATTCAGACCCAGAGTGACGAGGTCGACGTTTCCGGTTCGCTCGCCGTTGCCAAACAGACAGCCCTCGACTCGGTCGGCTCCGGCCATCTGGCCCAGCTCGGCAGCAGCCACGGCACAACCTCGGTCGTTGTGGGGGTGCAGAGAAATGCAAATCTTCTCCCGCTCGGAAATGTTGGTGGCAAAGTACTCAATCTGGTCGGCGTAGATGTTGGGGGTGGCCATTTCGACGGTGGCGGGGAGGTTGAAAATGATGGGGTTCTCCTCGGAGGGGCCCCAGGCGGCCTTCACGGCCTCACAGACCTCAATGGCGTAGTCCACGTCGGTGTCGGAGAAGGTCTCGGGGGAGAACTCAAAACCCCAGGTGGTCTTTTTGCACTCGGGGTCGTCCGAGTCCTTGGTCAGGGCTCGCACGTGCTTGGCGCATGCCACGGCCTTGGCCAGGGCCTCTTCTCGCGAATGGTTGAAGACAATGTCCCGGAAGCACTTGGAGGTGGCGAGGTAGATGTGGATGATGGCCTTGTTGGCGCCCTTGACGGACTCGACGGTTCGGGTGATGAGATCCTCTCGGCACGGAGCCAGCACCTGGATCCACACGTCTTCGGGGGCGGTGTCGCAGGCAAAGCGGGTGAAGTCAAAGTCCACCTGCGAGGCGGACGGGAACGCCACCTCGATCTCCTTGTAGCCAATGTCGACAATCTTCTGGAAGTACTCCTTCTTCTCCGCCATGGTCATGGGATCCGGCAGCGACTGGTTGCCGTCCCGCAGGTCCGTCGACAGCCACCGCGGGGGCTTCTGCAGCGTTTTCGACGGCCACTGCCGGTTGGGCAGATTGATCGGGGGGAACGGCTTGTATTTGGTGGAGGGATCGGCCAGGTAGGGCATAGTGTGATGTGCGGTTGTCTTTCGGGGGTCGGTCACGACAGGTGCCAGAAAAGACTGTGGTATATATATATGAAAATGTGTCATCGCAAACTCTATTGTCCCGGTACATGAGCAAGGCGTGGTTAGTGCAGTCGACTGTGCAGAGTGCGGTATCGGCGGAAGGAGAATGAGCTGCGGAGGTGGCGGATGTGGCGGATGTGGCGGAAGCCCGCCTTTTTATTTATACGGGGCTCTTGTTTTTGTGTCGCTGCTGTTTGTGTCTGTTGTTTTTCTGTCTGTCTTTTTCGTCCAGCATGTGTGTGCTCCGTCCTCTCTCAGGGTTTTGCAGTGAAAAAAATAAACTCGGGTCGAGTCCGGACTTCCAGGCTTTTCCACACTTGGGGAAATCATGTGATGTTGAACCAGTGGCAAACCGAGGCCAAAAGTCGGCCGAATCGCGGCCTGAACACCTCCACAAACCCCAGCGCGGGGGAGAGGAAAGGCTCTGTGTCACGTGACCGTTTGGTTTTTATGTTTTTTTTGTTTTTTATGTTTTTTTGTGTTTTTTCCTGCCGCCGGCCGTTTTTCGCCGGTCTGGCTTCCGCTGTGGGTTGTTCTCCTCGGTCTATTTCTGGGGTAAAAACAGCCGCACGTTGGCTCTCTCAAAAAAATAATACATAAAATAAAAATATACATAAAAATATAGAATATAATATATAGAAATATAAAATATAAAATATATATATATATATATATATAAAACCCAGACTTGACTCACTCCGGGTCGACAACAGGGCTGTTTTCGGCCGGAAAAAGACCCCCGGGGGCTAGATTTGGGCGAGGAACTCGGATCTGGGGCCGCTTTTGCGATATCTCTGTCCAGAAAACCCCCCAGCTACTGCGTCCAACCACCATCATGGCCCTCGGTTCCGACATCGCAGCGATTCAGGACTGCAAGTCTCCGGCAGAAAACATGTTCCTGCAGACCAATAGCCGGAGAGACGACGAGAGTGATAGACAGAATCCGATTGCTGGCTGCCGGCTATCGACTGAGCTTCTGCTGGCTCGGAAAAACAGCCACATGCCTGCGTATGACTCTGCCATTTGTGTGGCAGGTATTTGGTATTCACGGAAGATTCCGACTTTGGTTCCGAACACAGACTAAGCGTTCAAATTGTGAGTCATGTCAAATGCTGTCTTCCCATTGGCCAGAGAAGCGGGTCCAGTGGACTATTCGAGGCTGGGCTTTTTCCGTTCCTCCGAAAACCCGCCGAAAGTTCCTCCAAGTCGCAGTCGCAAGTTCGGAACATGAAATTACTTCAAAATTGGACTAGAGAGCAAGTCGAACTCCGTGACGCGGCCTTGCCGGCTTGAAGGCCCAGGTTTGAGAGCAAGGAGACCACCACTTCTCGTGGACAATTGCTTTGTAATCGCCGTTCGCCACTCACTCACGCCTTTGGAAACCGCACTCGTACGATACTCCACATTTCCACAATGTACGATACTGAGTCACCAACTGTAATTTTCAACGTCTGGAGCAACCCCGAAACCTTGTTTGAAACACGTGATGGAGACAGAATGTCGGCCAATTGCACACCAAGGCCGAGAGACTAGACGATAGACTGCTTGGGCCGGTTCTGGCTTCAAATTCCAGTTTTTCAATTCGGGTGGCGAAAATGTGTGTCGTTGCTGTGTGTCGTTGCTGTGTGTCGTTGCTGTGTGTCGTTGCTGTGTGTCGTTGCTGTGTGTCGTTGCTGTGTGTCGTAGTTGTTCTGTCTGTCTGTCAAGTAAAACCTAACTAAAAGTGTACGTCTTAGTTGGGACAATCGGAACAGAAACATCACATCTCCCCATCTCCCCCATCTCCCCCATCTCACTCAAAAATGCTTCAATTGAATAGCTGAAAAACGCTACATTCTTAAGAAACGCTACATTATCATGACAATATTATATTGTCCAAATTCTTGTACAATTCACCCCCCAAAACACCCACAAACAACCACCCATTTTTTTTCCGTCACCAAGTTAACCGAAAACCTTGTTTCAGATACCACCACACCGCTTCCCATCACACAAACAGGCGCTGGTGGAACATCGACACAGAAAAATTGAAACATTACCGTCGTGTGCCATTTCACAGGATATTTCCCGGGCAACCCCCGGTCGCTCTGCCCTAACCCTACCCTCCAAAAGCGGACATTTTCTCCAGCCGTTTGAGCTCCAACACTATTAACCTATTTATCCGCCACGTTGCAGCCAGATTGGGGGGTTGTGGGGGTCCGTGTAAGATGTGAGTGGTCTATTTTTGCCTTCTCGTAATGTGATATTTGTGTTTTTCACGCTCAGACAAACATTTTGATACCGCCAAATTGCAATTTCACCCACTTTCGCAAAAGTCACAAAATGGACACCCTCCGGAATCGAACACACGCGCCCACAACATGCCACCCAAACCTAGATCACGACACGTCAAAGTTATTTTATCTGTACAGAGATAGCCCATCTCCACACCACATCTACAGTCACACAAAAAATGGACGAACCAAGCTCCTCGCCACTAGACATTGTCTCGGTGCGTTTCCGACGCGCGCTGCAGGTGTACCAGCACTACGTCGACAAGTGTGTGCCTCACAAAATGAACCGATGGGTGGCGTTTGGCGTGTTGCTAACGCTGTTCATGGTGCGGATCATCATGGCACAGGGCTGGTACGTGGTCTGCTACACGCTGGGCATCTACCTGCTCAATCTGTTTCTGGCCTTTTTGCAGCCCAAGTTTGATCCTTCTCTGAAAAGCGATCTGGAGATGGAGGACGCTGAGGAGGGCCAATTACCAACCGAGGAGCCTGAGGCCTCGTCGTCGTCGGAAGAGTTCAAGCCCTTCATTCGACGGTTGCCCGAGTTCAAGTTCTGGCACTCTGCGACCCGGGCCACTGTCATTTCGCTCGTGTGCTCCTTCATTCCGGCGTTTGACATTCCCGTCTTCTGGCCCATTCTGCTCATCTACTTCTTCATTCTCTTTTCGCTGACCATGAAGAAGCAGATCCAGCACATGATTAAGTACAGATACCTGCCATTTGATATTGGTAAGAAGACCTACAAATAGGTGCAACCAAGGCGTGACCACACTTGACCGACGTCAAGGTGTCACATGACACAGTACCAGAGCTTCTGCTCGGACTGCTAACGCAAAAGGATACAGCAAGCAAGTATGTAAGGAAAGGATGGATTGGTGATGAGGTAGACTAGGTGACTTGTGGTTTAAACACAACACAGTCACATATTTGTACATGTTGATCGGGTTGACTCTCAACTCCACGGCATGGTGCTCCGTATGGATTGAGATTTCATCTTGTAGAGAACAACTGTGCCAGAAGTGTCTTGTAAAAGCATCCAAGTGGTATCTTCTTTATTGACGGTGTTCTAATTTGTTTGTTTACTGATCTTAGGCTGAAACACGAGAACCGCCACCATTTTCTCGGTGACCACGCTACCGGTAGAAGGATGCAAGATTCAGAATCTACGCGCCTGGGGCTTCAGATTGGTACTAGTTATGTCTAGAAAATATGTCTTAACCATTGTCAATTAGCCAGACTAACTAGTTGTAGATTGGAGTATAAATGAACGGCTCGATGGGTGTATGGAGTTCAAATCGAGTCTTCTGCCGTTAGATTGGATCTACTAAAGCCATTCTGCTTACTCATATCTATGTTACTAACAACTTGTTTTCCTTGGAGTGAATCTATACTTCACAAGACAAGTATGAAGCTGTTTGACAATCTGTTTCCGAAAAGTAGATTGATCAAGTCTCCATAAGTCCCCTCCAAGCGGCTAATGGTTCTAGTACGACACTATCTTATATCCGGCACCAATTTCGTCCTCTATTCTGACACAATTTGCGACCCAAATCCGACCCAAATCCGACTCCATGTCTGCTGATTACGGTCTCGTGAAACCAGACACACTCACTCGATTTGTATTGGAAGTTGTTCATGTGATGTAAACTCGACCAATGCCGCCCAAATGCTCTCCCTTTTGACCTCTCTCCGACGTTGTGGACCCTGCATCTCACACTCTCCCTGTCTCCCTCTCTCCTCCCCTTACTGTATGTACTGCTCCGTGGCTAACTCCAGCTATCTCCATACGGCTAGGAGGGTTAAAACTCCACTTGTACCAACTGAGACTGGACTAAAACATGGGGTATGGTGCTTGTAAGATGGCTTGTCTAGGAGAAGCAAAAGGATATCTCCGAGAAACGCTCAGATCCACGGAAAACCCATCTTGCTCGATCCCAGCTGCACTCCGATGGCAACGTACGATTCTGCTACCGGCCCATCGTGGACGAATTCTATTCTCCATTCACTCTGCTCGTGTCTCGTAAACTTCTTGCTAAAATCCCTGTTCACCCCACAATCTCGAAAACTCTCCCTCATGTCTTAACTCCGGACTTAGTCCAGGTAGCTACCCGTGAGACATTGCTCTGCATACGCGACCGTTGGAAATCTGCTCTGGGGATCGTGCATTGCTTAATTCCGAATATTGCTCCGGAATTATCCCGTTCAATTGATTTCGTTGCGTTTCCGTAGCGTTTTCAGCTTGTTTTTTTCCTCCAGAAATCTCCAAATCTGTAGCATCCAAAGACACTGTCAAATTATTGCAAAGACTCATCATCCCCGAGACGTTTGAAGCAAAGACAGCCATTATTGTAGGTCCCCAAAAAAAACATTAAGAAATTAAAACATTAAAAAACATTAAAATAAATTAAAAGTCCGGAAAATGCGCGCGAAAATGCCAAGATAATTTGCTTTTTGTTGTCACGTGACATAGACAACCGGATTTGCCAGCATGCCAAGCACGCTAGATTTCGCTAAACTTTGGGTTAAGGTTTCATAGAGTATTAACGTTTTCATAAAAGCATAAAGTTTTGGGGTTAGGGGATGTTTTATTTGGGGGATGTTCGATCTGAAGTGTCGGAGGTGAATCCGGGAATGATCTACAAATTTAATTCGGTGGTGTTCCGCAACCCTAGGCCGTGAAATACGTGAGCAAGAAGCAACTTGAATTTGGAAGTTGGGGGTTGAGGGGGGAAATGGGGACGAGAGGAAGGATTATGTGGATTATTTGTATTATTTGAATTAAATCGATTTTTTTCGGATTATTCGGATTATTCGGATTATTCGGATTAAATCGAATTGATCGGATTAATCAGATAAGTCGAAATACCGACTGCATTAATTCATCGGTATATATGAAACCCCTGCTTATTTTCCGTGAAAATATTCAAGATTCAAGGGGAGCGATAAAATGAAGAAAATTAAATTAAAAATTAAAACAAATTAAAAATTAAAAAAAAAAATTAAAAAAAATTAAATTAAAAAAAAAAAACAAATATTCACATGGGAGCTGGAGTGAGTTTAGTGATGTCAAAGACCATAACGACGTCATTATTACAACCACACGTACTCAGTAGCGCTAATTTCATTGAATCAGTAAAATGTGATGGCAGCAACAACAACCTCCTACTGTACCATCTCCGTCCCCCAATTCCACGGAGTTGAGCAGTCGATAGACAGCGTCTAGAAATACCCGATGCAATCGCCAACCAAATATTCCTTGGCACAGCATCTATGATTTTTGACGCTTTGGCAATGTATTTGTTCGTTGCGTGTGAGCTGCAACTTTCACTTCTACCAGGCACGGCTACAGTTCGGCTGCTGGTCCTGAAGCAAGCGAGAGACTTGTTGACTCATTTCGGAACTGTTCCGGGAGTCCACGTGACCGGGAGAAGGGGTTCAATCATCAGTGTCACTCGATATGGTGTGCCCTTCTCGTGCCAGTGGGACCATCTTGTGTTTGCAGGCCTCCAGACGTCGTATAATTAAGCAATGACATTAACCATTGGGCTCCAGGTACAGGATTCGATCCGACACGTATATGGCGGACATTTCTTTTTGCATTCTCTGTATGGATTATCCCTCAGAGCTTTCTTTTGCTTGCGCCTTGCCTCCAATGTTAAGGTTGCGAAATGACAAAGTTTCATTAAATTGTCAACTAACTTAGGGTATTACTTGGGAGATGGTTGAAGTTGAGGGTACGTTGAAAGAAAAAAAGTGGAAAAACAAATGCGCAAAAGAAAGGTGGAAAAAACCAATGGTGAGGGGAAGAGTGAGGGGTCTCCAGGAACGGCAGTTATTCCTTTGTCGGCTTTGACATGATGTGCATTTGGCTGCCTACAACTACAAGTAGATGCGCGATAGTTGGAGTGCCATTTTCTGACGAACAGGCGATAGTTGGACCGCCATTTGACCACCCCAACTCTGACAAACAGCCCATGGTTGTTGTGCCGTCTTATTGTCCTTTTTTGGGTTGACACATAACGACAACGGGACACTAAGAGGTGCCAGGAGGTGCATTAGCGTCTTTTTGCAATCGAGATTCCAATGTAACAGCGTTGTAGACCGTCTGCAGCCGTCTCCGAGACCCGTATTGAGCCCTATCTTTGGTTTCTGCTGTCTCTGTTGACGCACTCAATCGACAGTCGACAAGCGGCCATCGACCGTGGCCCCAGGGCCATTCTTCGCCCCCAAAAAAAACAATTACCACCACCACCTAGGGATGGATTAGGTATCATCCGGGCAAGGTTTGCGTTTGTGGGATGGAATGATAAGAAGAAGTCGGCAAAACAGCCCACAAACAGTAGCAAAACGGCAACTTTTGGACCAGTAGTCCGTCAATCGAATCTCCCACGTCTTCTCCATCGAACGCATTAGTCAGTTCTTTGAAATCTCTTCCGCAACGCCGTTTTCCACGCCGCCCAAAATCCCACCCTCGCTAGTCCAAACTCTCTTAGGCGCGGCTTTTTCACCTTGCCGACACCCAGGAAACGGAAGAAAAAAACACCCCAGTTATGCTTTGACCGACGCAACCACTTAGTCTCTTATTCTCTTCAACAACTAATATAAGCGAGGTGGGCTGTGGCGTAACCTGACGGCCTGAAAACGTGGGTCAACCGCTGGCACACGTATGCATCGCATCGTGGAGTCGTTAACGGACCATAAACCCGGCCCAAGGAAAAAACGGTCGTGTGATAGTCTGCGTTAGTGTCCACTAGTGCTCTTGGGCGCCCCAGAGCACTCTAGAGCACTCTTCTCCCAAAGCTCTTCTCACCGTGTGTATGGGGGGTGTTTTTTTTTGCACCGTATAACTCGTACTGTATTATGTACCGCCCATGGCCTCACCCAAAGGCTATCGCCAACTCTGTAGCCGAAGCCCTAGGTAAAGGAAACCTAACACTTCGCGGCTGTGAGACAGATGGCAGGGCGTGACTGCAGTTTTTCAGCCCAGGGTGACTGCAGTTTTCCAGTCCACGGCGTGACTGCAGTTTTTTCAGTCCTTGGACTGAGTGCATTAGTTGGGATGACTAAGATGTTGGCGGTACTAGTAGCAATACAGACGCTGACATAAAGACAATGACGACTCTAGACCAGCTCGATGGTCCTGCTCATGGTCCTGCTCATGGTCCTGCTCATGGTCCTGCTCATGGTCTCCTTGTCCGGTCGCGTTGTGTTTGGATTCGACGATAGTGGAAGTTTGGCCAGATTGATAATATTGCCAAAATTCATTTCGAGTATGGACAAGTGTCGGAGTACAAATATGAGTACAAGAGCAGTGGTATTCAATTTCTTGGTTGATTCTAGCTATTTTTCTTGTAATTTTGCAATTTTACACCAATATACAATAATAATAGTAGTACAGCGAATTGTGTATGGCTATAGACCTCCTGTACCAGCATCTTACCGCACTACTACGACTGACTACGGGTTACAGAACAACCACTCACTGATTTGTCAGCCCAGAAAAAGTCAGCAAAGAGTTGTCATTTACCCCTCTCATTTCCAGACGCTGAAAAGCCCAAAAAAACCCATCCCCATCCCTTCCATCTCCATCCCTTGCCATCCCCAACCCCACAAGTGCCAATATCTCAATATCTCGGAAGTCAAAAACACCACCACTTGGCGCATAAAACACGTCCCAGCAAGGGGCCATTAATATCCCCGAGATGGCATAAATGCGTCTGGCGCGCGGTTGACGAGTACAAGTCTGAATGAGGTACGACGCGCGGTTGACGGTCTGGACCCTCAAGACCCAGTCCGGCTCAGTCGGGCTCAGTCTCAAGACTCAGTCTCTTGACTTTTTCTTTTCCCCGTATATTAATAAACATAACGTGAAACACACTGTATGAAGTGAATGTGGGGGGTGATGGAGGCGATGGAGACGATGGAGGTGTTGGTGGCAGTTCTGGTAGTTCTGGAAGTCCTTGAAGTCCTTGAAGTCCGGTGCTAACGCTTGCTGTTCTGGTGGTGCTCAAATGTCTACTCTACTCACTCTACACTCTCAGTGATACCATGGTAAAAATTAATCTATAAATAAATAATGCGACGAAAAGTTATGCGACAATGATGGGAGACTCGGATGCAAGGGGAAGTTCGGAAACCTGAAAAGGCCCCGACTTGTGCAGGGTCTGGGAGTCGGACTCGGCGACAGTGTTGTGATGCTCAAGATCGTCCTCCTCGTCGCTGGAAGAGGAGTAGTAGAGTTGTGGGGCCTGGAGGTCGTCAACACTAGAGTTGGTGGTGTTGTAGAAACAGGTGGTGGTGGAGGCAGACTCGGAGTCGGTCTCGACCTCCTCATCCTCGTCGTCTTCGTCATCATCGACCTCCTCGATGCTTTCGTATGCCTGGTAGGTGTAGTTGGGAGTCGAGACCTGCTCGTACTCGTTGTCGCTCTCGTCCTCCTCCATAATGTGCGATGGGGTGGAGGAAGACATGTTGATGGCCTGGGTCAACTCGTCGGAGGAGACAATGTTCTTGTTCTGAGGGGCGGAGTGGTTGACCTTGCCCTTGGCCCGTCGCTCGGCCAGTTCGTCCATGAGAAGATCCACCAGGTTGGCGTGCGACACCAGCTGGCGCAGGTGGAGATCGGGTCGAGAGGCCTCCTTGGTCAGCTTATGTCGGGCCTTGGAGGCAAGGAAGTAGGTTTCGGCCATGGAGGCGGAGGCGATGGAGGAGTTCATCTTGTGAGGCGTGGAAGAATGGTTGTGGAGAATGATGATGGAGGTTGATATCGAGAAGCCATTTGGGGGAGGGGACCCTCGATATATAAGTGGGTAAAGCCGAGAGGAGCCAGAGCTAGTTTGCACACGCAGAGGGCTAAAAAACGCAAAGCGGACGGGAGTTGGGTTTGAGCAAGAGCTAGAGGAGCAGGAGCTAGTCGCACCAAACTCTAGTGGTTTGCGCTGTTGGTTTTGTGTTTTTTGGTCAATAGCACAAAACGAAAAGTGGCTGTCGAACGCAATTTGTAAACTTCGATCAGGTGGAGGGTTCAGAGGGTTGAGAGGGTTGAGAGAGTTTGTCGGTGGTGCGCTATGGGCGTCAACTTGGTTCTGGTGGTGTGTTATGTTATGGGTCTCAAGGTCAACTTGGTTCTGATTCTGCTTCCTTCTCATGTTCGTCATCACCTCAAATCCGGACTTCCGGCAATGTGCCTGAATGTTGCTGCTGACAGATGCCAAGTTCATTTCCAGACGCATCCATGCATCGCCGCTATCCTCCAATCATTGCCGGCGGCCGGAGTTAACTCCAACTTTGTGCTGGTGCTGTAGATATGTGCTCTGTCGGAAACCGGAGTTGAGAAGAGGGAAAAAAATTAGAAAATTAGAAAATGAAAATTAGAGAATGAAAATTAGAAAATGAAAATTAGAAAATGAAAATTAGAAAATTAGAAAATTAGAAAATTAGAAAATTGAAAATTGGAAAATTAAAAAATTGGAAAATGCCGACAAATCATTATTCAGGCACGGAATTACTGTAGCAACTGAGGAGAAACGCACGAGGAAAATAGAACGGGATTGGAGATATGGAGATATGGAGATATGTACAACCCGCTTCAAGTGGTCCAAATCTCCACCCTCGTACCGCCTCCCTACCGCCCAGTCTCACTTGTCACTTCTCACACAGTTCAGGCTGATGGTTGTACGAGTAGTCGCAGGCAGGGCCCGATCGATGGTGTCTGGGTTTGGTCTTCAGACAACACGCCATCGGCGACGGGACAGGGAAAGTGGCATGAGAACAGTACAAGGACGGTACGATTGAGTGGAGGAGGAGGTGCACATGCCTCAGGTACTTGTACGAGAACGCCGTATTGTCGCCCCGGATAGCCGCGCGGAAGCTGTATCGAAGCAGAGAGCTGCTGGCGTGACTGCGACCTGTGACCGTCTCCACTCGCTTCTCGACCTTGCGGCTGAGGATATTCTTCTCCCAGGCGGCGGAAGTGTGGAGAGAGTAGTGCGGCTTTTAGGGCGGCAGGAGGGGGTAGGGTATTCGGTGAAGGAGAGCCGGTATCGGAAATCTGAAAAAACCACTATCGCCAGGACTTGTTTTCCCGTCGAACAGTATATCGAACGTCCCGTTTGCGGGAATGGTCCGTCCACCAACCGCGTCCCCAGCTCTCTTATCACCTCCAGACACCCAAACCCAAACATTTGCGCGCCGCACCCCGAAATACGTGCCTTCCGAGCTACTACTGGCTGCGACCGCTGCTGAATAATCTATTCGGAGCCGCAGCCAGGCGGTTGCACTAGCCGAACCTCTTTGTGGTCTCGAGTGGGGCCTGCACGTGGTCTTTGGGACGGGCTGGACGGGTTCGTGACCCTGGACGGGTTTGTGAGAATGGTTCAACTCTCTGGAGGGCGAATCTGCTGCGACAAGCACTTGGCTCCTGCTTCGACTCTGCACAGAACACATGTGAGCGGTACAGGGACGCTATACCGTAGGAAGAATGACAAACGACGCTATAGAACTGCAACCGAATCAGAGCAGATGAGACGGACAAACCGATAGCGCAATCAGGGACCGGAATCGACCTAGCGCAACCCTAGAGTCTAGCTTCTATGATCATCTCCATCTGTTTGCATCTCAAATGGCGTCCACTTGCATGTGCAACAAAAAGCCAGTTTTCGCTTGCTCACCATCGCCCATGGAGGTGGTTGCGAAACCCTGCAGCTATAGGGTTGGTCTACCGAGCCCTGGAGTGCCACCGACAGAGTTCAAACAGAGAATGGTACTTTGAAATTTCCAACAACAAGTGTTCCTCTTGCACGTGTTTCACTCTTTGTCCTCCTCCCCGTCTCTCACTCTCTATCTCTGTATCTACTGTCCTCCTTCTTCTATGACCCCCACACCCCCACGCTATCAGCCTTGGAAAGCGCACCAAAAGTAGCACTGTGGGAGATGAAAACTTGATGCTGTGATGACAGTCTGCGGGAGATGAAAAATTGATGCTGTGAAGTGACAGCTAACGAACGCACGTGTGTTGAAGTCATTAGTTTCACCGTTGCGGAGAGAAGACAAGTATGGGACCCGTCGTACTTTACCCAGGAGAGAAAACAGGTGTGGGACTCCCTGATGTACGAAACAATCAAGTCTTCACTACAGTATCCAACTTGTATCGTCGTTAGTGTGAACTCTGACAACTTCCGATACCCTACATGCAGTATCTGGAATCGAAGAAGATCATTGTGTGGACCAATACGTGGAACAAAACCACCACACGCCCCGATCCGTTGCCCTAAGTGTGGAAACGGCGGCCTGGGTCCTGTCTCAAATAATCAACGACCTTCATACCGCCGTTGTTATCCCCAGCCCTAGTTTGTATAAGATATTTATGATTTAGCAAGGGACAGTGATGGCCGGAAGAACTCCGCTGAGCCCTCGCTGGAGCCGTCAGACTTGAAATCGGTGCTCTCAGCCCTTCTCCTGACCCTTCCGTCACTTCTACAGCTCTCTACAGCTCTCTATACCTCCAGAGAGACCTCAATTGGAGGTCTACACACCCCCAGATTGATCCCCGACCCTTGTTGCACCCCAAATCTGCCCGATCGAAGCCCTAAACAAGCCCTTGTCCCTCCCTTGCAGACCCTGACTCCCACTATCTTCTAGATACCAGTCCACGCCCCCCAACACTGATCCACATGTGGCTGTACAAGTTCCCGCGAGCCCTAATAACTGGTATTAAACCTTGGCGCTAGTGCCAAACGTTGTCGAGCAACCGAGCCCTAGATGAGCACCTATAGCAATGTTATAGATGGTCTAGAGGGTCAAGACGAGTTCTACAGCGTCTGGACAGTCTTGATATCTGATTTTTTCAGTCCATTTCCGCCCACAAACATCCCTCCAAGGCCTCCAAATCCCACGCCGCGACGTCGCGTCCCCATGTTTCAAGCGTACCGATCGCACGCATCTTCACTCCACCTTTGTGGATGATGACGAGTTGGGAAAAGCATTTCATTGAAGACAATACGAACCGCCGCCGGAAAAACTCCGGTGCTGGAATGCACACGGGCAACTCGATTTGTTCAAACCGCCGTATGAACAATACGATGTGCGCGATCGGAAGGACTCCGATGTTGCTACTGCAGTAGGAAAACGAACCTTAGTCAACCCTACTTCGATCTCTATAGCAAGATGCGAGCAGTAATAGATGACAGATGCCGACCACTTATGCGTCTTCCCGAAAAGTACGGATCCTACACACCCACGGTTGCCTGAAAGGTGTGCCGGGTTCTGAGTCGGAGGCTCCTTAGCGCAGCCTCGCAGCCTCGCAGCCACGACGCAACCCAGCTCTCTCCAGATACAAGTAACTGCACTGCCAAAACACACTCGCACCGGTGCCAACATGTAGGGCAAGAAAGTGAACGTACGGACCCTGTAGGTTTGCGTGGGAGGTTCGGGTACATGCTCGTAACCGGTGCATGTAAAAGTCCCCGTATACGTGCGTGTTTGGAAGACCTGAAGAGAAGGCCGAGTCCGTAATCCGATCAAAGTGCATCTGCTGCATTGATTGGCCTGCATTTTGGTTTTGTAGCTGCAATATTCGTGGTTCTGGGTTCGGATTTTGGTCCCCGTTGAAGAGCAGCAATAAATGATGCTAAAAAGGGCCAAAAAACGACGTCATCAGCCACCCACTCTTCGGCACTCCCTCGCTAATCCACTGCCCCCTCAGAACTACAACCCTCAGACTTCATGTCTACCGCAGAAACTTTCATATCCTCTGTTTTCATGACGTCATGAGCTGCTGCTCTCACGCACCTCCCCAGCAACCTAACTTCCGGCCTCGCCCACGATCGAGCCAAGGGGTGAAGAGAGGTTCTTCAGGCTTGTGCGTAGATCCTCGTCTGCACCTGTAGATCTATCTTGGTCGGCATACACCCGAGACAAAACACTTTGTACAAGCACATCAGTACAGTACAGGCAAAACTGTGTCTGGCGACAGGGTACCTCCTTGGTGCTCAAAGATAGTAGTAATACACCTCGCTACCTCTATCCCCCACATTACCAACCAATACTCTCTACTCTACTACCCTCCAATCCTCTCTACTTGCCCAATTACGTCACCTCTCTGAACATTCGGAAGATCCCTCGCATGTAGAATAGACTCCTTGCCAAAGGGTGCAAATCAGTGCAAAAGACGTCCAAAAGAAGAGATACCGGAAACAGACACACTCGTGTAGATCACGTACACTTGTGTCAAGGTCACGTGCCACTCCTAAACGGGGTCAAAGTGGTTTCGCGATTGTGAGACTTGATTATACTGTCTAATCCAGGGTTGTATGTGTTTTGCAGAGGGAAAAAGTTGGGCAAATCGTCAAGGGGAAAATTGACGCAGGGGAACAGGACATTAATAGGCACAAGCACTCATCGAACACTTATCGCGTGAGGTTTATACCTAGTTCGCTAGACTGTGGTGTTGTAACCGTAGTAGGTAAGTAGTGCCGGAACACACACACGAAAGGCTTGATATCCAGCGTGTGACAAAAATAATGATACCGTTTGAATCAGAAAGATGCACTGATTCTCGTGGTACAAAAATCAACCTCTCAAGACCATTACTGATGAAGTTGGTGACTACTCCACCTTAGGATGATGCAAACATCGCCATCGCGTGATGAAGTCAGGATAACGACAAGGAGAGGTTCGACATAAAAAGAAAAGTGTTTTATTAGATTCAAAAGGGTCTGGTTTACTCACAGTACAATTTTTGTCCCGGTCCGAGTAGTATTTGTAAAGTTGACATAATTTCTCCAATCCAAACTAACCATCCAACAAAATAACCTATATTTACTTCACTTTAGTCAACAAACATATCCTTCTCTAGAATGGTCAGTTTTATAGCTAGAGCTTGGGGGATTTTTACAGAATGTATAATACACCCGAAATATGATCTCAAACTAGTCACTTTTCTCGTAAACGTCTCTCATCACTCTTCACAATGCCCCCTACTTCTCTCCTATATTTCCCCATAAAGTTGTATCAGCGTAAAGTTTAAAAGTACACGCACCACTTGTCTTATCACTTCACATCACGGCCCCAAACTCGTCTCAGACACTCAGATGCCACGGGAAATCATTACCATCCAGGCAGGCCAGTGCGGCAACCAGATTGGCGCGCGTTTTTGGGAGCAATTGTGCCGCGAGCACGGCATTTCGCCGGACGGCACGTTTTCTCCGACTACCAACACCTCCACTAACGTGGTAGACCGCAAAGAGGTCTTCTTCTACCAAGCTGATGACACTCGCTATGTTCCTCGAACGCTGCTACTGGACTTGGAGCCACGTGTCATCAACTCCACCGCTCTGGAGTCCCCTTATGCGCGAATCTACAACCCCGAAAACGTGTACATGAGCGCCGACGGCTCTGGAGCAGGCAACATTTTCGCCTGTGGCTATTCGGCGGCAGCCAAGATGGCAGACACATTGTTAGACATGCTGGATCGAGAAGCAGACGGATCGGACTCGTTGGAAGGGTTCATGCTGCTCCACAGTATCGCAGGAGGAACAGGTAGCGGAATGGGCTCGTTTCTGCTGGAACAGATCCACGACCGGTACCCCAAAAAACTGATTCAGACGTATAGCGTGTTCCCGAGCTCGTCCCAGGTCTCCGACGTGGTTGTGCAGCCCTATAACAGTATGCTGACTCTGAGACGACTGGCTGAGTATGCAGACTCGGTGGTGGTTTTGGACAATGGAGCGCTGGGAAACATTACGGCGGAGGCTCTGAGAGTGCAATCGCCGACCTTTGATCAGACGAACCAGCTGGTGGCAAGCGTCATGAGCGCCTCTACAAGCACATTGAGATACCCAGGATACATGCACAATGATCTGGCGTGTATTTTGGCGTCTCTGGTGCCCTTTCCTCGACTGCATTTCCTGTCTACGGCCTACACTCCGTTTTCAGCCGACGTTTTGGACGCCAATCCTTCTGGAGGGTCTTTTGCTGTCCGAAAGACCACAGTCCTTGATATCATGAGACGACTACTACAGCCCAAGAACAGAATGGTATCTGGCTCTGTTTCTAGACAGTCTCGATACGTTGCTCTGCTTAATATCATTCAGGGCGAAGATATTGACCCTACAGATGTCCACAAGGCTCTGTTACGAATCCGAGAACGAAACCTCGCGCCGTTCATTCCCTCCACTCCTGCCTCTCTGCAGATTTCTCTTACCAGACGGTCTCCATACATTCCCACGTCCAAGTCGCGTGTTTCGGGTCTGTCTCTGGCTAACCACACATCTATCACATCTGTGTTCAAGCGAACCATGGACCAGTTTGACAAGTTGTATCGAAGACACGCGTTCTTGGATCAGTATAGAAAGGAGGAAATGTTCAGCGATGGACTTGGCGAGTTTGACGAGGCCCGCGAGGTGGTCAATGGTGTCGTTGAGGAATACAAGGCGTTGGAGCCTTTGGGGGAGTAAATGGACAGTGGCATTGGTAAAATGTGGTTAGGAATAAAATGATTTTCATGATATCACCTCCGACAGTGATTAATATGAGTAGAAGGCTGGGTTTCTAACCGGGGGTAGTTAGGAGTTGTTTATTTTAAGTAATAGTTGGGATAATTATTGGGTTTGTTTGTAGTTTTTGTTGAGCTTCTGATAGAGAAGAAAAAAAACTGAACTCGTCTGAATTTGATCCCAATGAATGACGCAGTTGCACAGAATTCAAGTACGATCTATATCTGGTCAACTATCGGTACAAACACCTTTTTTGTGACTATTATTTCATTCAACTGACTCCAACTAGTTACCTTCACTACATATCATGATCTGCCTGTCTTCCATGTCTGGGAAATCGTCATCAACGAGTACCACAGGGCTCTCCATTGCTCTGACAATCTCCATCATTGTTCTGAAGATTTTCATCATTGCTCTGAAAATCTCCATCATTCCTCTAACGATCTCCACCATTGCTCTCTTTGCCACTACGATTCCGAAAGGTCCCTCCGGATGGATTCGGATCCCCTTGAGTAACAGAAACCCACAGTCGGTCTCTTGGAACGGCATGGAGTCTTTGTATGTTTTCCAGGTCCCGAGGTTGTTCTTTTCCTTCTCCAATCTTGTCAATCGGTCACTCAGGTTTTGTCTGGTCATTCCGTCGAGACTCTTCCAACAGAAGATGCTCTCTCTGTTTTGTTGAGGTGCCTTTCTGGTCTTTGGGAGCTGTGCAAGTTCAATGCTCAAGTTCTCAACCTGTTCTCGAGTCTTCTTGCCCATGATTCGAGATTCGAGAACCTCCGCTTGTTTTGCAGTTTTGGACGGCCCAGGACAGAAAAGCGAGCTTGGATTTGCCATAGTCAAGTCGTCTGTGGAGTTCTGTTTCTCTACCAGTGCTTCTCAAAAGCCCTCTTTTGTCTCCAAAACACCTTTCACTTCTCACCACTGGTGCTACTACTGGTGATAGAGGCAGTGAGATCGGTGATGAGGATGGTCGTGTAGTCGAGGGATGAGATGTTTTTGAAATCGCTACTCTTTGGTGCTAGCTAGCCAGAACTTGGCCGAGATGTCGCATGCCACATATGTGGGTCCCGAAATGTCTGTGGGTGTGGGCAGACTCCAAGGGTGCGTACCGTACTCTCCAGTTCACGAGACCTGCGTCTTCCTGGCTCAAGCGACCTTCCAGCACCTGAGGTAGTAATTCAGAGACATGGGGTTTCGTTCTGATCCTTGGGGAACCGGAGAGGCTAGACATGGAGTCGTTCGACCCTGGTTCCATGCCCGTAGTTTCAGAAGGGGCTGTTCGTATGTCAAACAAGTGATTCTACAAATATGCGACAAAAAGTGGCAATTTGGGATTATTTGGGGACGGACTTCAGAGTAGAGAACGAGAAGGACCTTCATCTTGGTGGTTGTAGTGGTGTAGTGGCTGATTTCTGCTCGAAATCCCTTTTTCTGCCTCGCAAGTACTCGTTCTTCTGTCCCTAAAGAAGCCACGAAGCAGCCACTTCCGCGGAAAGACACGCTTCCCCCTTCATCGTCTCGTTCAGTTTCCCTGCCGAATACCGCCTTGGTGGTTGTCTTTGCTTGTCTGACTCAGTTTCTGGCCAGGTTGACGGCCTTGAAAGTTCTTCAAATATCTTTCCGACGCTCGAAAAGCTGTTTAGCTGTCTCCATCACTGCCCTGACTTATTCAATTGCTGAGAGACATGGGCCAGTTGAGAAAGCTCTTGATCTTTCCGAGAATCTCGCATTTGACAAGACTCCACGGCTCTGAAAAAGTCGCCCCTGCCAGTCCAGTTGACGACGTTGACGACGGTGAAAACGTAGGGTGTCAAGTTCCACTTTCTGGAGCTGCGATCAACCTTCTCTCTGTCAACAAAAAAGATGTGGTTCCTTTTGGCCTTCCACAGGAATCCATCACCGTCAGATTCACTCACTTGAACCGAATAATTGTATTCGAAACGGTCTTTGAGAATAGACACCCCAGGTCCCCCACGAAGCGTCTCGAGACCCCGATAAGTCCTTTCTCCAAACGGAGTTCTTGTGCGGGTTGAATGTGCAGGAACGACTGCTGTTGAGTTCAGAGTCATGAACTGGCTGTCTAGACGTCGTCTTCTTCTGTTCCCATTTGAATGTCGTTGACTGGGCTTCTTCTTTGAAAAAGATCAACTGTGAAATCCGCTTCAGAACCACTGATTTCACTTCCATTGCTGCTTTCGGAATGTCAAGTGATTGGCATTATGTAGTATGTACTGGAGTATACGCAGTTGATGTTAGCTGAGGACTTGTTCTTGAATAGAACTTGGAACTGTTGGTGAACTGTTAAGACCTCAGTTGTCTACTATTCGTGGTCCTCACGGCTCTCACCGCTCTGAACAGTTCAGGAATGTACCTGCACTCAGCATATGATTGCGCGAGAGTCAATGACGATCCGTGGAGAAGAGCAGAAACTGAAGAGTACCCTTAGAGCTGGACAGCTCCATTATCGAATCTCTTTGTGAACTCCTCTGCCACGGAAAAACTATATGAGTACACCATATATGACGGTCTTGGAACATTACTGCCTACCCATAACCATGCCCAAACTCGAAAACTACAGCTATACTGGGTTACTTGTACAACGAATGACTCGGAGGTTCACCCTGAAGAGTTCATGTTTGGATAGGTTGACAATCTGACTGGCAGCTAGCCAGCCTGGGTCTTCTTTCTGGCTTGGCGGGCATCGGACCAGGGGTGACTGTCATGTTCATTCGACCAGGGTCTATATAACATGATTGCGCTTCACGATTGTCCTCTAGAGATTGCTCTGCTGTTTTCAAACTTCTTCAAGGGAGTCAACGACTAGCACACACAGTACAGCAAGTGCAGTACAAGTTAGTTCTGGGCCGCAGAGATTCACGAAATCGGTTGCAGGCAGAAGTTTTTCCACTCACCCATTTATTTGAGAAGTCTTTGTACAGTTTTTTCAACTACCGGAGTCTGCTAATGTCTTCCTTGTCGACTCACGTTGGTGGGCCATGGCTCTCATACACATGCCAACATAGAGCTAAAGAAAGACACTCAAAGAAGGGAGGGTTTGTCGGCAAATAAATACTTGGAAATCTTTACTATCTGCCCATTTCATTAGTATCTGCTCATTTGCTGCTCGGTATCCCCATTATCGTCATCATCCTCCTTATTCATTTTCGATTCTGAGTGAGAGCTCTGGTTCGGGGCTTCCACTGGCAACCAATAACTCAGAAAGGAGGTTGAGAGTCCTTTCATTCATGAATCTCCTCTTATCAGAAAGTTTTAATATGAATATCACTTGCAATAAATCAACTTCTTCTCTTTGGATCTTTTCGTTACTGCTTCAAAAACACTCGGTTTTATTTCTGGGGAGATTTCTGAGCTATCCCGCAGTCAGTCTCACAAAATGAGGAAAGGGAGTTGGAAATGACATAAATAAAAGAAGTATCATTACTTGTACTCTTCATTTTTTGTGTTTTTGTAAAGCTCGTATTCTTTTTGACTCATTTTTTCCTCAAAAAAAAAAAAAAACCAGATCTATTGAGGTGCCCTTTAATCAAGTAAACTCTTTCAAATTGTTGGGATATTTGTTTAAAATGAATGACTATTTAGTTGGGTTTTGTTTTTACGCTCCAAATCGCAGTTTGCCTATTTTCTGAACCACAAAAAAGCTTCAAATGAGGCAATGAAACACGAAAAAAGTGTTTCTCTGAAACTTGAATGTTCTTCAATGTCAACTGAGTGTATTAATCAACTGCTCGTGTACTCTTGCTGCTCTATGAGCTTTCAGAACCAGCTACTGTATGTACTGTATGTACTGTATGTACTGTACTGTACTGGACTCATTCGATCAACGTGATTGCCATACTCTCCAACTATCAACTGTTGCTTGTCAGAATGGACTTGAACTTCTTCATTGATAAACCCTGTGGGACAGCTCATCTGGTTGATGATAGTCGAGATGGCCGCCGCAGCCACTGTTTTATCGAATCGAGAGGTGTAGATTTCAGCACCGAGATTGCAAAGGTCAGCTTGGACCGAGTCACTTCTGACAAATCCATTGTTCAGGATCTTGTTGTGGTTTCAATACAATGGCCTGCTTCTTATGAAGTCTCCGCTCTGGAACCACTCTCTTGTTGCTGGGAAGCGAGTCTGCAGTTCGTCTGCAGTTCGTCTTTTCAGTTCGTATTCCTCTCTCTCAGAGACTTCTGACTTTTGTTGAGCTTCTTCTGGAGCTCAAGACACACCCTTTTCAGCCTGGAATACCGCCAATAACGTGTCCAGACTCGGGCCGAAGAACCTCTTCTTCGATAACACAAGTTCCTGGGTCGCAGCCTCCAGTTCCAGCTCTTCATTGGCTCAAATGAGATGACTTCGGACTTGACCACTGTCAATATCAAGCAGCTCCCGAATAGTGCTCTCCAGGTCTTCTTATTCCATCGTACAACTAGTTGATCTTCTGTTAGCTACAATGTTCTCTTTGGAGGGGCCATTATCTTGAGAGCATCCAAGTACAGTGTACAGTACTGTATGTACTGTACTGTACTGTAGGTGTTGTCTGTCTTGGAGGTGACGAGAAACGAGTCTGGAGAGGTCTAACGAAGGTTCTTGTCGAGTCTTTGAACGCGTGTTTCATGAAGGACAGGAACACGAACCAGGTCCCGTGAGGGAGTGGGGCTCAATTAACTTGTTCTTGTGCTCTTCAGTGTTTTAGTCTGAGAGTCCAGTAGCCTCGCAAGAAGACTGATAGTCGTAAACAGACCCGACCTCTGCTCCAAACAAAACAGACTCCGAAAAGAGGCTTGCTGAAGAGCACAAAGACCCATCTTGCGACACGAATAGGGCCGAGTCAGACCGAGTTGCAGGTGAATCACTTGTCCTGATCGGTGTTTCAGGCGACCTACTGACTCCCTCGGTGGCAGATCTGTCCATGGCGCTGACTACATTAGCGGGGTTCGGAAACTCTCCCTTTTGGGTACTCTACCAATGGAAAACTCCACTAGCGCCGCCGGTGGGCTCCAGCTCTCCAAAAAGTTCTCCGAAAATTGGTTCTTGGCGACCATGAGACTGGAGGTCCTGGCACCAGCTCTAACGATGGCTTCAGTTGACTTTTCCATCTTGTTCCCCTGTTCAAAGTAGTTTTTCTTATCAGTTTTCGCCTTTTCCTTGAGAAGTGGGACCCTTCGCTCCAGACCCTGATTCTCTTCAATGATATCGACAAACCTGTCTAATCATCGGGAAATTGAACATTCTAGAGCCCTAAGAAGTTCCTTGGATGTTTAGGATGGGTTTCAGAAGTTCCTTGGATGTTTATGATGGGTTTCAGAAGCTCCTGGGATGTTTATAATGGGTTTCAGAAGTTCCTTGGATGTTTATGATGGGTTCTAGGTCGTAGTCCGAGAATCTGCAGGAGTTCCTACCCGTTCTGCTCAGTGCACTCCACTTTTCGTACGTAGTAGAGACACCGGGACTTCGAAATACTCTTGGTCGGAGAGAGTTTAGCTCCATTGTCAGAATTTTCTTACGAAAATGGTCACTTGTTCCTCCAATTCTGCCCTGTCTAGGTCTCCGGGGACCAGTCTATCTTGTGGTGAAAAGAGAATGCAGCTTCTTACAGCTGAGAAGAGCTCAATTGGCCAAGAGGAGTTGAAAAACCAGAGAAACCAGGATGGAAAAAGTACTTTACAGTACTGTGGAAGTCACTTTTTGTCCCGGCTACTTTTCTATATCTCGTTGAACCGGAATACTACTGCATTGTCGACGTCTCTCATATCAGCCGCGATTTCGAGAAAAACTTATAAATCCCTCGAAATAAACCGTAGAAGGCGACGCAAGGCTCGTACAATGCGCGTTTTGAAACTATACATTGCTAAAGTCTTTACAATGGTCCTGTTTTGGTACTGTACTTGGTGAGGTTCTGGAGATTCATTCTCCGTTCAAGTTGAGAATGGTAAGTCTGAACAGCATTCCCAAGGATCCATTCACTAAAAAGTACTAATATATATCATATTGGAATGTTGGTAATACCAATGAATTCCCCCCGACTCGTGAATTACAAATACACCAATAACTATGGAATTACATTGATATCCACCTGTCATTGCCATATTGTGGGTGGACATAAACTCCCCTCCCCCCCAGTTGGCTTATTTGTTAAGCGTCCCAAGTATAGTCGATATACTGTTGGGAGTTTTCATCCTTCTTATTCACTTTTTAACTACAGTACAAATTTCTGTTAAGGAACTACTTATATTGAACACACAGTAGCACTTCAGAACTGCCCCTCATTCTCCCAAATCGACTCCAACATCAACCATCTTCTAAGTAATGAATTTTGCAATGAATCTCCGACTATCGGCTTCGCCCCCACTCGCCCCCACTCGCCCCCACTCTGCGCCCTTGCCCTTAATCACCCCCTTCTGCAAGCCACAACTGAGTTCAAGAGCCGTCTATACCCAGACAAGAGCCGCGCGAGGAAGGGTTCAACCAGCTTTTCGGGCCGTAAAAACGGTCAATTGGGAAACCAAGCGTTTAAACCGTCTATTACTAACCCTACAACACCTTTTGCGCCGTCTTTCAGCCGCTCACAAGCCAATTGACCCCCGTTCCGTCCAACCCTAACCACACCACCCCACACCTTATCTTACATCTCCACCGCACTCTCTCTCTCTTCTTCACCAACTACTACAACCTCTGTAAACATGTCTCTCAAGCAGTCTCTGAAAGTCGCACTGATCCAGTTTGCCGCCGGAGCCGACAAGGCGGCTAACATTGCCAAGGTGACCACCAAGGTGGCGGAGGCGGCGAAAAACGGAGCCAAGCTGGTGGTCCTCCCCGAATGCTTCAACTCGCCCTACGCCGTGTCGGCCTTCCCCAAATACGCCGAGAAGATCCCGGATGGCGAAACCACCTCGGCTCTGTCGGATCTGGCCAAGAAACACAACCTATTCCTGGTAGGAGGCTCATACCCGGAGTCCGACGCTGGCAAGGTCTACAACACGTCGGTGGCCTTCTCTCCCTCCGGCGACATTATCAGCAAGCACCGAAAACTGCACCTGTTCGACATTGACGTGCCCGGAAAAATCACCTTCAAGGAAAGCGAGACCCTGACCGGTGGCGACAAAATCACCCTGTTCGATATGGAGGGCTACGGCAAGATCGGCCTGGGCATCTGCTACGATATCCGGTTCCCCGAGGTGGCGGCCACCGCCGCTCGAAAGGGCGCCTTTGCCATGATCTACCCCGGCGCTTTCAATACCACCACCGGCCCGCTGCACTGGCATCTGCTTGCCCGAGCCCGAGCCGTCGACAACCAGCTGTACGTCATTGCGTGCTCCCCCGCCCAGGACCTCAACTCGGGCTACCACGCCTTTGGCCACTCGCTTGTGTCCGATCCTCTGGGCAAGATTATTGCCGAGGCCGACGTCGACGAGACCGTGGTTTACGCTGAGCTTGAGCCTGAAGAGTTGGCGGCAGCTCGACAGAACATCCCTGTTGGTACTCAGCGACGGTTCGATGCCTACGATGATGTGAGCAAGACCGCCAAGGTGAGTGCTGTTTAACGGCGTTGCGAGTATCGACAGAATTAGCGGAGCCATGGTTGAACACAGCTCATGCTTATGAGCGACGCTGTGCAATTCAAACTAGCTGGAATTAAAATATACACTTGCTGCTATGTGATGAATGAATGAATCTGATGAGATGAGATGCTCCGGGACTACGTACGACTCTCTTGTAGTTGTGGACTACGTACGACTTCTCTTGTAGTTATGAAGACGCAAGAAGTCTGCTTTGATATAATTGATGTGCAATTAGGAGTGGTTTCTGAAGACAACTTCTGAACAATTAACGAGTTCACAAATCAGATACGAGTTCATGTCTTGGAAGAGGGCTTCTGATGTTGTACTACTGTTTGAATATAGTATGTACTACAGTTGAGTCATGACCCGTGCACTCGTGGAAGTTGACAATCGACTGTCTAGAATCAATCGACTGTCTGCGATACAAGATCTTCTCAACTAAAAATCCCGTGGCTTCAGTCACTCTTTCTGGTCATTGCCATGGATAGAGTGATTCTATATTCTATGTGCATTTTCGAGCTGAAATATGGCCATCATCAACTCTTCCTGGCACATTCCAAACAGACCGCGGATTGTCTCCATCAGTTTTCATCTTCTCGGAGTTTCTTGACTAGAATCTCTTAGTCTGAATATCGCTTTCTGAATCTGGTTTCAACCTGGATTCGTTGCCATAATCTGGAGTCGGTGCTATCAGCCCAGTAAGACTACACTTCAAGAAGCTGCCCAAGTGGACTCTGGGATTGTGGCTTTCTCTTGTTGGATTCCAGTATGGATCTCGTCCGTCTGACCCGACTATCGTCTGTCTGATCCAAGTATCGCTCGTCTGATCCGAGTATGGATCTCCTCTGTCAGGTTCAAGGACTCCAGCTTCTTCAGCGCTGCCCACACATGTTCTCAAGCATGTGTTTTGATAGACCAACTAGCTGTATCAGAGCCCGGGCTCCTCGTGTCAAGTTTCGTTGCTCGCCATATTGGAGAACTTGGAAGGCGCTCGCTACTTCGATATTCTGGTAACTATCTTGTGTTTTTCGACCTGAAATCAAATCACACAGGCTATTTGGAGTCAATTGAACTGGTTTGTGGCGACAATTGAGCAATATTACCACTATTAGCGGGCTCCCAAGATCCCATCGGTGCCTTCGGGGTTAGATGCCGACATACAGGCATATTTAGACCAACAGGGTTGCATTAGAATGTCTATAACGGGAGGTTGAGGGGTTATATAACGTCCCAATAGATTTTTGGAATCATTATGACTTCCCAGAAACTTCAAGACTTTGTATGAGTTGTTTATTAGGCGAGTTGAAGATATCAATATACTACTTAAGTTTAGTTAAGAAATTGAAAAAATCCGAATACGTACTTGTAAAAGTACTCTTTTTAGTAGTTTAATACATTAATAATCAGGTTAAAACTCTCTAAATCCACTCTATATACTTATTTAAGAAATTAATTGTAGTTTTATACAAAATAATATCATTCTAGATACATATTACTAGAAAACACTTTTGTTGCCTTTACTTGACTGACACATCTCAATTGAGTCTATTTACTGATGCTCAAGTAATTAATTCAAGTCCATGGACCCATATCAATACACATCAGAGACGTTCAAATCTGACCAGATAAAGTCTTATCTAGCACTACTCGCCGTCAAAAATCAAGCTGAAACTCCGGTATTCCTCCTTCGCCTCCTAATCTTCCCTAAAATGGGATGTTTTTTTATTCTTTTTTATGATTTTTTTATTCTAAATATGATTTAATTTTCTCCCTTCCTTCTCAAAAACTCCCCTATCGAACCTTGCCCCAACTTTCGGTTGTATAGTGTAGTGGTTATCACCTTGGATTCTGACGAAAGCTCAGCTAACTTCCAGTAACCCCGGTTCGAGTCCGGGTACGACCTATCTTTTTGTCGGCTTCTTTTTTGGCCCGTTCGAGAGCTCCAGGCGTCTTGTATGTCAATCATACATACTTGTTATAGGTTATGAGCTAAGACTATAGAGTGCCAACTAACACCCCATCTGAAAAACATGATCCTGTGAAGCTCAAGACGTGATTTTTGAAACCCAAGTTCTCCTTGCCGTTTGCTACCGTCTCCAATTTCAAAATTCCAAAAATGCCCACCCTATCGTGCCCTATACACCCCCTCCCTACCCCATAGTAAACACCAGTCTTACACACATATTTCAGAACTCCCAACCCCCGGGTAACCGCGGTGGGTAGTTATAAAGCAGAAAAAATCCACCCCTTGTCGTCATAACCACAGAGCCCATTGGTGAGTACCAACCGACACAAACAGGGAGAGCGCACAGCGCACAGCGCACAGCACACAGTCGCGCGCACAATGCTCTTCCTCTTGACATGATGATATCGAAAACCTTTCTTGAACTCCTGAGAGTGATTTCTTATAGACTACAACGGTATCTGATTTTTGTGATTCTGCCCTTGTTGCCTTTTTTTCCGCCTTACTAACCAAAGTCCGCCGTCGTTGAGCTCGCACAGCGCCAATTTGTGTAATGAAAAAACAAAACTTGAACGCGTTATACCCCCATCCATACCCGTATGTGGTGGATGTCGTGCCACCGGTGATACACAATCCCATCTCGGTGTTGTATTTTCTCTGTAGATGGATCTTTGCCGGCAATACAAGCCCAGAGTATACCGCCGAGTATGTTGATGGTGTAGTTCGGGCCGTTGGAGACGCTCGCGAGGGTCTGTGGAAGATGGGCTTCTTTGGCAAGGGCATCTTGTCTCGGTCCGAGCCCTCGTGGGACATTCGAACCAAGAGACGTCTGGGTCTCCATGTGGAGGAGGGGGTGTATGCCCCTGAAGAGGTGACTCAGTTCCGACGAGAGCAGCGGCAGCATTTCAAAGCCGAGCGAGCCAAGGCCGAGGAGGAGGAGCTCAAGAGACGCCAGGACATTGATCGGGGTCTGGCGGTGGCTGACAAGAATGAAGACGACAAGCCTGTTCGTCCGGAGTTTGATCGGGACGCGTTTCTCGCCAAGTCTTACGAAATGGAGAAACGAACGGAAGACGACGAGGTGGTGGATTCGCTGGGCAACCTCGTGGATATCGAGTTTCTACAGCTCATGGACGTGGAGGCGCTGTTTCTTCACATGGCGTTTGGACTCAAGGTCGGCGACATGGATGTGAAGGCCATGGTTGACGAGTTCACCCGCAAGGACCCTCGGTTTCTGACCTATTACGCCGTCTACCACCACTACCGATCGCTAGGTTGGTGCGTTCGGTCGGGCATCAAGTTTGGAGCCGACTTTCTGCTGTACAAGAAGGGTCCTCCGTTCACCCATGCCGAGTTCTGCATCAAGGTGATGCCTAAGGACGAGCCCATGCCCGACTTTTGGTGGCAGTCGAACCTGTGTCGAGTCATTGGCGGAGTCAAGAAGACCACTGTCTTTTGTTTTGTGGATGTGCCAAAGGTCGAGGGCGTTGTCGATGATGCCAAGCTGGTGGAGGTGTTGAAGCAGTTCAAGGTGCGAGAGGTGGTGTATAGGCGGTGGATTCCCTCGAGGAATCGGGACTAGCGGCGGTGGCGGGTGACAGAGTGAGATTTGAACGGATATGCCGGAACTCTCAGAATGTTCTTCACCAGAGACTTCACCAGAAACTTCACCAGAAACCTCACCAGAAACTTCACCAGAAACTTCACCAGAAACTTCACCAGAAACTTCACCAGAAACCTCACCAGAAACTTCACCAGAAACTTCACCAGCAACTTCACCAGCAACTTCACCAGCAACATTCTTCACCAGAAACTCCACCAGCAACATTCACACCAGAACCGTGCTTGTCCCCACCAGCAACAATGCCGTTGAACAGACCCAAGGTCTTGGTCACTGCCCATTGAATCTCGCAGGCGTGACGCCAATCAGCAAAGACCCACAAGCGCCACCAATTTCAAGTCTGTACTTTAGAAGATGGAGCCAGAGATCCTGAATTGGAATCCACGGAGATCGAACAAGTAACCATTAGTTTCAACCAGAAGCAACAGTTCCTTCGTCATATCATCTCTTTTCCTCCAGTATATCGTCACCGTTGACATATGTATGGACTTCTTCAGCTCAATAGTTCCTTATCCACGGAGATCTCTTACATCCACCCCTCTAGAACGGATTTATCGATCTCGATCTAGACTGTGGTTTACAGGCGAATATTTATTCATGTACATATCACTTGTTGGGGATGGTTTCAGGACATGTATTACGGCGTGTAGAGAATAGTTGGCATCGATTTGTGAGCTGAAGTCATAACTCCTGCTGTACATTTGTCAGTCCATATCAATGTAGGTGAAACGTCCAAGACATCGCAGTATCGTATTCATACTACCTCCTAGACTTACAATCGCTCCCACAATCTCTCTATAAATACATTCTATTCTATAATACACTAGAGCTCTCCTCGAAAGGCCTTGTTGACCCACGCACAATCTCTCTTGCCGTCCTCGGCCTTGGAGGAGGCGTCAGATCCGTCGTAGCCGTCGCCAGGCTTGGAGATGCACACGTAGCCGGACTTGTCGGGATACACGCACTTGATTTCCGACGCGGGGAACTGGCACGGGCACTCCAGTGGCGAGTTGACGCATGTGAGGGTATCGGGGCATACGTGGCCGTTATCACACGAGACTGGGTTAGTAGATGATGGATTGATTACCAAGCCGCCATGTCTGGGTTATGTTTGTACGGCCATCTGATAGGTAACCTGGCTCTTCCCAGCGGTCACTCCACTCTCACTCCATTCAGCTACTCACCCTTGTGATACTCCTGGTTGTGCCAGGACTCCTCGACGGCAAACTCCTTCTTGAGCATCTGGTTGAAAAAGTTGCCGAAAATCTGGGCGTGCGCGGCCGCCGCACATGTCAAAATCACTGTTGGTCGCATGTTGGAGTGTGGTACCGGGTGGTGGTGTAGAGACACGTCAGTATTTCACTACTTGTAGTGCATCTCGAACCCAATCACGGAGGAATTTAAGTTGATTTTTGGAGTATTTTTGGAATATTCCGATAAATGTCAAAAGGGCGAAAAAAACCGATTTTCGATATTCTCGACATCTAATTGACCATCCCACATCATCAGTTCTATCATCAAGGTCTTCTGTCTACCGTCGTTAACATCTATATTCAGTATACCTTTGTGGTGCCACTGTCAACGTCTATCCAGTATAAATATCGCTTGTTCGAACCAAGTTGTTCAACTAGTGCCGTAAAACTCCCTCCACAAAGGCATCACCATGGGTAGATTCTCCGCGCTCAGCCCCGGGTACCGCTCCCCAATCACCTTGACCAACTCATCGTACCACACCTTGTATCCAGGTCCGGCAAAATGCAGGCCGTCCTTGAGATACTTGGTCACTGAGGTTTCGTGCTCGTTACCCTCCCCTTCAACGGTGCTGGGAAACGGCATTCCGGGCTCCCATCCAGCGTCGGTAGCAAAAGCGTGCCACAGATTAGTGCTAGGAAGACCCATCTTGAGAGCCACCTCACAGGCGGCTTCGGAGTACCTCTTTTGCAGCTGTGACGACCGCGGGTTCACGCCCGGCTCGTCCTTGAACATTTCTCTTCGAGCCAGTTCGTCGTGGGGCGCGGGACCCGTGAGGATCACCTTGATACCGCGGTCCACCGCCTGCTGAGCCAGCTTCTCCAGATTGGCCTTGTATCGGTCGAGAGGAACATGTTGTTCGTTGGTGGCGCTGTCGTTGGACCCGAAGAAAATCACCACCAGCTTGATTCCCTTTTCATGCTCCAAAATGTGGTGGAAAAACTGGACCGCCTGGTCCGTGTTGTAGCCCGAGTATCCTCTGACGAGAATGTCCATTTTGCGCTGGTACAGATGTTGAAGGGCCGGGGCGAGTGCAAAGGTGAGATCCTGGTCGCTTGAGTACTGCGTAATTGAGTCTCCAAACAGGAGAATCTTGTCCATATCCGGATTCATGGGTGGAGTCATTATGGTTGGTTGAATGAGTGTGATGGAAAAGACATGATGCGCAATGGATGGGCACTAACTGCAGTACGAGTACGGTATCGTACAATGCTTGTGGGTGTATAATGGTAGGAAAATCAAGAGACAAAGAGAGTAATGGCCGCCTGAGATGGTTTTTGTGATGTTTTGCGGGCAAATCGGCCCTTTCGGCTATTTTATCGCCGATATATTCAGCGTGTTGAAGTTATTAATAATTAGTTGGGATACTAATGCTACTGTTAAGTAATATTGTTAAGTATGTGTAGGATCTACGGTCAGCCATTCAGGAAAAGAGATGAACAGAAACAGCAGACTTCAGACTCTTGAGGGTCTTTCTGGATTGGGTGTGATGCGAGGTGTCTATCCAACAAGTACAGTAAAGTACAGTACCGGTGGTTCAACACTTCTCCATCTTGACGTTGGTGTTTTTTTCATTATATATATATCTCTCACTTTTTCTTTCTTTTTTTATTATTTTTTTTTCAATTTTTTTTTTCATTTTTCATTTTTCATTTTTCATTTTTCATTTTCATTTTTCATTTTCATTTTTCATTTTCATTTTTCATTTTCATTTTTCATTTTCATTTTTCATTTTTCACTCTACATGCCATCCCCTATCAACAGCTCAGGCATGGTCTGACCATCACAGGTTGTCACACACCCACCCAAATCCACCCAATCCAACCAAAATATACCAATTAAATCCATTTGTGTGTGTTTCCCATCCCTCCCCCTCTCATTCCCTTCCTCTCTCATTCCCTTCCGGGTCCTTCGCGACTAAAAAAGCTCGAAACACGGTACACATCCGCCCACTCTCTCACATTCGCGCTCGCAATGATCCACTTGACAGACGGCTTTTAAGCTTGAACAACGTCTGGCAGGTGGACCTCACAGTAGCTTGTAATGATAATTGATGGGGGTAAGGCTGTGCAAGAGTCGTGCTATTTATACACTGTGGGAGAGTATGATGATCGTTATACGATGCTTGCACGATACGTACATACTGTAGTTGGTACTGTAGCTGTAGCTGTGCTTGTGACACGTCATATATATCTCCTGTGACCTTCTGCCACCTTCTTCTCCCACATCTTCTCCTTTATTTGCCCATTACCACGTGCATTGTGTCACCGGGAACCATCATCGCCTGACGCTGGTGCGCACTGTCATCCCACCCGACTTTTTGAATTTTGGACTTGTGATCTTATCTCACACATTTTGGCACCAGAAAAAAATACCACCAACACAATGTTCAGCGACATGCAAAGTGAGTATGCCGAAGGACGGGGAGGATGGACGGTGCCGGTGGTGCATCGAGGCGACTCGAACAGGAATTAACACAGAATATGGCGCGGCCTTCACGGCTGGAGGTGAGTGATGAGGTGATGAGGTGATGAGACGCGTTACGCGGTGCAGTGAAACGACAGAAACGTGTGACGCGGGCGAGATACGAGATATGAGACTGGAAAAGGGATGGAACCATAACACGCACACAGACACACAATCTACGACTGAAGCACTCGACCTATGTTGGGACACTCGATCTACGACTCACTCGATCTACGACACATTCGTCAGTCGATATACAACGTGATCTCCACACCGTTTTGAATACACTAACAAAGGCATCTTCTTCATCTTTCTGGGAATCATGACCTTCTTCGATTCCGCTCTTATGGCGTTTGGAAACGTAAGTATAGTGGATTTTGGTTACAGTGATCCATGCTGAGAGTGCCGATTCAAGCTATGGACCGGGTCATCTTGAGACAAGTTCTGGATCTCCAGCTCTGTGGATCCAGGTAGTCTCTAGCTCTTGATCTCCAAATACTCTTGACACTCTCAAGCTGGATCTGGCTCTCACACTCTGGATCCCATCTCTGGATCTCCAGTTACCATGCGCTACTGTAGAGACAAGCTCCCCCATCCTCTACACCCATGACTAACCCAGATTCTCTTTCTGATCGGAATCACCCTGCTGATCGGACCCCAGAAAACGCTGGCGTTCTTTGCGAGACGCCAGAAGCTGCGAGGATCGATAGCGTTTGGGCTGGGAATTTTCCTCATTCTCATCAAACGGCCCTTCATTGGCTTTGCTATCGAGCTGGTGGGCATTCTGGCGCTATTTGGCGACTTTTTCGCCGTCATTGTCGCGTTTCTACGGTCCATGCCCGTCATTGGGCCTATTCTCCGCCACCCCGCCGTGGCTCCCGTCATTGACCGACTTGCTGGAGTCCGAATTCTCCCCGTCTAAGTTGCCATACCGGACTCGGTATACGGGGTATTGGGTGGATCCAGGTCAAGTAGTTGCATAGATGTATAGATATGGTGCTTGTTCGTAGAGGCCGGTGTCGTTTGCCTTGGATCTCTTATTATGACGTAGATATTATCTCCATATTACCCTCTCCAAATTCCGTTGCTGATCTCGTCATCGCCAATTGAGTTAATTACTACCTTGCGCAGTGGCAATCGAGCACTACGCGGATGGGGAAGAGCATTGGAAACGGAGATGGTCACGTGAAGGGGGCCGGTGTGCTACGACCAGCAATTACATTACACGGTACTGTTAGTTACAAGTACCAGTACAATTGTACCTGTATTGCACTGTATGTACTGTAATACAGTGACTACAACGTCACCTCTCCTACAAAGGACACGTGACGTGAAGAGGACAAGCGGGACCAGATGTCAACTGTATGGAGTCTGGATCATTTCTGCAGGTTCAATTGCAACTGTCGCCTGTCCTCCCGCTCGCATGTCCCACCCTCCACATGTCGTCAGTCGTCACTTCCAATCATTCAATATCATTCACTAATAGTTAGCATTGATGAGATAATCTCCCAGAGCCTCAACGACCTTGGTGGCCTCTCCGGGCTGCACGCCCTCGGGGTAGTGGCCCACAATGATGGCCTGGCCGGTTCGCACGGCGATAATGCCGGACTGCTCGTGCTTTCCGTAGATGGATCGGTCGTCGGCTCGCAGAAGGAAGTACTTCTGGCCAGCAATGTGCAGACCGCCAGCCTGCAGAGGAGAGGGGTCGTCGAAGCCCTTGGCCAGCTCCAAGACCTCGGCGGGGGCCACGGAGAAGCCCGAGGTGGTGCACCAGACGGAGTCACCGGCTCGGGAGAAAATGGCGGCCTTATCGACCTTGCCAGATCCAACCAGGTTGTCAACGTAAGCTGTGTTAGTGTTGCTGTGGGGGGGGGAAGCGAATTGCGCCCGCTCAGCGTGCCGTTAGCTGCTCACCTTGCCAAGACATGTTTTCGTGTGTTGTGTGTGTTGTTTGGTAGTGAGTATAAGATGAGATGTCGTGTTAGGAGCAGCTACAGATATGTACACTTGGACGTGCGTGATCTGGCGGTAGGGTAACCTTGGGGGGGGAGTGAACAAGTAAGGAGACAAGATGGATTGGTTTGGGTTTGTGGTGTGATTAATTGGAGGAGGGGGGGGTCGTAGACACGTGACGAGACGTGACGTCTTCCCCCCGCGCCGCGCCCGCGCCCCCCTCCCCCACGTGACCTCCTCCCTCCGTCTTTCGTTCTGGTTGCTACTCTGTTTTGACATGTACGGGTCTTCCTCCTTGCTCCAACCATGTCTCTGCTCTATCCTCTAGACCCGGTCTAATTCCACGTCTAGTGGCGTCTGAGTTCGAGTCTGAGTCAGTTTGGCGGCCGTGGGATTGGAACTAATTACCACGAGTGGGAGAGCTGGAATCCTAACAGTTCAGTGCGGGTGCGGTGAACTATGTACTTGTACCTACTACTTGTAGTAGTAATTAGCCTGAGTGAAACTTGCAAAATTGCTGAGTCGTAGTATGGCTAATAAGGAGGTAGATATCTCCATGGTTGGCAAGATGGCGGATTCGCCCCGATCAAACATCTCATCTGCCGCCTCGTTGATGCACCCCTGAGTCTTCGAGGCTTTTCTATAATAGTATTGCATTTTCGAGTTCCCCTGGCCACCGGACAGGCGTGTGTCTGCATGGAATGTCCGGATATGAAGGGCTAACTCCGTTATCTCCATTGGTCCCAAACCTTAAAATATTTGCATGCACTGGGAACTGTACAAGGATATTTTTGTAGGGCACTGAAGTTGCACCAGAGTTCCGCGCACAACATGGCCCCTCCGACACAAAGACGATACACAAACAACCGAAAGCGACGAGGACCGCGAGAGGTGGGCGGAGCCAAGACAGGCGACGGTCTGACGCGTATCATGAAGCGAATCAGAGACCTGGAGCGGGTGCTCAAGCGGCCGGTTCCTATGGACGAGCAGAAGCGAATCGAGCTGGAGCGGGCGGTGGCGGCGTACAAGGTGCAGGCCGAGGACATTATTGGCGACCGAAAGAACAAGAAGAACGTTGAAAAGTACCGGATGATTAGGTTCTTTGAGCGGCAAAAGGCGTCGCGAAAGGTCAAGCAGGCTCGCAAGCTGGTGGAGCAGGCCGATTCGGATGCCAAGAAGAAGGACGCCGAGGCTCTGGTGGTCAAGTACATGGCCGACCTGGCCTACACGATCCATTTCCCCAACGACATCAAGTACATTTCTCTGTATCCCAATGGTGCTGTGGATGAGACTGCCGAGTCGTCCAAGCAGCGTGAGAAGATGCGGGCGGAGTTTGCCGAGCAGATCAAAAACGGCGAGCTGGACGTGGATCTCGAGCGGGCCGAGCAGGTTGCCACCACCAAGAAGAGCAAGAAGAAGCGTGAGGCTGGCGCCGATGAGGAGGTCAAGGGGGACGACGAGGACGACGAGTTTTTGGAAAAGGCCCCCAAGAAGGCCAAGGTTGAGGAGGAGGAGAGTGATGATGATGAAGAAGATGAAGAAGACGACGACGACGACGACGACAGCGACGACGATGACTCTGATGACTCTGGGGAGCCCCAGATGGAGATTAAGAGAACTGCTGACGAGAAGCAGACAAAGGAGGAGGAGTCTGACTCCGAGGAGTTTGTCGACGAGTCTGAGGCCGAGTCTGAGGGAAAGCCCGAGTCTGAGGAGAACTCAGAGGACCAGGATGACGAGTCCGAGTAGGATATGGATATAGATTTCTAACATGTTTCATTATATACCGCGTGGAGGGTAGGGGTGTTGGTTAGATAGTCTGGCAAAGGTGTGGATATGCAGGTAGGAGGAGACCGTATCTCATCGAGAGAGTGTTTGTTTGTGTGCGTAGGCAACGTGTTATCCCTGCTTGGATGTGGTATGGGGACATGATTGTTTTATTGGTAGACTGTACTGTGCTAGACAGAGTCGAGTGTGTCTCTCATGGCTTGTTAGGGTCTTCAGCAGGACTCGATTTCCATTTCATATTGAATTCTATATCTCTGGCATGGCGGTACAGGCGCTGTACTAGTACTGGTGCCGCCTCTCCTTGCGTCTGTCGTTCAGGTGCATTTGTACACGATATTGTTGTATTTAGTTGGAAGAGGGTCAATTTGTTGAGGTATTATGAAAGAGCATCAATTTGTTAATACATTACGTCAGACATTTCAATCGTTCACTATTACGTGTAGGTGTTAGTTGACCAGATCCCCCGAGTCTAAGTGCAGTATAAGTATAGTGACAGTGTGTCACTGGAAGTGCGGTATACAAGTATACGGTGAAGAACTAGTGTATCCTGCCGTGTGGTATGTTAGGTAACCCAGATTCTTGTAGTGGTACTCATAACTACCCATTCTTCAATCAACCACCTTTACACCTGGTAAATGATTTACATATGTCTCCCTTTCTTCTCGTTTAATTTTTTGACAAACTCAAACAACGTGCATTTCAGACGCGTCTTTGATACACCTCTGCAGTTGTTTTTTACGGCCAAACGCGTCTTCGGGGACCGATACACGTGATCTGACAGCATCTAGTGTTGTCCAAACAGTGTAGCGACGCTCCAGGACCGGATTGGACACTTTGATATGTGAAACCCGATCAGTATGACCCAGATCTAGGCCAAAACAGCGAAGATACGTGGTTTTTTGCGGGTTTTCGCGGGTTTTCTCTCCCACATTTCACATTGCAGTACCCACGTTTTCCTTCTTTCCAGCGAATTGCCTTCGTGGCCAAGTGGTAAGGCGCAGCACTAGTAATGCTGAGATCATCAGTTCAAATCTGGTCGAAGGCACTCCTTCGGTTGCGGCCATATCCTGGTGAAAATACGGCTTCCCGTTCGATCAGCCATAGTCAAGCACCAGAGAGCCTAGTTAGTATTGTAGTGGGAGACCATACGAGAATCCTAGGTGCTGCAATCTTTTTGCCCACGAGCGTAGTTATCGGGCTGTTTTTGCCATGTGTTCTTGCCCATGTGTTTTTGCCATGTGTTCTTTTTTTAATATTTTTTTAATATTTTGTTTATATTTTTATATTTTTATATTTTTATAATTTCAATTTTTGTTCTTGGCCATATGTTTCGTGCCTTGTGCCAACTTAGCAGGTCTACCCTCGCCCTTACTAAATGGTGCGCAATGAGACGGCAAACAGTAGAAACCGGTCCAAACTACATCCATCTTCCGCTTCCTGAACTCCTCGGTCTTCCCCAGTTCATAACCAAACCCTACCAAGTCCTCTCATGACGCGTAGCGAAACCCATATACCACAAGAAACACGCAATTGTCCCGGAACTTCTGTTTCTGCCATCTGACTACAAGTAGTCTTGGAACGTGGTTCGCGGAACATGCCGAACCGAGGCTCCAGACGAGTAAATCCTGGTCAATGCCTCGGCTGGCATTGTCACTGGACAACTTCAAAATGATCCAACGAACCTCTAACAAACCTCTACCGAACCTCTACCGAACCTCTACGAACCCCTTCCGTCTCAGCTGTTAGATATGGAATGAATGGAGATGGATCTATGACTATGAGAGTACTGTATGCAGAACAGTCAGAGATAAACAGTAAGAGAGACATAGATAACCCATTACCGTGTCCGACTCTAATATTCCCAAGGCCATCTCTTCTCACCCCCATGGTGAACCTCAGTGTCCTTCTAAAGGTACAGTACTCTCGATGCCTTGGCTACGGAGGCTACTCTGAGCTCTCCTACAGTCTTGACTAGGAGTCCCTTGGTACGCTCTGAGCAATTATATCTGCAAGAGCTGCTCATTCAACAGTGTCGGCCGTTATTCGACATTGTGGGCTTACCGGCCTTCCATTCATTGCTCCATCGCACCTTCGTTGGTTAAGAACATGGATCACGTGCCCCAAAGTGATTATGTAACGGATAAAAACGTTAAAGAGCTGTACCGATACAAGCTCTCTTCGAACCAGCGACCCGACACAGCGGCGTCGGCAAGTCTGTTGCTGACTAACAGTTACTAGCAAAAACGTTTAAATATACTAAATAAATGAAATTTATGTACCCGTACCGCTACTTGTACAGCCACTGCGCTTTTCTCTAACGTTCTACAGTATTTTGTACTTCAGTCTGTTGCATGGTCCGATTTAGCGCCACTAAAAATAATATATCCAAAACCTTAATCCTTATCAACAAAGAGATAAGCTGTAGGGTGGAAAAAATTCTTTGTTTTGTTTTTGTTTTTTAATTTTTTAATTTTTCATTATATTTTTGACAGCTATCTCCGAAGGTCCTTTTTGATATCAAAATGATGGCAAATTTCTCCGGAGTTACAATCTACTGCTACGAGCTTTGTACTCAGAGTTACACATCTACCGCTACGGCCACTGTACTCTTACTCATACTTTCACTGGTCTCATCAATCAATCAATCTCTTCTATGTCTATGTCTATAAATATGGTTCACCAAGCTGTTTAGCAGAAGTCAAAGTCGGGGAATCCGAGGTCAACACCCCACTTGGGCTTGGAGGTTCGGTGGATACCCTCGGTCTTGTGGAGGTCGTTCAGAGCCTTGAGGTCCTCCTGGGACAGGGTGACGGCGGACTTTCCGTTCTCGACGATTCGAGAGTTGGTGACAGACTTGGGGATGACCACGGTGCCGTTACCAATGTGGTAGGAGGTGAGGATTCCTCCGGGAGAGGTGTTGTACTTGTCGGCCAGAGAGACGACGAGCTCGTTCTTGAGCAGAGGGCCACCGACAGAGCCAAAGGGAGAGAAGGCGGTCATGACAATGTTGTTCTTCTTGCAGAATTCCATGAGCTCGAGCTGGGGCAGCAGAGGGTGGAGCTCGACCTGGTTGACGGCGGGGACAACCTCGGCCTCCTTGAGCAGCTCCTCGAGGTAAGGGATGGAGAAGTTGGAGACACCGATAGACTTGGTCTTGCCGGTCTTCAGAACAGCCTCCATCTGCTTCCAGGTCTTGGGCTGGGAGCCGGACTCGTCAATGTCTCGAGAGCCATCGGGTCGCAGGGGGTAGACGGGGTCGTTACCGTTAGGGTTGAGGGGAACGGGCCAGTGGATGAGGAGCATGTCGACGTAGTCAAGACCCAGTCGCTCCAGAGACATGTCGAGGTTCTCCTCGACTCGGTCGTGGTAGGTGACCCAGATCTTGGTGGTGACGAAGATGTCTTCTCGCTTGACACCCTTCTCCATGGCTCGCTTGATTCCGAGTCCGACGGCGTCTTCGTTTCGGTAGTTGAAGGCGGTGTCAATGTGTCGGTAGCCTCCCTCGGTGAGGGCGCACTCGACGGCGCCAGCCACCTCCTCGGTGGTGGACTTCCAGGTTCCAAGACCGATGGCAGGGATGGTCTTGCCGTTGTTGAGAGTAAAGTCGAGAGAAGTCATTGTGTGTTTGTGGGTGATCTGGATGTGTTGTTTGATGGGGATTTTGGACAGGATTCGCCCCCGTTTATATACTGACCGGAACATGGTCTTGCTCGGATTCGGACTACGGTTTGTGACGTCATGATTCCCATCTGGTCAGGGTGTATAGTGTTTGAGAATGCAGCATTGGAGGCATATTGGAGGTAGAGCGACAGAGTTTGGAGAGTTTTGGGAGACGGACGGCGTTCATTTTTGTCCGACAGGGCCCTGGTGGTCATTTATGTCCCTCAACCATATCGGACTGTGTGTGCTTTTTCCCGACCAGTAGCAATCGTCTAGGTGAGACTAGGCCGGTTGGCGATGAGGTGTAGCTACCGCTTGAGTCAGATTGGTTTCCGGGGCGTTTTTTTTGGCAACAATCTCCTTCTGACGCACACTTGTTGGTTCTCCGTATCAATGCCAAAAGTGGGCACCGGACCAGTGTTTGAAAAAGACTCTTTGGTGGCCGCTCTTTTTGCCGCTCTCTCTCCTATTCCCGTGGCAACGCCACGCTTGGGCCCGCTCTCCCACCCCTTCGTCTGCTGGTGTTATCTGATAGCCGAATCATACGGTTTACCTTTAGCAAATGTAAGCACACATGGTGACAAGGGCCAAAAGTGAACGACCAGGGTTGGGTAGGCGAGCTGCTGCCATGGAGCCAGTGTTGCTAACCTACACCGCGTGGATCGGTGTCGGGGATCGGATTGCGCCCCGGGATCAGGCCAATTGGCTTCTTTCACCACGTTTGTGTCCTTGTTTCTGGTTGTGTGCCACTTTTGGCCTCCATGGCGTTCACATTTGGTACGAGGACCGCACCAGTGGGTGTATCGTCTGCTATCTCACATCATATACGCCACTTGTGCGACTTGCATTTGTGCGACTTCTTACAAGTAGTACACGGCCGTGAAAGGGAGCAGTTGGTGACGTCACAAGTGAATGCGTATAAAAATGCGAATAAAATTGCGTATAAAAAATGCGTATAAAAAATGCGTATAAAGTGGCGGCGTTAAAAAGTGAATGCGTATATAATGCTATAACAAATGTATAAAAACATGTTGGGAATAATAGCCAAAGACGCATGGTTTGTGCGGGAGTGTAAAGGGAGCTATTTGCTGTAAGGAGGTCAATAAACCGGGGGCAAAAAGCCACCGTGGGCGGATAATTGAGGCGAAAATCGACAATATTTTCTCATCCAGTTGATCTGCCGCCATAAATCCGCCCCCACTATACCCCTCCATTACCCCTCCACTCAGCCAACCGTTATTATGTCTCATCCACCCCTTGCAGAAACAGTCCCTGCAGATAAAAAAGAACAAGAAAATAAAGAACAAGAAAAAAAAGAACAAGAAAAAGAAAGAAAAAGAGGAAAAAACAGGGAAAAAGAAAGAGAGAAAGAGAGAAAGAGAGAGAGAAAGAAAGAGAGAAAGAGAGAAAGAGAGAAAGAGAGAGAGTGGCTCTGCAAGCTGTTGTCTCGTTATGTTGTCTGTCTTGGGTTACAACACGGACCAAATGCGGAATGAGCAGTGTCTCACAATATGGATGGGAAAAATAAAATAAAAAAAAAACGCGCCAAAAACGCCCGCACCCTTGGCAAGGTCTCAACGAGATATTCAAACACATTGTGAGACCAGATGTGAGACCTTTGGCTTGTGAAAGTGGTGGCGATTATACTCGTACCCGTACTGTACTCGTGTTCGTACTTGCACTAGCACTTGTCATCCACCACGCCCACTTGTTGGCTCCCTTTCCGTATGTCCCTGTTGATTACGTTCCCAGCGCTATAATGTTTACCCTTATCTTTCATCTCTGGCCCGGAAAAAGGGTCCTGAACCCAGCTCCACGCTCCAGTGGCCAAAGTGGCCCGGCGAAGCTGCGAGACAGCCAGTGGATGTGCGCAAGTGTTGCGACCGGCTTCGATTCTACTCCGTGAGGGTTCACTGGCGAACCAAACAGCAACCGAAAGCAAACTAAACTAAACCAAACCACATAAACCAAATAAACCAAATCAAGGCCGAAATCCAGGCCGAAATCCAGGCCGAAATCCAACCAAAATCAAGTCTGAGCAATTGCTGCAAGCATCAGAGGCGTTTTTTCGAAGTTTGGAGTTGTTTGGAGTTCGAGTTATGAGTTTTCGAAGCTTTTGGATGCTCTGAGGGTTCCAAGTTCTGGAGGTTCCGGACAATCGCCTTGTAGATGACAATCGCAAATGACGCAATGTCACCTGGCTCCCATCAACCAGTCCATCTCCTTCCATCTCCTTCCATCTTCTTCCATCTCCTTCCATCTTCTTCCATCTCCTTCCATCTCCTTCCATCTCTCCTTCATCTCCTCCTCCTCCCTGCCTCTCACTGGACCACCTTATCTCGTATCGCCCGCCAACGGCCAGATCCTCCACTCCACCCGTCAACTCTGTAAGAGGGTCAAAGGTGGGCGATGCCAGACCGTTGGATAAAGTGTTGGATAAGGTGCGATAATCCAGGAGAAGTGGACCCAGATTGGAGGCGGAGCCATTGGCCAGCCAGAGTTGGGCAGTGCGCCGTTGATCAATGTAGTATAGAGTCCAACGACGGCTACCAAAGACGGCTACCAAAGAGGCCTTGCCTGAACTCGGTGCAAGGACCCGACCCAATGTTTCAGGTCAGAGGAATGAAGACAGTGCAGATGAAACAGACGGTATCGGAGTGGATGATGACATTAGATGATGGCATTGAATGATGGAGTGGAGTTGTATGATGGACTGTTCTTCACTACTGTATGTACTGTACTTGTAGTACGAATACCAATACAAGACATGGTCTAGGCTATACTTGTACTGCACTGTACTGGTGGAACCCGCACCCATGTTCAGCCATGACGTCACTCATCCCCGTTCACCCACCACCCACCACCATCCGGCCACATCATGTCTCACTTAGCGGCCGTATCCAAATATCTACACCTCCTACCGTGTAACCTTTGTACAGCTCTTGTCAGAGTGGGCCACAATGAACAACAGTGGGCATTGGTCACGGCCTATAACTATCTGTTATGAAGACGGAGAGTGGGCGCCATGAAGATCTTCGGAGAAAGACGGACACTCGTACACCCTCCAAAAGTCAATGAATCAACTAATCAAGTGATTAATCCAACTGCTATACGAGACCAACACACCCTGTCCAGCCACATTCGCAATATTTCCGGATATTTTCGGATATCCGCCAGTATGTACTGTATGTACGGTATTACCAGGAGTACTTGTACAACTATTGGTGATTACCGAGGCAAAAGCAGGTCGAATAATATATACAATACGAGTACGAGCGTCCTCGCATCCTGTCTCTGTCGCCCAGTTGCGCTGTCATTGAATATTACGAATTGTACAGCTCTGTTCTTGTTCTCGTACCGATATCACCCATCGACTGGCTGTGGGTTCCCGTATTCGGTATTATTCATTATGAACCTGGCTAATAACCCACCCTACCAGTACCGGTACCTTCAGCCTAATCCTCCAGTCTACAGTATATCAGCATAAGTCCCGGATGCCAGCAGTACTAATATACATACAATATCATTAATTTACATCCATCCACCCATCCATAGGGCGTGCCGTTTATCGTAGAGGAGTCTGTCGTAGAGGAGTCTGTCGTAGAGGAGTCTGTCGTAAAGGAGTCTGTCGTAAAGGAGTCTGCCGTAAAGGAGTCTGTCGTAGAGGAGCCGGTCTTTGACTCTGACCACGTGACTGATCTCAGTAGACGAATGACTGATCCAACCAGTCCATCTGGAAAACGCGGTCCAGCTTGAATCTGTTCCTCTATCTCCCTCCATCTCCCTCCTACTCATCATCATCACTATCAATAACCCGCCGCTTCTTCACTCCCACCTCCTCTTCATCCTCATCATCCTCATCCAGATCCCTTCGGTTCTTGTACAGCTTTGCGCCGTCCGACTTGAGTTTCTGCAGTCGCTTAGCTCTCTCCTCCTCCTCATCGTCCTCCTCCTCGTCGTCGTCCACCACAAAGTCATCCTCCTCGTAGGCGTTTCGCGACTCGTAGTTGTGCTCCATCTCCTCGTCCTCCGCCATGGCATCGGCCGCCGTCTTGCCGAAATCCTCCTCGGCCTGCCGTCGTTTGCTCTCCAGCTTTCGGCGCGCAGCGTTGGCCATGTTCTCGGCCTTCTCGGCCTCTCGCTGTACCTTGTCGGGGTCATCGGTGGTGTCCCACGACGACACCGCTGCGGACTTGAGCGTTCGCTTGGCCAGCGCCTCTGTAAGCCGCTTGTGGGTGAGCGACTTGGTGGAAGTAGGAACGTAGGAGAAGTTCTCGGACAGAACTCCAGACGTCTGCAGAACCTCCTGCTCGGGGTGTGACAGCGCCAGCGACGTGTCCTCCACGGGCTTTCGAATCACGTCAAATAACTCTTCGCCAAGCTGCAAAGACAGAGACCCGTCGCTCCACTTGACAAACCGCGCGTTAGACTCCTTGGTGACCGTGGACCCGTCTCCTCCCTTGCCGTACTTCCACCGCAGAGTGTTTTCGGCCTGCGTCTTGAGTCGCAGCGACTTGGACGTGTCTGCATCCTTGTTTCCCTCCTCGGCGGATTTCAGGAACTCCGACGAGTCGAACGGATGCGGATCAATCTGCAGAAACGCCGGAACTCGGCTCAGAAACAGCTTCTCGTTGGGCTTGATGGCCGGCGGAAACCGCGGCAGCGCAATCTCCAGCTCCTGCTGCTCAATCTCCTCGAACTCGTCCTCGTTTTCGTCCGCCAGACGCTCAGCTGTAGATCGGGTGTCAGGAGCGTCTCCAAACAGATTGTCGTTCTCGATGTCCGACAGATCCGACTCGGAGTCGTCGGCAGCCACCGTTTTCGATGGCTTGTCGTCCTCATCGTCCTCGTCTTCTTCACCATCATCGTTCTTTTCACCGTCTTCGTTGTCCTCCTTGGCTCCACTCTTGTCGTTTGTATTGTCGTCATCGCCAAAAACGTCGTCCTCGAGAGTCGACGCCTGGGGCACTCCCACGTCCTCCTCCTCATCGGAATCAACAATCACTCGTCGGCCTTTTTTCTCGCTCATGTCCACACTGTGCTGCTCTGTGTTGGAAAACAAAATGTCGATGGAGTAGTGCGATTGCAAAGGTGGGAAAAATAGAGTTCCGAGGTGAAAAATGGAGATGGGGGAGTTGTCAGTGTCCTGAGAGGAATAGAGGTGAAATTGACGACGTAAAATGAATTAAAAAGATGTGAAATATAGATTTATGCTTTTTTCCCGCTCAAAAATACCCCATATTGACGTTTTTGAGATACACTAAATATTACTTGACTTTTACTTGACAGTTAGTTGACAAGAACCAATCGACATTAGTCAGCTCGTATGACCTGTACCCGTACCAATAAAAACCAAAGCCCAATTCCAACCTTCTCAGGTTTGTCGTTCATGGAAAAACGTCTGTCTGGAGCTGATCACGTGACGCCCTCCCCCTCTCGCACTAGACATCATCTCCATCTCATTAGACCATTAAGACAGGCTAATGAAGCCTCCCGCAAAGTAAAACACATGGCGGTCATGGAGACGGTCCGCGCCGTCCGCAAATGGGCTAGGTCACGTGACTGGAACCCCCCGGGGCACCACCATTATTATTCCCTTTACTGTCTTCATGTGCTCACTTGTCTGTGATTTCTACACAATTTTTCTTCTTCATTTTACATCCCAAATTGTCAAATTAATCTACTTTTTTATATTTTCAATACATTTAATTTACGCACAACAACGCTAATAATAGCTACTACTAGGGCTAGATTGTGGACAGAATGTTGAGTGGAGTGACTAATCAAATGACGTGTCACGTGATCCAGAACCGCCGCAGCGCTGCGCTCCCGAGATGAGTCATTGGACCAGAATGACGTGGGCACGTGACCTCCCATCCACGGTCGTCTCTTTGCTTCTTCCCTTCACCAGTCGACTGCGGTTCATCCTCTTCATCACACACACAGTTCATATTAGCTGCGTGCATGCTACATGCATCTGTCCATCCACGCCACACTCTACACAGAATGGAATTCCAGTACTCGATAGTGGCGGACAAAAAGCTGCTCAAGCCGCTGGCCGAGGGTGAGTGATCACGTGTGACTGTCTGACAAAGCGCCACCTACTAACACAGCGCTTCTTTCTTCGATTCTTTTCCATCGGTTGTTCGGGTCGGTGACTCCAGACTCGCGCGAGCTGCTCAACATCACATATCCGCACCCGTTGCTGGGCACGGCCAAGGAGAACCAGGAGCTGGCGCAGTTGCTGGACGAAAACGCATCGTTGCTGTCCAGGTCGCTGGAGAACGGCGAGCGCGCCGACCTGGAGCTTCCCACGTGCCCAGCAGAGCTGCCCCAAGCCAAACAGACTGAGGTGGCACCGGTGGGCTCGGTACCGGGGGTGGTGGTTGGAGAGACGGACATGACGGTGCAGTTTTTCGAAAAACGGACAAAAAAAAGCACCTGGTTTGGCAAAAACGACGACAAGCTGTGGGAGCAATGGAGAGTGCGCATCCAGGCCGTGACCTGTCGCAGTGATGTGGAGACGGAAAAGATGCGGGGTCTGGTCCAGCAACAGCTGCAGAGCATTCTCATGGCCATGGCAGCTGACGTGAACGCCAACAAGGATCATATTCCGCCCATCACCACGGTTGAGACTAGTCCGTTCCCTTACAAGGTCGTTGTGAGTAAAGGCAGTTGAGGGGAGCTTGACTGAGAGTACTGATTGAGAGTATCCGTGGCTGCGCTCTCCATGTTCCATGGCTATCCCGCGCTTATTGAACTTGCTTGGCTATTCAACTACAATACCAATACAGCCATGCTCTAAATCTCATAGCTAGGTTATCGAGATAGGATGTCGACACAGGATATCGACAGGATAACGACAGGATAACGACTGGATAACGACTGGATAACGACGGGATAACGACAGGATAACAACAGGATAACGACAGGATAACGACAGGATACCGACAGGATAACGACAGGATAACGACAGGATATCGACACAATGGGCATAATACGACAACCTGATACGACAACAACCAGCCCCGTCACAAGCACCGGTTTTGCATAACAGAGCATGATTTATTTAATGGATGATAGACGGGCTGCCGAAATGCCGAATTGCCGAACAATTATCAAAGTAGTTAATGTATTAGTGTATGGTAGCGGTGTAGTGTTGGCATGGTTGCTTGGCTGGACAGTGTAGCTCAAAAATGAAATCTGTTAGCGTATGCATTTGTTATTTGACGTTACTAGGTCACGTGGTTTATATCTTCTTTCTTTCTTTCTCTCTCGCTGGTCACGTTACTTGTCACGTGACCACTTGTAGGCCACTCCAGACGACTCTACTGTAGGTCTGGCACCGTGGGTCTTCACACGGTATATATAAATGACTGAAGGATGATGATGATGATGATGCTCGTGTCAACTAGCTGGGTATCAAGTGACCAACATCCACTTTCGCCTTCCCTTCTACTCCAAACCAGTGGTGCTAGACTTGGTGATATGGGAGGGGCACAGGAAAAAGACGGCCAGGACTAGATAGCCCACGAGGGTCACGTGGGGCCATCCGAGCACCGACAGCCGGGGCGATCTGATTTTGGCAATGCCATCTTCGCAGCTGTGTACAAACGCCACCTGGCCGGCGCTCTTCCCGCATCTTTCAATCACCTTGTCGTAGTGGGCATCATAGTGGTTTCGGACTATGATCTGTCGCAGCTGGTAGTGTCTGTAGGTCCAGGTGAGGGTCGCGGCGAGATTGAGAGCCAGTCCGAGGTAGCAGAGTGGCAGCAGTATCGACGATACCGGAGCCGAGGTTGGTCGGGCGGATCGTGTGAGTTCTGGAAGCGTAGCAAATAACGCAGCCGAAAGTAGCAGAGGGGTGGTGGCAGAGTAGACGCCAAAAGTCGGGTGTTTGATGGCTTCATGGAGTGAGAAGCCGTTGAGCAGCACAAACACGGGCGCCAGTACCGCAAAAACGTAACATGCAATCGACATTGTAAATTTCTTGTTGTTACGCCGTCACTAGCACAGGAGTTGCAACTTGGCGATGTTTGGCTTCTTCCCAAACCAGCCAGCAAGATTTGGACGGAAATCTTACACGAAAGAGGGGGGGAGGGGGAGTCATGTGGTAAGGCATAGGATGGAAGTTTGGTGGTAGTCGAAGAGGGTCACATGACCAACCGTTATATACGTGTTCTTGAACTTCCCGGCTCCTTTTGTTTGTTCTCTTGTGCACTGTATGTATGTATGTATAACGTGTGCTCGTATTCGCTAGTCCGAGAAAATCGCTAGCGAATACGAGATAAAAAATGCAGTGCACACAGGTGACAATCTAGCGTCTTTTTACCAAGGGTGACGGAATGTGGCAAGTGGCAGCGTCTTTTTTTGCGGGTCGTGTAGTATCATCAGATATAGTATAAGAACCGCTAAGATCGTTCTACATCTAACGTCTTTTCATTTCCAGTCGGTTTCCAGTCATGCCGACGCAGCAGCACTCAATCGGTTCCCAATCATGCCTGTCATTGCGTCGATTAAGTACTGGACAGGATCATCAGAGACAGTTCAGGGTTTTTGAGGACTCCTTCCAGTGCGTAGCTGTAGTATCTCAGTCAAGTCTACCGAATTTGAACCCTACACTGTCGCGTTCAGATGGCTCCACGAATACTCCAAGGCTGCTGAGCCGATACTCCTCCAAGAGTCAACTTCCCCAAGGAATCAGAATAACCCCTAGAATGTGAGATGCAAGTAAATAATGTGTGTTACATATGATTTAACCCTGATAACATCTACACTAGAAGTAGTTAACTCGATACAGGCTCACCTTCTCTCCAGCGCCTGTCGGCAATAAACATTACTTATAATCAACTATCCTAATTGAAAGCCTTCTTAACTGTGAGATAGAACTCCCGGCCCTGGATCTGAGCAACATCGAGCTCCAGAGCAGAGGGTTGACGCGAAGCATCGGGACCCGCAAAAGTACCTGCTCCCCAGGGAGAGCCTCCGTGGACCTCATCGAGATTGGTCACTTGGGTAAAGGTATGTTTGTAACCCAGGGGCACGTAGATGATGCCATGATGGGCCAGGGTGGACATGGCGTTAAGGGCGGTGACTTCCTGTCCTCCGCCGGGGGTTCCGGTGGAGACAAACAGGCCAGCGTACTTGCCATGAAGGGCTCTCTGGGCCCAAAGACCCATAGTATAGTCCCAGAAGGCTCTCCATTGGGTAGGAAAGGTTCCAAATCGGGTAGGGATGCCAAACAGGAAGGCATCGTATTCTTGTAGGACTTGGTTGGTCGCAATGGGATCGCCGGATTTGGGGGGAGCTCCCATCTTGGTCAGAACCTCTTCAGTGAGAGTCTCGGGGACCTGGAAGAGGTCGGCTTGTCCTCCAGCCTCGACAATGGCCTTTTGCATGGCCACAGCCAGCTGTCGGATATGACCGTACAGGGAGTAGTAGATGATTGCGATTCGGGGTCCGGTCATTTAGTGCAAAGTGTCTAGGGTGGGTTGAGAGTGGAATGGCAATACCTCGTGGGGTCCAATCGTCTTATATAATTTCTTTTACGAAGCAGAAACCACGTATTGTGCTTCTCTCCCCGTTCCCATTCCCCAAAGCAGTAGTGGCAGCCTCTTCATTTCTAATCTCATCGTGCATTAAGTCCGGCTTGGGGAGTTGAGATGCTCCGTATTCGCTTGTCGAAAAAGATTAATTACTAATTACGCGAGGGCTTAATTAGAGAACCAAAAGGGGCCCAGTACGTGTGTGTTGCGGCGATTATTCCGCCATTTTGACGGCGGAATCTCAAAGAGGGGGTTTAAAAGGGCTGATTTATTTTTTTGTGATTTTATTGACAGGAGGAGAATGTACTGGTAGCGACTGTACATACTCATATGCGTACAGTACTCGTACTCGTTCCATAGGAAACGTCGTAGCAACTGAGCTGTAACATGTGACTCAACAACAAGGGTCCTCCAACCAGGACATCAATAAATCAATAGGTCCACCATCTATGAAGTTAATGGACCAGCTGTACTATACGATGATACTGTACGATGATTGCGCAAGCATGGTGAATGGGAAACTGCAGCAAGAAAGCTACAGGAAAGTTCCATCTCGGGCTGCAAAGTAGTGTCACATCTTATTTCTTCCTTCTTTTGTATTGAACCTTCTGTATGATTGGTAATAATAGATGCTGCGCCCGAGCTTGGAGGCCTTCCCAAGACGTTTGGCGTTTGATGGGCGTTTTATGGGCGTTTTATGGCGTTTGGTGGGAGTGTGGTGGACGTTTGATGGACGTTTGATGGGCGTTTGGTGGAAGTTTTCATAGATGCTCATCGAAGAATCCATCGTGAGGGATTTCCAGGTTCAATCAATGGACGAGATCGACTCCAACATACACCGATGAAGCAGCTCATAGTTCGACGGCTGCCTGGAAGTATAGACAAACTCAGTCTAAAGCAGGTCTGCTATGGTTCGACACAGATTACAGGCACAATCGAAGCTAACGCCGTTCCATACCCCTGCGGAGACCCTTCTTTACGCTAACGCCGTTCGATTCTCCGCTGAGATGAAGGGCTTGGTAAGCATGGCGTTGGAGTGCTTGGTCATCTTTTCTGTCAAACAGCAAAGGCCGTGCGTGGCACCTGGTGATGCCAAGTAGTCATCCCCCACAAACAACCGGCCCTCCATCATTGGTACAGTTCCGCTTGTGTGTGGAACTACGGCTGTGTACACTATTATAGCACAATCTTCAACTAACAGAATCACAGAGTGTACTATCCACTCAATAGGAACTCCTCATGACTCCAGAGAAAGGTCGAATGACGAAGCTGATCGAATCGGAAACACTTAGGTCTCCAACAAAGACTTTTGTGGAAACTACTCGGCACTAAATTGGACATGACTTTCGACCAATGCTCTTTTGCCAGACGAGCATCTGTAATACAGTACTTATCATACAACTTCTGATAGAGAGGAAACCCTGAGAAAAGGAGTTCAGAATCGGATTCTCCCATGCAGAATCAATGTTCTGGCCTATTTTCAGATCCCTCAGCTGAAATTTGCCGATTCTAAAGAGTCCTAAGCAGCGGAAGAGAAGTTAGCCCTAGTGACTATAATGAGCCCAGATGAACACAGCATCAACGAGAAGACATGACTACTAAACCCATCTACTTTGAGAGAGTCGAGTCGTCGACATTCCTGCCCGTTGAACACCCTGAAGATGAAGAAGGGGAAGACATTGATCACCGATATCGTACCCATATCTCCTTCAATATACCACAATAACACGAGATGTGTCCAGATGAATGAATTGCTACGAGACTCTGAACTCTCGTCTCAGACTCTGTCTCAGGGTAGTTAATTGTTGCTACTACTCATAATACCTACTGTAGTGCGGTTTTGACCATGAATCTTCTACTCAGTCACTCCATCTACAGCACAACATACACTACAATATACACGTGTGTCATTTCAGCGCATGACAAACTATGCTACGCATAGTCGCCAGGCAATAAATCATTACAACATACTCGTATCCTAGTTGAAGGCCTTCTTGACAGTGAGATAGAACTCTCGGCCCTGGATCTGGGCAACCTCGAGCTCCAGGGGAGTGGGCTGTCGGGAGCCGTCAGGACCAGCAAAGGTGCCGGCTCCCCAGGGAGAGCCTCCGTGGACCTCCTCGAGGTTGGTCACCTGGGCAAAGGTGTTCTTGTAGCCCAGAGGCACGTAGATGATTCCGTGGTGGGCGAGGGTGGAGAGAGAGTTGAGGGCGGTGACCTCCTGTCCTCCGCCGGGGGTTCCGGTGGAGACAAAGACGCCGGCGTACTTGCCCTGGAGCGAGCCCTTGGCCCAGAGGCCTCCGGTTCGGTCCCAGAAGGCCTTCCACTGGGCGGGGAAGTTTCCGAATCGGGTGGGGATGCCAAACAGGAAGGCGTCGTACTCCTCCAGGGTGGCGGTGGAGGCAACGGGGTCCTCGGACTTGGGGGGAGCGCCCATCTTGGCGAGCACCTCCTCGGGGAGAGTCTCGGGGACCTGGAACAGGTCGGCGTGTCCTCCGGCCTCGACAATGGCCTTCTGCATAGCAACTGCCAGCTGTCGGATGTGACCGTACATGGAGTAGTAGACGATTGCGATTCGGGGTCCGGCCATTTTGTCTTTTGTGTTGGTGTTTGTGTTTAGTGGTTGTGGAGTTAGTGTGGTGTGTGGGGTGCAAACCGGAGTGGGCAGCGGGCTCTTATATAGTCTCTGGCAGCGACGGTGGGTTAAACTCGATGGTTGTACCAGAGTGCAGTGTCAAGGATTAGCATACATGTGAGCTGCGGAGTCAGAGCTGAGTGACGAAGGCGGGGGCCAGCCGCGGGGGGATAGGCCAAAGGCGGGTTAGGACCGATCCAAGGGGATTTTGACAACGGAAATGTCATCAAAATACCTCAATTGGCCCTATAACGGCTTTTTTGCGCCCGAAATATAAGTATTTGGGCCCCATTGAGCCCCCTCAACATTCGCCTTCCAACGGCTTCCTCGCTAATTTAAACTTCATTACAAACAGATTAGTCGACACCAAGAAACCCATAACCCCGGTTTGTCACTGTTGACACACGAAAACGGGGCTAAATCTCGTATCCGCCGTTTGACAGGCGTCTCGATCTTGCACGTGATCCCCGCTTAGCACCCTAGATCGGCTTAATAAGCCCTCAATCGCTCTGAACAACCTCGATGGCCCTGTATCATAAATGGCAACATTAATGCGATTAATGCAGACGCTTGCCGCATCTGTCCCGATTTGGCATACCCTAATATCACGTGTCTCATTTGCTCTCAACCTGCTTAGTCATATAGTGTGGTAGAGTCGAGTCGTCGCGTCGAGTTGAGTAGAGTTGCATAGAGTCGAGTACGAGTACAAGTATATACAGTAGATGACAGCGCTGCGAGATGGCAGAATATTTAGTCATAACCTGTATGGGATAGGTATGGGTTGGCTCTAGTTATATATTTTATTATCATTAATAATACACCAAATAGGCACGGTATACTTAACTACTGTACATACGGTACAAGTAGGACTGGTGATAAATACACTAATAAATTAGTTGGTGGAAATGCAGTCAAGTACAGTCAAGTACAGTCAAGTAAAGTCAAGTAAAGTCAAGTAAAGTCAAGTAAAGTCAAGTAAAGTCAAGTAAAGTCAAGTAAAGTCAAGTAAAGTCAAGAACAGTCAAGAACAGTCAAGAACAGTCAAGAACAGTCAAGAACAGTCAAGAACAGTCAAGTAAAGTACACACGATACTTGAAGACGGCGTATCGTCAGTGATTAATCAGCACATTGAGTCCAACCACCCCAACTACTTGCATCTAACCAATGGGCCTTAGAGCGAGGATATCCCTGTCTTCGGACCGTTTCTCGCTCACAAGTCCGATAAATTATCGTCAGTAAAACGGAGTAAAAGACGAGAATGTAGACGACGAAGGCGTTGAAGCTGGTCATTGGTGGCTACAAGATGTGTGGATAAGTCTTAGTAATGACATGGACTTTCACTGGCTTTTATACATCTGCCATACTACTTGTAGCTACTGTAGTTGAATTATGAATTATGGGGGATTTTTTTTTGGTTTTGGTTTTGGTTTTGGTTTGAGTTATGGGCTGAGTTTAGGGACTTTGGGGCGACATCAGATGGACAACTTTGGGGCTCTTTGGGGGCTGATTTTCCCACAGGAGGCAACTCAGGACAAGTTATCATCCATGTATATTTTATTGTTGTTTTTTTCCCCCTCATTTCCCCCCTTTTTTCCGCATTTTTCCGCATTTTTCCGCATATATCTGCATTTTTCACTCAAGGCCCCACTCAGATAGGGTTGGTATCTCTGCCACCATTTTGCACACCGGCCCGACGCCGTTGTCGTATATTTTCCCGCCACCAGGACTTGATGTCTAGATATCCCGGTTACACAAAAACACATGAGCGACCAAGAGATTCGACAGGCTCTCTTGAGAGAAGCCAACCCGGCCAGCCGGCTGAGCCATGGACATTCACTCACCCGGGGCTCCCGCGACAGTGGCCCCAGAAACCGACCCAACCGGCACTTTCTGACGCGGGTCGTGGCCGGCGTGGACTCGCACAACGGCCATTTGAAGCGTCAGGAGCGCGAGCGAGCCACCAGGAAGTTTGAGATCCTCGACCGGTTCATCAAAGAGGAGTTGGAGCGTGATGAGAACAGGCACACATGCGACAGAGATCACAGAGATAGAGACTACAGAGACAGAGACTACAGAGATAGAGACTACAGAGATAGAGACTACAGAGATAGAGACTACAGAGACCGGGACTACCGAGACAGATACACAGGTTCCAGGGACGGAAGTGTGTCGAGCACGGGCTCACGGACCGGTCGGGTGACTCGTTTCGATATGCGACCGCCTCCGGAAAAGTTGAAGGAGATCCAGCCCAGCACCTCTTCCACACACAATGTCAAGTTTTCTTCGGTGGTGGACAAGATTGTGCGCCACCACAAGGACCAGGCGGAAGCCCGCAACAAGATCTACGCCCTCACGTCAATCTACAACCAGGGCCACGACCAGGCGGCGGCAGGGTTGTCGATTTCCGGGCTTTCTGGAGCCGAACAGGTGGGAACGGGATACGACGAGGATGAGGACTACGATAAGCAGTCTGTGACCAAGCGAAGGAAGAAAAGGAGACGGGCTGACGTGAACCGAGACGAAAGTGATGGGGCGGATGGAGACAGAGAGGACGACACCCGGCCAGGGAGGAGCAGGGAGAGGTCTAGAGAAAGGGGGTACTCAGAGAGGAGGTCCTCAGAGAGGAGGTCCTCAGAGAGTAGGCGCAGTCGGGACAGGTCTCGCGAGAACAACCACAGATCCAGGTCGCCTCGATATTAACAAACGTGGAACATGGTCTAGTAGAAACGTGTGAAACACCTATTTATAGTAACGGATTGGGTAATTTTTAGAGGCAGTAGTAGTAAAGGTGGTTGGGCGGCAAGTTATGGGCGATGCCAGATGAATCAGAAAGTCACGGCGATATGTTGGTGCAAGAATTATCAAAGAACAAGTATGAGATGATCTGATGGACCATTAGATGATCCTAAGTAATGAGTCTACAAATACATATATTTTATTTCACGAGAATGCCACGCGAGCGTCGAGCGTCGAGCGTCGAGCGTCGAACGTCAAACGTCTACTTTCGAACGTCTAGTTCAAACCTCTACTTGTAGCTTCAAACGTCTAGTTTCAAACGTCAACTTTCGAACGGCTTGTTGTCCACTCGTGACCTTCGGCCACTAGTTTCCAAATCCGTTAACCCATGAGCCGGTTGCTGTAAGCCATGGGCTTGACATCGGGATGAGGTTGGGCATCAAAGACGTTAAACTGCATCTCCAGATCATGTCCAATGTTGATGTAGGCGCCCTTGTTGCCCTGGGAATCGCAGTAGTTGGGGGCCGAGAAGACCGTCACCAGCTTGCCGTTATGCTCCACCTCGTAGCCTCCCATTCGCACCTCGTGGGATCGCAGAACTCCCTTCAGCCCGTTCTCCTTGCAGAAGGCCTCGGTCACGTCGGGTCCGAAACGGATACCCACTCCTCTCTGGGACGGCGACCGGCCGTTTTCGGGCTGCGGGTCGGTCCACAGCATCTCCATCATAAGACCGGAGTTGCCAGGCTGTTTTCGCGAAAATCGTGAGTATGCTCGAATGTCGTCCAGAGTGACGCCGTCCTTGGAGAAGAGACCGCCATGAACAACAAAGTAGGCGCCTCCAATGAGATGGGCCAGAGGCAGAGCCGAAAAGGACTCTGAAAAGAGCTTGAAGGTCCGTTCGTTGTATTTATGCTTGATTTCGCCCTCAAAGCCGTAGACGGCGTTCATGTCGTCAGTCTCGTGGTTGCCCCGGTTCAGGTAGATGAACGACGGGTTCAGCAGCTTGAGAGCGTACAGCAGAATGGCAATTTCTGCCGACCACGACCCTCGGTCCACAAAGTCGCCGTTGAACACATATCTGTGGGTGGCGGAAGGCCAGCCGTTGAGCTTGAAAATTTCCAGCAGATCAAAGAACTGCCCGTGGGTGTCTCCGCACACGGTGGTGGTGGTTCCCTCGGGAACGGGAGTCTCGACCATGGTGGGCTCCTCCTTGAACAGCTTGATGGCGCCGACCACAATGGCGTAGACGTATCTGAGATGCAGCAGTTTGCCGTTTTTGAACCGCTCGACCAGATCGTCGATGAACTTTTGCGTCACCGTGAAGACGGGCTTGTCATTTTCGTCGTATCCGTCGTCGATTTTAACTCCGTCGTAATTGTTGTCGATCTTGACCACGTCCAGGTCGATCTGCTCGGACAGAGCCGGGCCCTCCTCCACAGCGATGGCCAGCGCAAACGCGGCCTTTCGAACGAGCTTCTGGCACTCGTTGAGTCGCTGTTTGGCCGCATTATCGCCCGGAGCCAGCTGAACAACCTTCTTGAAGTCCACCAGGGCGTCCTTGTGCTTGATGATGGCGGTGTTGGACACAGCCCGACGAAAATAAGCCTTGATGTAGGTAGGATCCAGTTCGATGGCCTTGGACGAGTCCTCGATAGCCACACCGTACGCCTCGTTCTTGATGTGGGCCTGGGCCCGGTTGGCATAGTAGACGGCAGACTGGGGGTTCAGCTCGATGGCCTGCGTGTACAGATCCACGGCGTCGTTGTAGTGGCCCGAAAGCAGGGCTTTGTTGCCTTGGTTCTTGAGATCTTCCGCGGACATTTCGGGGCGGGGCGGGCACTGGTGGTGGACTGTGGGGGAGCTGAATCGCGAATGTTGGTGTCTTTGATTTTCCACTCAACTTTATTTGTTCCAGCACGTAAACAGAGGCCGATCCGACCGCACTTTGCGGGGACGTAAACGGAGGTTTGAAATCAGAAAGGGACAAAAATCGACTCTACAAAGATTCTGGAGGTGTTTCCAAGTCCAATATCGCCTTTGCAACCGCTTCTACAGGACCCTTGTCGCTTATCAGATGGAGATCAAAACTCCACTCTACTTGGGACGTTAGTTGAACTGATGAAGTAAAGCTAATGGGGAAAGAAAGGTCTGTAGAATAGCCAGTTTTGATGCCCCGGTTTCGATTTTTTGGACGGAAGCGCAGACGATTGAGATAAATAGCTGATATTCACCCCAAACCATCAAATACTTTCCCCGTACACTTGAGCACTTGGTAAAAAAACATAAAAAAACATACAAAAAATTTACTGAGGTACACGGAACCTTAACATATTTAAATTCGCCATACAATATTGTCCTGAAACATTGAAAAATGGAAACATTGAAAAATGGAAACATTGAAACATGGAAACATGGAAACATGGAAACATGGAAACATGGAAACCTGGAAACATGGAAACCTGGAAACATGGAAACATGGAAACATTCTCTTTCTGAACTGCGGTCTACTGGAGACAGAAACAATACCACAAAAACGAGCACAACCAATGCACTTCCAGCCCCTCACAAATCGGATAGATTTGACAGAAGGCGACCCATGTGCTGATAGAGGCAGGAGGCCTGATACAGTTTTCCAGACCCAGGGCTTGTTCCAAGCAGAAGATGTGGCCACGTGACCCACCATCAGCCGAAATTTCGGTCACGTGACGGACCTCGGTCACGTGACAGATCCTGATGGCCCCGCGCCCCGCGCCCATGCAGCTCACTCACGGCTTCCCGACTCTGACGGTATGGTGCAACCCCACATTAGACTCAACCGAACGCTTAGCGAGATATTGAGCATTGTTGACTGAGACAAGAGAGACAGGCAAGGGAGGCGCAAAAATATGTCGAATGATTGAAAAATTGCCCAGTGGGGCAATTGGTACTCAGCGGAGTAAGTTTTTACCCAGAATCCATTGGAATATCCGTGATTTGAATGGTTTGAAGATGTGGATCTGGATGCTCAGGCTATTTGTTATATGAGATAGTACGAATACGACTCTAAGTTGACTATAAGTACGACTATCGCTGAAAAAATTACACCATTGGATTTGTCTGGCTGAGAGCTCTCTAATGGTGTGTTTATTTTTCACACAACTTGGATATTTCGGCCAATAACCGATGGCCATGGATAATTATAGTAGGTACAACTAATTAGCGGTTATTGTACAGAAAACAAAGAAACTAAGCATCTAAGGTCTCCCAAACACTTGTATTAGGTCAGCAGAAGAGCTTCTACGATGACCACGATGTCAACCTCTCAATCATGTCAACCTCTCAGTCAACTCAGCACCTATCCTCCTTCCATTTTTCCCATTTTCATCATTTTTTCATTTCCGAGAGTATCCGAAAATTTGTCATGCATATTGCTCCTGTTTTTCCCGCCGCAGCCATGCCTTTGGCGAATGGACTACTTTCCGCCCCGTATCTTAGTAATCACCCGTTGTGTCGTCTTAGTCATCCAGCAACTGAGAGATATAATTGAAAAGCCACACGCCGTTGCGCAAATTCAATCGCCTCAACTCTACTGATCTGATTACTAACCCCCCCGTCTCTCGCACCCTCTATGAACATGCACCCTGCAAGCCAACCTTAAAAATGCACAGTAACTGTCAACCTGCATATACTGCCCACTATCTCCAACCAACCTTTCAAAGTGTTTTCCCGGCTTCTTTTGCGACCGTTCCACCGACTCCACTTCACGCCCCCAGCTCTACGAAGCGCCAACATACACACAATGTCCTCCGAACTGCCTCCTCTTGAGCAGGCCAAGCGAATCGCCGCCCACCAGGCCGTGGAGCAACACTACCCCAAGGACGCCAAGGTCGTGGGCATTGGCTCAGGATCCACCGTGGTCTACGTTGCCGAGAAGATTGCGTCGTTGCCCAAGGAGCTCACCAAGGACACCGTGTTCATTTCTACGGGTTTCCAGAGCAAGCAGCTGATCCAGAACGCCGGGTTGCGACTGGGATGCATCGACCAGTACTCCAACGGAGATCTGGACGTGGCGTTTGACGGCGCCGACGAGACCGACCCTCAGCTCAACTGCATCAAGGGCGGAGGAGCATGCCTCTTCCAGGAAAAGATTGTCGCCGAGTGTGCCCGCAAGTTTGTCGTGGTGGCCGACTACCGAAAACAGTCCAAGGCTCTGGGCACCGTGTGGATCCAGGGTATCCCCATTGAGGTGGTGCCCGACGCCTACAACAAGGTAATTGCTGATCTCAAGAAGATGGGCGCCCAGTCCGCGGTGCTGCGACCCGGCTCTCCCGGAAAGGCGGGCCCCATCATCACCGACAATGGCAACTTCATTGTCGACGCCTACTTTGGCGAGATCCAACCCGACGCCGTCAAGGACCTGCACATCAAGATCAAGCTGCTGTTGGGCGTCGTTGAGACCGGCCTCTTCACTAACGCGGACGTAGCGTACTTTGGAAACGCCGACGGAACCATCTCCACCATTACCAAGTAACTGAAACATAGCAATTGATAGACAAGATTTCGTACACACATTCCACATTCTATGGACACCCCCGCTGTTCAACACCATCTTTTTATTCAAATTATTCAGCACTTAGCAGCAACTCATTTTTTTTCTCAGTTGCGTCTCCGAACCATCTTCCCATGCATGGCAATAATGAGCAGTCTGGTGGGGAGACGACCATCGTCGCTAGAGAAAGCCACAGCCCGCTTTTTTCTGTCCAACTTTCCACGTGTAGGCACACTAGCAGACCGTTTGAGGGCATACGGCGGCTTAACATACTCATACCCGTCCTCAGGAGTGGTCATGGGAGTGTCGTACTCAGACTCAAGCTTGATGCTGATCTCCTCGGCCTCCTCGAGCGGCCGGTCGTATGAGTCCTGCTCGTCAGACGCATCATGGAACGATTCATTATCAGATGAGTCTGAAGATGCGGCCGACTCGTCAATCGCAGAGTTGCCACACTCCACAGAGGTCGTGGTGCCTTGAGGTGATCCATGGTCGTCATCTGAGTCGGCCTTGTCATCAAACTTCAGGGCTTCAGTTTTGACAGCAGGTGACTCGGCTTCATTGACAGGGGTAGTGGGCTTTGCTGGGCAAGCCGGGCCAGCCGGGCCAGCCGGATCAGAATGCTTAGACGGAGCCGCGTTGGATGCTTCAGCGACCAACTCAGTAGGGTCAACAGTCTCCACCGCAGCAGTCTCCGACTCAGCAGTGTCTGAAGCCGACTTCGAAACAGCAACGGAACCAAAAGCGTCTACTGACTCCGCAGATGACCCAGAAGCAGTCGCAGGCTCAGGCGAGTCAGAGGGGGTCTTGGGTGTTAGAGCTTTAGCTGAGGTAGAGGGCTCGTCAGACTCGACCTGGGGTTCAGAAAACTCGATCTGGGGTTTAGAAGTTTCGACCTGGGGTTCAGAAGACTCGACCTGGAGTCTAGAAGACTCAACCTGACGCTCAGAAGACTCAACCTGGGGTTCAGAAAACTCGGCCACCTGACGCTCAGGAGACTCGATCTGGGGTTCAGAAGACTCGACCACCGCGGGCCCAGAAGACTCATCAATCCGAGCCTCTGTCGACACGACTGAGTCACCAGAGTTAACTTCGATCCGAATGACATCTTTGTCATCGGGATCAGATGTCACGTAGACGACGCCATCTGTAGCTGAAACACCAGAGGTGATAGTTCCAGCGACACCATCAGCCACATGAGCTTCAATATCATCAACGGTAATTTCATCAACCCGAGATTCAACCTCAACCTCAGCACACTCATTTGAGACTGTGTTAGTAGGATGTGCACTTGTAGAACCATAACGGCAAAACAACTCACCATCCTCACGACTGCCACTGCTGTCGCCAGATCTGGTGCCATCACGATTCGTGTCAGAGTTCGAGTCACCGGATTTCATGCCACAATCGTCATCATTCTCGGTGTCTGTTCTTGTGTCGCAACTCTTGGGCCCGTTGGTCGATTCCAGAAGATGGTTTCGAGTTTCTCTGGCCATGGTTTGTGTCGGTGTGTGTTTGTGTTGGTAATCGTGTGTGTCTATGTCACCTCTTGTGCGCCACCTCTCATGTATATATATATATATATATATATTGCCTCGTCTACTCACCACATGACCCAATTATATGTACCTATTTTTCGTAAAGACGGAATGTTACCATCTGGAGATAATGCTGCATGTTTCATTTGGGGCATACCCTTCACCTTATCCATGCACTGGTGATTCTAGTTTAAGTAGTTCAAGTACAGTTGAGTATTTACTGGACAGTCCAAGTATTGTTCAAGTATGTACTGGACAGTCCAAGTAAAGTTCGAGTATGTACACACTGGAGTCCAAGTAGTCCAAGTGTTCAAGAACAGCCCAGTATTGTACAGTCCGTACGAGCTTCAGTCTATACACATGCAACCAATCCCATCTACTGCTGAAGCTCAATCACCTCGTCGAGACTGGGGAACTCGATATCATCATTGTCCTCTCCATGCTTGGCCCAGGCCTGGGTAAAGTCACTTCCTCGAGCCAGAGTCTCCATGTTGCCCACCACACAGAGATGTCTTCGAGGCCGGGTCATGGCAACGTTCAGACGTCTATACTCGCCTAAGAAGCCAATCTCGTGGTTCTCGTTGGACCGCACTAGAGACAGAATGACCGCCTCCTTCTCTCGCCCCTGGAACGAGTCAACCGTAGCGACCTCAACCGCAGGGTTGGTGGGATGAATCAAAGACCGAATGAGAGATGCCTGGGCAGAATAGGGAGTAATCACACCGATTTCAGACTCCAAAACACCCAGATCAAGCAGCTTTCCAACGTGTCGACGAACCAGATACGCCTCCGAGTCGTTCAACCGAGAAGGATTCAGCTTTCCCGACTCATCCTCCTGCTCGTAAAAGTCGTCTCCTTGTGTATCAATCCACACAACTGGCGTGGTGGTCTCATAGTCCTCTGTAACATGTGGTAGATCTGCCAGAGTGTGCCGTGCCACCGAAGAATGGGCCACAAGTTGTCCTCCGTACAGTTCTTGTGACGGAAACTGCATAATGGCGTCATGCATTCGATACTGTACCTTTAGCAACCGCCTGATATTGTCGTAGTTGCCCACCAAATGGTCAAACAAGGTCAACTCCAGCTGTTTCTTGATCTTGGACTGCTCACACTTGACCGTGGGAGGAAGCTGCTGGTTGTCTCCGGCGATAATGAGCTTCTGAGCCGAAGGGTAGCGAGAAATGGGAATCCAACATTGAGGCTCTAGAGACTGCGAAATCTCGTCAATGATGATCGTATCAAACTGCACGTCCTTAAGACAAGAGTCTCCGGTACCATGTAGAGTGGCGCAGACAACTTTGGCTTGAAGCAGAAGATCAGCGACCACTTTCTTCTGCCGCTCCTTGAACTCCTTTCGCAGCATGCCAATCTCCTTGTACATCGCATACTTTTCGCGGCCCGATTTCGTCTTTGAAATCTTTCGGAGCTGCTGGTCAATATTCACCTGCACGTCCTTCACAATCTGCCCACTGTCGCAGGTTTTTGAAACAATATCCAAGGAGTGTTGCAGATTGGCTTCCAGAAGACGGGCAGGGTGACCGATTCGAAGCAATTGGTTGCCGTTGAAATGAGGATGCAAACGCTCAAGTAAAGTGTCTACCGAGATGTTGGAGGGACCACAAACCAGAACTCGTTGGCCCTTTTTCTGAACCAGCTGCCGGATGATCTCCACCAAAGTATGCGTCTTTCCGGTTCCAGGAGGGCCATGGACCACCGTCACCTGTGCTGATCCAACGCTGTGCTGGACGGCCTCCACCTGCGAAGGGTTGAGAGCTGTGTTGTACAACTGGAGGTTGGGGTCGTCCTTGTGGTCGGAAATCGTCTCCTTATCAACACAAACACGCATGAGGTCGGACATTTCCTGTTCCTTCATCCTCAACATGTCCTTGAGGGCAAACTCCATTCGTCGGTAGGTGGCATTGTTGGCCAGTTTCACCACATGTAGTCGTACTCCATCCAGACTATCTGTAGCGTCGAAGTTCTCATCGAGAGCCACCTCGATCTTGGCCTTTGTCGATTTGAGTACCACCGCCTCCACGGCCTTGTCGTCCTTGCTAGTCTTGTTCTTGATGATTTTGATGAGATCTCCGGTTCGAATATCGTTTCCGCCTGTAATTTCCGGCGAAATCGACACGTCCGGTTCCAACGTGGCCACCAGTTTGCCACCAAAGCCCGTTCGTAGCGACGCCAGAGTCAGATTGACGATCGCCAGACCTCTGGATGCCAGCTGTTTGGGCGTCAAAGACGAGGTCAGCGAGCTCATACTCGCCACATCTGCTGCCTTTTCGGCCTCCAGACACGTATATAGGTGGCTCAATCGGTCCATTTCGTGTTCTTGTATCGGGTTAAGGAGTGTCTGGGCAATGTGGAGTTGGTGATGGAGGTTTAACTAACATGCATAAACCTTCTTCAAAAGGTAATTTCAAAAAAATCCAAACCAAAAAAAAATAGTGCAGATATCATCTACCTAACACACAACCACCCCACCACGACCATGAGCAAACGACCAACGGTGAAAGAAGATGGCGGACGTGACAATAACCTGGTCGACATTCTGACAACGGTGCTCGACAACTACCTGGAGACAAGCGACTCGTCTTCTCTGGAGGAGTTTGTGCGCAAGGGATTCCACAACCAGGTGCTGCACTATTGGGCCAATGTGGTGAGTACGACAAGAGGCAGGCATTTTAGACACGATTAGGACCATCAACTAACACAGATTGGCGTGCGGGAAGAACGACCCAAGTTTGCGGCCGCGTCGGCGGCTATTGCCGATCTGATCGAGGCGCTGGACAACCCTGTGTTTGCCGTCAAGGGATTGGAGTTCGTCAAGATGATTATGGACAACCACATCAGCTACGTGGTCAAGGCGTCGTCGTCACATGACAAGGCCGTGGCAATGGGAATGATCAAGATGCTCACGGCCATTGTGGGTTTCCAGAGAGGCTACTTTTCGACCGATCTACTGAGTGAGTTCCCCTCAGCCGAACCTCACAAGTATCCGGCCCTGGAGCCGCCACGGGGTAAAGACGCCAAGAACCGCTCCATTCGAGAAGCCATGATCAAGTTTCTGTGCACGTGGATCTCCAACGCGTCTTCGCTGACCAAAACGGACATCATGGTGAACCGCCGACGTCTGAGAGTCCAGTGGTTCCGACACATGAACACAGACTCATGCAAGTTTCTGTCCTACCAGCTGGATATGTTGAGGGAACACATTTTGAACGACGAGGGCGTCTCCAAGACCTCCAAGCGAATGCTCTTCAACGAATGGTCCATGGGTCTCATTTCCCAGAGACTCTATCGAGCAGACGGTTCTGCCACGGTGGCTGAAGAGTTCCTTCTGCAACTCGGATCCGACGCAGAAAAGGGTATTCTCTATCCCTGTGACGCTTGGTGGGTGGATGTGCTTCGAGAAGAAAAACACGGTCTTCGAGAAAATGTGTCCAAGGCCGGTCTGCACATTTCCGAAGAAGACATGCGAAAATTCAAGGTCAACGTGCTGGACTACCGAAACAGTGCTCTACTGATGGTGCTCAAAGCCAACATTAAGCCCTGGGAAAATATGCCTTGCCAGAGAATTGCGCTGCGGTTCCTGGAGAACGCTCCGGAGATTGTGGAGCAGGTGATGAAGAACGAGCACTGGCTGTCGTTCGACCCCAAGTTGACCACCAACTGGGTGGGTCTGGTGGCCTTCTTTTCGAAGTTCCTTCAGTTGCCTATCCCTTCCATTGTCGAGAGAAGAGCCAAAGACCGAGATTGTCCTCCTGTCAACACAATCATGGAGAGCGTGCTCCCCACTGCTCTTGCTACCAACAATCTCACCAAGGGTCTGGCTTCAGAAACACCTCTGATTCGCCAATTTACGGCCCAGATCCTCAATCTCGTGCTCAAAAAGTACCAGCAGGTGCAGCAGTTTCTCAACGAGCAGCCTGGGTGGGAAACTGGTGCGTCACAGTTCCGAGAGGAGTTTCTGACTCGGTTTGTGAACGTTCAGACGATTTTTACAGCTCTGAATACCGAGAAGGAAGCCGGCCTGCTGCGATACAACCTCGTTTTCCTGTGCTCGCAGTTTGGAGACTTGTTCCCCGAGGTACTGCCTAAGGCTACTCTGCCCGCGAGTCTTTTGGAAAACATTACTGCTTCTGGACTGTCGATTGCAGAGTTCCAGCACACCATGAATCTCGAGGGAAAGCTGTCAATGACGGGTCTGTGGTGGAAGAAGACGGCTTCGGGACATTCACTTTTTTCCACGCTTCTCAAGCTATGTACCACCGACGTGAAAACTGTTCGACAATCCGTGGCTGCTTCTCTGACTGAAACCACTCTCCCCACCATGTTGTTTCAGAACCAGCTTTCCATTTCGACGCTGGATGTGCTGGTCAACTCGATGGACCTGGTTCGAGACGACCCGGCCAATGTGGACGCGGTTCTAGATCTCATTGACAACTGCGTGGGACGATTCATGACCCAGCCCTTCAAGTATCTCGATCTCATATCCGAGGTATGCAAGAAGCAACAGCTTGACCCCAACTCGGTCGTAATCTCGCCGTTCATCACGGTTCTTGCCGAGCAGGTCAAGTTTGTGCCCGAGGATAAGCGGCATTTGGCTAAAACGTGGCTCCAGAAGATTTTCCGAGACGCCTGCATTGCGGGAGAGTCGTGGAAGGTCATGGCGGGACTGTGTGAACAGTTTGAGCTGGATTCCTCCCTTCTCAGTGCCTCTAAGCCGCTCACCGAAAAGTCGAACAAGCTCTTTTGGAACAATGAGTCTCCCAAAGAGCTCGAGAAGCGAAATCTAACGTATTTTGACCTGGCTCTCGCTTTGGAAGATAAACAAGTGCTTGCCGAGTCTTCCGCTTTACCCGAGACCCCCCTGGACGTGGCTGCGTTGACTTATCGGTCCAAGAGCTTCAAAAAGAGCGACGTGGCAAGCTACGGAATCAAACTGAAGATGGCGGCCATGGTGACTCCCACTCTTCGAAACTATCTTGCATCGCCCGAGTTTTTCACCGACAATTTCGATGACTCTCTGATTCCCTTTTACTCGCATCTGATCAAGAGTGTCTACGAAGAAGTGCCCGATATCAAGCCCGATTTCCAGACGGCGTTTTCTGGATACATCTCCGACCTGCTCAAACAGGACTCGGCCTACAAGAATGTCTTTCTGCAGCATCTGGCATGGACTTTTACCGCTGGCCAGGCTCTGGAGTACGTCAAGCTTCTCATGAAGAAAAAGAAGGACATTTCCGGCGGTCTGGAGGTGCTGGCTGGAGTTTCTGGCGGCTTCCTATCCACCGATGAGCTGGTGGAGCTCGAAAAGTACGTACGAAAACAGTGTCCCCAAAATTCCAATACCCTGGAGAAAATTTTGTTGGATAACTCGTCAGCGTTGGAAAAGCTGGACCACGACAAGATTGAAAGCATTCTCAAGTCATGCTACAAGGTGCACGAGCTGCTGCCTGTGGTCACCGCTCTGGCAAAGATGCCCCAAGCCCAGAAGACTCTGGCCAAGTACGTGTCGAAGGGTCTCAGGAAGTTTGAGCCTGAGCATCTCGCTCGCCTGGTTCTTTTGGTCGGTGTTCCTGAGGACGAAGAGGAGGTTGATTATGTGTCCAAGACGATGACCAAGTATCTCACCACTTCCAAGAATCTGGACAATGTGGACATTTTTGCCCGGGTTCTTGTTCTGTGTTCGTCAACCGTGTTTTCTGACGAGGCAGTTGCCATTGTTACAGCTCTGACGTCTGCTCCCAAGACCCACGGATACACCCAAAATGTTGGAAAGCTCGTGGCCAAGCTGGGTCCTGGAGAACAGCTCACCAAGTACCTGTCCAAGGGTATCATCAATCTGACCAAGCATCTGATGGAGACCACGGAACCTGTGATTTATGCCAGTGCTCTGGAGGTGGCGAAGTGTCTGGACGAGATTGCTGTTTCCAAGGAGATTGATTTTTGGACCCAGGTGTCGGCGAAATCCATCAATGCTTTGCTCGAAGCTCTTGTTTCTCGATGGTTTCACGACCCCGTTTGCATTCGACTGGTTCATTCGCTCGTCAGTTGTGCCACCAAGCAAATTGAGTACTCCAAACTGCTTCAGATGGTTCTTAACAGCGACGGGAATGTTCTGCTGCTGAACAGAACTGCTGGAGATTTTACTTCTCAAGTCCTTACTGCCACCATTGTGCAACAGCTGTACCTGTTTGATCGCAAGAACTCCAACACCTCGGTCGTCAACGGTGTTCTGCGTCTCTACGAGGCTCTCAACACTCTGCCCGACCAAATTCTGCTGTCTGTTTTGCAGAGCATGGAGTCTTCCGGAACTTACAACTGGACACAGTTTGTCTTCTCGTGGGCCACCATTGGAGATGTTCGAGACATGCGGGTATTCAACATCATCGGCAACGATATTGAGGTGACTCTGGCTGCGCCCACGATTCTGGCCTCCATTAACAACTTCAACCCCGGCGAAAAGAACTTCCAGCACAATGTTGACCAGTGGAACAAGCTGAGTGCCCGGCAACAGCACGACTACCGTGTTGAAAAGACTGACGCGGTCTACGACTCGTCTTTCCTGATGGGTGTGATTGCTCAGCGAATCAGAAAGGACGGCCAACTAGACATTCGGGCTCTGGTAGAGAATCACTATCTTGGGTTCGTGATTGCCTCCATGAGCTCGTACTCGGTCTCCACTCTGATCTACTGCAAGTCTCTGCTTGAGGCGATTTCGTACTGCTGCGATCTCCCCGAAAACAAGGCTCCCTTCAAGGGTCTGGTGAAGATTATGGTGCGAAAATGCCTTTATCTCATGGCGGAGGAGTCGTTTGAGCGACTGCCGTGCATTGTGGCCATCCAGATGGCGTACATTATTCGAGGAGTGGCAGCAGCAGGTAGCGTCATGTACGACAACATTGTGGGCATCATTCTTGCTGGTCCCAAGATTTTTGCCGGCATGATCCCCATTGCCACGCGGCTCTTCACAGACACCAACAAGGACTTTTTCCGAAAGCTGTCGTGGGGTCTGGTGACGTTCATCAACGGAGTCAAGACCACGGAAGATGTGCGTCTGCTGCTAAAGAGCAACTTTCTGGAGCAGCTCATGAGTGCCTGTGCGTCTCCCACCGTGTCCAGACACATCAAGGAGAGTGTCATGAAGCTGGTTTGGTCCATTCAGAAGACCGGAGAGGGCTCCATGATGCTGGTGTTGCGACACGGAGGACTTGCATGGAACGAGGTGTTGGACGGAGAGATGGCTAAATGGAGCCAGGCCACCGCCGCGCGATACGGCGTCACGTTCAAGGACCGGCAGAAGCTGCTGGCCTGGACCAACCAGGATTTCCCCCGTTATTTGGCGCGACAGAAGGAGGTGGTATAGGTTTGTAATAGATAGACGGATATGTCTTGATAGCTGGTAATGTTACAATCACTTCTGTGGATAGATCCAAGTCGGTGTAGATGCCCCACTTATACACCAGTGGGGACAGGTAGAGGTCGAGTGGCTATGTATTGATTTGATTATATGAAATCCATTTTCCCGGTTAGCGAGTAGGTGTTCGGTGAACAGTGACTGTTTTACACTGAAATGGAACCTCCTACAAGTGCCTGTAGCAATGCGTCCAGTCGAGGGATAGAATTCCGAATGAGTACTGATCTACAAGACAGCTTGATCAGTACCATTTGGTTTCAGAAAGACCACGTACTGCTTGCTGGGGTGCTGTTTGCGATTGAGTCACCGCACACCATGGTCTTCATGACCCCATTCCAACGAATGCAAACTGGACTCTCAGGATACTCGATGTTCCAGTTGCATCTTGTTTGAGTAAGTGTTGGTCTCGTAGTTGAGGACATGAGGTGGCAGAGTCGAAAGCTCAGATGCGTCTTTGGCATCATGAGAGAGTCCGGAGACCGTCACGGGTATCTCTAACTGGCACTCCAGCTGATTTGCAACCCCGCCGACTCGCACATTGTTGACCTTGCCAGTGACAAATCATGGCAAATGGTTCATTTGATTAATTTGTGAATAAATAATGATGACCTAGTCGTCCCCAGCCTAACTCATAACCCACTCTCCCATCCAAACGGGATGCTGACTGAGATCGTCAAACAGCTCGCGATCCAGAGCATTGTCGGCCGACAGCTCCGGAATGTCCGACTGCGTAAACAGATTGTTGTCATACATGGAGCTGGAGTACTGGGCAAAGTCGTCCTGGTGATGGTGAGGTGGGGCGGCAGGAGCAGACTGCGGAGTGAGGTTCTGGGGCGTTCGGCATTCCAGTCGCATGGCGTCACGCAGAGAAACCAATTGCTCGAGCCGCAGAGAAGCGGGCTTGTTCCCGGCATGATGCATGGCAGTCATGATGCGAATAGCTGTCTCAATGTGCGAGTCGATGGAGTCATGGGACCCGAACGCGGCTCCGAACAGAACCAGGGTCGCAGCAGACACAAAAACGTACTCCCGGTCCATGTATCCTTGGACTGCCAGAAACCCGGTGTCCAGTAGCGAGCTGATTGCTGAAATGGAGCAGACGGAGGCCTGGAACGACGCGTTTAGCAATCGTCGAATGGAGGGAGAGAATTTCGACAGAGACAGTTCAATGAGTTTTCCCTCAGAAGACAAGGAGGCGATTCGTCGTTGAACAAAATGAATCAGCAGGGGTCGAACCGACAGGTTGATGCATTGAAAATACTCCGAGTGAATGTTGACGACCGGTCGGGAGACAATGAGCGGAGACTGCGAATAGTCCACCTTGAGCCGGTCGGGAATGTTGTTTCGCCATTCAAACAGCTTTTCAATCACCGCGTTCAGTGCCGGTAGAATGTTCTTGTTGTCATTGTGGTGATGGTACAGCGAATCGAGCACCAAGCAGCCCAGACGGGCCACCTCGATGAACGAATTGATGTACAGAGCGTCGTAAAACTCGGGCAGCGACTCCGGAAGACCCGTCGCGACCGATTCCAGATTTAACGACGGAGGAATGCCCTGTTTGGAACACGAGTACAACTCGAGAATGTACGTGGTCCACCACAGTCGTCGTCGATGCTCCAGCTCTTCACGGGACAGGGAATCTTTGCTGGCATCGACATGAAGACCACACAATACCGCTGTTCTCATCGCCATGCCGATATAAACGGCTGAGGAGGTCGAAAAGTCCAAAACCTGCAGATAAAACGAGTAACAGAGCAGCAGTTCGATCAGCTTAGTGCACGAATCACCCATGAGTTCCTTTCCATACAGTAGCGACAGGGCGTTGGCTCCATTTCGAAAGTTTTCGCCTCCCGGAGGATCATCGGCCATATTTTGCCGCTCTTCTCGAGGAGCTCCGTACATTTCACCAATGGCGGAAATGAGCAGAATCTGGCAATACCAGGACGCCTCATGGCGCGAGAGAGTGGTGGTCTGGTGGTTCTGAAGGGTGTCCAGAAACGCGTAAATTTCGTGGATTTTGTTCCGGGTCCACAACTCGTTGCAAAAGTAGTAACAGTGGCCCAAATGGGTCTGAAATTGCACCAAAAATCGAAGAGCGTCGTCGCGGGCCGGCATCGTGATGACAATGTCGTCGCGATAGTCGCTGTTGTTGCATTCCGTGCACTTGAGCATCAGAGTCAAAGGACCCGTTTTAGTCAGCCGAATTCCCCGATATGTGAACAGACCCATATCCAAAGACTCGTTGGCGCCGGTTTTGGTGTCTCTGAGCATACATGCCACCTCCTGTCCAAACCGCGACGTTGACGAAGAGCCTGAAAAGAGCTGCTGGCCGTTTCGGGTGCTGGTCAGCTCGCTTTTCTGGTCGCGAATCGGGTTGATTAGATGATCTCCTTCGGAACAAAGAGACGAAACCGTCACCTTGTTGATTGGAGATGCACCTCCGGCGCTCGGAGACTCCATAGAGCCACCCGGACTGTTGATTCTGGCTCGTTTAGCTCGAGGGTCTAGACCCCCCAAAGGAGTTCCTGGTGTTTCAAGTCCTCCTGACAGCGCTGAAAGTCCTGAAGTACCCGAAATACCTGAAATACCTGAAATACCCGAACCTCCCGAAAGCCCTGCAAGTCCTGAAACGCCCAAAACTACTCCTGGAGTCTCCCCTCGAGTCCCCCCAGCAGATTCCACTGCTCCGTCCACCACTCCGTCCACAAACCCCTCCGACACTCCTCGCTCTGCCGCCCGCTTGTCCTCCTTCAACTGCTGAATCTCATCCTGCAACTTTTTCCAATACTTCAACGAAACAACAATCTTCTTCTCCGCCTCAGGATAGACACAGGGAGCCTTCAACTTGGCACAGGTGACACAAGGGTCGCCGCCGGAACACCGGGCATGCCGCTTGCGACACCGCTCGCACGCCGACGACGCTCGTTTGTCCTTGTCTGCGGCTTTCGACGCTTTTGCACTCATCAAATCGGGGCGTGAATGTCGTGTGGAATCAGCCCAAAAAAATCACTAAAATCACTTTTACATATCACAGCTATTTTCACTAAACTTTGAGACAAGGGAAATAATTCAATTAATTCAATTAAATTAGAGAAATGTAAATAATATAGATAATAAAAATGATAATAAAAATTATATAAATAATATAAATAATATAAATAAAATCTGCTAAATAAAAATGCAATCAAACAATATTGCACTGATTTACGTCAATCCTGACAAAAACAACCTTTCCAATTTGGGAATCGCCAATTCTACCCGACTTCTATCTCCACATGTCGTGCCGCATGGTAGCATAACCCTAACCTGTGTGTACATATGGTGTCTTGAATGCCAGTTTACACATTCCCTAACCCTGGATCAGATTTTCGGCCCCGCCCTAACCCTGACAGCCCTTTTCCCGCTTAGAGTATTCCCCTAACCCTAAATTCCAATCTCCCCCCAATACCCCAACCCTCGGGTTTTCTAAACCCTAGCCCCAACCCATACCCTAACTTCCCAATCGGCGCGGGTCTCTGATTGGCCCACCACCACGTTTCAGAAAAATCCACTTTCAATTCTCTCACTACGTGATACACACAACACACAACTACAATCACCATGTCTGTTGCTGCTGCCGTGAGTACCGACGAAAAGGGAGATGAAGAAGGATGAGGTTGTCATGATGGGCCGAATTGGGGGCTCCAGAAAAAAACGAGACCCGGGAAAATATGACTTGGTCAGTGTGATGAGCCCAAAATCTCGGAGCAAGAGTAAAATGTGTGGACACAAACACTACAAGAACAACACAACAACAGCGGAGTTGTCGACAAGAGGACAATCGGCAATGAGAAGTGGGATGGATTGAGTTGCCAATTGGCATTGAGCGATTGTTGACGTTTTCACCAGTCTGTGTCGATGATGACGTGTCAGTGTGGGGATAGAGATGTAATGGTGATGGGGTTAAGAGAGGTGGATACAACGAGTTGCGATAGACACAAAAACAGACACAGACACAGATTGGAACACAAAACCAGTCACAAAATGGACACAAAACAGTCGACAAAATGGACACAAAACAGACGACCTGCGACATCAACATAACAGCTCTATTTGCTCCGCTTTTTGCTTCAAAGCTCTTGCTTTTGCTCCGATTTTCGACCGATATCACATTGACCGTGGTACATTGTCCATGCCTCGTGGTCAACCAATGACCAATGACCAATGATCAATGATCTGGCAATGGTATAGAACTCTCCCGCTCCCGTGCTAACTCAGCGATCCTCTGCCGTCAAGGTTGACTGGGGAAAGATTGTCTCTTCCCTGGGCCTGACCGGCGCCACCGTGTCTTCCCTCCAGGCTTTCCGAAAGCGACACGAGGAGGCCAAGAAGAACGCCTACGAGCTGCAGAACCAGCCCACTACCGTGGACTTTGCCCACTACCGAAAGGTGCTTAAGAACCAGAAGGTTGTGGACGAGATTGAGCAGCACTTCAAGTCGTTCAAGCCCGTGACCTACGACGTGTCCAAGCAGCTCAAGACCATCGACGCCTTTGAGGCCAAGGCCATTGAGGATGCCAAGGCCACCGAGGGCAAGGTCAACCAGGAGATTGGCGATCTGCAGAAGACCCTGGAGAACATTGAGTCTGCTCGACCCTTCGACCAGCTCTCTGTTGACGACGTGTTCAAGGCCCGACCCGATCTCGAGAAGAAGATCGAGGAGATGGTCAAGAAGGGCCGATGGTCCGTTCCCGGCTACAACGAGAAGTTTGGCTCTGTCGTTCTTATGTAAGACGTTTGACGAATATCATGAATATACGAAGCGAGCGAGTGAGCGAGCTGATGAGCGTAGTGAGCGAGCTGATGAGCGTAGTGAGCGAGCTGATGAGCGTAGCGAGCCAGCGGTCTCATATCTGATGAGTGTGGCTGGCGCGTTCGGCGTTAGAGCTATAGACTAGCGGAAACGTCGATTCGAGTGTCTGGAACGCCGTTTGTAGGAGTGGGGTTGTATAATGTTGGAGTAGTCCAGATCCGTCAACTGAGTGATTTTGGTGGCTGCAATTGGATCTCGGAGAACATTTCAACGATTGTAACCGCAATGGAGGTATTCGGAACTCAGTAGATGGGATAGCGGTTTTTTATTTGTTTTAATTGTTTTTTATTTTATTTTTTATTTTTTATGTAGAGTGTGAAAAACAGGGGCACAAGTAATTCGGGGTTAGTGCCATCAGCAGGAGGTTGGATGAAAATGTGATGGTCGCAAACATGGTACAGTACAGTACTGTGCCAAAATGATACTCTTGGTCACGTGTGTGTTTGGCAGCAACAAAATCATTCTCGTGGTTTGATACCGATCGAGATGAGCGTTTCGGGTGTTAGAAAGTGGATTCCTCAATATGGATCAATTAACTCAAATATATATATATAATAATATATATTATAAAAAGCCAAACAAACAAGTGCCCTGGTTGGATTTGGAGATCTGGTCGGAAATGCGGAAAAAGAACTGTACGAGTCCAGTATTAGACCAGCCGGGATGTTTCCAAACCATTTTTGTCCCTATAGCCCTCATAGCCATTTTTGTTTGAATTTTTATTTTTATTTTTATTTTTATTTTTATTTTTATTTTTATTTTTATTTTTATTTTTATTTTTATTTTTATTTTTATTTTTATTTTTATTTTTATTTTTATTTTGGTATCGATTGAATTAGTCGAAATTAGTTGAAAAATAGCTGAACATCAGTGCTGGGGATAATACGGTACAAGTCCGCCGCACATGTGAGCTCGGATACAAGAATTGTATCAGAGATTTTTAGCACCGACTACGGTACAACTCTTGTTGAACTACACATGTCGTTCATGGGTGTTCAAAGGTGCCGTGTTTATTCTACAGATATCGGTCGAGCAACCACCATACAACTCCAAATCTGATCCCTTTCTCACCAAGATCTAAAGACCAATCTGGTACCACGTTATTGTGTCAATACTGACCACAATTCTCACACTGGGGCTCTGTGATCATCGGAGGAATGACTCCTTCGGTTCAGGTTGGTCTCAGGTCCGTGGTCTCTTTAGTGGTTTCAGGTCCGATTTGATACCAGAATTTGGTCTCAATTGGTCGACCGAGCCCGGTGATACGACTTTGTGGCCATGCTGTCAAGCAATAACGGTCCAGGTCTGGTCTCTATCAAATAACCGACTTTTCAATCCACTCGCTCCTCATATATACTCTCGGCACTCAGGTATCGACTCAATGACATCCGCGATCGACTCACAGAAAGGACAATCTCCAGCTGTGTCTCCAGAGAACGATGCGGCACAGGAAACGGCCTTGCCTGCTACCAACAACAAGTAAATGTCTGGAGACGCGGAAGCCTCCAAGTCGTCAATCCTTCCAGCACTCAAAGCACATACTCAGTTCAGCTCGACAGTCTGTTGGACCAAGTGCAAGTGGTTCAGACAGAGTTAGAAGAGGTTTCTGAGCTTGCTGAACATCTCACCGACCTCATGGAGCATGATTATGATGGTGTTGTGGTCTTTTTGCTGTAGGCGATTCCAGAGCGCCAGAGATGTCCCTTGATCTGGTTGAAGAAAGGTGGAGACTGGAGTCCCTCACCAGTTAATGGGGTGGTAGCAGTCAATTTTCTTGATTATTCCACTCTTCGGGACCCTTTGTGCTTGTACTTGTAACTCATTTGGTTTTTTTTTCGGATCGTTTCGAGTTCAGACCGAGTTTGACTAACATAGGAACGTGATTTAGATCCTGTAAATTTGTCTCCAAGTACAATACTTGTACACCCCATACAATACAAGTAGCCATTTTTGAGCCATTAAAATGAAGGAAAACCAACCGCTGTTGAAAAGACTCAGAACCATTTGATTGCGAGCAACAATTGGATCTATATGTTAACTCGTTGTGGACCTACGTAGTTTTGAAGTGTGGGCTTGAATTTCGTCAGAAAATAAAATAAAATAAAATAAAATAAAAGAAACAACGACAACTACAACTACAACAACAACAACAACAACAACAACAACAACAACAAAACCACACTTTTCAGACATTAAGAAATATTAGATATAATTCAAACTCTCCGATATTTCGGTATTCCTGGCGATATTCCCGGTATTCCGTACTCCAGTTGCCACCATTAGGAATTATCCCCAAATTTGACACCCGCGAGAATCAAACTCACGCCCCATAGTGGTTAATTTTTTTGATTTTAATTTTAATTTTAATTTTTTTACACCCACCCAATGCGGATTCCGAAAATGTGCGCCATGGAATGACAACTGAAAAATAAATTAATAAATATATAATCAAAAAAATAAAATAAAAAATAAAATAAATAAAATAAAAAAAAACAATGAATCAAATTGCTTCAAGGTAAAAACAACGACTAATACATGTATATATCCCCATTTTTTTCACTCATATCTACTTTCCCCAGATTCCTCAGACTTCCCTCACTCCTGATTCCTGATTCCTCATTCCAGATCCCCTAATTGCCTCCAACTGACACACAGATTATGAGCGGAAACTAATAAATGAGACTAATGAAAGCCCAACTAGTTGCCTCACCCATCTGTGTACGGTTTGCCCGGTTCCCGCACACATCCGCGTCCCCCCGTTGGCAGTTATATCACGTGACCCCCCTCACCCGCACACGTGCCTGTTTGCAAAAATGGACCTCTTAGACTTTGAGTCTTCTCCATCACAACTCTTGATGAGTTCCGGCATTGACCTCAACGCCATGAACATGAACATTGGCTATCAGCCCGGCAACCAGAGCCAGGGCTACGGGCAGGGGCAGATGATGAATCCCGGCCAGCCGCAGCAGCAGCCTCAACAGCCTCAACAGCAACAGGGAATGGGGCAACAAGGTATGGGCATGTCTCCGCAAATGAACTTCCACATGGGTCAACAGGGCCAACAGGGCCAGCAAGGACAACAAATGGGCGGTCTTCCTCGATCCCAACAGACCCAACAGACCCAACAGAGCCAGGGACCTCCCACCACTCTCAACCCCCAGCAAATGGCTCGAATGCACCAGGTGGCGCGTCAGCGGTTCAATATCATGACAGAAATCAACAAGGAGCTGATCAAGTGTGCCATTGGAACGTCGTCGTTTCATCCGCCCATCGCCCAGGGCCAACAGCCCAATCCGGATCCCGAGGCCTACCGTTCGGTGCTACAGCGTCTGCAGTGCAACCTGTTGTACATGGCGTCGTCGGCGGAGCGGCTGGGCAAGACGCCGGCGCTCAATATCGACATGGCTCTTTCAGCGCCGTCGATTCTGACTCCTCCCGACTGCGCGCCGTTTCTGGGCCAGTTGTACCAGCGACTCAAACAGATGTTTCCCGACCAGAAACCCATGGCCCAAGTCCAGGGCCAGCAGGGAATGGGTCCAGGACAGCCCCAGGTGCGACAGCAACCCCCGGGTCAGGGCCAGGGTCCCCAGCAGCAGTCGATGCCCCAGCATTCACCTCCGATGATGAACCAGATGCTCGGTCAGGGTCAGCAGAACCAGGGCGGCCAGCAGAACCAGGGCGGTCAGGGACCGGATATGGGCATGAATCCGATGATGATGTCCAACCAGCAGCAGCAGCAGCAGCAGCAGCAGCAGCAGCAGCAACAGCGGTTCCGGATGCCGTCTGTGGGAGGAATGAACATGATGGGGGGACAGCCTCACCCCCAGCAACAACCCCAGCAACAACCCCAGCAACAGCCGCAGCAACAGCAGCCGCAGCAGCAGCAGCAGCAGCCGATGAACGACATTTCCATGTTTTTCAACACCAACATGTAACGCGGCGAATCGGAGATTGTCTACAGAACACCCGTTGTTGGTCTTGCTCGATGTTTGCATTTCTACCACCCTCGTTTTTGAGGCATTGTATTCTAACTAATATTTATCTTGATAAGAGAATGACGACATTTTGAGTATGTGTAGTGAGCAATAACTGTGTAAAAATGAATAAAAATGAATAAAAATGAATAAAATGGATAAAACTATCTTTTTTTCTCTCACAAAGGCTGCGGTTTGGTAATAGTGCAGAATAAATAAATAAATAAATAACAATAATAATACAAATCGTCGTAATTACCACCAAAAATACGGAGGGAGACCCTTGATCACCTTTTGGTAGTTCTTCATTGTAGCCCCACTGATATGACCCAGTCGTTCATGCCAATAACGCAGATCGACTCGGCCAATCTCTTGACCCTTCCAAAACACCTTTTCTTCTCCTCCCATGGAGATTTCAGTTTTCAACAGCGGCATTTCCAGCAACGAATGGTCGTGATCTCGCCTCACGGAGGCTCCTCGAAGACGTAGAAACGTGTCATGGCTCATCAGATTCACCGCCCCAGCCTCACATAGGTAACCCACAGCGTACATGCCCTTTCCGCAACGGTTATAGGCGTAACAAACGGAGCCCTTGGCAGTCACTTTGAAAGTCTTTCCTTCCACACAGATTTCGGTCTTATCCAGTTGGCCAAAACTCGCAAACAGTGGCTTTTCGCATACGATCAACGGATGGATCATGTTGGTGACCAGCCACAAGGTCCAATCATCATCTCCATCATGCCAGATCTCCGGGTCGTGTTTGTTGGCATAATCCACACACGCCTGCAAAAAGGGTCCCTTGTTGACGTGCTCGGGGTTGTAGGTGGTGAGGAGCTCTCTCAGGAAACAAAACATGCTGGCGTCGTGGAACTGGTCAATCAGCGACTGGAAAACGGAAGTCCGGTGATTTTCCCTGTTTTTTGAAAGCTCTCGAATCCCGGCATTTGGCCGTCTTTGATGACTTTGTCGAAGCCAAAGTTACAGGCCACCATTTCTCTGAAACATGTGTCTAGATCGACTCGGATATTGCCTCCACGGGGGTCCTTTTCCGGCATACCCTGATACCGCCCCTCCGTCCGAGTCCGGAAGTAGTCCTCCATATGAAGCAGCACGTTGGAGTTGAGCGCGTTGGTCTGGTGCATAAACAACGACACCCGCAAAAGAACAGAAGCGGGCAGATTCCGGGCGGCAGGAAACATGTCGATCAACAGCTTCTCCCGTTCGAACGCAGGCTTGTAAACAGCCATGCTGAATCGCCCCGAATCAGACATCCACATGGTTTCGGGAAGGGCCCGCCGAGCAGACTCAGGCAGACCCGTCCAAGATGACAGCCAAGCCGGCAGAACAATGCCATGGTGGTTAAACATGACCCCCAAACGATCCAACAGGTCCGGAGACGCGGTTCGGCGAGCCTTAAGAGTCATATTCTGGTCCTTGAATATGCCCACATTGTCACCAACAGGCAACCAACCATGGTCCGCGAAAAAATGGCTCGCCAAACTCATGAAAACGTGGTTTGGAAACGGCGGCTCTTCATTGTCGAAAACAACGTCCAAATCATACGTTTCGCGCCCGTCGTTCTTGAGCTTGAAATACGTCTCTCTCGCGCTCTTCCAGATGCTGTTTCGAATCTCCCTCACGGTCTCGCGAGCCTCCTCATCGACCATTGGCGGTTTCTCCCCCCCAATGGCTGCCAACACAATCTCCAGAGCGGTATCCTGATCATGCTGGGCACAAAACGCCTTCAGTTTCTTCTCATCAAGTCGATACAGCCGGAAATAGTCGCACGTGATCTCATAGGCATCCTTGAACGTGGTCTGGTAGCTGCCATACTTGGTCGAGTACTTGTCAAGGCGCCCTCGCGTCACGGGAGCCCCCATACAGCCACAATGGAGCGAAAACACCAGGTCGTAGATGGTACGCATCAGACCCAGTTGCATAATCTCCCGTAAACACGTCTCAACCACCATCCGCATGCTCCAGGCCCAGTCGGAATGGGTCACGTTGTCGTCACTCATGTCCATCAACTGCTCATAAGTCGTCAATACCAGACGTTTCAAAACACGCATTCGTCGTGGACACGGTCGCTCGCCCGGGCAACTGGATGCTCCTTCAATTCCCAGCTCGAATCGGTCGTGGATCTCCCCCAGATCAGGTCTCACTAACGTCGGCCGCATGGTAGGACAGGCAAAGTTTGGATTTTTGTTTTTGCTTTAGATCTGGTGCATTGGTAGGTGAAATCACGAGATTTTCAGGTTGCGGACTCCTTCAAATGTGCTCTTTATGCTGACTAATTTGTGGGTCGGTAGCGATAATATTGAAGGTGGTGGTATGTTATTGATGACAAATGTACGAAAAAAAAAAGTGAGAAAGTAAAAATAAATATACATACAGTATGCCTTGATGAAAGTCTAACTAATGACGTGCATCTCGCTTAGTGAAGCCTAACTATTGTTTACTAGATTTTTTCTGTTTTCCTCTTTTCGGTGATTTTTTTATTTTTTATTTTTTACAATCCATACGAATACAATATAATACATCCACATATGTACTCTCATTCACAAGCTCCCTAGAGCTCACTGAGAAAACAACAAAGAAGCAGCCAACTCCACATCGCCGTCAGTCTGCTTGAGAGCAACCACAACCTTTTCCCTGGAATAACCCAGAGACATGAGATTGACAATATCTTCATCCTTGAACGCGTCTCCGGCAGACCCATGGTCCTGTTTCTTTTCCTTCTCCTGGCCCAGCTTGCCAAACTCGTCGGGAAGATCCTTCTCGCCCAAGAAGGTGGCCTTTTCCTCCCCAATCTCCAGCTGGTTGGTCCGCAAGTTGACGTTGGCCTTGAATCGCTTGAGCATGTCGAGCCCCAGAATGAATTGGAGCTGGTCGCCTTCAATGACCGAAACGGAGGCGGGGAAGAACGAGGAACCGATCTGAAGAGGCACAGAGTGTACGCGGCCCAGAATCTTGCCCGAACCCACTCCTCGCGCCACACCGGCAAACTTGACATCCAGCATGTGCGACAGGCCGACCTTTTCGCAAAACTCCTCCGACAGAATCGTCATCTGGGCTCCGGTGTCCACAAACGCCTTGACATCGTGTCCGTTGATACGGCAATTGATGTACAGCATGTCTGTTCGAATAAACATCTCCGGGTGGTGTTCCATGGCGTTCTGGTACGACTCCTCCACGTTTTCCTGTCGAATGATCTCCATGATTCGTTTCTGGTTGTCTTCATTGTCGGGGTCGGCGTAGAGCCGCTGCAGCTCCTTCTTGCGCTCGACTTCCTTGGCCCGCAGCTCGTTCTGCAGCTTGGTGAAGGCGTCGGAGAACTTTTGTGAGTCGTGCACGTGCTCGGCAAGCTCGGGGTTGCTGAGTTTCAGCTGATCCAGCGAGTCTGCTCGCTCCAGAATCTGCGTTCGGATCTGCTCGGCGCGGGGATCAACCCGCTGAGCCGCGGGCAGTCCGGGAATCTGGATTGACGAGAAGTCCAGTGTGGGAATGGCGGGCTGGGCGGACGTGGAGGGATTGGGAGCCACTCGTTTGGTGGTGAGAAGAAGCATGGAGTTGTCGGTGACTCCAAGAGACCCAATCGTCGCCTTGGGGTCTGTGTCGACAATGGGGTTGCCGTTGAGACTCAGAATGATGTCCTTGGACGGCACGGACGCCTCCATCTCTACAAAAGCCAGCAGGTCCTCGTAGGCCATATCTGCGGCGACCTCTAGTCCAAACACGTTTTCAGATGGCGTTGTCACAAAGATTTGCATGTTAAATGGGCGGTAAATGGGTGGCGGGGTGGCAAATGAGTGAGTGACAGAGACGGTGGGCGTGTGGGGAGCTTTATAAGTGTTAGACGGTTGTGTGGGCTCCGTTTTGTGTCAGATCAACACGATAATGAGTGGCGGTTGCAGGAGGGTGCATAAACTCAGATTAGGAGTGGAAGTATTGGTAATCAGAAATTGGTAAGATTTTCAAGAAGAAACAAAAGGAGAATATTCTAGAAAAGAAGCACCAAAAAGTGGCACTTGGGGGTCTTCGGAACGAGATATCTCGAGATATCACCACCATCAAAACCCCACCAATGATAGTCACCTGTAGAGTATGTACCATACCTACGATACTACAGCATGAATTTCAACTCTGTCGAGAAAACAGGGTAGGGCTTACTCCTACGCTGTGCAGGTAAATATATATATAAATGAGGGCGTTCAGCCCAATGAGGTCCTGGGTCCTGGGTCCTTGGTCCTGGGTCCAAATTGTTCCAGCCGAGATCCAAATTTGTTTCAGCCCGAGATCCTAATGTTATATGAATAAATGGGGGAAAGAATCCGTTTTTATGCCCCGTCGCCAGAACACAAGAGTATGTGCGTTTGTGCCCGGCTGGCTGGCGGGCTGACTACCACCACGTTGTTGTCCACGGCGCCTGACTAGTGCCGTCTCAACAACTCCCTCTCGTCGGAAATATCAAAGCCGTCGTCCTCGTCGTCCAGATCATCCAGCCGCGTCATGCCCAGCGACTGCTCCTCGTCGTAGTCGTTGACGAGCCGCACCTCATGCTGTCTGAGCGAATCGGACCGTCGATGCAGCGAGTTTCGGGCAAACTGGGCCGACCGTCGGGTCTGCAGCGACGCCACGCCATTGTCCATGGGAATGCCATCCAGAGCCCGGCCGGGCATGAGGTTGGATCCATCGGGGTCCGTCTTGGAGATATTCAACAAATAGACTCCGGTGAAGATGATGAGAAAGCCACAAATGAGCGAAATCACGTCGACGGCGGAGCTGGTGTTGAACCCCTGGAACAGAATGAACGAAGCCGCCAGAGTGCAGGTGGTGAAAGTGACGTAGTACAGAGGGTTGACAATGTTGGTGTCAAATTGGTCGAGGGCCTTGTTGAAGTAGTTCATCTGGGTGACGATGCACACCGCCACGACGATGAGGAACACGTAGGTGGATGGGTGGGTGAACTGGTTGTTGCCGCCCAGCGACAGCTTGAGGGCGATTCCAAACGCCTTTATACTCATGACCGAGATGGAGCCCACCGATGAGCAGATGGAAATGTAGATCATGGGGTTGACTCGTCCCAGTCGTGGGGCCACCTTGTAGATCATGAATCCGGCGAACGCGGCCACGGCGCAAATATACATGAGAAACCCGGGCTGCACGGCGTAGTTGAGAATCTCGTCGACGGTCTGAACGTCCTTGTCGGCTGGCGCATGGAGCACGATGATGACCGAGCCGATCAGGCAGATGGCGCAGCCCAGAGAGCCCAGAATGCCGAGTTTTTCCTTGAGGAAAAACGACGCCAGAACAGCTCCAATGATGACGGAAAGCGCGCCCAGCGGCGTGACAAGAATCGCCGGCGCAAACGTGTAGGCCGCGAAGTTGGCTATCTCGCCGACCGCCATGGTGATCATGCCGGCCCACCAGATGGGGTTTTTCAGATAGGCAAACGAGTCGCCGGCGTCGGCCGAGTGTCGGGAGGAGGCATCCATGAGACCCTTCTTGGTGATGATGAACGACGTGCCAATGGCCAGCGACGACGAGATGGCCAGCGCCAGTCCAATGTATTTATCGTCTACCATGGCGTGCTGTAGGGTTCTGTGTCAGTAGATGGAGTTGAGACCAAGAGGTGCATCCCACGTCACTCGAGCTCAACTTTATTGCGTCTGACAGAGACAGAGAGAGTGGTGAGGAGTGGGTCTGGGAGGGCGGTGAAAAGAGATTAGGGAGAGCGCGGGTTTATATATTCACGAGACGCGATTCCAGGCACGACAAGTTATGTGTCACTCCACCACATTACGCTGGCGTCAAAATGGTACACGTGATATATCCCACACCCCGCTAAAATAACTAAAATTGCAGGTACAAAAAACTGTCGCGTATGCACTGCCTCTTCCTACAACTTCCTACAACTTCAGCAGCAGCATGACAGGGTCTCGATTGTCACGTGGGTAGGTCATGTGATTGTGATTAATAAGAGGTAGATGAATAACACAAATGAAATAAAATCAATTGCATCTTCTATTTATGCGATATTAGTACAGTAGTTATCTCCACTCCTTCTGCTACCCCAGATCAATCAAATTTCAACCGGTTCCAGTTTTGGAAAATAAAGTTGGACCGATTCGAATTAATGAAGCCATTTTGGAGATTTAAAAGTGTTCCAAAAGACGTGATTTTCGGTCTGGCAATTTGAACAACCCAGATTATCTCATGATATAAATTTGAAGACGATATATCCACCATAACATGTCAAATCAGACGAATTTCACCCGAAACTGCCCTCGAAACTCTATTAAATAGAAACAAGCAAAATACGTACGTGGCGTGAACCAACATGGAAAAACAGCCACATGGAGATGAACATGGCTGGGGAGGAAGGTCCAGAGATTGATTAGCAAGCAAGGTTGGATTATGGACAATGAGTTCGTTTGATTATTAATACGTTTTGATTACTATCACGTGACACTCAAATAACCCTGCGTGCGTCTTTTTTCTTTTTTTTCCCTTTTTTTCCCCTTTCTTTTGTTCAATTTTTTCCCCTCCATCCGTCGTCTCTGTTCTGTAGCAGTTGATTATTCATCATTCTTTGGCGAGCAGTCAAAATGCTGCAAAACATGCCAAGGAGGAGTACATACGTACGGAGGGTGGACGGAGGAACATGGCGTCATCAGAGCTAGAAGAGTCACGTGACGCACCTCGAGTTTTATCAGATTGATGTTAGTATCAGATTGATATTAGTGCAATAATAGCTGCTACAATAGCTGCTGTTCTAATACAGTGTTTGTGCTGCCATAATCTAAGTAATGTACCGCCAAGATAAGTAATATACTTGAAAAAAGGAGTCGACATGAAACCTCAGAGAACATTCCTCTACGGAATTGTTCCAGATCTGGTCTTTACAGGTGATATTCCACAAAAAATTGAGCAACTTCTCTCTGTACCAGTGTCATCGTTGTAGAGTTGTACGTTAACAATGTTTTTTATTCATTTTTTATACACCTTTTTCTTTTATTCATGTTTTTTATTCACTTTTTTATTCACTTTTTTATTTACTTTTTTTATTTACTTTTTTATTCACTTTTTTATTCACTTTATTTACTTTTTATTTACCTTTTTTAATTCACTTTTTTTAATTCACTTTTTTATTCATGTTTTTCATTCATTTATTTTTCTTCATCCAACTCAGTTACCCTACAGTATCACACCCAACGAACCTATACTAACGCAATTTTTAGCCCATTTAACCCATTTAATCCATTTTAGCCCATTTTTAGCCCATTTTTAGCCCATTTTTACATCCTATTTCCAGCTCTCTGTCGATTGCTTTGTCTGTAATGACATGCAATGCCCAGACATGAGGCTGCACTAGTGCTGTACATACTGTATTGTATTGTATTGTCCCGTTGACGAGATTCGCCGTTCATTTGGTTATTTTTTCATTTTTTATTTATTAATTATTTTTTCCCGTCGTATTTTCCTTTTCCAGAAACTCGACCCTCAATCCTTAGTTGTCCGCCTTTTTTCTCTTTGCCCAAAATTCACTTTTTGCCCTGCCTGTGCCCTTCTTCCACGCATTTTTGGCTCGTGTTTTTTTTTTCCGGCTCCTTGTGTGGTCCCCCCCATGTTTGGCTTCAAAAAACAAACGGGGACCCACAGCACAACGTAGCATGTAGCAACGGCGACCAGGAGCCATGATAGGAGGGAGGCGACGTTGCAGGCGACCTCGTCTCTGTCTCATTTCAGCCTCGCTGGACCTAGTCGGAGATTGGGCTGAAAACGAACCACAAGTGCTGTCTTTCTCTCCACATTTCGCCTGGGTGCATCTGAAAGGTACTTTGTGCATTGCGCGAGTAAATGTGAAGGGGTCGCGAAGGGCGATAAAACGGGCGAAAATGGCGGAAAAAACACGGCAAAGGCCGGAAATCGACCAACGGCAGCCAATAGCCACACCAGTACCCGCATCACACCCACACCCCTCTGCCACGACCTATTGCCGCAGTGGGTTAGGGCAGAAAGGGTAAGCATAATTTGGCCCGTTTCTTGGCGTCTTGGCACTCCCACATCATCTCACTCCCAGTTGCACCACACACAACCCCAGCACACACATCCGACGCGGCTAGGTCAACATGATATTCTGGCCCATTGCGGCTCTGCTCCTCTGCCTATCGGGAGCAGACGCAAACAAACACTTTCGAGCAGCCCCGCCACAGGTGCATTTTCCCGAGTGTCGACCGTGGCTTATCGAAGGGCACATTTTGCAGGGCGAGTTCCCGCTGAGCTTGGATACGGGCGAAGAGCACGTCTCGGGACTGATGCTGTACACACCTCGGTGCGAGGACGGGGCGCCAATACTGGATCTCACGCAGTTTCGCAAACAACGAGCACCATACATTTTTGCTTTGTTTCTCGACGCCAGAGTGCTGGCAGACCGAAACCCGGGCCCAGACCCCAATCACCGGTTCGAATCGGAGGAAGGAGAAGATGGAGACACTGACGCGCTGCAGAGCATCGACCCAAGCACCCAAATGCCCAAATGGATCACCCACCAAGGCCCCGCGCCGTGGCAAGAACCGTTTGAACAGAGCGTGGTGATCATCTCCCTGGTAGCAGCCAGCTGTGTGGCAGTGGTGTGGATTCTGACACTCGTGGCCTGGTCTCAAATGCACGTGCGATCGTGGATCATGCTCATTTCAATCACAGCAGCCGCAGCAACCCTGACAGTGGCGTTTGGCATTATGGTCTCAGCAACAAGAAAAGACTTCTACCGAGGAATACTGGACGCCGGAGGAGTGGTCGACGCCCTGTCAGGAATCACCGGAAGCGACGACATCATTGGTAGAGGCTCCATGGCCGTGGCAATCGTGCATTACATGTCTGGAGTGATCATCTACGCCGCAGAATTGGAATGTCTGCTGAGAGCATTCTCCGACAGAATCAACGAACGAAGAGTCGCCATGTGGGGAGGAACCGGTCTTGCAGTGGGAGCAAAAACCCTATGGGCCATCTACGTGTTTGTTCCCGTGGACAGCGTGCAGGATAACGAGGCCCTGACGTCGGTGACGGTGGCAGCCTATCTCCTGGAAACCGCAGTGTCGGTGCTGTTCGCATGCGCGCTCTTCGCCTTTGGTGTTGGTCACGTGACCACGGCCTATTCGTCCGTGACTCTTCCACTCGGCATTCTTGTGCATGCTCTTTCTCTGGTCCCGTTTGCTGCCTTCATTACCGATCTGGCTCTTCCAGACGACACCCGGTGGATGTGGTATGTTCGGGTGGCTGCCGAGTCCGCCTGTGTGGTACTCTTGTGGATGTGGATGGACCGTATCGACGAGCAGGCGACCGAGGAAGAAGAAGGAGCGATTCTAGGCCGACGAGTGTTCCCCGAAGAGAACCAGACCTTCAACGGACTCGGATACGTCACCGGAGGAGGTAAAGCAGTGTCTGAGAGTTCAACAAGCACCGAAAACACACTGCATCAAGCTGCCTCTCATCCAGTGTCCCAGACAAACTCACACCCTGTGACCTACAATCCCAACGCCTATGTCTATGAAGAAGACAAGGTGAGAGCTACAATCATGCGGTTTCTTCCTCCCCAACTGCAATTCAACCGACCAAACACCGGCTCGTCCGGAGTGTCTGGAGATACCGCGTATCTGGCTGTTCGGTCGCCGGAACGCACTTTTCAGTACCCTGCCTTGGGCACTCCGGTCAACACTCCTCCGAACGACGACACTACTAACGACCCCCGCCATAATCACGTGAGTCCCAATGAGGATCCTCCCACACGACATTTTAATCCTGCTCTTGTCGAGCCCTGATTCGCATTGTTTCGGGTATTTATTTGTACATTATTTATTAATCATTATTACTGGAATAATTGGTTTTTCCGAGTGTGTTAGTTGGGATATTAGTTACATTGTAGTTGAACTAAAATAGCGCGGGTAAATGATGCCACAGAGATGTCAGCAAGTTTATAAGTTGAAGGAGCATTGAAAAGACTCTCAAGAGCTCCCAGCGACGGTTTCATCAACAATTTCTGTCATGACGGGGTTTTCAAGATGTTTGAAAGCAAAGATGAAAATAAAAAAATAAAAAAATAAAAAAATAAAAAATAAAAAATAAAAAATAAAAAAAAACACAAAATAAGGTTTGCTAAGCGAACCTTGCAGTCGGGGATTGTTCCTTCAGTGGTGGGGATTGACAGGCGGAGATGGGTTCCTTTTGGGCGGCGAAAAAGTCACGTGATAGCCACGGACGCGAGGAGCCCCGAAATATGCTTTGATTTCACGTAGCTGTTTTGTAGCAGTGATAAATTGGCCATCTATTTTTTTTTTAATTTTTTTTTTTTAAAAATTTTTCTTCAATTTTTCTGTTTTTGTTTTAAAATCTATTCTTAGTATGAAGTCTCGAGTCGGAGTTCGATTCTTGATAGTGCCCCTTGGAGGACCGCTGAAATGATCCGAAAGAACATGGAAAACCCGTTCAGGACATTCGCACACATAAACTCCTTTTGCCATGCTGTCGTCATTCTCCACGTCTGGACACATGCATTATTCACATGTGCACGCGTGGTTTCTGTAGGGGGGTCTGCGTCCGGCATTTCAATGATGATCTCTGGAAGCCATTCCTTTTTAGTCCAAGGTCTTGAGAGTGTAAAAGAGGTATATTGTATTGTACTTGTACCGCCGTGGCGTGGAGTATTGGCCACGGGACTATCATACCATACCAATCCCGTATTGTACTGCGCAAGTAGTACAGTTCTCGTACGGTATCCATGCGGTTGGCGGTTGGCGTTTCGGCGTTAACAACTTGGCGCACCTTTCATAATGTCACGGCGCTGAAAGACGGCTAAATAATATTTCCAGTACATACTATTTCTCAACACATTCTTGCACGTGTCTTGACTGTATATATTTTATATATTTTTTGCATGTCTCATTTTTTTGTTTGAAACCGATACTTTTCGCTTCCGCAGTAGCAAGGGGGGGATGCATTGTTCATGTGTCATTTCACGAGGGCAAGAGCCAGCGGAAAGGCGCAATAAGGGCTTTTTTTTTTGTGGGAGGTGATTTGGCAGAGGCTCGCCGCAGCAATTCACCAGCTGACAAATACCCCAAGGCGCCCATGTCGCGTTTTTCCGATCTCCGCGATCATCCATCTTAGCGTGTTTTGAGGGACCAGAAAGCTATAGGTATGACTCTCGGGCACCTGACAAACCAAACGCCAAAGAGCAACAGAGTTGACAGGAGGGAGACTCCCGTGTTTTTTCGAGGGTCGATACGAGCGGTTTACCGGTAGTAGCTACGCAGGGGCGGTCGAAAGCGTGCTGAGGTGGTGTTGCAAGTTGTGGAAAAACAGACAGGGGGATTCAGGGGCACTTTCGGGTGCGGAAAATTAGGGCAGTGGTAGTGTTCAATCTCCTTTCACTATGATTAGCTGATGATTAGCGAGTCTGAAGGCACTTTTGAATGACAATGTGATAGCCAGATGATCGCAAAGAGCTGGAACACGCCCAGTCTGCATCTGCTGTGGCCTCCACAGCGCCCTCTGGTGACGATCCGACGCCTCAAACTAGGATCAACACAAGTTATACCGCTTCCGATCGTCACCCCCTTGTTGCTAGATTGCATGGGGGACGCAAGTTGAACGTTCCAGAGTAGCATCTCAGCCTTGCACTGTTCACGTGTCCGGGAGCTTTGCATATATAGCCAGGTGCTCCCGTCCCCTAGCATGGGCTTGGAACCACCAACCAAACATCTCCGGTCATGTTGGCCTCTCCATTTGAACCCCAGGCCAGCTTTGACTCGTCCAGCTCGAGGGACTCTTGGAGAGACTCGTGGCGAAGTTCGCAGTCCGGCAGCGTTAATCTCCAGAACGAACCGGGGCGGGAGTACCGGGGACTGGTGGACACTGCGGAGCTCTTCGACTTCACTTTCAAGCCACTCCAGTGCTCCGACAGTTTCAATACTGCGGCGGCCAACAATTCCCAGCGTCGATTCCGACTCATGCCGTCGTCCATGAAGGTCCAGCCCCTGAGAGTCAACAAGTCCGCCATTCGGCCCTCCAAAACGCCCACGGGCAACCCCATGTCGGCCTGGTCCGACTCAGACGACAGCGAAAGCGACTACGAGACCAACAACAGCATATGTGACTCCGACACTGATGTGGAGGGCTGTCAGTGTCTACCAAAGTACGCCGGTCTTCCCATTCTCGACAGTCCCAAGTCCCAGTCGTCTGAGTTCACCGTCCAGGCGCTCAAGCCCGTTCTGCCGACCAAGCCCGTCCCAAACCACCCCACCACCACCCACAAACGCGGCCCCAGGGGCCACCTGAAAACACCCATGTTGTCGCCCTCAGAAACGGTCATGGAGCGATACGCACCGCTGGAGTGGTCCGACGCGGCCCGTGACGCGCTCAAAATCGCGCTTGACAAGCGCCAACGCGTCATGGAAGACGCCGGAGTCTCGCATTTCATCCAGATCGAGGCGCTGCACAATTGTCTCAAGGACGTGGCGTTTGGAGTCAGTCTGAGAGAGACTGTCTAGAAAGGACTGAACGAGCGAACGAACGAGTGAACGGGCGAACGGGTGAACGGGCGAACGAGCGAACGAGCGAACGAACGATACTAACTATTTATTGGCCAACGATGAGACAGAGAGATAAGCAGAGATAGAGAGAAGAACAAGGACGCCAACATCTTTAATAAAGCATTTTGAATAGCCATATTTGGGCAGTGTATTGGTCACGTTGTGTGTTGTGTTGTGTTGTGTTGTGTTTCATCAAGATGGTTCGTGTTTCAAATCAGCATGAAATATGCACACAGGGTTCTATCTTCACGTGGGCGAAAAAGTTTATATGCTCCGGAAAAAGAGGAGGTAAACATCCATAGAACTCCGTTTTTGAGAAGAAAAGAATTGTCCTGTTGGTAATTGCGGGGCCTAAGATGCCACAGTTCAAAAACTAGAGCTTTAGCGATGAAATGAGCCGCTTTGAGACACTACAATGAAAAAAGGGTGATTAAGAAAAGAAAAAACAATCCAGAAAAAAAAAAAAACCAATGCGGTCGCTAATTGAGGGTAAATCTGTACCGAGTAGGGAGCAGCTGGCAAGAGAAACTTGGGATTTACTTCTGGAAAGTGTACTTAAGGGGAATCCTTGTCGAGTTCGCCAGTGTTGGTGTGTACGGACAGATCATTCCTGATTCCTGCTGCTGAAAGTCGACCAGGATCTTGTGGGTCTCAGAAAGTCGATAAAAGTGTCCAAAATGATAGTCGAAATGGAATGGTCCCATCTGTGGCCAACAGAAACTACAATTGAGCAACTATTTCCCAGTTTAGGCGACCACACGACGCATTACCCCCTGGTATTCGGGATTGGACACTCCGGAGAAACCAATGATGTATGAACTGAGCTCGTGTTGTCGTCATCCGTGATCCACGCATCAAAAAAGAGCCATTATCTACTGTAATTGCTGGCGAATGTCTCAAGTGGAGTTTCAATGGAGTCTGTAGGTACAGTATGTACTGGGTGTGCCTTCATCGACTTGTTTGGAGATGCTCAGAAGTCCAAGATGATGATAATCTCTTCAATTTTTCTTTTAAAAGGTCACAAATTCAAATAATAACCCTCCATTCTCTATATATGTTCGATTCTATCAATTTCTACTCACTCCCAAATCCCCATTATTAACCCACTAAGTTTGTTAGCTTTAAAGGAGATAATTTGTTGAAGGCTACTTGAGATCGACACTAGGACCCACACCACCAACAGCAGCCAAATACGCGTCATATTCCTCCAAAAAACATGTCAATGCAGCCTCTGTATACGACTTATCAACTCCCTTCTTCTCTTCAGAGTCCAATTGGCCACCGGTTGTTTACACGACCCGTCAAGACGAGAGCTCGCACGCAACATAACAGTGTGAAGAAAAGAAGACAATAGCGTAAACATCTACAATATCACACATCTTCCCACCAGCTACATTACTTTGCTCCATCACAAAAACCCGCTGATATCTCAACATGTCTTCTGTCATGTCCAACAATTCTCCCTCGACAGCAGCGACCTCGGAGTTTTACGATGACGCCCTACACACAAACACCGTCACGCTCAAAGTGCAATGTGGAGGCACAAGCGGAACGGTCGAGACTCAGATCGAAGCTCTGAATGGCCGCTTGGACCAACTTATCAGCGGCCTGAACTCCCTCAAGGGCGACAATATGGTGGCAGTCTCGGCCCTATCGTCCAACATGATGTATCTCGAGAAACAGACGGAGCTCATGGTTTCGTATCGCGAACAGCAAGAGACCGAGAGAGCCAATTTCGAACAGAAATTGGTGCATATGGTGGAGTCCGCAGTCGAGACTCAGTTTGAAAAACAGCAGGCCCGACTGGATCGCGTCTTTCACGACCAACTGAACTCGTTTGGAGCAGCTCTGCTGAAAGAACAACAGCAGGCACTAGGAGAACAACAGACATTGTACTCCTCTTGCAACAATGAAAATATACAATCAGGTGAATCCACGCCCGCTCCAATGCTCTCGCAAATCATGAATTCAGTGCAAACCGTGGCTTCTGAAACACAAATTCTGCGAGGAGAACTGGTCATGGAAATGAAAATGTACCAGCAACAGCTCCTGGAGTTGATCCAGAACAACCTGGGTTGCTTCCTTCAACAACTTGACGGTATAGACACTCCGGTAGTGCCTCAGAATCCCGACCTGACCTACCGGTCTCGTTTCAGTGACGCCTCTGGCGCCTCGGGAGGGACATTTCGACACTACCCTTCTGAACAAGATGACCCCATCCATTCATTCACTTCATTGGAATCTCCACACAGATTTGAAGATCCCATTTCTTCACCAAGCAACTCGGCCTGCCGACCTCGTGACTCAAACATCTCCAATGCTCTTTTCTCCAACCCCAGAACTCCACCCCGGGTGCCCAACAAAGAAGACAAGACCGCCTCCGATATCTCCATGCAGGATGCCAGCAACGGAAACATGTCAACCAATGGCTTTTTAGCCTCGTCCTCTGACCTCAACATCTGCTCCGCCGTCACTCCGTATGATCCCGATAATGGTGGCCCTTCTGAAATCTCCGAAATGGAGATCTTTGTCAGAAATATAACAACAAGGAAATCAGAAGGAGGCTCTTTCCAAACCACTGAACAAGATCGCAAGTTTCTCACCAAAGTGTCACGGCTGTTCAAGCCCAAAAGGTGAGCCAAACAAATCCCACCCCCATACAGCAATATAAATATAAAAACGAGTTACATGTTACAAGATTCCAAGCCAGTAATAACAATTTCTCTAGGTACATGATCAATTACCTCATTCAAATTATCCTGAAACAGTATATTCAGGCGGAGAGATATCACTCATGTGAACGGGTGGAGGATGTCCAAGTGGCTCAACGTCCTGTTTGAAAGAGGTGAGAGAAGAGAGCGGCGTCATTTTCGACCTCTTGCTCCTTGTTCTTTCTTTCGTTGGTTTCAAGCCGAATATAATAACAACAGAGTCATAACAGCTATGGAGAAAAAGACAATGTCCACAACGATGACGATGCCCACAGCTATGCCCACTACGGCGCGCTCGCACTGAGTCAGCAGGAAGGTAAGAAGACTGAATTGGTGAAGAAGTTGATTTATAGTGAACCAAGATTACACCATACCTCTCTGATACGATTCATTCTCCCATATCAGTATGTTGTCGCACTTGAGACATGCCTGCCTTGTAAAAAAGCAACTTTTGGAACCGCCTGCAGACAGAGTTTTGGATATGTCGAAATGAAAATGAATCAAAAGGATAAATATACGTTTGAAAAATATCTTGGTATAATCAATTACGTGAATAGAGTAAAAATGGCCGGTTTTTAACATTCTCGGGATTATATTGTTTTAACGAATTTTTGAGTAACCATCGCACGAGGACGTGGCGTAATGGTAGCGCATTGGATTTCGGTTCTTCTGAACGACGTCCTCCAAAGGCTGCGGGTTCGAGTCCTGTCGTCCTCTTTTTTAACATTTATTTAATGAGTAAAATTTTCAATTTTTTGAAAAAACTTCACTTTTTGGTTCAAAAAAACAACCCCAATGATCTAATTTTGTACTCCGAACAAATCAATACACCAATTTCTATTCCTATATACGCATTTTCGCTTTGTTCAAATGGTTCGTTTTACCTCCCTCGTTTAAGAGAAGGACATGGCCCAAGGGAGACCAACAGCCAGACCTGGGTTATGAATAATGGTCTGGTGAGTAGCACCAATCTGCTTGGTCTCGTACTTGGGGTTCCAGTCCCGCCCTGCCTGTCGTACGGTGCATCCAACCGTGAGCATCTCCGGCGAGTTGACAATGATCTTCTCAATGGGGATATCAATGGCCTTGTGCACAAAATCAAAGGACTTGGGGTCGGGGTTGAGAGACGAGGCCTTTAGCACCTGGCCGTCAAAGTTGAACTTCATGTGGATGAAGTCGCCGTTCTTGTAGCCGTATCCCTTTCCATCATCGAGGTACAGCTCTCCCTCAGCATCCCACATTGAGTTGGCGTTCACCACCAATGTCACGGGATCCATGAGCATGAGCTCGGAAGACCGTCGGATTCGGTCTCGTCGAGCGTAAATGTGGCCTCCTCGCTGCAGAATTGGAATAGTGTCAATGTTGGCCTTGTACTCGAGCTCGAAACCCTTGTCATTCTTCTTATGTACTAGCTGAGACGAGTGGAAGTCGTAGTACACCTCCTCATCGGGAATGAACATGTTGACAGAAGTAGCGCCCTCATGAACAACAGGGTGCACAAGAAGACCAGTGTTTCCAACAAAGAAAGAGTCGTCACGGGCATAGGCGTCGGGGTTGTTAGGGGCCACGTAGAAGAGAGGCTTGAGAATGGGAGCTCCAGAAACGGACGCTTGTCGGAACGCAGTGTAGATAGAGGGCAGCAACTGATACCGCAGACGGATGGCGTTTCGAAGATAATCAATGTGCTCCTCTTCTGCCAGCCAGGGCTCTCGCCGCTTGGTATCAATGTGGGCATGGGCTCGGAAAAAGGGGTAGAAGAGTCCGGCTTGGTACCATCGAGTAAGAAGCTCAGGAGCAGGGTTACCAAAGAAACCACCAACATCAGCTCCAGCAAAAGGCATACCAGCTACGTTTTGCGTGAGAACCATGGGGGTGGCAATCTGAAGGTATTCCCACGAAGCCTCGTTGTCACCAGTCCACATAGCGGCAGTTCGCTGGGTTCCAGAGAAGAAAGACCGGGTGAGAATGAAAGGCCGAACGGCGGGGTTTCGAGCAGTCAGAGCAGCGAAGGTGGCGTTGATCATTGACATACCAAAGGCGTTGTGCACGTCTCGGTTCTCGTAGCCACCGTAATGGACAGTATCTCGCAGAATGGAGGTCTCAGGACCGTTGAAAACTGAGGGCTCGTTCATATCGTTCCAGAAGAACATATTGTCGGCCTCGGCAGCAATTCCCTGGGGCTCCTTGGCGTGCATCGACTTCCAGAACTCGGCAGCAGCGGGGTTCGTAGTGTCGATCCACACAGACTTGCCGGGCCAGCAGTCTCCCTCATAGGCGTCTCCAGAGTTGGATTTCACGTACAAACCCTTCTGTTTGAGTGCGTCGTAGACCTTGTAACCCTCCTCGAGCTTGATGTGGGGGTCAATGATGACAGTCAACTTTCGACAGGTCTTGTCAAGCTGGCCAAGCATGTATCCAGGGTCGGGGAACACATCTCTGTTCCAGGTGAAGTACTTTTTGGCCTGGGTGTACTCCACATCTAGCCAAATGGTGTCGTAGGGAATGTCGTACTTGTCAAAGTTGGCGTGCACCTCCAGAACGTCGTCCTGGGTGTTGTAGTTCCATCGGCACTGGTGGTAGGCAGTAGCAGAAATGGGGGGAAGGGTGGTGAAGCCAGTGATGCTGCCGTACTGAGTAACAATGTCTTCGGGGGTCTTGCCAACAAACACAATAAAATCAAGAGTGCCGGACTCGGAGATCCAGTGGGTGTCTGTGTGAGAAGCCTCCTTCTGAATGTCAATGTATGTGTCAGCAGCATTGACCCAAAAAACACCAGCGGAAGAGCCCGGTTTCCGGGCCTGCAGAAAAGGAATAGCTCCGTACATGGGCATGGGTGAGTCGGTCTCGTATTCTAGAATATCAACATTGTAGAGTCGGTAGGGCTCGGTATGGTCACCCTCGCTCCGGCCTCGAGTAGACCGCAGAGACAGCCGGTCGGCATGCTCGGGGATTCCGTACACGTGGTTGTAGCCGGGGAACTCGAAATCAAGGGCCACAGACTCGGGTCCCTTGGGTTTGGAGTCGGGATGGCCTCCAAACTCCTCCTTAAACATGCCGTCGGCGATTTCATACGAGCTGAGATGCTTGTCGTTGTCGGACTCGGATCGAAGATGTTCCATGTTTAGCAAATGTCGCTTGTTGACAGACACCTCCAGTTTGTCGTTTCTGTAGACATCCAGCTGCAGGGTCTTTTTGTTGAGCACGGCCTTGGTCTTGTCGCCGTAGATAGCCTCGATGGTGTGTTCGTAGTCGGTAATCTGGGCGCTGGTGTCGATGGCGGGCTCGCCATTGAAGGCCCAGTGGGAGGCGTCGTATCGTTTGCTGGAGACCACGTTGTTGATCTTGGCCCGGTTGGGCTCATCCAGAGTCACTCGCACGCCTCCAGACGCCAGCACAGACAGCTTGAGAGACAGGGGCACGGACTTGGCCTTGGGCACGGACTTGACGATCGACACAGACGCCTCGCCCTTGCCAATTGACACCTTGGTGACCTCGTAGGGGTTGGAGAAGCTCTGGAGATGGGCCACCTGGTCGGCATAGTGTCGGTTTCGCTTGCAGAACGAGTTTTGGTCGCACGTCTTGAACGCTCCTCGCGTCACCGCCTCGCAGCTGGCCACAAACAGAGCCAGCAACAGCAGCGCTACTAACGTCGTTTTCATCGTGTGTGGGGAGAACTGGTGAGCTTGTCAAGTAACCAACTGGCACAACAATTGTCTTTTTAGACGTGTTAACTAATAAAGTTGCTACGTGTAGATCTGGGTAGGGGTTGGAGATGTAGCAGCGGCAATAAACGGAGTGCGAGAAGAAGAAAAAGAGCACCGAAACGGGGACAGCGAATGGACACATCACGTGACCACCCCCAAAACTCTTGTCGTTTTCTCAATTGCTTTCAAACTGACCGTTTCACGTGACCATACTGGCAAGAAGGGGGTAGCTACTTGCTTGCACACTCTCAAGGTTCATGCAGGGAGGTTGACAGTTGACGATGATGTGCATGCAAATGGTGCTTGGTGAAAAGAGAAATGCAAAAGAGTGCGCGGAGTGAAAGATCTGCTTAGTAATAAACCAGACCAGAGACGTGATCACGTGACTTCCCCTATGCTTTTTCCTCATGTCGTGTTCGAACTACCGTGTTTTTTCTTTGGTTTTCGTTGTACTTGGGGACTATGTTTTGATTAGGTTGGATCTGACGAAAAGAACCATCGTGATCTAGAAGACGCGGTTTGGGGATTTTCGGTTTGAAAATTGAACTGAGTAGTCATGTGGGCTTCACAAATGTTTTTTAAAATTTTCCAGACAAATCGGACTCTTCTAGGGCAAGTTGTATGCTGTTGTAATGGCTTAGCCGAAAGCTGCGTTGTCTTGTGGGGTGGGTGGATCAAAGGTCGTTTTAGTCTGACGTTACGACGGAGCTTAATTTTTTCAGAGCCGCACAAAAAAAAAAAAAAAAAAAAAAAAAGCAAAAAACAGCAAAAAAAAAGCAAGGCGATGACAAGAATCGTGGAAAAACACAAACTGTGGTTGGACTAGTAGAGAAAAGCGAGGCAGGTGGTTTCAAAAACACGTCGTATGATTTTTTATTGGTGTTACACCCTTGTTTGTTAGTTGCGACAAACTTATGTTTAATTACTTGACATTTGGAGATTTAGTACTTGAGTCTAGTTAACATTTTAGTTGGGAGTCTACAGTAGTTTACACTTTTGTTGGATTGACATACGACAAACCTGTAACTTGACATCGCCTCGTAGACGACTATCTGACGGTGCCACCAGTGTGGAACTTTGTCGCTTGCGTTCAAACATTTCATTTTTTAACCTCGGTCAGACTATATACATTACCAAAACTTGGATAGGAATCCCATGATGCCCTTGGCCTCGGCTCCAGGGGCAGCCTTGTACTCGTTGGCCAGTGAGCCGAGAGCTTCGGAAACGGAGCCAAAGTGTCGTCGGGGCACTCGGTTGAACCGTCGGGCGTTCTTTCCGTTGGTTCGAGTCTTCTGGCCCTTGACGGGCATACCCATGACGTGTCGTCGACCGACGTACGAGCCGGTCTTTCGCTTTCGCTCAATGTCGGCGTTGATCTTCTTGGCCAGGTCGGACTCGATGGTCACATTGGTTGACAGCTCCTTGACAATTGCCATGATGTCGCCCTGGGTGAGCTCGCCCATTCGCATGCCAGGATACAGGCCAATCTTGGCACATAGCCGCTTGGCCTGGAACGGACCCACGCCGAACACTTGCTGAGACAGTCCGTACTGAGTTAGTATGTCACGAGGCAGGGGAGAATAGAGCAAAACTGAAGAAAGCAGGTGGAATCCGCCACTCGGGAAGGATGGTGGGTGTCGACATGTAAGGTGTAAGATCTGATGCTTTTGGTTGGAAAAATCAGTGTTCATCGGTCTTAACCTGCGCTGAATACCAGATCTTAGATGTAGATAGGCCGTCTATCCACTCTTTTTCGTCCATGTACGTATCCTGGGTACACGTTATTTGTTGGTTGATGGTATCACTCTCTTTTGGGCCAAAAGTCTCGAAAACAAGACTAAACGACAGTTTGAGTCTCGGAACACCTTGTAAACCGTCCTCAATTGTCAATACTGCCGTTTGCACAAGCCCGTGTCACGTACATGTCGGATGTGTGACGTTCATATCATCACACCAGTTCTTCTCTCTCACCTACTTGCGAAAGCTGAAAGTCGGTAAATCACTTGTCGCCGCCGAAACCCCATCATTAGTCACTCTCCCGTCCTTCTCCCATCCGCCTAAGCTCTTATCAGCTCAACATGTCCACATGACAAAATCTCACAGTTTGATCCATCGCGTTCTCGGTCATTTGTGGCTCCATCTTTTCCGAACAAGTCATCACCCGCTCCATGTCACCCGTGAAATACTCACAGAAACCTTCCAGGTGTTCTGGAACCGCTTTCCCATAATATGAACCACCATTTTTGCTGTATGTGTGTTTGGTGATGTGTGTGAAATTTGCGCTTAGTCAGGACCTCCCACAAGAACAAACCCTATCCCAGACTTTTGATATAGTACAGGTTCTGCATCCGCCCTAACCCTACCCTAACCCTGAGATGTAGGAAGTGGGGAGGGAAATACCGCCGTTTGAACGCGGTTTTTGTGTTCATCAGAACGCTCAACACACGTGCTCTCTGGTCACTCTGCCGGGAAGCGGTATTGCGGTTTTTAAAAAACAGCACTCTCATTGGCCAACAACGATAAGGTTGCACATATCGAAATAAGGTTTTATGCTAACTCCGTGATGACTAAGCTCGTTAGCGCCACGGGGGCGGATAATGCCTGGTCCCTAGTCTAGTGATATCGACCTGCGACCGAGTTATCAAACATTCTGAAGGCTCTTTGTGTGCCGGTTTTGTGACTCCGTTTAATTTTCGTTAAAGTTCGCTCACGTGACTCGCCACTGCAGCAACCCTACATATTCGATCCCGCACACATGTACTATCCGCCATACACAACCATGAAGAAGGAGGACTATTTGCCCAGTGAGTATTGATGGAGAGCCGGGTTAGGGAATTGAGGCGAGGGGAGGGTGTTTGAGGGGTTAGGGTGACAAGCGATTTGGAACGACAACTGAGACGACAGCTGAAACGACAGCTGAGATGAGTCCTGAGATACCCATGTTTGCGCCGATTGGTGGGTGAAAGTGATGGAGTGGAGCGGTTGGTTGGACTTGTCTATGACGTGTTGGTTCCAAATTTTGAGTGGTCAATTTAGTTGTTTTCAAGGATATTCTCTGAGGCAGTGGAGGCGGCGTGGCGGAGGTTCATATAGTATTCGGTGTTGATTCAATCAGTGTTGACTTTACATTGGTGCTGGTTGAATCGGCGCTGCCTACAGTGGTCCTCTACAAACCATGGCCAAAGACGCAACTGAGACCGTCGATACGTTACTGCACTTTCTACATCTCATTGATACCAGTTTTTAGAACTCCTTACCTGCTTGCTCTACTCCGTTGGATCTACCTCCAACAACCCTGTCACATGACACCTACCCCCAACTCCCCGGACTGCAGCCACTTCCGTTCTAACACAGACCTCGTCGATATCGAGTCTCCGCTCTCGGACGAAGAGCTCTACGTTCTTTCTCAACAGTACAACAACGAGGGCGACTTTGTCTCGGTGCAGACCCGCTTCAACTATGCCTGGGGTCTGATCAAGTCTCGAAAGGTCGAGGACCAGCAGCTGGGAGTGCAGATCCTGGCCCAGGTGTACAAGGACACGCCCTCTCGACGTCGAGAGTGCCTCTACTACCTTGCCATCGGCTCCTACAAGCTTGGCGAATACACAGATGCTCGGAAATACTGCGACCTGTTGCTGCAGATCGAGCCCGATGACCCCCAGAGCGCCAAGCTGCGTCAGATCATCGAGGACAAGCTGGCCAAGGAGGGCATGATTGGAATTGCTATTGTGGGAGGAGTCATTGCGGTGGGAGCTGCTGTTCTGGGCGCCGTGTTGAGCCAGAAAAAACGGTGAGATGGACCGTGAGTGTGACAAATCATTTTTTTCACAGAAAGTGGGTCACATGTTACGCTCACGTAAAGCACTGATGATCACAATGCTCCGTGCTAAAATATGTACAGAACGCTACAGCCCACTCACGTGATGGTAATATATGAGTTATAGATAGACCAGCTACTTGTAGCCATCGTTGAGTGGAAGGGACTTGAAGAGGTGAACGTGCAAGTCTACGAGGCAGTGCCGGAGCAATGGAAAGCACGCACGCAACATTCGGCTCCAGTAGGTCGATGTAGAGATGACACTGAGGTCATGGAATGAAACATTGTCTTCGAGAGAAGAAAAAGCGGAAGTCAGACACTTGGAGTCTCCGTTCAGGTTGACGATATGGAATCCTAGGCTGTGGTGGAGGCATCTGATGATGACCAGACTGTCGTTCATCGCCCCTGATCCAGAAGAACCAAATCCCCAGACAGTCAACCATCAAATGGCGGATGTTGAGGTATCTTGGTCCGAGTCATGACTGAAGCTAGCTATTATCTGAGCCAGGAACTTTTCAACAGCTGGATCAGTATAGAATACCAGTAGATGGCGATGAGAGTGATGCCGTATGATAGAAGGGTGACAGTCGCCGGCACTAACTTGGAAAGACTTCAGGATCCGAGAATATGTATAGACGAGCAGTACTCAGGTTGAACTTTGGTCTTGTTGAATCCAACGACAATTTGTGGGATTATTGACAAGATGATTAAGAAAAGAGGTCCTTCAACAGGGACTCAACAGTGTTTACTGGCCTTGTGGAGATGGGACGTCATCAGGACAAGAGTAGTTGAACCGGATGTATTGTATGTACTGTACATACTGCACTTACTGTAGCAATGGCAGTAAAGGTCTGGCCTAAGGTCTACAAGGACATAGCAGCGATGATATACACGATATTCACGGGATTCTTCTGCTAGGCTTTCATCTCTACACTATCCCTGCTAGGAGTTATGGTGGGGTGAGGTTGTCATGTAGCGGAAATTGCTGAATAATCCGCCATGAGATGGAAAACTGCGCAAACTGGTTCAAAAAGAACAGCAAGTTTGTCATGTGACCCATTTCGTTGAAACACCAAAGCTTTCGACTGTATCCCTTGTGTTTAACCCTTCAATAGCCAACAATCCCAGCATTTGGCCATTCACCGTTATCGTATATTTAGAGTTGGCGATATGTCGCGATAACCAAAATTTCATTTCAGTTTTTTCCCGTCTTTTCACCACTCACACTTCACCAAAGAGATATTTCGAACAGGATATCCCCTTTTTTTCATACTATGGCGAAAACCTTTGAATTCTACCATCTGGACGTATGTATCGTCTTCCGCATACGTTCAGAATCGCTTTGACCAATACTCTGAGTACAGTACTGTACAGAACTCGTACAGAACTCGTACTGATACGAACGGGCATTTGACGGGCATTTGACGGGCATTTGACGGAAACTTGGCAGATACTTGACGGACCCTTGGCAGACACTTGACGGACACTTGACAGTTGACGGACACTTGTACTTCAACTGTAATGAGTATGGCATCTGAACGAGAACAACACCCTAGACTACATGTACTAAGCTCTCGTTGACCGCCAACAACCCCGCTCAACAGTCAAACCCTCTATGAAAAGTGGTGAAAGTGGACACGGTCATAATTCTCTGGTTGTTCGGATGACAGTCGTCTGACAACAACTATTGGAAAGTTTTAAGGGGTCCCATAGCAGACGACGTGGTTCAGGACCCTGAGAACTCACTAGACGCATCAAAGAAGCCCCCTTCATCCACTTCCTCAATCTCGCCTTCAATAAGAGGAACACTGGCGAGCTCATTCAGTTGCATGACAACTACCTCCTCAGGAGCTTTCCCCTCCTTGTATTGCCGGACGTGATCCTCATCCACGTACGGGTGGGAAGAAAGTCCCTGGAGACGAAGCAGCTCGATATCATGCTTGTCGGAAGATGTGGCAACCACGCCAGCAATGAATTGTCCTGGTGCAGAAGGTGCTGAAGGTCCCTCACTGGAACCAGCTCCCTAGTGATCAATAACATACTCTGGAGCTGAGGGAAAGGCGCGTCCAGGGAAGAAGAACTGATAGCAGCCGGCTCCAAAGGAAGCAGGGCGGCCTCTCCTATCGAAGCTTCATAAAGCTGTTTTTCCGAACGACCACCAAACCAGCCACTCTATCCTGTCAATTGGTAGAATCATATGTGTGGATCTTCACATCGATAACGTCCACTACAGGTGTAAATACATCATCAACTTCATTTGCAACAACAATTGGTGCTCCCCAAATGACATGGAACCCGAGGTTTCCAAACATTATTGACTAATTCGTCAGACTAAAACAAGGGAGCCGTCTTAACAGCATTAGTCTGAACTCACAGCTAAGAGAGAAGGGTATTGGTCAAATCTTGTGCGCTTGTCAAATGTGGATGAACCATTGATCAGTACTGAATTGAGGAGTATGTCTTGTTTTCCAACTTCTCAGCTCCAAGTCAGACTATGAAGACCTTGGTCCCTATCATAAACCCCTAGGTGATAGAATGGTCTACATTAAAGTGGTCTACAATGTACTGTACTATTCCGCGAATTGGAAGGACCAATATATATCGCTTCTGGATTGTCTGACAGATTCTCGACAACCAACATGACTTTTTACCACAACTATCCAGTATAGTACAGAGAATGTGTTCTGATGAGATCGAGTCTGGTGATGTTTTCCGTGACAACAGAGAAAATCATCAAAGATATTCATTTCTCTGTTCATTTAGCACGGTGATACAGACACCACCAAAGTTCACAAATGTTCTCATTCAAGCTCCTCTTAATACTGAAGGTCTAACAAAAAACCCTCATCATTCTTAACTATCGCAACACTAATTTAAACGATTACTATAGAACCTCAAGTAGCAGGCTTGAGTAATTGGTTAATATATCAACTATTATCAACAACCCTAAATGCCTAATCTGCTGCAACGAAATCTCTGTCAATACGTTTTACCACTACCTAAACAAACAACAGACAGACTGATCCCCCATCCACCCTTTGGTCGCCTCATATCGGCTTGTTTTATTACCTCCGCTTAGTCAGCACATGACCGACGCACTCCACCAGAGTTTGTTCACCATCACACAACTTGTCTGCACAAGTACTTACCACTCCATCCATGTCAGCTCTGAGTGGATACATCAACAAGCCCGTGACGGTGATCACGACGGACGGCCGGCTGATTTTGGGAATCCTGCAGGGCTACGACCAGGCTACCAACGTCATCTTGTCCAACACTCGAGAGAGAGTCATCACTCCAGATGAGCCGACCGAAGTGGTGGATTTGGGTCTATACATGCTGCGAGGCGACTGTATAGCATGTGTAGGAGAGACGGATCTGGAGCTAGACGGCTCGATACAATGGGGTGAGGTCAGAGGTGAGGAGTTGGGCGATACGAGAGGCAATCGGTAGTGGAGGACATGAAGAGAGAGACGACATGATATTGGAGCACTGGCAAGGATAATTGGTCTTCTCATGGGCTCAGGTGTACAATTAGAAGGAGGTAGGGTCACATCAAGACACCCCTATAAGGAGGGAGGATCTCATCAAAGTGACGCTTTGCTGTACAATCAACTTGTCTGATGTGTGCTCTGAGTGCCCAGAATGACTGATGGAGTGCCCTGTTGGATTGAGCATGAATTTGGAGACCCGTTGTCACCTGGGAGTCGAGCCATCTGGATCGTCATCAACAAACGAACCACACAAAATAACGCGGCCGCTTGAACCAAGACTTCTGTCAGACTACCAGTCACTAGGGACCACTTCAAAAGGGAAAGGGTATTGGATTGATGATCCAGGAGGACTGTAAATTTATAATATGCATTTCTAAAGAGTACATGCTGGATTTCTAGACCGTGGTAGTTGTGGTATATGCAAATACAATTAAATACAATATATTTCCTCTACTCATCGTCGTCCGAATCATCCACGATTCTTCTCTTTCTAATTGGTTGAGAAGAAGTGGTTCCCTCAGCAGCCACAGGACTCTTGCTGTCATCGTCAATGATCTCCAGATTGTCGGAGTCATGGCCCTCGTCACCAAAGTCATACTGCCGGTTCTCCCTCTCAGCCATATGACTTAGATCATCCCTATCCTCGTCCACCTTCTCCCTATACTGCTTGTGGGACTCCGTTTCAGACAGAGGCTCCTCCTCTCCATCAGACACATAAGCGTACTGTCGCTTGAACGCCTTATCGACCTTCTCTTCAAGATTGATTGTCGGTTCTGCCTTTCGAAGCTCTTCTCGCAGCTCGTTTTCCTTCTCAAAGAACTTGCGGTCTCGCTCGTCGTCTGAGTCATCGTCCGAAGCACCGATGAAATCAGCAGACTTGTACGACATTGGGATGTCAATGGTAGTCTTCGCAGTGTAATCCCTTTGCTTCTCGCGTTCCCGGGTAGATTTGGAGGTGCCCTTTCTCTTGAGCTTCTGTTTAGTCTTCTGCTGCTTCTCTTTGGGGACAGGAGCAAACATCTCGTCGTTGATGTTCTCAATGTCGTCCTCAGAGTCAGACGCGAGGAACAGTGGCAGCTCGTCATCTTCCTCGGCATCCTGACTACCCTCCTTGTCCCCTCCAGCACCTCTTCTCTCCTTATCATCTCGTCGCACTCGCTTGATCTTGTTAAAGGGCTCAAAGTCTACAGGAGTAGAGTACCACTGCTTTAACCAACCAGTAGCACGCTCGATGTCAGCCCGGGAGACCTCCCCAGGAAGAGAACAGAGAGTTTTGCAACCAACAGAAGACTTGGGAATCCGGCTCAGAGTGAATCCCACAAGCTCCATCAACAGTCGGAACTTGTCGTCCTCATCAATGCTCTTGGGAACATTGAGCTCGTCAGTGGCCTTGGGAGGATTCAGAACCTGAGTATCACCCGTTCGCGCCCTCAGCAGAGAATCCAGCTCATCAATGAACCACTCCACCAGCTGCTTCTTTTCCTCATCCAGTAGTGAGGCCACAAGAATGCACACCTTGCGCTCTTCAGGAATGTCATCTCCCTCGGTGAACTCGTAGACAAACTTGGAGGTTCTTTCCTTCAACTCCCTAACAGGCTTTTCTTCACCGCTCTCGAGGTAGTGGAGAGTTCCCGGGATCTTGGCAAAGATTACCTCCACCATCAGACATGGACGCTCTTTCATCATGGGGATCATTTGACGCATGTACTTTTTGAAAAAGTGCTCGAACGGCTTGCGCCAGGGGTTACTGCTGTTCAGCTCCTTCACCATGGTTCGAAACAACTGCAAATAGTCCAGTCGAAACAACATGACTCGGCATTTGCGCTTGTTGAAGGCCCGGTCCAGAAACTTGAGACACCAGCCAAGATAGCAGTTGTCCAGCTGCTGGAACGAGGACAAGACCATTCGGTATGTTGTGAATGTATCCTCGTGGAAGTACCGGCTCTCAAAACTCGAGAAGTTGAACTTTCGTTCCCGAGACTCGATCGCAGACTCGTGCTCCTCCCCAGGTAGGCTCTCCAAATCCTCCACGTTGCCAGTGTCATCTGCCTTCTTTTGTGCCCTGAGACGCCGTCGGCGAACATAGAGAGTGGTATTGGCCTTGGTGAAGCTCTCCAGAGTCTTGATCAGGGTATGCGTCATGTCCACTGCCGATTGTAGGAAGGTCAACGGCAGCGCCCACCGTCTGGTAAGATCGGCCAGCATTGTTAAATACTCCTCTTCGTAGAACAGCCTGGCCTTGATGTTTGACGCCACCTCCTCGTCAGACATCAGGTTTACCACAACCAGCGTGGTTTTGAATGAATCCATGGCAGTTTTCACCATGGTCCAGTTTTTGGCCTGGACTCCCTGACGAATGGACCGCATGATAATAATGAATGCTTCCTGGTTCACGACAGAGGCAATGAGACCGAAATCTGGCGTCTTTCTGTGCATTTCGACTCCCAGGAACCACTTGAGCACAACCAGATAATGCTTAAAAGCAGGGCCAATATCGTCTTCCTGCTCCAAAGCCTTTCGCACGGTCTGCATGAGAGGGTTGAATGCAGAGTCGTTGAATAGCTCGGAGAAAACACGAATGTAGCGCTTAGCAGAATGGCCGACAAACACAGGCACTTCCCAGACACCTGTAGTGGGTTTTGTGAGCCGTCTACCGGGCTGCTTGGACTTGTCAAACTTCTCCAAACTCTTCTCGATGGACGCTGTAGGTCCTGTCACGCTGATTTTCGAACCGTTGTGCAGGACTGTCATGGTAGATGCGAATCGTGAATGTCGGGATGAGCCCACCGGCTTGTTGCGTCTCTCGGTGTCCAGAAGGTTCTTGAGCTGGTTGTCGGGCTCATTGGGCGAGGTTTCAAAGATTTCGACAACATCCAACCCCTTGACCATCTGGTAAAGGGAGTCCAGCAGAGGCAGATCGACTCCAACAATGTCGTAGCCGGTGCAGGATCCTAAGGTAAGCATGAGATCGAGTACTCCCTGGTTCTCAAATGCCTCCAGGATAGCAGATCGGTTGATATCGTCGGTCTTTCCGTTTGCTTCCATGGGATCAATGGCCAGCATGTTTCGAATGAAGAACACAACCAGCTTCATGATTCCAATGTCTCTTTGGTCTCGGTCCGCCTTGGATTTGGCCACTGAAGGGATACAAAGTCGAACGACCGCCTTCAAAATGCTCTTGCTGGGGTGGCCAAGAAGAGCGCGCTTGTATCTGATCTGGGCCTGTCTGAGCAGATCAGCTGATGCAACCACGTTGTCCGGTGTCTCGTCATTTATCTCTATGGGCCAAAGAAGAGGAACGAGAATCTCCAGACACGCCAGAGCCACTCTGTCCATCTTTTTGGACGCCTGGCCAGCTTCGCTTTGTGTGTTCCAAGTGGACAGAATCGAGGGGATGTCGCTGACCACAAGAGTGGTGCTGGCAATGCATTTGGCCACGTCGGATCGGCCCAACTTCTCGTCGAACGCCCGCAACCACTGCTTGACGTCCTTGAGACAGGCCAGGGCCTCTTCTCCCAGCACGTATGATGCGTCTTCGGAGGCCAAATCGCAACCTCCAAGAGCAGACACAATCGATGTAATACTCGCGGTGACGAGTCGATCTACTTCTTCCATGGTCGAATGTAGTAGTAGTGAGAGTTAGCGCGCCACTGTCGTGTTTGTGACTATTGGTTTGTGACTATTGTCGTGTTACTCTTGGTGCTAACGTGAAACAAATGGCACTGTCGTAGTCTCCGCAGTGGTCGTAATCTCCGCAGATGTCGTGATCTCCGCAGCTGTTGTAATCTCCGCAGAATGACGAGTCCGATGGCGCCCTTTGTTTTGCTGAAAAGTCGCCCGAATCGTGCTTCGAATGTTGTGTCGACGCTGAAAGATGGTAATAAACAAGTTTTGGACGCGACGCGAATAGAGTTGAGCGTAAATGGGATTCGTGACCGAAACCTTGTCGCATGATACGAGGATAGCAGGAGGAGATGCAGCTCACGTGACTTTTGGATATGCCGACTGAATAATAATAATAATAATATATATATATATATATATCACGTGATTTGGATACTGATGATGGTGTGTTCTCTTTTTTTGAGAGATTCCAAAATCGTTTTAGGGGTAACTTGAAATTTGAAATTTTGAAATTCGAAATTTGGACAACCTTAATTCTCGGTTTTTCTTAGTCGTTTGGAGTATCTGTTCAGTAATGGCTCATTGTTTCCATTAAATGGCACTTTCATGGTATATAAATGCTTGTATTCTTCTCCTCTCTCTTCTGATATTAATTTTGTGGTGTTTTTATTTGTGTTTTGATGTTTTTATTGAGTGTTCTGTCCTTAACGTTGTAGTGCCGCCGCTGACCTCAATCGCAATTCCCATCCTCGTCACCAAGAGTATTCGTAAAGTAACTGCCCTGGGTGCGACACTCGCTCAAACCATTTTTCCATCTTTAATCATTCACCACTGATTGTACTTGCCACGACTGGATCTCGTGGAGGAGGTGAAACTCAAAAGTTCCCGATCACACTTCTATCAACTTGTTTCATCACCATGGATACCACTAGAGCCAGAGATATCAAAGACCCGGAGCTGCTCAATCAGGTTGGAGAGGACTGGAAGGTCTTGTTCTTTGCATGCAACGCCTTTCTCGAAGACTACAAGTTCTATTGCAAAACGCTGAAGAAGTTGTTGAAGACTATGAAACCCAAGTTGCCAGTCCCAGCGTACAGACAAGATTGTCTTCTGGCAATGGAGATGTTGCAAAGCACGTTCCTTGAAGCTCTCGAATTTATCCAGCCCACAAAAGACAACATGTACAGGAGCCTTGAACGATACCATGACGACATTGAAGAGTTCTCCTTGCAAGTCCGCATAGATTATGCCACCAAGGCGTATGGCGCTGTCAGCCGAGATCTCAGTATAATCATTGACGCCATGTTTGAGCGTATGAACATATTAGAAAAGAAGCAGGAGCAGCTCACTAGGATCTGGGACGACATCAACGGGTCTTTTGTGCAGACTTGTCTACACGAGATGATGGCGGGTCAGGAGGAGGAGCTAAAGGAGTGGTGGTATGATACGGTCCTCAGCACATATGGAGAGCATATCAAAGTGACTCATAAGACGAACCTCGGGGTTCAGTTGGATCCGGCTGTGTCTAGACCGCCTCTGAAGCGTCACATCCCATCGGAGATTGTATCGTTCATTTACTCGTTTGCGGACGTTGAAACGTGCGTCGCTCTGAGAGAGGTCAACACGCAGTGGTATTCAATTTTCCAGCATCTCGACTCTTTCTTGAAGTCCAAGATGAACAATAGAAACCCCTGGATGGTCCCTGGAGATGGGGATCTCAAGACATGGCAGGATGTGGCTTTGGTATTCGTTAGACGCTTGGAAAGTGAAAAGTGGGTTGAAAAAGACAGAATCGACAACGTGGAGGCAACATCAAATGGTCGGCCCAAGAAGACTGTGGTCGGTAAGAAGCTCAAGTTTGGCAAGAAGCTGCCTCCCACATTTACCTCCATGACCGACAGTTCAGCATGTGAGAGCTTGGTGTGCGAGCACATGCACATTCTTTCTGGACCGGCAGGAGACGAATTCCTCATGGACCCCTGGACCTTGCAGTCTCGACAACACCCAGAAGAATATGAATTTGTTTCGCAGAACTCTGAGGAAACCGTGATCAAGCTCCAGGGTGTGGAAATCACCATCCCCTCGTTTGTGTTCAGACAACGAATCATTTTGGATATATCATTCCACCTGGGTCGTTCTACTGTCTATGTTCATCTTCATGGTGGGGGGTGTCTCATCATGTCCCGTGATAAGCCGCATTATGGCCATGCGCTCACCATCTTGGAGCCGTATTCGGCATACGACGCTGGAGATGTGTCTGTTTCAAAACAGACGGATGGGTACCACTTGGCTAACATTGCGAACCAAAGCCTGGTCAAGTACACAAGCTCCACGTCGGCGGCTCCAGTGGCTTGCTACAATGGAATTGTCTGGCTGAATCTACGAGAGATGAAGTGCCTCGTTCCTACCTTCATCGATCTAAGCACGCCTGGTAAGGTGTATTATAGAGCAGACCGAATCATCACAGACACTGAGCTGATGGAAAACAGATGCTCACAGGGCTCCAAGTCACGGGATGCGGCCCAATTTCTCGTTGGAATGACGGCCAGAGGTCTGGACGTTGTGGATCTAGTTGAAGGCACCGTTACAGCTGTCTCTCGTCATTATGGTAAGCCCGATCAAGCCCTGTGTTTTGTGGGCTTCAACCAGGGTCAGTTTCAGGCCTGGTGCATGCATCACAAAGATTCCCATCTAACCAGAGAGAGAATTCTGGCTGAGAACGGTGTGGAGGACGACCATGAGGACTAGTTCCCGCGATACACAATACCTTCAGTCTGAGCTTTGAAAACCAACTTGTCTCTCTCAAAGTAGGCCCAAATACTCGCTTAGATTAAATGAAAGCCAAAAATGGGAAAAACTGGGAGCCCAAAGAAACTTGTCAGAATGGCGATGATATGCTCAGAGAAACAACGCCGGATCCAATACCGAGTCGTACCATTAGTAATCAGCCATCACAGCACTCTCCCCGTCGTACTGAAACTTACATGGCTTGACAGGGTAACTTTTCACGTCACTATAAAAATTCTGTTTCCGACGCAAATTTTATTTCTGGCAACAGCAGCATCAACCGTGAGTATTATTTGCGTTGGAGATAGCATCATCTGATGAGCTTTTTTCAATATCCTTTATCTACATTTCTTAATGTCAATTATTGCAGAGACACGAAATTTCTGATTTAGCGACAAGAGACGAAATCAAAGCTTTTCTCAACTAACCCAAGATTACTTAGATAGATTTAGTTGAACTTTTAGTTGATTGTGTTAGATAACTACATGAATGGAATGGTTTGCGAAACTACTTGTAGGAGTACAGTACAGTACTGTACAGTAGACAAGTTGGTGTGGCATCAAGTGACAAAATTATTGCCATTGATGCTATATGTGAGAAAATAAAGTGCTTTGTGCGTACCAGGGATAGGGTAGGTAGTGAAATCTGAGTTAGTACATCAACTCTAGACGATGGGCGTCGCCTGTGTAGAAGAACAATAACTCACCCGGTAACTAACACTATTTCTCGGTGGTCAATGCGTCAGAAGATATCAAGACGGTCCGTTTTGCGTTTAAGCCGAGTGAATGTTGCCTGCCGTTAGTAAATTTATTATGAAAAACCCCACTATGAATACATCAGCCTATACTGATATACCAAGAAGTGCAAGGGAGGTGGTCCTGTTCCACCTGAACGCGATTCCCGACAGGCGGCGGTACTGAAGGGCTTTGTGAGAGAGGTAACGCCGATTCTCTCTGCAGTCGTAAGACCCAGGTGGTGTGTCCGAGGCAGTATCGCTTTCCCAACTCTAGTAACCTCGGTAGTGTGAGACACACTACCCCTAACGGTAGGACAGCCGGACGACGATGGCGCAGCAATTGGCGAACGCTGTTATAAAACAATTCACTTACGTGCAATGAAAGTTGTTTGGGCAATAAACAATAAATGTATTAGAGCCAGACGATAGACAACAATCCAGCAGATGATGAGCAGGAAAATTGAGTAAGATCGACGTGGCAAGAAGAGTTACAGTTACGCAGAGTTAATAAGGTGTTGGGAGATTAGAGTTACCCTGTCGGATGACTAACTCTCCAGAGCGAGTGTTACACCTGCCCAGGTCTAACGGGGTTTCGTCCCGAAGCCCTGGTTAGAAGAATCAAGAATAAAGGCCCTGAGCAAGGAAGGAGCCCTGAGCAAGCCCAGAATCAACACGAGCGAGCTTCGACCGAGAAGTAACTCTAGTCGACGCAGTGGTAGCTGCAGAACGGACGGAACGAGTAGCCACTGAAGCCGGGGGAAGAACATGTGGAGAACAGGCAGAAAAGCGGCCAGGAATGGCAGGGAGAGCAGACTCGCGGGACTGATGTTCCTTCATGCGGTCCTGGAACTCAACGATGGAAGCGGGGTGGAAAACCTTGAGGCGGTTGCGGTGGATACGCCGCGGGTTCTCACCGTCAACATCGTTGACAGTGTACGTGCTGGTCTCAGGGTGACACGCGGTCACGATGGAGGGACCAGTCCAACGAGGAGTCAGCTTGTTGTGGGGACGGAGGTCGTGAACAAAAACGAAATCATTTACGGCCAAGGGATCTGTATCAGCTGTGTTGTGATGTTTGTCGTAGAACGCCTTTTGACGCTGGCGTTGCAGGGTCAGGTGGTCACGAGCAGAGCCAACTTCGAAAGTAGAAGCAGCAAGTTGCAAGGTGCGCAGAAAAGCAGCATGAGCGGGGTCGTTGTGGGCCAGGTCGGTCTTGCCACTGAGGTAATTCCAGGTCAGGAAACGACTTTCGACAGGCAAGACACCAGAGACACCATACATCAGCTCAAAAGGTGACTTACCCGTGGATGAACGACGGGTGCACCGGTCAGCCCAGAGGGCGGTGTGGAGGTATAAGATCCACTGACGACCGTATTTGCGCAGGCAGTGGAGGAGGTTTTGGTGACCGCGTTCCACAATGCCAGTCGATTGACCATGAGCAGGAGTGGTGAAAACCTGCTTGATGTGGAAATCTTCGCAGAGATGCTTAAAATCACCCTTGAACTCACTACCACCGTCAGTGTAGACCCGACGGGGAACGCCAAAACGAGCAATGATGAAATCGTAGAAGAAAGCGGCTGTGGAGAGAGAGTTGATACTTCGTAAGGGCACCGCCTCAGGCCAGCCAGAGAATTCATCACGAGCGACAAGGACATACTGGTAGGGGGCAATAGTGACATTTAGCCGTCCGCGGGGGGCAGAGGAAACATCAGTGAACTGAGGGGCAGTGGGGAGGAAGTCGGTGAGGGTGGTTTGAGCAGCGAGAGCCTTGGCGGGATCAGCCAGATCGGGGTACTCCTTGGTGGGACCATGAACAGCGGGAAGGTAGAGGATGTCCAGCTGGACTGTCTCCCAAATGAGACGGGGAACCACGAAGTGGAGACTCGCCTTGAGAAGACCATGGTTGGTGGCTTTTGCACACGTGCCGCATGATGCACGATGGGACTTCACGTGATCAGCCATGCCCGGCCAGTAATAGAGGCGACGGAGAGCATGAAGGATGGCAGCAGCACCGCGGTGGCCATATTGTTCATGGGTAGCTCGGAGAACCTCAGACACCTCCTTCTCTGTGAAGAGAACACGTCGATGGAGACCAGGTGAGCTGATCAGTAGGAGAATGTCGTCAAAAATGAAGAACTCAGAGCAGATTTGACGCAGTCTAGGCGGAATGTCAACACCATCTCGATCAAGATCGCCGGAGGCAATGGTGGTGAAAATGAGATCGAGAGAGATGCCTTTGTGGATGAAAACGGGCTCTGGACCAATGGACAGGACAGTGATGGAGGCCACAGGGGACCAAGTCGGGGGCACAAGCGGAGCAAGCTCATCAGCTTGTCGAGCTGTATCAGCAACAGGAGGGCGAAAATCGACAGGTCGGAAGTCAGAAAATTTCTCACGACTCAGCCAATCGGCCACTGGATTGTCTCGGCCTTTAACAAATCGAACCTCGTAATCAAACTGTTTGATGTAAGCAAACCACCGGGTGAACATAGCGTTAGGGAGTTCAACTCGGGATTGCTGCAGTAGGAAAACCAGGGCCTGGTTGTCAGTTTCGATCACGAAATGAACGCCAGTGACATAGTGACGGCACTTCTCCAAGGCACGTTTTACAGCAAGGCACTCAGTCTTGGTGGATGCGTAGGTACGCTCAGTGGGGTTCCACAAACCACTCTCGAAACGGACGGGGCGACGGGCAGCCGGAGGGCCAACACTGACGATGTGAGACATTACTGCGCCCCATCCGAGGGAGGACGCATCAGTGGTGATGACAATAGGTAAGGTGGGGTCGTAGCGGTGCAGAACCGCAGGGCTCACCATAGCCTTTTTTAGCGCCATAAAAGCAGACTCGGTGGCCTCGGTCTTGGTGATCTTGAGTTTGCCAGCCTTCTGCGCAGCGGAGATGCAGTCGTACAGAGGTGCAGCGATACTGCTGAAATGAGGGATCCACATGCGAAAATACACCACAGCACCGAGAAAAGAGCGCACACCACGGACAGTAGTGGGGAACTCGAAAGATTCGATCTTCTCGGAACTGCCAGGGGACGGGAAGCGGCCTTCAGAGGTAGTGAGGAAACCGAGGAACTCAGCCTCACTGACGAAAAGCTCGGCCTTGTCGAAAGACACAGTCAGACCCGCTTCATAGAGATTCTGAAGCACAGCCATGAGGTTGTCCATGTGTTCGACGATGTACCGGCGGCAGCCCGGAAAGTCGTCATGCATGGCTCCGCCATAGTCAGTCTTAGGCCCGAGAACGCCAATATCGTCCAAGAAAACAACAGCCTGATCCGGAAAGAGGGGCCCAAGTACGCGCAGCATGGCACGGTGGAACACCGCTGGAGAGTTGCACCAACCTTGAGGCAGGCGCGTTAACCGATAGGAGCCAAAATCTGTGTTAAAAGCCGTCAAGTCACGGGACTCGGGAGCAATCTCCTTCTGACCGTAACCATTCTTAATGTCAAGCAGGGAAGTTACAGCACGACCACAGAAACTCTCAGCCAGGAGGTCCGCGTTGGGTGGGTGGAAAGCATCTCTCAAGGTGATCTTGTTGAGGCCCTGGCAGTCAAGGATGAAACGGTATCCCGAGCTCTTTTTGCTCACGAGGAACCAGGCGTTGCGGTGGGGGGAGGAGCTGGGCTCCATCTGGCCGTTGGCGAGACCCTTCATGATGATGTCTTTGGCAGCGCCGACCATAGCCCCGCGGAGAGGGAAGTGCTTTGAGTTGATAACGCCTCCCTCTTCCACGTAGATCTTGGTGGGCTCCTCAATATGGTGACTGAGGACACCCTCCTGGTCTTCGTTGAAAGCCCAGACACCCTCCGTGTCCGACATGCGATGGCGACAGAGAGCAAGCTCGGCCGGGAAAAGGACTGGAGCAAGTTTGGCATCAAATTGGCAAGACTCGTCGCCAGAGAAGTTGCGATGTCGCGGAGAAGGCTTGGAGCCGTCACCGACAGGAAAGGAACAGTCCGGGCGAAGCTTATTTAGAGGCAGAGAACGCTTGTGTAGCGGCTTGTACATGGCATTGACGGAGACAGATAAAGAATGCAGAGAGTCTTCAGGGGTGATTTCTTGGGCATCACTGAGAACTTCAGCAAGGTAGAGCTGTTGGCGCATGGACAGGTCAGTATCCGGTTGAACCTGAACGATGGTAGCCGAGTCGCCAATGTCAGCCATGATGAAAACAGTGTTACCAAGTACACGACACTCACGTACAGGCTGCTGGCAG